GTCCGACGAAAAAAAATCAGGGCTGCAACGGGTAGGGGTTTGGTCGGGTAGCGGGCTCGGGTATTTTTGTCAAGTCGACGGAATAGCGCGAGCTCCAGTGTGGGGAGCAAACCCTTTCGTAATAATTATCGCCAAAGTCGCAACCATTATTTCTAGGGCTCAAACGGTTAGTCCGATTAACTGGTTGCAGACCGGTTACGAAGAATTAACGGATAACCGATAAAGATAACGGTTACGCAGTAACTTTTCAGTCAATTTTTCATGTATCAGGTCGTTGCAAAGTATGCACTTTCGCAGCCTGTCGCACGCGTACGCAATTTCTGGGCTGTCAACTCGGTCATATCTGGTCTCTTCGTGTGAGAGTATGTATGAATGAGCATGCAAGAGAATGTACATGTGTGCGTTGTACTGAATAGGGTACATTTTTTGAATGAGTATAGTCAAATAAACGGTTAAAAAAGAGTCCGCAGGATTGCCATGGCTTATAGGTTATAACCGTTAAACCGACCGTTAGCTTAGCAGTTAACCGTTCGGGGTAAAACCGTGACCGTTTGAGCCCTAATTATTTCGTACTACTATTATAGGTATTCAATAGAAACAGATGCAAAATCCTTTAGATGAGCATGTCACAACAAAGCGTTCTGACATGCGCATCCTCAAAAATAGTCATGATCGGCTCCTCATCAAATGTCAAAATAAGCAATGATGAATGGCTGAAAGACGAAATTCACGAGCTAGGTAACGTGTCACAGAGCTCAGAAATGTATAAATTCAGGGGTATAGTACCAATCAATCTGCCAGAGCTGCGGTAGAAAGATGTGGGATAGGCCAAAAATTGACCAAAAGAGTCTATCCAATTCCAGCATACCTGCCTGCACATCATCACATCAAGAGCCATTTGGCTCGTAGGTGACCTCTTTTTGGCCTCCTTGATGATTACTGATCCTCTTCTTCAATCTTCTTCACTTCCTCTTTGACTTTTCCGTCACTTCCCTCAAGTTCCCAGCTCTTCCTGGTTGTATGTCAATGGTGTTGTGAGGTGCAGCGCAGAAACGCGATGCTATCTGGTTTCAATGTTCAGCCGGATTCTACATTTATTCTCCAAGAGCGTGTTCAATCATGAGCATTATAGGTGAAGCCAAGTCGGAAACCCAGCCTTCCCTGGTGGCCCACTCTCCAAGGATAGGGCAATAAACGTACTATCAGATGTATGATGCATATGCAGGGCGCAGTCATGTTGACTCCATCATACGTGACGATGATGCCACGCGGTTCAGTGCAGCACGGCCACGTCCGTACATTGCCTCGGGCTCAGGCCCGGCGTAGCGTTTCATATGTCTGCTACTGAAATGATCTTGGAAAACATGATCACAGGTTTAAGAGAATCACGTAGCCACCACAGGTCTTCGTATAAATAGGCCGTTGGACATTGACAACTGTGCAAAGCTTCAATAGCGGCCCGGGTGATGAATTCTGCCCATACTAATACAGGCCTGTTGATTTCCCATTTGCAAATGAATTTCTCAGACGTGAATGGACGTCTTCTCACCACACATAGTGAAATACCAAGGCAAATATCACGCTTGGCCTGGTCGCTGATTACGATGGGATGTGGACTGGTACAGCTGACAGCATGCTGATTCGATCACAAATTGCAGAAATTACTCATTATTTTACAAACGAAATCCAGTCATCTATATCTCCCACTCAATGTCTGACGCCGAAAAAAGAGAGAGAGAGACTGAGAGTACGTAGAACTAGTGTTGACATCACTTTAGTACTTACTCAAGTCACATCAAAATCCTTATCAGCGGGCTCCAGGCTGTGGAACGCCTCCAGTGGGTCTGAATGTTCGACAACGTCAACCATTACTTCTTCAAAGAATCGTCATCTACTGTTTACTGCAGTCGCCAAGTACTCGTACCAGTGCGAGTACTGATTACGATGATGCCGTTCACAAGGGAGTAGTAAAATACCTACTCCGCGCCCAGCTCACAATCGATCGATTTGGTTTCTTTTTTTTGTTGCGCGATCGATCGATTTTGCGCGATCGATCGATCGTTGCGCGATCTGTCGATCGGCAGATCGCGCAGCAAAATCGATCGATGTGGCAGATCCATAGATGGCGCACAACATTGCGACCATTTGAACCGTATTGGGAAAACCCAGGTTCGGACCCTCGTTACTCTACGGGTTGGTAGGATTTTTATAATTTCCGTTTTTTGTGTTGTAGAAGTCGTCGTGTTGCCGCCGTAGTATTGTTCACGTTGCTGCCGCTGCAGGGATCACGTCTGGAAAGATTTGTGATGTTATTTTCTTGTCTTCCTCTGTAATTAAATTATTTGTAATTTAGGCCAAGTAAAAAAAAAAGCTAGATGATCGTCCCCGTCCGCCCCAGTTTTTGTCAGCGCCCCAAGAAATATTTTATTTTTTAAATCGTGAGTTTTTGCCGAAATCGTTGGTTTTTTACCGATCGCGGATGCAGGAAACATGTGCACGCGTTTTCCGTGACGAACTTACTTTGTCAAAAGTAAATTGTTGGTAGTTGCTTCGCGATGTCGAAGTTCTTGACTGTGTTCCAGCTTGACGCAGATCTGTAGAGTGAGTTGTTGTCCTCTGTTTCGAATCATCTGGTGCTGTCGAAAAGAAAAAAAAAAGAAAAAAAGAGAAAAAAAACCTTGATGTTGTTGTGTACACTGTGTGCATGAGAGGGTAAAAAGTAAAAAAATAAAAATAAAATCCTCCCGCCCTCCCCGATTTTTCCAAAAAAAAGGACGATCATCTAGGGCATGTTCGATTGTACGAATCCATCAGCCCCGGATCCGGATTCGCCAAATTTGTGCATGTTCGATTGTACGAATCCGGATCCCGGGAGCACGGATTCGGATCCAGTCAACCCACCTCCCAGAGACGGATTCGACGGATTCGACGGATTCATTTCGATAGTACGACTGGTATCTACTCAGAACTCGCAATATGCGTACACTAGGTCAAGAGTTTACCACAACGCGTACAGATACTACGGGATGAGCTGTAACAACACGGTTGCTAAGGCCTTGAAACGGATTATCGGTTGTGCGCATTCGATTGTATCCGTCCGATCGAAGTGATCTGGTCAGCGGGGATCGGGATCCAGTTTCTACAATCGAATGCAGCCCTTTTTTACTCGGCCTTATATTTCTTTTTTTTCTTTCTTTTGTTCTTTTGTTCTTTTTCTTTTTTCTTGTCTTTTTTCAACTTCTGCCCATGGCCGGCGTCCTTCTCTCAGCTCGTCAGCTGTAACAGTCATAGTCATCACCATGACGACTGTTGTGAGAAGGTGCTCGCTGCCGACGAGGTTGGTGATGTCCCGACGAGGCCATGGGTAGGCCTTCACCACGTCGGAACACCCCGTCTGCACGTTGGTGTTGTGGTCTGGGTGTTGATGGACGTTGATGTTGTTGTAATAGTTGTTGTCGTTGTAATTGTCGTTGATTGTTGTTGTTGTTGTTGTTGTTGTTGTTGTTGTTGTTGTTGTTGTTGTTGTTGTTGTTGTTGTTGTTGTTCTCCTTAGTGTTGTTCTCGTTGTTGCTGTTGGTCTTGGTAATACTAATAGTCTTGTTCACGGACCTCATGAATTCCACAAATAAAACAGAGTTATATTTCTTGAATCAGCTTCAGGGTTACTTTTCCTTCAATTATGAATGATTTGTGGAATGTTGCAATTGGTAACATGGAAACATAAGTTCAGTGCAGCTTCCAGTATGTTGTTCAGGTGAGGTACACCGGTTTTTGGCTTCTCCTTCGATACACCAATAACCGCCGTCCTGTCTGTGTGTTTTATAGCTCCGTCCACCTGACAGAAGACTCAGCCCACGCCACGAAGAACGCGATACAACACTAACCCCTTCATCAATAATTAATTAGTAAACAATTTCTCGTTCAACAAAGGATTAATACCGGAGAGCCCAAACCCCCTGGGGGGACGCACAATTAATTAACTACGAGTGAACCCAAGACGTCCAGCGCAACAGCCGAGGTAAGCAATGCTGACTTCCGACATTTGATCCCAAAATGAGAGAAGGACGCCATGGGCAGAAGTTGAAAAAAGACAAGAAAAAAGAAAAAGAACAAAAGAACAAAAGAAAAAAGAAATATAAATTACAAATAATTTAATTACAGAGGAAGACAAGAAAATAACATCACAAATCTTTCCAGACGTGATCCCCTCACGTTGCTGCCGCTGCGCAGCGGCAGCAACGTGAACAATACTACGGCGGCAACACGACGACTTCTACAACACAAAAAACGGAAATTATAAAAATCCTACCAACCCGTATACCGGTAGGTCTACGCGGTCGACGGTCAGTGCATGGGCGCACTCGCACGAGTCGTCAAATACCGACTCCCGGATCCATGGATGAAACAAAAGGGATGCGCTTTTCCTGTCGCGGATATTCGGATCGATTTGAAACAAAAAACTTAGGGTGCGTTCTTAAATCCTCTCGGAAAAGTTGGAGACTCTCCGAAAAGTTCGAGAGCTGTTCTTATATCCTCTCCGACTTTTAGGAGGCTCTCCAAAGCTCTCCAAGCTCTCCAAGCTTCAGAGGTGGTTGAAACTTGGAGATTCCCGCGGTTTGGGATCAGCGCATGCGAACTAGGCTAAAACCCACGTGTTGATCATGAGTGTACGCATTTCCCTTTTCGCATACGCACAGCGCATACTATTTTCGTGGCACTCAAGATCGCGGCCCCTTTGGCGCTTCATTTTGCTTGATATCTGCAAAATATCTCCGAATTCTTCGAGACCCGTTCTTGAAGAATCCCAGTTTCTTCGACTTCTCTTTTCTTCTTCTTCTAGAAGCTAGAGAATTTAAGAACGCACCCTAACTTTCAACAACAACAAAACAGAAAAAAATGTGAGATCGAGATTTCCATTCCACATGCAATATTTTTTTCATTATGACATCAGTTCATTGTGCATAATCGCGATCGATCGATATCGCATGTTCACAAACACAATCATTCTATTGTTGCCTTTTGCATTGTGATTATTTTATAGTTGGGTAAATGGCATGCTTCTGAGACCACTAGCTCTCTTGTCTCGCAGTCAGGTGGCGAATAATAGCAGAAGATACTTCTTTCAGTCTGCGCAACGCCGTTGCCTCCCTGCTCACGAGCGGGTCATGGATTCCAGCCTGACTTCTGCCCAGATCCGCAAGATCTTCGTTGACTTTTTTCTGGAGAAATGTGACCACATTTATGTTCACTCGAGCTCCACCATCCCGCACGATGACCCTACACTATTGTTTGCCAACGCCGGCATGAACCAGGTGAGCTGATCTATCCTAGCCTGTGCGGCTCACTTTATTCTTTTATTTCATGTTTTCTGCATGTGGGCCAGCTTTGATGTCTTTCCATTCCGCTTGGTCAAGCCTCAAGGGGGGTATTTATTATTATTATTATTATTATTATTATTATTTTTGAACGGATTGGGAGAACTTCAAATACAAAGGATCAGTTGGGGAAGTGAACTGCCTGAAAAGAGAAAAAATCGCCAGACCCACCAGGACTCGAACCTGGGACCCTGCTTGTCATGAGCATTGCTCTAACCACTGAGCTATGGGACCAGGCCGAACCTAGAAGGCGCTGACAAGTCTTTCACTCCAAAGGCAGCTCACAACACGTGCCACACATACTGATGGCACTTGGGTCTTTCTCCCTCCCCCAGGGGACCAACCACGGTCAGTTTCTGGACCCTACCAGAAGTGAAAGAAAAGTGATTAATTTTTGAACGGATTGGGAGAACTTCAAATACAAAGGTTCGGGTTCGGCCTGGTCCCATAGCTCAGTGGTTAGAGCAATGCTCATGACCAGCAGGGTCCCAGGTTCGAGTCCTGGTGGGTCTGGCGATTTTTTCTCTTTTCAGGCAGTTCACTTCCCCAACTGATCATTTGTATTATTATTTTTATTATTATTTATTCATATTTTAATAGGGCAGTCCCCACAGACTCAAGGTCTTCTTACGGGTTACCCTAAGAATGAAAGTAATGCATGGCGAAATAGGGATGGCGATGCAGCAGTGCGGATATCAGATGGAGCACTATTCCATCTGTCTGCAGCCAAATAAGAGAGAGAAAACAGACCATAGCGTGAATAAACTCGGGGTAAAACAAGACCATTGGAGGAGGGAAGGCGGGTCCGACATTGCAAGGTGTTAGCTGCTGAAGAGCGAAGTACAAAGAGGTCTCGAAGAAGGGCACTGGTCTGGCCTAGGACGCAACGGAAAACCAACTGAGTACAATTTTAAACTGAAGCGGAGTGATTGTCATTAGTTGGATTAACATCACGTTATTGATATACCGGTACGAATAGTGAATATTACGAAATAGTGGTTGCGACTTCGGCGATGATTTGTTTGAAAAGGGTTTGCTCTCCACATTGGAGCTCGCGCTATTCCGCCAACTTGACTTGACACTTGAATACCCCCGTTTGTACATTCACACAATACTGTAAATATACAAAATTTTGGCGCTGCAAAATTTCGGCACTTCACGATTTTTGACATTTCGGCGGCGATTTATTTTCGGCGTGGGGAAGAGGGCATGGTATAGTGCGACAGATGCTGTGAAAAATTTCATCGGCATTTTAATTTAGGCGTTTTGGGTCGGTGCCGAATATAGCCGAAATTAAATAGCTGCCGAAAATTTGTATATTTACAGTACCCGATGTGCACAGTATCAAATACCTTGTACACGTCTAGGCTGGTGTCGGACTATGGACCATTTAGACTTTTATAAAAGTATCCGAATAATACTTCTTACGGTATTCACTTATCCAGACAGGGGCTGGTCCAAGGTGTTGGAATAAGCGACTCACAGCTGCACTGACTGAATGTGACAGTACATTGTACTACTCTATCCTTTCTCTGGCTTTTATCAGCTGCTGACCTGTGTCCTGTGACTATCCATATCAGGTTGGGATAAACATGCTATTCTAATATGCATAGTTTGTGTGTACCTACACGTATGTGTGCATGTGCGTGCGTGCGTGTGTGTGTGTGTGTGTGTGTGTGTGTGTGTGTGTGTGTGTGTGGACCTGTGTGCTGTTTATGTTGCTGCGCTGTTGCTGTCACAGTTTAAGCCACTTTTCCAGGGCACAGTAGACCCCAAGAGTGATATGGCCAAGTACCGTCGTGTTGTCAACAGTCAAAAGTGCATCCGTGCAGGTGGAAAGCACAATGATTTGGACGACGTTGGAAAGGACACTTACCATCACACTTTCTTTGAAATGCTTGGTAACTGGTCTTTCGGTGACTTCTTCAAGGTTTGTTCTTGCTGGCAGCCATCATGCATGGTACCTAGTCTCCACTGGAGTCAGTGGTCGTCGTGCTGCATCTATATGCTCTCTAAACCACTTTCAAATGCTAAAAGTTATGCTGCTGCAGTGCTTCCCTTCTACATTACAAATACGTTATGTGCGGTAAACGACAGGGAATTAGGAACAAGAAGCTGCTGGGACTCAGCTGCGCGTTTACTCCTGTATTGAACTGCGGAGTGTATGTGAAGGCGAGGAGCTTGATTCTGCGGAGAAGTGTATTCTATTGCTCTCTTGGTCTTGGGCTCATTTTAGCTGCAGGCATTTGTGCAAGTGGCTGCTTGGTTCTCGCCTACATTTTGCTATTATAGTTGTACGAGTATACGTCTTACATTGTTGACCATGTCATTGTTACTATGCCTTCTGCAGAAAGAGGCCATCGAATGGGCCTGGTCCCTACTTGTAGATGTGTACAAACTTCCTAAGGAACGAATGTATGTGACCTACTTTGAAGGTGGCAATGGTGTTCCTGTCGATGATGAAGTGCGTCAGATCTGGCTGGATCTAGGGTGAGGCAATTGGAATGAAGGCGTATCTTTTCAGACTTTTCTAGTGCTGTTTATGATAAGTTTCTGCACCGGTGTAGTGAAAATTTCTAAGCTGGTTTTTGTTTCCAAACACATTCGTACGAGCAGTGGCAACAGAAATAAGCACATACTTCGAGTACAAGCGGGTGTAGAGGTAGTGCGGGTGTAGAGGTAGTGCGGGTGTAGAGGTAGTGCGGGTGTAGAGGTAGTGCGGGTGTAGAGGTAGTGCGGGTGTAGAGGTAGTGCGGGTGTAGAGGTAGTGCGGGTGTAGAGGTAGTGCGGGTGTAGAGGTAGTGCGGGTGTAGAGGTAGTGCGGGTGTAGAGGTAGTGCGGGTGTGCAAAGTTTACTTTACGTACATGTATATAGTACTGTGCTGATTGTGGAGATAATAATAATAGTACAGCACGCATATAGCTCATATGAAAAATCAAATGAGGGTCATGCATCTGTCGACAACGTCGAGCCAGTGCGTTCTGTCTGAGGCAAGTTGCTCCGCTTCCAAAAGAGACATATTGAGAAGTAAAAGGTCATTCCTAATGTTGTCTACCCATCTGGTCACTGGGCGACCTCTGGGCTTCTTTATATCTGTTATATTCATTGCCATGTGAAGGGCTTTGTAGGACACAGCGTCCTTCCCTTCACGAATGACATGTCCAAACCATAATAAGCGCCGGCGTCTACAGACTGCACTTATTGGGCATTGAGCAGTTTTAGCATAAAGAGCATTATTCGAAATTTTATTGGGAAAGATGATTCCAAGTATGTATCTGAGTTTACGGTGGTGCCATACATCAATTTTGCTTTCTAAGGCTTTTGTTAGAGTCCATAGCGCGCAGTTATATAGGAAAACTGGCAAAATGAGACAGTTGAACATGCTTAAGCGGGACTGCTGGGTATGGCGTTTCCATGATACACTGGAAAATGCCCGGTTCGCTGCTATGATACGTGCATCAATGTCCTCCGCTGACCCCAGACGAGAACCCAACAGTTTGACCGACCTCCAGGAGGCATCTGACTTTGTAGCTGTTACAAATTGTGTTTTGCTGATGTTTAGTTTTAAGCTTTTTTTTAGCGAAGATGGGTTCGCATTTCTCTACGGTTGCTTCAGCTGCTGTCCGGCTGTGGTCATGCACTGTTGTATCATCTGCATACAGGGTGAACTTAGTAGGTAGATTGACTTGTTCTGGGCAGGCTTCTCTGATCCTCTGCATTGCACCTTCTGCGTAGACAATATACATAAGGGGTGACAGGGGGTCCCCCTGCACCACTCCAACATTAGTTGGAAATGACTGACTGAGCTGCTTTCCCAGCTTCACGCAAGCAGAGGTTTCGGAGACTAGTTGCTGAATAGTGCTAACATGTGCACCTGCCGAAGCCAGACGATTGTGGAGATGTTATACTATAATTATAGTCTGTAGATTGACTGGCAAGAGCAATACTGTTACAGTGGAGTGAGTGGCTTGTGGTGTCTATCAAGACTTACAGTGGACTGAGTGGCTTGTGGTATCCTGTGGAAGCTAACAATTCCCAGGTACTTATTAGCTTGTCATCTTTTCCTCACTGCGTGCTCAGAAAAAGCTTGTACATGTATTGTGATTGGCCAGGGCCCGAGAGTCTACAAGACCTTTTCCAACACTGTCCGTATGTTTAGCGTTATGAACATGACTGTGTTATAAATAATGGTAGGTGATGTAAGTAAACAAGCCTATCGCTGGCAATATGCTCTTTCTTTGCATAGGCTTCCTGAAGACCGCGTGTTGCCGTTTGGAATGAAGGACAACTTCTGGGAGATGGGTGATACTGGCCCATGTGGTCCATGTACCGAGATTCACTTTGACCGAATTGGTGGTCGCAATGCCGCCCACCTTGTCAACATGGATGATCCCGAGGTTTTAGAAATCTGGAACTTGGTCTTTACACAATTCAACAGGTATAGTCTACTTTCAGCGTCATGGCGTTCTTCACTGTGTTGTGGTAGATTGGGCAACCAGTGAATTGTTCTCTTAGTCGCGTATTGTGCTGCTGCCTGAGTACTGACTGTGGAGATGCTGTGCACATGCGCTGACTGTCTACAGTGTTAGAAAGAGAGTGCTGATTGTGGAGATGCTACACTGCTCTTTGCAGTAGTACGCTGACAACCAACTGTGCATTTCTATTTGTGTTGCAGAGAGGATGATGGCTCGCTGCGGCCGCTGCCAAAGAAGAACTGTGACACTGGTATGGGTCTGGAGCGTATCGCATCCGTTATCCAGGGCAAGATGTCCAACTATGATACAGATCTCTTCATGCCCATCTTCGATGCCGTTCAAAAGGTGAATAGGTTGCTAAGTCAGCTTGAAACTACACTTGGAGATATTGTGTTCTTCTTAGTGTAGGTGTGGGTGTGTGCGTGTGTGAAAATAATCTCGTATCAGAATGACTCAACTGTGCTTGTACAGTGCCAGTGGATTTTACGAGATTCATAGAACTTCAAATGGAGTTCGCCGAGGCTCCTCCAATTATAAGTTTTGGCTGATGCAGTCTACTTGTGATACAGTACACCGTGTTGTCCTGCTGTCCTCCTACCCTGCTGTCCTCCTACCCTGCTGTCCTCCTACCCTGCTGTCCTCCTACCCTGCTGTCCTCCTACCCTGCTGTCCTCCTACCCTGCTGTCCTCCTACCCTGCTGTCCTCCTACCCTGCTGTCCTCCTACCCTGCTGTCCTCCTACCCCGCTGTCCTCCTACCCCGCTGTCCTCCTACCCCGCTGTCCTCCTACCGCGCTGTCCTCCTACCCCGCTGTCCTCCTACCCCGCTGTCCTCCTACCCCGCTGTCCTCCTACCCTGCTGTCCTCCTACCCTGCTGTCCTCCTACCCTGCTGCCCTGGTTGAGTCACATGTCTGCACATCTCATCCAGCAAACAACGGAGTTGTGTTTAACATAAAAATATTGACAGAGTTCAGGAATATTTTCTAGGAGACAAAAATGCAACTGATATACAATGTAAAGGTGATATAAGCAGCAGTATGGGGAGTTACAAGAATAAACACACAAACAATGTAGAAGACTGTAAAGACTCCAATGCACCATCATAATTATATAAAAGGGAAATAGTGGTTAAAACTTTGTGTTAAAAAAACACACCCGTACGAAATGTACATCTCAATCCGAGCCAAATCGTTGGCGTGTCATCACCTATGCGCAAGACATTAACTGTGTACTCTTGGTTGTGTGGATATCACTAGCCATACATCGATTAGGTGCCATTGCGCCAACAGATAATGATGGTGAGATAAGGAGTTCTCTTTGCCAGAACTCTGCAGCTTAGAGAGCATTGTGTGGGCAGGCGTCTATTAACTACCATTTCAGCATGTGTGTTTTGACACCTTTTCTCCACTATATGGAAGTGTTATTCACAAACATTATAGGCAAATAGCATGAACAAGTCTTCTAATCATGCACCATCGTTGTGTAAGCATGAAGAGGTCAATATAGGTGTGAAGTGTACTGTGATAACAATAGACTACAAATGTGCAGTGCTGACAATGTGCTGCTGTCCTGCCTCTCAGTCCAACCATGATTGTGCTCTGTTTCTGCTTACATCGGTTTGGGTTCTTTAGTTCTGTACATTTGTTTTCTCTTGTGATCACAATGCACTTGGCACCTACACATGTATGCTGACCTCCTCACACTTACCCCACTTGCATGATTGATTATAGGCCTTGCACATGCTATTTGTCTGTGATTCTTGTGATCAATACCTTGTATTATACTTGTAGTTTGTGTGTTTATTCTCGCTATTCCCCATACTGCCGCTTATATCACCTTTACATTGTATATCAGTTGTTGTACTGGTTAGTTTCTTTTCTGCCTGCATTCACCTGAAGAGAAGGCATTGAAAGTACTTGTGGACAGTTTCAGAAATATTGCTTGCGAGGTGCCTGGATTTAGTTTTGTTCTTCAGTCTGATTTCAGGAGTGTACTATTTATCATACTTGTTGATGCATGTGTGTGTGTGTGTGTGTGTGTGTGTAACACGTTTGTAGATAACGGGCACACGCCCTTACTCTGGCTTGGTCGGTGAGGCTGACACAGATGGTATTGACATGGCATACCGTGTGCTCGCTGATCATGTGCGTACCCTTGTCATTGCACTAAGTGATGGTGGTCGACCGGATTCTGTTGACAGAGGGTAAGGCATTAGACATTTACCCACGGTTAAATGTATGTCATGTTCAAAAATATTCAGAATGTTTTCCTCTTCTTCTTACCTTTGTGCGAAGAGATTTCAGACGAAGCCGAAAAGTGATGTTTGGTAGGTATTAGTAGTTTCAGACTGATTCGAGTGGTAGGTATTAGTAGTTTCAGACTGATTCGAGGAGTTCTTGGTGTTGTACAAATTGTGCTTGAACCTGTTAGTTCATTGTGTATTTGCACTTTTAAGTTCATTGCCGTGTCTGTTGCGCTTGTGTGTATGTGTGCATGTGGTGTGTCTGCTTTGTGCTCGTGTATGTGTGTGTATGTGGTTTGTCTGCTTTGCATCTGAACATCATCTTTAGGTATGTTCTGCGGCGTATTCTGCGGCGTGGTGTTCGTTACGCCGCAGACAAGTTGAATGCGCCACCTGGCACGTTTGCTAGCCTTGTCCCAATTGTTTGTGAATCACTGGTAAGCTGCTAGCATTGCACCATGTAGAAGACACATGCACACATCTACGTGCTCTTCTTGTTAGTAAGCGTGTGCTTGCTGCTACAGTGTGTGTGTGTGTGTGTGTGTGTGTGTGTGTGTGTGTGTGCGTGCACGTGTGTGTGTGTGTGTGTGCGTGTGTGTGGGATGATGAGCGGGTGCTTGCCGGGCATGTGTCTTATGAGTTGTTTGCTTTCTTCACTCGTACCAGTACATGTACTACAGTCGCGCTCAAAGAAATCCGACTCTTGAGCCGAAAACAGCATCAAGGCTCATGCGGCCCTCGCGCTCCTTGAATGGGTTTTTGGACCGTGCATGATGTAATTGAAATGGAAGCGCGGCGCTGCTTTTGACTAACCGATCAGATTTCTCTAGCCACGACTGTGCCTTGTTTGTTTCTCTGGCTACGACTGTACCTTGTCTATTTTCAAAGATATTTGCCATGGTGATGGAGAACAGCCACCGTTTACTATTATTTCTGTGGCCAGACTGTTGTACTTGTAGAATGATGAAGCTGCAGTACTGTTGTTGGCAGCAGGCTTGATAACCGGTCCTGGGTAGCTGATTTCCTGCTTTCCTCCTCCTCCTACTCCTAGGCTTACCTCTCTGTTTCAAACAAGTTTTAAACTTTGCTTGCAACTTTGAACAGTAATTTTGTGTGTGTTAAAGCAAGACGTGTATTGGTATGGGATCAAGAGTGCACCCACCCCACCAGCTGACACAAGTCACACAACTCCAGTGTCGTGATTTGATCTAGATTTTGGCAGAATTCAAATTCGTAGACTGTGTCATCTTCATGGTGTCATTTGGCACTTTTGGTGCATCATGTACACCCCAAGGTTTCACGCACCTACTGTCTTTTGCCTACTGAGTTCTCTACGAAGTCCCAACGCGCTGACTTACTTCACGGTGTTTTTGAACTTGTTTCCCTTCCAAGAATGCATTGAGCTGTACACTCTAGGAGTAATGTACTCATGATAGAATGCTACTTCGGCTTTCACCATTGCTTGCTTTCCACACGAAGATATTTAGTACCTGTACATTAGACCTGTAGTGTATCGTGTATACCGCCTTACTGTACATTAGACCTGTAGCGTATTGTGTATGCCGCTTAACTGTACATTTCACCTGTAGCGTATGGTCAAGAGTACATGAAAACCAGAGTGTGCAGCTTGGGGCCTTTTCTGCTATGGGTGTCTGTCACGGCGGAATTCCGTGATTACATCATATTTGGCGCAGATCTGAGGGGGGAAATGGCGTAGTGCGTACAACTGAGCTGCAGTTGTGCAGAAAGAGACCTGCTTGAATCCTGCTTGTACGCACTACATCACAAAAATGATGTAATCACGGAATTTCGCCGTGACAGCAACCCATCCGAGCTGCACACTCTGGTTTTCATGTACTCTTGGTATGGTGTATGCCGCCTAACTGTACATTTGACCTGTAGCGTATCGTGTATGCCGCCTAACTGTACATTAGACCTGTAGAGTATCGTGTATGCCGCTTAACTGTACATTTGACCTGTAGCGTATTGTGTATGCCGCCTAACTGTACATTAGACCTGTAGCGTATTGTGTATGCCGCCTAACTGTACATTAGACCTGTAGCGTATGGTGTATGCCGCCTAACTACTCGATGGACAGTGCTGACTGGTATCTCTTTTTCTTCCTCATTGTTTTCTGTATGCAGGGTGAGTTCTTCCCTGAAGTGATGCGTGATCCGCAAACGGTAAGGACTGTGCCTTTGTGCCTTTGATGTCTCTATTGCATGTGTGTCGATGTGTGCCTAACAGTGATGTGTGCTTGGGTGTGTAATGAAAAGTGTAGAAATATTGTAGGCCTTGGACGGCTATCGTTCTGCTCTACCACTGAGGTTTGTGGCGAGGGCTTTTGAGCTGTCCTATAGCAATGGCGTGGCTTAGCACTGTCATGTGTATTTTCCCTACTCGGGCGCTGCTGTAGCATGCTGTGTGTGTGATGCATAACACAGCACACTGCTGTTGTGCCTTTGGATGATGGGATGACTACTTGATTGGTGCTAGGTGCACAACTACCGGCAGTTTCACCCAAACAAGCTGTGCCTCATCGGCTTTGTTCCTGCTGCATGTCAATGCAGCTGTGTGCAATAGACTGTCGTGGCATCTCTAGTGCTTGCCTTGGTTTTGCCTGTCGGTACAATCATATACCGGTTTACTGCTTCCCTATCCGTTGTCTATGCTCAGCCAACTGTTTAATGATTCGTGTCTATGCTCAGTGCGTGTCTTGTCTAGTTCTCTTCACAATGTTAGTTAAAGCTTGCTATCATTTTCAGTGTGGAGTATATAGTTACTTGAAGCGCTGTGTGTGTGTGTGTGTGTGTGTGTCTCTCTCTCTCTATCTGTCTCTCTCTCTCTCTCTCTCTCTCTCTCTCTCTCTCTCTCTCTCTCTCTCTCTCTCTCTCTCTCTCTCTCTCTCTCTCTCTCTCTCTCTCTCTCTCTCTCTCTCTCTCTCTCTCTCTCTCTCTCTCTCTCTCTCTCTCTCTCTCTCTCTCTCTCTCTCTCTCTCTCTCTCTCTCTCTCTCTCTCTCTCTCTCTCTCTCTCTCTCTCTCTGTATCTCTCTGTATCTCTCCTGCTGCTGCTGTTTGGTCCTATGCACTTTTTTCTACCAGATTATGGATATCATTAATGAAGAGGAGACCCAATTCTTGAAGACATTGTCTCATGGCCGTAGAATGTTCAACCGTTCAGTGGCCAGCGTGGATGGTGGAGTGATTCCAGGTGAGTACTAGTCACTATGTGTACACTCATGCTGCAGCTACAGCATACCTTTATCGTCAAGAATTCATGATGTTACCCCAGAGTATGCAACACAACAACATACATGTATCATCAAGAACACATACCATCCTAGAGTGTGCAACTCCGTATTACCCTCACCGCGACTCAATTTCAGAATAATGTCATTTTGCGATGTCATGCACCTGACTACATAACTTGCCTGCATCACGCTTTGTACTCATGCACCAAAATCTGCACCCTCTCGTACCAGGACACCCGGTTTTGCTTGATCCGTTTGAGTACAGACGTGAACTCCGAATAGAGAGGTTCCGGGGTACGATTTTTCGTGCCAAAATCCGCTTTCGAGCAGTGAAGTGTTCCGGAGTACGGAAACAAGTGTTTGCCGGCATTGCTTAGGTTACGATCGCAAGCACGTCATATTCCCGCGCTATGCCTTTTTATTTTGAAAATTTGTACCGAAATCGAAACTTCCCACGGAAAATCGATGTTTCTCGTACCAAATTTGTACGCGAACAAATTTTCTGCACTCGATGACGCGACATCTCCATACGAAGCATGGTACGTATGAAAGCCAGTTCACACGGATTCTCCGTGCCGAAAAATCGTATGAAGCACACCTCGGAAAATCCGTAGCGCCCATATGGATTTTAACATGGAAAATTGTACCCCGGAACCTGTCTAATGTTGGTGCATGAACTTCAGTTCCGTACGAATTTGGCTTCAAACCACAGGGAAAGGCTGATGTTTGATTTTTTCCGCATTGCGCTGATATGGCTGGGTGATGTAATGAATGCAGAACATCGTGTAAGGGGTCGTCCGCAATTATCGAAAGTTTTTTCCAATTCGTAGTAGCTTCAAATTTTTCCTCACCCACCCACCCACCCCCTCAGTCCGTAATAAAATATTATTGATGGACACACAACCCAACACATATGCAACGTCGCCTGTCTGGACATAGTCAATAACAGTCGTCAGCGCCAGCGCTAGACGGAAGGACTTCAAAGGAGTGCATGGAAGACGGTACTCTGGACGAAGGAGACAGTGAAACTCAAAAATAGAAAGTGTCATGATCCCCGGCCCAGGAGCAGCCAAGGAAGCGCGCGCGGGGGCGCAGAAACTGCCAGAACTACAAAAATATTTGTAGTAGACAGTTCGCGCGCAGCCGCGCGTGGAAAACAGGGGCTACACGTAGACGTACACGTGGCACGCGCACGGTCATTTCGGAAGTTTTTCAATCCGTAACTGGCCTTGACCCACCCACCCACTTTCGAAGCTACTACGGATTGGAAAAAACTTTCGATAATTGCGGACGACCCCTAAAACAGTTGACCCGGGTCAATGACAGCCTACTAAGCATGTCTTGAGCATCCACCAGTGCGTAGTGCTTCAAGTATCATGAGCATCCACCAGTGCATAGTGCTTCAAGTATCGTGACATGATACTTGAAGCACTATGCACTGGTATATTGTCCTACTGACATAATAAGTTTGAATTTCCTTGTGGCAAAGTCCAGTGCAGAGAGTGATGTGCACTTGCGCACTCTGTACCGGAGGGGTGCACCCTTGGTGACAGTGACGAGCTATGACTGTGTGCATGCGCACATCCGTGTATACGGGTGCATATTTTGTGTTTGGGGCATGCGTGTGTGTGTGTGTGTGTGTGTGTGTGTGTGTGTGTGTGTGTGTGTGTGGTGTGCATGCTTGCGTGCGTGGGTGTGCATGCGCGCGTGCTTGTGTGTGTGTGTGTGTGTATGCGCACTCTGCACGGTGTATGGGAGTAATTAGGAGCAGCACAGGCATAACACAAGACACATACTAATTTGGATATTGTTGTTGTGCTGATGTTGCAGGTAACGTTGCTTTCCGTCTGTACGATACGTATGGCTTCCCCATTGACTTGACTCGCCTCATGGCCCAAGAAAGAGGTCTTGCCATCGACGAAGAAGGCTTTCAAAAGGCCAAGAAGGATAACCAGGTATGTGGGATGGTACATATACAGTCAGACCTTTGGAGCCCATACATTCAAATATCGACGGTATAGAGTCGATGGACTAAAACGTTCATAACTCACTCGAAACTTGACGGATTTCCACGATCGAATATCTGGGAAGAAGCCGAAGAGCTCAGCTTTCCAATGCATCCATCACCGAAGAGCTACGATGTTGCTTTGAGAGATATCGCGCTCGACATTTCAGTCACGGCAAAAGTCGTACTTTTTTCTCAGTGACTGGCCTTGAGCGAGGGATTTCCCCTTGGATGACATGCTGCATGCTGATTCATCCAGGCACGCTTCCTGCACGTGGCCAGCATCAAGGCCGATTCATACTTCATGTCGCGTACGGGAAAGCCATCGCGCGACCGTCGCGCGATGACTTTCCCGTACGCGAAATAGCTGAGCTCAGATCATCTTTTTCGCGACGCGACGCGTTTCCCGTACGCAAAACGAAGTATGAATCGGCCTTAAAACTAAACAACTCAGCGCAAAAAATGAGCGTTCCACGATGAATGAGAGTGAAATGGCTGGCATCGAGGAAATCTGCTCGTATATCCAGCTCTGTGGACTGTTCAAGGCGCCGTGACGTTGGATATGTGACTGCTGTGGTGTTGAATTTGAACTCTAGTTACTCTGCTCGCGGAGAGCTTTCCAGGAAGCCCAAGATTATGGAAATCCAATAACGAGCACCACTCTTGGGAGTTGTGTACTCTTGGTCTTGCCAACAAAAGTAGCTGATGTGTAGTCACTAGTACCTTGTGTGCAGTCACATTTGAGTACTGCAGTGTAGCTAAATTCCTCAAGTACTATGTGGTCTGCCAAAGCAATTATCATTTAGACCTGTCTCTAACTAATAACGTTACTCCTTTCTCATTCTTCGAAGTATTTGGACAATATTATTTGCTCATGTTGTATTTGGTTAAAGCATGATTCCCAATATCCCACTTGGCGATGCGCGCCATGTGACAGCTGCAAAGAGCTGCAGCCGCGAGACAGGATTCATGATCTCTTTTGGTTTCTGCTCTGCATCTAAATGCAGTGCCTAGTCACAGCCTAGTGAACTGTACTCCATTCATGTACGTCGTCACTTGTCCACTTCGCAAAAGTTGAACTTTTCGACGGTGGCCTTGCTACTGCTTGCGACAGTACACGGTAGGCATTCCCTTGTCGCACGCCGCATGTCGCATTGCAGAAGGTGATATTGCATGGTTTAGTCGAACCGTGCAGTCCTATGCAGTCCCATGGTTTCTTGTAGGGTACAAGTACCTAGACCAGGTGAGAGTGTCGGCACGGAAAGTATGTTTTTAGTCACGTACCTACTGTACATCCCTTTGCCCTGTCTTGAATATGTTCCCAGTCATCTTGGATCTTGTTACTATGGGTAATGGGCTGTCTGTGTGTGGTTGTGCATCTCCAGGAACTGTCCCGTGCCAATCAGAAGGGAGCAGCTGAAGCAGTAGTGTTGGATGTTCATGCTGTTGCAGAGCTTGCACAGTCTGGTATTCAAGCTACAGATGACTCTCTCAAGTATAACTACCGTGGTGATGACAACGGAAACTACAGTATGTACATGTTTGTATGCGGCTGCATGTGTGTGTGTGGGGGTGGGTGGGTGGGTTAGTGCATGTGTGTGCGTGCATGCGTTTGTGTGTATGTGCGTGTGCATGCGTGCGCGCGCGTGTGGTGTGTGTGTGTGGGGGGGGGGGGGGGGTCTTTGCGGACATGTGTGTTGCGCATCAGCATGTTGCAGTGTATTTGACATGCTATTTGTTTTGTGTTGTGTATGGAACACTATGGATGTAGGTATGTAGCCACTAACCAGTAGCTCTCTGATTTGTCTCGACTCGCAGCTTTCGAGGGATGCATCGCTGAAATCAAGGCATTGCGTTGCAACAAGAGCTTTGTTGAGGAGATCACGCCTGGTCAAGAAGCAAGCATTATCCTTGATCAGACCTGCTTCTATGCTGAGCAGGGAGGTCAACAGTTTGATGCTGGATTCAGCACTAAAACAGATGATGAGGTAAGACATTGTGCTGAGAAAATGAGAGATTTGTTCAGACTTTCAGTACTGACACTCAACTGACTCGTGACTACCATCCAAAGCACACACAAAGTCCATTGAACCTTCCACATAGCAAGAAAGTGCCCCTCCCTGCTCATTACATACCTCGTCAGTTGAGCTTGAGTAGGCTAATGGAGTATGTCTTGCAGGAGCACTACAGTATATGTCTCTCAGCAGCCCAAGCAAACTAGGGATACCGACTTATGACAGTGATGCTACATTTCCAGCGTGACCAACACCTTGTGAACTCTAGACAGCACAGCAGCGTGAGTCAGTGTCATCCATGGAGGTCCTGAACATGCATGCTTGAGGACGGTTGGCCATACATTCACAACACCAGTGCTGTCTTGTTACCACTCGATTGTCTGACGGACTGTGTGCATACGCTTTTACTGTATATATATAACTGTTATCCCATGCATGATATTATGTTTTGTGTGTGCGTGTGTGTGTACATGTGTCACGTCTGTGGTGTCTGTCTGCTGACACTTGTTCGCAGGACTGTGAGTTTGTGGTGGCAAACACGCAGGTAGTCAATGGCTATGTGTCACACATTGGCAAGATGGAGGGCACTCTGAAAGTTGGAGACAAAGTTCGACTGGCCATTGATGAGGTGAGTAGGCTTGCCTTGTACAACGTGCCCATTGGGAGTACATTAGTCCGTAGGCGAGGATGTCTTGTTCAACATACCCATGCGGAGTGCATTAGTCCTTACCATCTATTTCAAAAATATAGACGCATGGTGTTTTTGAAATATTTCAAATTTGGTTGGAGCTTTTTGATAATTTTTCTCGGAATATTGCTCGGGTCCTTCCCCCAATTACAGTCTGTATCGGCTATAGAGTGACCGGTTATAAGAATATATCGGCTACAGTGATATTGGTACGAAATATCAAAAGCAAAACATATTTTATCCAGTACAAATATCACTATCACCAATATTATCGGATCTAATGATATATCGGATAGTATGATGGCAACAAAGAATCAAAACATGCGTAACACACTATTATTATTATTATCGGCTATAGTGATAACTTTAAAATACATGTGGCAATAATATCAAAGGCCCTATTTTTTTTACTTTCTTCACGTTGCTTATTTTTATAGTGACACATGTACATGTACATAACAGAATTTTTTATGGAAATGCGGGCACTGGCAACTATGCAGCATGCTCATTTGTCAAAACGCCATGCTGGAAGTATTTCCTTGCCTTTCATGTGTCGATCGAAAAAAACCGATCGTATCGCATAATTATAGTGATGCATCAGTTATAGTGATAAAATCACGGAAATCAAAAGGGTACGCTATAGCCGATACAGACTGTACTGTCATAGATTTAATAAGCGATCGGATAGCAAACGGCCAATTTCGAAATTGTTATGCACAAAGTGATCACAGATTTTATGTGGTATAGATGCTGGCCTAACGGTTTTTTGAAATCACGCGTCTATATTTTGAACGCACTGTAGGTGTGGATGTCTTGTACAACATGCCCATGGGGTTGCATTATTTTAATCTAGACTAAGTAGACCCAGGTGCTCCAAGTCCGGACACAGTGTGTGTGTTTGCCGAGCTGAAACTCACACTAGCAATGATCACTTGCCGGAATCCTGCTCGTGGATGGAAGGTATCTTGTCCAAGTTTGTTTTGAGGCCAGGCTCGATTGAACCAGGCCATCTTTCGATCCGATCTGTTTCTCTGGAGTTCGCTGATTTTTCATATCAAATTTTGGTGTCGCAGAGGGTGCTCTAATACCGTACAGCTCAGAGGTGACTCGAAATACACATATTTTTGCTAATTGCTAACTTGGTATCCCTCGGTTACGACGAAAGTACCGAAGCGATATGTTTGGCATGTGCCTCCACCAGTATTTCTTGCAAAAGCGTAGTTTGTTGCCGAAATGCAAGCTGTTTTAGTCAGCTCTGAGAAGAAGCAGCTGCACTGTGAAAACCGCAGGAAAACAGTGGTGGAGATGCCAGGAGTGTCAACCTTTCTGCAAGGATTGGTGGTTCTCTGTAAATTCTTCTCCTCTGGCCATTCTCAGCTCTAAGCTGGCTCTTGATGATTGAGTGAAGGTCTGTTTGACGCTGTGTCCGTTCGAAATCGGTCTTGGCAAAGTTGATCTTTGCATGAAATGTAACCCAATTTGTATTTCGTATGGACACTCGAAACCCACTCGCGTGGTATGGGACTTATATACCACAGTGAAATATTTGAGTCGAATGCAATAACAGAATATGAAATTATGGGTGTACGGACTTAAGATACCATGTCCGGACTTCGAGCACCTGGGCCTACTCACCACATTCTTCCTTCCTTTTATTCAGTTACACAGGAATATCAGATAATCGATTTTTCGGATGGTTGACGCTCAGGTAGTCAGTATCCTCCTGTACTATACATGTAGTTGATTTCCTACGACACTACATTTCTGTGTATATGATGCGTGTGTGCCTCCTTCACTGCTATCATCTATTCTGCTTCTAGAAACGCCGCCGTCGCCTCATGAACAATCATACTGCAACTCACTTGTTGAACTATGGTCTGCGACAAGTTCTCGGTGATGCCGACCAGAAGGGTAGCTCGGTCGCTCCGGACCGCTTGCGCTTTGACTTCACCGCCAAGGTATGTGCCTTGTCTGTTTTGCCTGTGTGTGCAATGCGTGTGTGTGTGTGTGTGTGTGTGTGTGGTGTAGACCAGGCTAAACATTAGTGGCAGTCGATTCATTAGCCTTGCAAGCTGTTGAATGGTGTAATCCCAGCATAAGTGATTATGTCTGACATGGGACATGGCTTGTTCACTATCATTATGTCTAACATTGCTTGTTCACTATCATCACTTCAGCAATGGGCATGTGTAAGCCATGTAAGCATGTGTCTGTGTGTGTGTGTGTCTGTCTGTCTGTCTGTCTGTCTGTCTGTCTGCGTATGTTGCGTGTGTGTGCGTGTGTGTGTGTGTGTGTCTGCGTATGTTTGTTTGTGTGTGTGTGTGTGTGTCTGTGTGTGTGTGTCTGTCTGCGTATGTTGCGTGTGTGTGTGTCTGTCTGTCTGTCTGCGTATGTTGCGTGTGTGTGTGTGTCTGCGTATGTTTGTGTGTGTGTGTGTGGCTGTCTGTCTGTCTGTCTGCATATGCTTGTGTGTGTGTGTGTGTCTGTCTGTCTGCTGTGTATGTTTTGTGTCTGTCTGCCCATATCAATATTGCCAAGTTGAAAGCAGAATGCTGTGATGATATTTCTAATGTTATCGCCTGCTGTTCCTAGGCAATAGCACTTCTCACACCGTTAACACTTCTCCTCTTTTGATTGGTGTGTATCGTGGGTGTGAATGATTGTTTTCTGCTGAGTAGAAGGCAATGACACCTGATCAGCTGAAACAGTGTGAGAAAATTGTGCAGGAGATGATAGCAACTAAGAAGGGTGTCTTTGCCAAAGAATCCCCTCTGGATCAAGCCAAGGAAATCCAAGGACTGCGCGCCGTATTCGGTGAAGTAAGTTGGGGATGAAATTATCCGGTATCGCATTGCAGTTTGCTATGCAAAATCGATCTACTGCTACTCAAAAATCACCGCGACTAGCAGAAAACTGCGATACATACCTCCATGCCTAGCTTGCGCCGTCAAGTAACATGCATACAGTGCAGTGTAGGTGGCACATGACTATATTCTCAATTTGCGTGTACATATTATATGATGCAAGTAACCACACGTAGGGTGGAAGCTAGCGGGAAATATACACAGACATCTTCTTTGTGCTAATCAAAAATCAAGGATTGCTACACGATTTTGTATAGCAAAAACTGCTATGCAAAAAATAACAGTAAATTCATCCCTGTAAGTCCTTGTGATGTCGTTCACTACGTACAGTCAGACCTCGCTTATCCGGTCCTCGTTTATCCGGATCCCTCGCCATCCGGAAGAAAATCGCTGGTTACCGATGTGCAGCATATGTTATGCATACAACATAACCGGACCTCGCGATCCGCATACCGGTGCATGATTTTGTGTACAAACTGGTTGAAATGTGTACAAAAAAGCTTCGTCGTATCCGGTTGCATGTGCCTTGCAGAAGCTAGAATCAGGGAGTTGTACAGGCAAATGAGGTCCTTGACCTGCTGGGTGCATGTGGACAGCACTCAGTTGCATGCACTTGTCATTTTTCTCGCTTGTTTTGCATACTGTGCACGCTAGTTGCACTGCATAGGACCCGTCTACATGTATGTACGATGCCACTGCTTTTGACATGCCACATGCATATTATATATCCAGTATGTGTGTTCAGTTATCCGGTTCCCTCGCCTATCCGGATATTTTTGTGGAAAACAGATGTGTGCGGTTAAGCGAGGTCTGACTGTATAATGGTATGTTAACCCTTTAAGAGTCAATGTCTGTAGCAACCAATATCACCCCACATGGCCAAATTTCCGATTTCGCTCAAAGTTAGCTCCTTTTATCCCTAGGTGGACCTCATTCACCCACTATGACAGGTTGGTCCAGAAACCCCTCCGTTCTTTAGGTGTTGACCAAAATCAAAAAATCTATAGAAATACGAACTGAAACACCTTCAAACAAGGTACAAGAACAAGGGTTCACTGCTGCTCACAACAACGCAGCGCAGCCAAACCAATTATGTTCGCACACCGATCCAAGTTACCTAGTAATGCTTAGCCATCCAAATTTCGATTGACGATTTGCTGAGTCCCTGTGTCCCTGTAAGGCTGTTCACTATGTACAATGGTATGTTAACCCTTTAGGAGTCGACCACACTTCGAAGTCATCATGAGCGACTCCATTCTCTTCCTCTCGCAGAGACCTTTGTAGGAAGCCCACAATTATGAAGATTAACATTGGTCCTGTGCTGATATGGCATTGCTCCTGTGTTGATATGGCCGTGTGTTGATGACATATCAATGAGAATGGATGTGTCTGCTGTTGTTACTGGTGTGTGTGTGTGTGTGTGTGTGTGTGTGTGTGTGTGTGTGTGTGTGTGTGTGTGTGTGTGTGTGTGTCCCATATGGTGCAGTGGTATGTGCAGCGATTTCCAATCGATAGATTGCGGGTTCGATTCCCGACAATTATGGTCACACACGTCTTTCTTCTCTTCTCAGACTCTTCTCCTGACTTTCCTTTCATTCTCCTGGGTGGTTACCAACAGCCAGTGCATGCCAGAGTATGTGGTGTGATGTGTGTGCGGGAAAAAAATTGAAAAGACCAAAAATAGGGATTCACTGGCCAGAGAAAGTCACTTCAAAAATAGCTGTATGGTGTAGACCAGGCTGAATAGTGACGGTCAATTCTTCAGCCTTGCAAGCTGTTGAATGGTGCAATCCCAGCACAAGTTGCTATGGCTTCTGCCGTAGCATTGCTATCATCGCCTCCGGCGATTGGCGTCAAAGGTCAAGGTGTGTGTGTCCCATATGGTGCAGTGGTATGTGCAGCGATTTCCAATCAATAGGTTGCGAGTTCGATTCCCGACGATTATGGTCACACACGTCTTTCTTCTCTTTCTCAGACTCCTCCTGACTTTTCTTTCATTCTCCTAGGTGGTTACCAACAGCCAGTGCATGCCGGAGTATGTGGTGTGATGTGTGTGCCGGAAAAAAATGAAAAGACCAAAAAATAGGGATTCACTGGCCAGAAAAAGCCACTTCACAGCTGTGTGGTGTAGACCAGGCTGAATAGTGGTGGCCAATTCTTCAGCCTTGCAAGCTGTTGAATGGTGCAATCCCAGCACAAGTTGCTATGGCTTCTGCTGTAGCATCGCAATCATCGCCTCCGGCGATGGGCGTCCAATAGTCCCCAATGGTGTGTGTGTGTGTGTGTGTGTGTGTGTGTGTGTGTGTTTGTGTAGGTGTACCCAAACCCAGTACGAGTTGTATCTGTAGGAATTGAGGTGGAACAGCTACTCAGTGACCCCTCCAGTCCTGCTGGCTCAGTCACATCCATTGAGTTCTGCGGTGGAACGTGAGTATAGAGCACAATGCACTTGTCCTGCTAATATAGGAAAGCATGGGAGTAGCCAGAGCCAGTAGTAGTTGTTTGTCTAAACAGCTGCTAACTGCATGCTGCTGGATCGGGGGGGGGGGCAAGATACATGTCAGGTTGTTTCTGGTGTTGACCCCGTCATTTCTGCAATGTAATCCATGAGGATTAGTTTTCTTCCTATTTTGCTGTCATGGTCAACGGGTCTGTCCACGTTGCTAACTCCAGATGGTCAGGTTCACGTTGACTTACTCCAGATGGTCTAGATTCAATTTTCTGTTGCTGGAGGTTACTATAGATTATGATCCACCACCTCCAGACTCTAGCATTATGATCAACCACCTCCAGACTCTAGCATTGAAGTTTGGGTTTAATTGTATGGCTACTGGGTTTGTTTGGCATCCTACTGTTGTGGACATGGAAATCCAGTCGATCGGGGCCGGCGCCCTCAGCGCGTACAGAACGCTGCGTGCAGGGCACATGTTGATCTGATGCGACTAGTGTGCTGCAGCGCATAAAATGCATGTGTGTACCGCTTATCCACGGCTGCATGACCAGCGCCCTGGGGCCGCTAGAGGTGCGACCGGAATTCCATGTCCACAACAGTATCATTAGCAGCCAACCTACATTTGGTCCATAGCCGGTCCTCTTTATCCTTGTTGTGAACACGTCCTGTGATTGGTATAGGCATCCAGTGTGCTAGTCTCCAAGACACACGACCAATGCATTGCTCCCCCCGCGTTGTTTGTTTCTTCTAGCCATCTACATGGAATTGGGCACATGGATGCGTTTGCCATTGTTACCGAGGAGGCCATTGCCAAGGGTATCCGCCGTATTGTGGCAGTAACCAGCAAGGAGGCCCATGGTGTAAGTACCGCTGTGCTTCATACACACACTGTTTCACACTGTTTTGTGCTTGCGTACCATGTGCATACAATTTAGTGCATAGAGGAACATTGGGGTCCACGTGGGTTGCCTAAGAAAACCCCCATGTGGAATTTGAGATGTGAGTGGATTGTGCTGCAAGGAAACTTTCCTTTGCCCTACGCATCACTATCCACTCAGATCTCAAAGGGGAGGGGGGTTGCTCTTGAAAATTGGTTCCGCAGGAGAGGCATAAAGTCCGCTGCTGGGAAACCACACCAACGAAGCGGAACCTTTGTGCATATGTGACCGGGGGGGGGGGCATGTGGATAAATCTGAAATGTAGCCTATTTAGTTGCTGAAATCGAATGGTTTTGGACCGAGAAGGCTGAGATAAAGCGTTCGTGATGTGTTCATAATTGATGCCGTGAAAGTATACAGATTCGGCAAAACGAAACGCATGAATGAAATGTTTTGAACGTTAAGTCCTGTGGGCACTGAGTCTTTAATATGTTGAGTACTTGAGTAGAAAGAGCAATTGACCATGGACCTGAACCTAGAAGGATCACATGTCCACCAGCAGCATGCATGTCGAACTGCATTGCCGGGATCATCATTTGTAGACCGGATTCTAAACTTGACACATAGTAACAGAACTATTACTTCAATCTCCCAGCCACTTGCCCTCCCTATTCTTCAAATTCTCAGATATATAACGTTATACAAGGAGGACGAAGGAAGCATCTCGGCTTCCTCAGATCAAGACTATTATAGACTCCACCTCGAAGACTCCAAGTAGTGTTTATCGTTAGACCATACTTCCCCTTTAATCAGACTGTATACCAAAGGGTTGTGCATTGGTGCCCTTTAGCTTCGGCCAATCCATGTGCAGAAGTTTAGCTTGTGAAGAGTGGTGCAACCTACAATATACCACTGTGTACCTTTGTATCGGTGTGTGTGTGTGCGTGTGTGCGTGTGTGTGTGTGCGTGCGTGCGTGCGTGCGTGCGTGTGTGTGTGTGCGTGTGTGCGTGTGTGCGTGTGTGTGTGTTGCTTTGTGTGCCTTAGGCAATCAGCCGAGGACAAATGCTGGAAAAGAAGGTGGAGGACTTGTGCGGTGAGATTGCCGGCAAGAAGAACGATCCTGACTTCAACTATCTTGCTTACAGCAAGAAAATCAATGAGTTGAAGGATGTAAGTGGCAGGGTGGTGTGACTGTGGGCCCAGAATGTTGTTAGTACTATTACAGTATGAACAGGATGCATGTGAATTTGTTTGCCAATGTGCCGATGGATGTACCGTAAAGTACCATGAGAGCGCCCCACCAGCTCCTCCCTTCTTTGTGGTTGTGTGTTTGTAGGTGGGCCCTGTACGTAGTTAGTGTTGTGTGTTTGTAGGTGGGCCCTGTACGTAGTTAGTCCTGCCACGTGTACATGTACTACCTTGTACACACATTACATATACAGTACAGTCCATCCGTAGTCAGTTTAACTTTGGAGCGGATACGGGCTTCACACATGAACATGCTAAGTGTGGCCTTAGTACACGAATGTCCTCACATACAAACTGCATGGCACTCTGCCATACGATTTTCCTGTCCCTGTTTGTGAAAATGAAGGTGGGGCAATCGGGAGACAGGACTAACTCTCTCTCTCGGCTGCACATTACGGCATTTGCTATCATACACTTTATGCTGGACTCAACCACGTAGCTGCCCATGGTAACTCCGGACCCGAAAGTGTACGACCCAGAGAGACAGAGACAGAGCGAGAGAGAGAGAGACACAGAGAGAGTGAGAGTGAGGGAGTGAGAGTGAGGCTGTGTTTACACGAGAATTTTCAACCTGGGTTAAAAGTCTGTTCGATGGAAAAATATAGGTGGGTGTTTACATGAAGACAGTTGACCTGGGTCAATTACTGATTTGTCGCCAAAAGTCCTAGAGTCTCGTATGGTCACTTGAATCCTTTCGCTCTTCTTTCATTCTCTTGGATGGCTACCAACAGCCAGTGCATGCCGGAGTATGTGGTGGTGGTGGTGGTGGTGGTGGTGGTGGTGGTGGTGGTGGTGGTGGTGTGTGTGTGTGTGTGTGTGTGTGTGTGTGTGTGTGTATAACTGTGTGTGTAATTGTGTGTGTAACTGTGTGTGTAACTGTGTGTGTAATTGTGTGTGTAACTGTGTGTGTGTATGTGTCTGTAATTGTGTGTGTAACTGTGTGTGTGTGTGTGTGTGTGTGTGTGTGTGTGTGTGTGTGTGTGTGTGTGTGTGTGTAATTGTGTATGTAACTGTGTATGTAACTGTGTGTGTAACTGTGTGTGTGTAATTGTGTGACTGTATGTGTATGTGACTGTGTGTATAACTGTAACTGTGTGTATAACTGTGTGTATAACTGTAACTGTAACTGTGTGACTGTGTGTATAACTGTGTGTATTGCCCTGCATGCAGTTCCTCGATACACATTGCGTTGTGTGCTAATGTGTGTGAATGTGCTGTGTTGTGTAGGCACTCTCCGAGCAGGTCATACAGACATGGTTGAAGGATGAGCTAAGGTCAAAGCTGCAAGTTTCGAAGAAAATCACTGTGGACGCGGAGCGCGCAGTTGCCAAGAAGAATGCTGCCATGGTAAGACTCACAAGCAAATGCTGTAGGACCTGTCCAGATCGTAGTTGCCAATATGTGCTTGCTGGACGGACTAGCCCTAGAGTAGGGTTGACCGAATTGTCCAAGTAGCTGTGTACAGTACAAGAGTCACGGTATTGTGCTCCCGTCATCGTGAAATGAACGTTGTGGGACTGCAGTCGTCTGCCTTTGGCGCTGAGGACCTGGAGAGAGTTGAGTGTTACTTCTACTCAGCAATGAAGCTATCATCAGCTCTCTTTGTTCATGTAATGTTAGATCTCTTTCTTTCTTTTTCCTCTGCTGTGATGACACTGGCTGCTTTTGTCTTGCTGTTCCATGTATGATGTCAGGTTATTGAAGCGATAAAGGAGAAACTCCCGGAGGCCAATGGCAAGCTACTGGTTGTCTTGGTACCATTCACCGGCGACGTAAGTCATTCACTTTCAATGTTTTTGCTATTCTCTATTCACGTGAACAGTGTCTGTGAGGATGATAGGGCATAGCCCGGCATACCTCTGGGTAAAACACGTGAAAATTCGTCTTTTCTTCTTTGTTGGTTTTTTTGTGTGCAAAAGTGTGAGTGATCAGTAGTAATTTACCCGGTACTATGTAGTAAAGTATCCTTGTGACATTGGAAGCAAGCATGGCTTAGCAAGACAGGAGTGGTTCGAGCTAGCCCCTTGTGGATGTGTAGTTGTAGTACTTAGTAGTACTTAGGAGAATTAGGAGAAATCACAGTTGCCTAACCTGGGTATATATATACATGTATGGTCAAAAGTCGATAAATTCCCATAGTGTTCTAATGTGCATCACTTTCTGCATGCCGCTTCTCCAAGAGAAGTTCAAACTGCGCACGTCAGTCGTGCATGAACACAGTGTAGACAGGTGGTGAGTAACTTACACACCCGGGAAGGGTGTGTGTGTGTGTGTGTGTGTGTGTGTGTGTGTGTGTGTGTGTGTGTGTGTGTGTGTGTGTGTGTGTGTACTTCTGCTGTTGTTGCTCAAGTGTTGGCGTTGTCTATTTTCACTTGTTGTTGTTGTTGTTACTTTATTTTACTTCACCAGAATTACAGGCAGTAGAATGCCTTCTCACTAGACCAGGTCTAGTTCTCACAAATGATGAAGAATGTGAATGAACATGATAAAAAAATAGAAAAAGATGAGAAACTTCAATAAGTGAACGCATATGCCTTCTCACCATATCGCATGTGTTCAAACATTCACTATGAACCGCAAGGTCTATCATGTGTGTATGTGTGTGTGTGTGTGTGTGTGTGTGTGTGTGTGTGTGTGTGTGTGTGTGTGTGTGTGTGCATGCGTGTGCATGCGTGCATGTGCATGCGTGCGTGCGTGTTGGTATGTGTGGGTGGCATGTGTGTGTGTGTGTGTGTGTGTGTGTGTGTGTGTGTGTGTGTGTGTGTGTGTGTGTGTGTGTGTGTGTGTGTGTGTGTGTGTGTGTGTGTGTGTGTGTGTGTGTGTGTGTGTGTGTGTTGGCACTGTTACACATGTGCAGGCTGTCAGCGAGGGTGTCAAGTACGCTAGGAAGGATGCTGCTGCTCCCAACACCATGGTGATTGGTGTGAGCGACGGCAATGTCACCTGTAGCTGTTTTGTCAACAAGGTAGGAGTTTGAACATAATAATATTATGCTCAATCAGTGGTGCTGGGTGGTCACTAGAGAACAAACGATTTCTCTTTAGCTAACGAACGAGTGTGTGTGGTAACTATCGAGTGTGTGTGGTAACTATGGAGGAGCTATTGAGTACTCTAACTGTACCTATAAGTAAGAACAAGAGTACTGCTTGAGTACTGCTTGAGTACTGCTTGAGTACTGCTTGAGTACTGCTTGAGTACTGCTTGAGTACTGCTTGACTTGGCACTTGCGCTTGCGCTTTGCACCTAATACTCGTGCATTTACCAGGTATAGTTATATGTACCACTAACGATCTCTTATCGAACACAATCAGTAACGATCGCCCTAGCTCACGAACGAGTTTGTAACGAAGTGCTAACTCTAATGGGTTAACGAGGAGAAATCTTTCGTTAAAATAGAAATCGTTATACAGAAATCGATACAATACTGTTGCTATTGAGCGTTGAGAATGAGTGAGAATCGTTACCTTTGCCTTTGGTATACGTAAACCAGTCAATTCTAGGAAATCGTTATATATGCGCCCCGTTAGAATAATGGCTTTTACAGTAGATCAAAACGAACGCCCCCTAATAAGCAAAAATGAGTATTGGATCCGCCGTAGCCTGACGGAACAAAAAATATTTTTGACATTTCTGACCCCAACTTTTGATAGGAAGACCTTATGCGCCATCCGTAAATACCGATATTTATTTAGAAACGGAAACTAGTCATTTCTCTTCAAACCCCCTCCCTGAGAAACGAACATATACAGGGATGAATTTATCCTGTATCGCATCGCAGTTTGCGATGCAAAATCGATCAACTGCTACTCAAAGGTCACCGTGACTCGCAGAAAACTGCGATATAGACAGACTATCCATGCCTAGCCTGTGCTGTCAAGTAGCATGCATACAGTGCAGTATATGTTGTGCAGGCACTCTCAATCTGCGTGTACATGTATGATTCAGTCGGTTTTTTTGCAAATGGGCTTTCAGGCATCACTCTCAAGAAGGACAATGTGGTAAACACCCAACCTTCAAAGAAAAATGCTAATCAAAATCAAAGACTGCTACACAATTGTGATTTTGTATAGCAGAAACTGCTATGCAAAAATATGACAATAAAATTGAATAAATTCATCCCTGATATACAAGCGGTACCAAGAGTTCATAACCCCCAAGAGTGTGCAACGGGCATAGACCCAGCGCTCGGCGAAATTCCTACATTACGTCATGCGCAGCTTGTCATCCGAGGTAAATTTGGGTTCTTTGCGATTTCTGGAAACTATACCCTGAACCGCTCCTAACTCAAGGCTGTAGTCTCGACTTTTCGAAGCTTTTGTTTTGAAGACATTTCGGACGTACAAGTCGTACTTTCTCAAAAACAAACTCTTTCTCCAAGAATCCATGGACATCGCGACAGGAAGAAGTGAGGACGCTGTTAAAAATATTGCATTGCCGTCGAGGACAATCATTCTGATAGCTGTGCAACTCAGCCGAAAAAAGCTCCTTCGACGTATTCTCTCAAGTTCCTCAACCATTTGAAATCATCTTCGAGGAAAGCACCGGAAATATGCCGATGGCCTGGGGAAGAAATTGTTCTTGAAGAGACTGACTGCACTGTACTGGTGAAAGAAGAAGGCGATGAAGAGTCACCATTGCATCGAAAAAATAAAATAGGTTTGTCTTTAGGATCGTGTGCTTTGTTTTACTTTTGCTTCTTGAGGCTCAGACTCAGACTAGAATCGCAGTTTAGGCAGTTTACCCTGGGGAAGCATCCTGGTTTGACTGTAGATTTTAGAAGAATTCATCGGCGTGACTCATCGCACTGCACCAGAAATGACGCAATGAAGGAATTCCGCCGAGCGGGCTTCCATACAGGGACTGATCAGGAGTTGCACACTCTTGGGGGTTATGAACTCTTGGCGGTACATACAAGTAGTATCGATATTTTTTTCTTTTTTTCTGGACGTGCCCACACATAAAAACTGTGCGTCGATATTTTTCGAGAAACCAACAGGCGCTCAACCCCCTCCCCCCTAAACGACTAGTTTTCGTTTCTAAATAAATATCTATATTTACGGATGGCCCCTAATAGCCAAGAAATATTGTGGGAAACTGAAGGGTTTCAAAGTTTTGAAACCCCTTCAGTTTTCCATAATATGATGTGCAGCACTTTCAGGGTTCACACGACCGTACAAAGCGTCAATAACGGTCATTTGGATTTGACCAGTCAGCGCACGGCAAAACGGGCTGTTTATTGCAATTGTGGGGTGTTTTCTGAGTGGAACTTGGCTGTATTTGTTGGTTTTAGACATTAGGCCATTGTGGATTCGTGTTCAGAAGGTGTGTCTTTGGAGGGTTACTGTCTCGAATTTTTCGATTTGGCCTTCGTTTGGCTGAGATCGGATGGTGAAATCACTCAAACGCGCGAAGGCGTGCGAACAAGTCAAGTGAATGAAGAGAAAATTAGAAATCGGGGACGGTAAACCGATAGAGAATTCCAAGACCTTGAAAATGAGCTATCGATGGTGAAAATCGGCCAAGGAGAACCGCTGTTTTACTTTTTTGAAGAAATCAAGGTCGGCCGTGCGTCGCCGCGCGCACCAACAAAAACTGGCAGCCGTGCGCATATCTGAAAGTGCAACAAGAAAGGACGGAGGAGACAGCAAGCATTCCAAGTGAAGAGTTTACCTTCGTATTGACTCAAGCTAAGGACTCATGCCAGTCAGGGATCATACCAGTCACCTCTCATCATGGTCATGACTAAGGGATTCATTTGTGGCCAGGAAACTCCCCACTCGCAGCGTGAAAGCTTCGAGGCCAAACAGAAAAGAATGTGCCGAGTCGCGATCAGGAAACGCTGAGTTCTACTGACAACATTGGTAGCTAGGCGCGGCAAATTCTTGTAGATGCCAGGACTCCAGTTCACCAGTACCTCACGGACATATCTTGGTCGACACCCACCAGCGGGTTCAGAAAAATGACCAAGATGGCTTGGAGAAAGGACGTCTTCTCCGCGTGTCTTTCCCGACGTCAAACAACAAGATTCGCTTCGGCACTGGCCCTTCGCTGTACAGAGTAGACCAGAGAGTCGTAAAATACCGGTATTTTACGACTAGACTGTACATCGCTGTACATCGATCAGCATGAACTCGGGTGCGTAGCCGCTATGACTGCACAAACTCTGGCCTTGGCGGCATCGCCATGTTTTCAAAATGGAGGTCGACGCTTTTTGAATTTTGTATGGTCGTGGTGAGCCCTGACTTTGTGAGTAGGATTGCTGATTGTTGTGTGATCTGCTGGTTGTAACATGGTGTATTGTGTGTTGTGTTGTGTGTACAGGCTGGTATATCTCAGGGTTTGAAAGCCAGTGAGTGGGTCAATGAACTGCAAGGCACTGTCGGTGGCAAGTGCGGTGGCAGCCCGCAGACTGCCATGATCAATGGTGCTAGTACTAGCGATGCCAATGCTGTCGTGGAGTTGGCCCAACGCTTTGCCGAGCAGAAGCTTACAGCGTAGTATATTGTCACAGCGTGTACTTCTGAATTCTGCCAGCTTCATCATGCACTGGAAGCACTTGCCTGCATGCCTGCCTGCCTGCATGCCTCAGACAAACCATAGCAAGAACAAAACCCGTTCTTCTTCTTTCTCTAATTATTTTTTATTCGTTGCGCAATAATAAATATCCGGGTACCTACAGATCTTGATTGCATAGTGCTGAGGTTCATTTGTACAGTTGTAGCTCGGCGCTATTGCACTATTGTACCATTCTATTATGGTGCAGTGGTACTGCCGTCACCGTCACCGTTGCCACCAGGCTAGCTGCTCTCTAGCTTACTAGCTAATTGTATTCATACAGTCACATGACGTCATACAACAGTAGTGTGCAGGCCCACAACAACTGTCTAACCACTCCCCCTCTAATGCTGCTGCCAATGCTGCCAATGCTGCTGCTGACAAGCCAATGCTGTATTTTTGCTTGTCCTCGTTCTAAACATTATATCTTTGGTTTCACCTCTTTTTGCACACAAGTATTAGCTGCTGGCAATGGCACCTGCCATAGAATACAGTTATGAATCTCCGTGTACTGTGTGTGTCACATTGTGTGTGTGTGTGTGTGTGTGTGTGTGTGTGTGTGTGTGTGTGTGTGTGTGTGTGTGTGTCTGTGTCTGTGTCTGTGTGTGTGTCTGTGTGTGTGTCTGTGTGTGTGTCTGTGTGTGTGTCTGTGTGTGTGTGTGTGTGTGTCTGTGTGTGTGTGTCTGTCTGTGTGTCTGTCTGTCTGTGTGTCTGTCTGTCTGTGTGAATTCATCAGCCTTGCAAGCTGTTGAATGGTATAATCCCAGCACAAGTTGCTATGTCTAACATAGCTGTTCGCTATCATCGCTTCCGCGATGGGCATGTCTGAGGTGTGGGTGTGTGTCCCATATGGTGCAGTGGTATGTGCAGCGATTTCCAATCGATAGGTTGCGGGTTCGATTCCCGACGATTATGGTCACACACGTCTTTCTTCTCTTTCTCAGACTCTTCCTGACTTTTCTTTCATTCTCCTAGGTGGTTACCAACAGCCAGTGCATGCCGGAGTATGTGGTGTGATGTGTGTGCGGGAACAAAATGAAAAGACCAAAAATAGAGATTCACTGGCCAGAAAAAGTCACTTCAAATACAGTGAAATCTCGTTAGGTGTTTGTGTGTAACTGTCTTGACCGTCGTTTGTCCTATTCCGATGTGCTCCCTGTTTTATGTAGACCAGGTGTGCATCGGGGTCGATTCGAATGTCTTCGCCAGTTGTGTGGATTAGGTTATCTGGCGCTACAACGTAGTCTTGATTTACCGTTGTTATGTTTCATTCAGACCTTGTCCGCAATCATTTGTATAAGAGAAAATCTGCGGGTGCACGTCCAGTGCATTTGCAGATTTGCGTGCTTCTTTTGCGACGCGCTCACATTACAGTCAGACCTCCCTTATCCGGTCCTCTTTTACCCGGATCCCTCGCCATCCGGAAGAAAATAGCTGGTTGCAGATTTACAGCATACGTGATGCATCCAATGTAACCGGTGTCCGGTTATCCGGTTCCCTCGCCTATCCGGATATTTTTTTGTGAAGCGAGGTCTGACTGTACATCAGTGGTGTAAGCGAGGTCTGACTGTACATCAGTGGTGTGGTGACCATGTACCTCATAGTCATAGTCATAGTCGCCATTTTTACCCGAGTGTTTTCACTATTGTAGTACACATGCCAGTCACCTTCGAATGGTTCTTTACAATCTGTATCACAATTTGTGGGTTCAGCAATAAAGGATGCGACCAACAGCCAGTGCAGCAGTGCTTGACGGATGGGAGTACATGTATGTGGCGGTGTGGTGTGTTGTGTGTGTTAACTTAAAAAGGGAAAGAATGAAAACATGAAAAGAAAAATACACAAGAGAGAGATTGGAAGCTTTGTTACAACTCTGAGTTTCACGTATTACTACGATCATCAGGCAACTGATGGATCCAAAACGGGCAGCCAGAACATAAGGGGAGCAAGGTGGGAAATTCTGAGGGGTATCATAGGCGACGCGTATCATAGCGCAAGAGTCAAGTGCAGGCGTGAAGTTGCCAAGTCTTCAGACTTGGGGCTATGCAGCAGCAGTTCCGGCTCGAATGATATAGAATAGAGCTGGGGACTTTTAGATGCCAAATCCACATATGCCCACACCATTACACACACATACACCCACACTCTCTCCCTTTTCTCACATACACATACACTCACACGCGCATACACGCCCACACACACATTCTCTAAAAATCTCTCTCCCACACACACACATTCATTCTCTAAATCTCTCTCTCACCCACCCACACATATTCCTTCTCTAAATCTCTCTCACATACACACACGCGCACACACACACGCACACATGCATTCTCTAAATCACACACACACACACACACACACACACACACACACACACACACACACACACACACACACACACAATCATACGCACACCACACACACACACACACACACACACACACACACACACACACACACACACACACACACACACACACACACACACACACACACACACACAAACACACACACACACACACACACACACACACACAAGGCAGCGGGACTACCAGCTCGATTCACGCGACCTTGCGGACAAAGTTACGGAGGTAAAACTTGTTTTCATGACGGCACTTGGACACAAGCTCTGACCTCTTGTTGAGGGAGCGGGTCTTGTCGGCCCAGGCAATCTCTAGCTTCTCGGCCAGACACAGGTTGCAGCACTTCGAGATGTTAGAGTACGGTGCGGCTCTCCTCACAACGGACCACCTGATACTGTACGGTTTGTTTTCATCCTTCAGTCTCCAGATGTGTCTGGACAGTCTCGTTGCGGTCTCATGCTTCTGGTGGCGAATGGTATGTTGATGACCATTGAATCGTGTCTTGAATGTCCCTTCCGTTAATCCAGTGTACTCCTTCATGTCGCTGCCGGTTACATGTGCCCTGTACACAATGCTCGATGTTAGACAGTTGCCTTCCAAGGGGCAATCATTTTTGACACGGCAGTTACAGGTTCTCACATCCTTGGTCTTGTTCTGGTGGTCGCTGCGGGGGACTACGTGACTATTGTTGTGTTGCTTGATGATGGTAGCGACATTTGGCATGCAACTATAACTGAACTTTAGCGTGTTCCGGTTAAATATCTTGTATAATTTGCAACCTTTGTGGAAGTGCTTGCTGACGAGTTGCAGGAATCGCTGACCAATGTTCGTGGACACATTCTTACTGAACGGTGCGTTAAACCAGGTAATATTCCGGTGTCGACTCCTTTGTTTCTTCTTTTTCCCACTCTTCCGGTCCTCCAAGAGCTGGACAGTCTTATTGTACCCGCTGTCTCTGAGCGCATTGTTGTACATTTGAGATGCGTCCTGGAATGTCTCTTGATCCGTTGATATGTCCGTTAGTCGTCGGCTGATGGAAGAGGGCAAGTTCTGGATGATGATTGGTGGGTGGTTGGATTGGTGATGGACGTACAGTGGCCGGTCGCTGGGCTTCCGGTATGGACGGTATTTGCCGGTGTTTAGGTCCAGCGTGATGTCTAGGAAGTCGACGGATTTCAGGTTTGCCTGGATGGTGATTTTTAGTCCTAGGCTGTTGAAAATTTTGGTCATGTCCTTCCTGATCCTGTCAACTTACGGTCCCGATACGTTCCGGAACACTGCTAGCCCATCGTCACGGTACAGTCCAATGTCACTGCCGTTGTACACCTCGGATAGTTTGGCAAGGGCTAGCGTACCGACCAACTCACAGACTTCAGCACCGTCATAGCATCCCATTGTCACGTGGAATACTCCGCTTCCTTTCTTCATCCACTCTTTCCCGAGGCCGAATAGGAGAGATTTCCGTGCGTGGAGGATTGTTTCCTGGTCCTCCGAGGACACCGACGTGAAGTCTCTGGCAAACTGCAATGACGTTAATAATTGGGTAAAGGTATAGTTTAGGGTCCCAAATTATTTTAGTGGGTCAGCATGCTCTACAGAGTCCCAGGCATGCACATTACACATAGCCATAGGCCTTGGCCACAACTGACATCGAATACGATGTGGATGGACAACCACTGGTGTATGCAAAATCACCTTACGATGCGAACGAAGACGGCGCAAAGGACCATGAAAATCGCCAGTGAGTTTGAAGCTCGGTGATGCCGTGCGTGTCTTGATCACCTCCATGGGCAAGGGATGGTGGTGGGTAGAAGTCGATGGCGAGTCTGGCTACGTTCCATCATCATTCCTTGGTACTGAGGATGACCTGCGCGGCGCGGAGGAAGCCTCCTGGCAGAACGACGAATATTTGGACTTCTACCCACCACCATCCCTTGCCCATGGAGGTGTTCAAGACACGCACGGCATCACCGAGCTTCAAACTCAGGCGATTTTCATGGTCCTTTGCGCCGTCTTCGTTCGCATCGTAAGGTGATTTTGCATACACCAGTGGTTGTCCATCCACATCGTATTCGATGTCAGTTGTGGCCAAGGCCTATGGCTATGTGTAATGTGCATGCCTGGGACTCTGTAGAGCATGCTGACCCACTAAAATAATTTGGGACCCTAAACTATACCTTTACCAATAATTGCTCCTCCGAGATCGACGGGTAAAACTCCACGACATCAAAACATACAAAAACGCAGTTTTGCTTTTCCTCCAGCCCCTCGAACCAGTCGATCACGGCGGATGTGCTCTAACAGGCGTTTGTTGGCTGTTGGCGTCGGATATCCTGGACTATCCTTGCCAGTATACTATCGCCTTAGATACCTTTCCAACCTCGCTCTTCGCCGGATTGATGAGGCGGCATGGGAGGTTGTCGTTAAAGCTGTCATTGTGGTCTTTTAGAGTCACGTACGCGTCCTTTTTTTGCCATACAATCCATTCTCTCGTCCAATCCACGCGCATTGGCTATATTCCTAGCCTCCACATTTATGTCATCGTATGTCTCTTCCGGTGCTTGCTTGTAGTTCTTGGTTACATTGTCATGCATCATGCATTTTCTCGTAGCGGTCCTTGTTGACGGCATACATGTTCCTTGTCTTGTCCGCCGCCACGAAGATGTCGCTTGACTCTCGGATGTGAGCGATGTATTTAAAAGTCCCCAGCTCTATTCTATAATCATTCGCGCCGGAACTGCTGCTGCATAGCCCCAAGTCTGAAGACTTGGCAACTTCACGCCTGCACCTGACTCTTGCGCTATGATCATAATATATGAGCCTATGATACGCGTCGCCTATGAATATAATTATTATGATACCCCTCAGAATTTCCCACCTTGCTCCCCCTATGTTCTGGCTGCCCGTTTTGGATCCATCAGTTGCCTGATGATCGTAGTAATACGTGAAACTCAGAGTTGTAACAAAGCTTCCAATCTCTCTCTTGTGTACAAGGCTATGCCCTACATGGGTATTGAGCACTCTTCGGACAGTGAAGCAAACCACTTGACTATGAAAAGAAAAATTGGGATTCCGCTGGCCAGAAAAGCCAGTACTGTGCACATAATAATATGCGCCCTCATCATGTCACATAGCCACAGCATGCTAGCAGCAAAGTACCGGTAAAATAAAGGTTGTGCGTAGATCCAAGAGTACATAACCATGATAACCCCGGGGGTCCGGGGTTATGACATTGCACTCTTAATCTTGATCTTGGTAGATCTAAATAGTTACTTTATTATTAATAATAAAGTAACTTTTTTACTTCACAAGTACGTGGGGGAAACACTGACAAACTAGTATTACTAGTTGTCACGTAGGTCACCATGGCTGGTTAAAATCGCCCGCATCACATGCTTATTGGCACTATGTCATCGTGATTGTGGAATAATAATAATAATAATAAATAAAAGGTCTACACATGTGCAGTAGTCACTATAAATATTATTGTAACGTTGCTGCAGCGTGTAGTACGGCTATCGTTACTTGGGCATATCATTGTCGCCGACGGTTTCAGACAAGGAACAGTTTCAAGTTTGTCAGGATCTAGAAACTATAAAACTAGAATGGCCGCTTTTCAGACTGTGGTGCTAATGCATGGTCAAGTAATAATATGGGTTCTCGCAGCGAGTATAGTCATAGACCCCGTGATGGCTTCTGGGAACGTGGAGCTGACAGTCGGTGGCGTTAGTGCTGAGGTGGCCTTGGAATACCGCTCGTTCACCGCCGATTGGTGCAGACACAATAATCCCAAGGATGGTGATCGCTGGAAGTACGCAGGTATGATGACGCTGGATCTGCAGAATGTAAAGCTAAGGAATTTAGCAAAGGCTTTAACACCGGCTATGTGGCGAGTGGGTGGTAGTCCCGAGGACTCAGTTGTCTACGTGATCGGCAACCCGCCGGAATGTAACACCTCGCAAGCCATCCGGAAGTCCTACAGTTATCCAGGACCGCTATGTTTGACCATGGAGAGGTGGAAAGAAATTCTGGATTTCGTCGACTATACGTCTGTTCGTCTTGTGTTTGGCTTGAACGGGTTGTATCAACGCCATAGCCATGATCAGAATTTCAACTCGACCAATGCGCGGGAATTTCTCCGCTACACGTCTGAGAACTTTCCCAGCTCTGTGTACGCGTTTGAGCTATCCAACGAGGATAACCATGGGCAGGCTGATCCAGACAAACTGGCCGAAGACTTTGGCACTGTCCGCAAATTCATCAATGAATTCTGGCCAGTTGAGAGTGAGCGGCCACTGTTGTTTGGTCCGGATGTTGGAAGATCACGGCATCATCCGAAGTGGCTTCCGAGTTTCCTGACGATAGCTGATCCATACTTGAATGGAACGACCTGTCATTCGTATTGTAATGCATACACTGAAGATCTATGCCAGCATGCTGTTGTAAAGCAGAGTGCGCTGGAGAAGTGTGATGTGAACATTACCTACATTGCCGCGGTGGTGGACACAGTCAGTCCACACCTGCCTGTCCTGGCAGGAGAAGTCGGTCCTCACAGTCATGGCGGTGTCAATGCCTGCACAAACACATTTCCTAATGCATTCTGGTACCTGCAGATGCTGGGATCGCTCTCTCAGAAAGGTGTTGTGGCATTTGCGCGATCCACACTGATTGGTGGTTGGTATGAAATGATACACAAGACTTCTTTCGAGCCGAATCCGGACTATTTTCTAGCATTATTCTGGGGAAGGCTAATGGGCCGGGTTCACCTGAAAACAAACATTGATGGCAATCCATCGTCGGCTGTTCAAGGATTTGCCAGCTGTCAATCATTGACCAGCGCAAGCGGCAATAGCGGCGCTAGCGGTGGCACTGTTGCCGGTGTAACGGTTGCTTTATACAACAATGGGAATTCTATGACGGCTGAAACAGTGATGCTACGTGGCTTGGAATTTGGTGGGTCCGGGTCAGTGCATTGCATTGAAACTCATGTACGTGCATCTGGACCAGATCAGTTTAGTTGGCATGCGGAGATGCTGCAGTCATCAGGCAACTGGACTAAGCTGGCTGTAGGAGCTGATGGTACACCGCTGGAGTATGCTGGCGTGACAATGGAAAAGTCAGCAAGTTTGCTGACAGTCGACATGCGACCAATGTCATACGCGTTTGTTCACTTTCCCACCGCCATATGTCCTTCGCGGCAGACCCGCTGGAACCGGTCCGGTTGATCAGGTTAACACCGCACCACCTTGATCAGGTTAACACCGCACCACCTTGATCAGGTTAACACCGCACCACCTTGATCAGGTTAACACCGCACCACCTTGATCAGGTTAACACCGCACCACCTTGATCAGGTTAACACCGCACCACCTTGTAGCTAGCAACGCATGTTTACTGCTGAGGAGGGCCTGCGTCACCGCCATATCAGTCTACACAAACTGTATGATGGGGACTATGGTACGACCGGACCGTACGACCGGACCAATTGAAAACTGCAGTTGCGGCGGCAGTCCTCAGTCCTGGATGCTCAAACCCCACTGTACTGCTGTATGCTTCTGGTGCTTATTTCGAGCAATCAACTTGAACCAATGATGTGGGATACATCTTAGTATACAAGTACTTGACACTTGGCACTGCAGCCATCATACAAGAGGAGACTACCCCATTGCCAAGCCAGCACACTGGCCCATGTCGCCACACAACCTTTGATCTTAACCTGCACAGTGTACCGCATGCCCGCTACTGCTGCTACTGCTGCTGCACTGCACCGTGAAGAGAACTGCCGCGTCGTCCAGTATCGGAAGACCAGTCAGTCAATTCTTACTGTGGCTGCACACAGCGGCCCAAACCAATATTTGAATGCTGGCATTCAGTGAATGGCTGCCTAATGCATTGCATTCAACAAGTCACCGTGATGCTCAGTTATCAGGTTACATATCTGACAAACTCAAGTTGAACCGGGTACAACACGGGGTACCTGGCTTAACGGGCGGGTTAATACCACAGGGTGCCCTTTGCCAGCAATTGACGTTTTACAAGAACATTGCCACTGCTTGTGCGTGTGATCGTAACGGCAGCGCCTCTTATACTGGCTTTCTGAACAGAGCATTTCTAACAGGAATCGACCTGACCGTGACAAAGGCTATGTGCTACATGAAAGGTGTGCATGGGAGGTAAGCATGGGAGGTAAGCATGGGAGGTAAGCATGCCGAGCATCTACAACATGTAAATGGTCTAGTTGTGATGCGTGACCTCCACACATTCACATGCTGTCACGGGGTCATACAACTACTAGTTCCTTGACCTAATTGATAAGAAGAAGAACCATGCTTGCATACAAGTATTAGTTACTCAAGAATTGAGCTCTACGCATATGTGAGTGAAAATGTTTCATTCATGTCTGTTTTTGGCTAAGACAAATACTTCAGGAACAGTGATGTTGGTTCTCTTCAGATCTTGTTTCATAATGATGTCGGTCCATCTGGTTGGTGGACGTCCGTGTGGCTTTTTAATATCTTCAGTGTTGAAGGCCATTTCCATGGCTTGGCACGACGATGCCTCTGGTCCCTCTCTGATGATATGTCCGAACCAAAGTAGTCGTCGCTGACGGCAGATGTCACTTATCCGTTCAACGGTTGATTGGCCTGGCGATAGAGTGCTCTGTTAGCGATGATACTATTCATAGATGGATAGAATTATTCAGTATGAATTGCAATTTCTTACGCCCCCCCCCCCCCCCCCTTGCCCCTTGTTCATACCAGGGAGTCGTATAGACCCTACGACTCCCGGTCTATACGACTCCCTGGTTCATACGTATAATTACTCCAACAGGACCAACACACATGACGTTCCAAGAAATTAATGTGTTACTTCCTGTGTGCTGTGTGCTGTGTCCTGTGTGCTGTGGGAGGTACTACTGTACTCTGTACTGTAGTACTACTTAGCAGTAGATCTTACTAGTACTACATGTTCCATGTACACAATGACCATGTACATCCAGTGTAGGTGTGAACCGCGGTCAGGACTCAAGGTGGACCATGAAAGCAAGCGGACACGTACTGACGTAGATCTACGTAGACTGTGACCATGGTGACTCTACACTCAGCTAGCTGTTAGTCTGTTACCATGGTCATTTGAAGGTCACACTTTTACTAGCAGGTAGGTGTGACTCTGTGAGCTCTAACACTGGTAACGGTAGATATCTACGCTTGACAACTCCACTCCACAGTGCACTTACTTGGAAGTACACACAGTTCCGATTTTTTCTTTGCTCCGCTCGGATCCAGGCCAGATCTCCGGCACTGACCCCCGGCCGCCCTGTCACTTAGGAAAGCTTTCCTTCCACTTGTCTTTCTGCTTGCTACTCTTGCAGCCGCTGTTGTTTGTGCTTCTGCCGTTCTGGCTTCTGTACCTGGGGCTAGCGAAACTTCAGAGGTTTTCTTGTCTCTGAGCATGACCACTTTCTGTGAGAATGACCAATTTCTGCTCTTTTTCTCCTTCTTGTCTCAAGGCACATGTACCACACGGTAGACGTCCGTAGCCAGTTGCTACCGGCCCGAAGCTGCTCGAAACGTTGTCAGCAATGCGTCCAGTGCGGGTAGGGTCGTAGCTGTCGCATTTGTTCCACCCCTGACCCTGTTATGTACATTGTACTTTGCACTGCGCCAAAACCCGAGCCAAGGACGCGTCGGAACACCTGTCGCTATGCTACTGTGTCAGCGGATTCGTCCATCGGACGGTGGCCAAGGCAGTCTGAGTCCATGAATGCAGAAGTTAGGCGTTACCATGAAGACTAGTTGATGACTGTCACACTCGTGGAAGTCGTCCCCTCCGCCAGAAGCCACTAACCTTACCTATCGGCCAGCGGAAAGTTGCAAGCGAATGAGCAGAATAGCAGACATCGTTCCTAAAAGAATTCTAACCTCTGATGTCCTCCATCCACCATCTTAGCTTCTACTCGCATTGAACACTGTTCGATATCTGTGTGAAGAGTACTGGACAGGATATTAGTAGCAGACAAGACCGACATTGGCGACAAGACGCAAGACACTGGACGGTAGCTATGCACGATATGTGAACCTCTGCTGCTGCTGCTCCGACTCGATAGCATTTTTAGCAATGATTGTGTCTGAACCATGCCATGGTCAGTGAGTGAGGTAAGCAGCTTGTACTGTCTGTAGTCTGTAACAGTCACGGTTACAGTAACACTGTTTTAGTCATACTGTCCCATACACTGTCTCATACACTGTCCCATACACTGTCTCATACACTGTCTCATACACTGTCTCATACACTGTCCCATGCACTGTCCCATGCACTGTCTCGATAGTCAGCCATGGCAGTAAGCAAAAACAATGCAAAAATGACAAATTACAAGAGGCAATAACCTACACAGTACAGGGCGAGGCAAAGAGAAACAAATCTGAATGAAGAATTAGCAGTTATTAGAACACAAGCTTCATGTTGAACTTGAAATCATTTAGTGTACAAGACGATTTCAGTACTGATAGATACAAGGCCAGCCAGAGAGAATAGGCAGCAAAAAACGGAGATCTGGTATAAGCTGATGTTCGGGCTTTAGGCAAAGTGCAGGAATTGCGTGTAGGACAAGTGGGAAGAAACCAGTTATATTTACGCAAGTGTGGCGTGGCTTTGTCGAGACGAATAGAATGAACATAACAATACACAGTTTTCGGTCCGCTTGACTAGAGATGGGGAAGGTGTTAAACATAATCATACAACTCAGCAGAAGGAAAGTATGATGGTTTGCGGGAAAGGACTTTCAGTATCCTCTTATTGTGGACTTCCAGGACTTAGTAGGGATGACCAGGCGGTTGAGCAATAGAGAAAAATGGCGCATGAGCACGTGTCCGCTTATTCAACCATGTTCGATTGGGAATAAGGGCCAAATGCTGCATCGCAGCCTTCTCGGACCAACATCAGTCGACTTGGCGTCCAAAAGACTACAACAGATGTGCCAATTGCGATCATCCGTGCTTTTAAAAGAACGAAATGGCGCTTTTACTTTTAGTGACATTTTGCATACAAATCCCCATCTAGTAGGGCGCTGTCACCCAGTTTCGGTGGAAGTGGCAAGTTCGATTAGGGATAGAGGAGGAAGGGAGCATCTCAGCTTCCTCGGACCAAGACCATTCAACTCGGCACCCCGAAGATTACAACTGGTGAAAAATTGATTTGGAGATAATTTCCTGTCCCCGGGGAAAATTGCAATTCCGCGGCCGCGTTTTTTTCCGCGTTTTTTGCGATTTTTTTAAAGACCGCGTTTCCCGCGATTTTCCCGCGTTTTTTGAACTTTTTTGTTGCACTACACGTACACACAGTGCACTGTTCGGTCAGCAACGTCTCATCGTGGCGGCTTTTTACTCAAATATGACGAGTGCTTACACCAGAGACTTGTAACTGATTGATTTCACTACATACTCACTGAAAATTGCCGCACATCAATATTATTCACCGCATATTTACCGCAAATTATGCCGCGTTTTTCCCGCGTTTTTTGCGATTTTTTCCGCAATTTTCCCCGGGGACTGAATTTCCCCTTTAATTCAGGTAGCTCATGGCGAAATACTTTTTCCGAAAATTCACCTCTTTGACACCTTTTTTTTTTAGCAATGCTAGGGGTGTGCAGAATGAGAATCAATCTATTAGGGTATGTATTTGGGCACTTTGGAGGGATTATGGCCCCTCGAAATAGCCGAAACAAGGCGTTCTCTTCAGAGAAAGAGACAGGTTTGCATTGAGGAAAATATAATGCTTCCAACCTTCATCTGTTGCTTCATGTCATCATGTTAGTAATTCACATAGCATCACGGAACATGTCAGGGTAGATTTATCAGCAAAATACACTGGTTGAAAGTACAGGCTTCTATGTGGGGAGACGAAACTGGTATTCTGAACCCCGATTCAACACTGGCGCCAAAATGCATTGAAATTTAATTTTTTGCAAAATTGGCCCGAAAATGATTTTTTCTTGCTAGTTGCATCGCACTCTATATTCTGGAAATTTCTGTGGCAATTCTGCAAGGAAAACGAGCGTAAAAAGTACTAAAACAGATCGAATTTCCGCAACCCCACCGAAGTTTGTTGTCCCTATAAATTCTGAACCAAAATTACGCAAAATCCTGGTCAAAAAAATGAAAGCTCCAAAATACACTGCAAGTTGATTTTGAAAGTCACGAGCAGGTTGGTTTGGCTGTGAAAATACATCTAAAAGTCTCCAGAAAAAGCAGTTTCTCTCTTTTCTGGAATATTCCGCGGGATTTTCTGAATTCTGCGGACACTACTGAATTTTGCGGAGATTCTACAAGCCGCGGAATTGGAGGTCAAAAACCACTTTGTCCGATTTTGTTCAAACTTTCAGGGTTGAAGCATCATGAGGGCAAGCTGTTAATCCCAACATATGGGTAGTGTGGAATGAATACTTCCCTATATTTGTGGCCTGTGAAAGCCACACCCATGAGTTTGCATTTATGTCGCGAAATGCGAGAAAACCCTACTTTTACAAACAGCTGTTTGCTTTTCATTTGTTTCTGAGGCAGGCTATGAGGCAGGCTTGTACTAAACTATGACACATACATCATTCTAAGTGCATTTCAATTCTTTTTCTGGAATTCAGGACCACTATAATCACACACTGTTGAGGAATCAATTACGAGAGACGATCATTTCTCCGCATATTTCTGTGAATAGTGGGTAAACGAGTCCAATGACCTAACATTATTTTGACATAATTATTATTGTAAATATTATGATACCGTGTGATGCACATGTACTTCGGAGTAAGGATTTGCAGTATTAGCGCAGAATTTACTGTTTTCAGCCGCAGAATTCTGCATGGAATTTCTGAGTATCCTGCCGTGGAATTCACGGGGAACAGTTTAACAGGAATTATCGATCGATTACCGAGTAATTGGTATAATCGTTTCAGCCCCATTTAGTACACAAAGGCTCTCACACCGTGCAGACTTTGTGCACGTTGGCATATATTTCCCTTTCCCTGGCTGTAAAATCAAGGTGGGCGCTCTTGCGGTACTTTATGGTATTGATCATTTCGCAGAACGAAAAACAGGTTTCCCAATCCTCCAAGCCAACACTTCCTTTTTTGGAAAAGGTTCATGATCACGCTAGGTCCCTGGCCTGAGGGAAAAAGACGGTTTTGATCAGGGAGTAGTACAATACCGGTATTTTACTACTCCCTGGTTTTGATACCCAGTAAGCTTGAACCTGCACCCAGGTTTTGCAGAACGATTACGGAGTGAGTGAATCTACATGACTGTATAATCTGATACTTGTACAAATAGTGGAAGTAGAAGCCATTGTTGCTTGCACATGTTCAAAGGTGGTGGAGGACAAAGAAAGAGAAGAAAATGTGATACAGAAAAGAGCAAACAATTACGAAAAAGAAAAAAGAAAGAAAAAAAGACTAGTTTTCTGTGGACAAGATCCTAACAAATATGCCATAATTATGCGGGCATTAACAGGTCATTATGGGCAAATAAATTGACCTTTGATAAATACCCGTACCCACACTCATCATAGTGACCACACCATCAACAGTATCAAATTAAAATAAATTTGCTTTGACTGAATAAAATACCACTGCACTTTCCTCAAAAAAGGAGTACATGTATTCGACTAGCAAAGGGTTTCCCAGCACGATTTCCCACCCACCCTTCTTTATTGACACAATGTCATGCACCCTCCGTGGACTCCAATCCTTTGGGTCATCCCTTTCAATGAATCCGATCAACAAAAATAATAAGGATAGACATCTGTGATATTCAACCACACGTGATCATTGCGAGCACACAAGCTGGCACCAGACAAAGAGATACTAAAAAAGAGATAGATAAACAAGTGTAGTAAAATAGCATTTGCTTTGGAGTTGCTAAATGAATTGAAAGTGTCAACGTAAATTTTCGGCCAGCGTAGTACAGTTAAAAACATCAAGCACTCTACACGGAGGGGAAGTTGAAACATCGTCATCTGCACAGCAGAAGAACCCAATTTAGAATAATGAAGTTACCTTGTGGAAATCTGGTGGCCCGACAGCATTTGGCTACTTACAATAGTTGCAGTGGTTGATGTATGACGACAATGTGTATTATGAACAGAACTATTATTAAGTGGTTGAATGGCAATAGAAATAAAGCCAGCTTCAAGATCTGCTGGTTAAACTAAACGCCTATCATCGCACATTGCGAATGTTTAGAACGAGAATAGCACTAGTAATAAAATATAATGCAGTCATTGCAAAGATGAAGATATAACCTAGCCCAACATCACAGCCATGGCGATAACCTCCAATGCTCACATCTTGCAAACCATGTAATATCAGGCCTCCGATCGGTGTTGCAATCAACTGAGGCAGAACTAACGCCTGCGGTGCAGAGAAAGCAACACAACATACAAGAATATTCTACATAAACCAAATTCTTAGACTATCTGGCAAAGCCAAAAATTGGCTAGCCCTGATTTTAAGACACGCTTCACGGGCGAGAAGGTCTAACATGATTGGAAAATGGCCTAGGTATTTCATTTAAGGACTAAGTATCGTATTTTCTGGAGTATAAGCTGCATCCACATTTTTGCCACAAAAATAGAAAATACAGATATCTACTCTATTTATCATTGTTAATTCGACACAGACTTTCTTAACCCTTTGCGGACCGATGCCGCACATGTGCGTCAAAACGTCATACCCTGATTTCCTGATGCCGCATATGTGCGTCAAGTAAAAGCGCATACTTGTACAGTGCATATACATCACTGTTCAAATTGTCGTAACTCCATTGTTCTTTATCCGATCGCCGCGAATGATGGCTCATTGGAAAGGTGAGAGAATGAGCTTTCCAGTGGTATGTCGTTTGATATAGCGCGGTGCGGAATCACTGAGTATCGAAGAACGAAACGCGGATACGCTTGAAATTGTTTTGAAAATTTGTACGCAGAGCGCTTCAAAGTGCGTCGGAGTGCCTCAAACGGGGACTTTCCCAGTGACTCCTCGCTGTACAGCGCATGCAAAGTAGAGACCAAATGCATCGCTTGAGCTTCATGAATCTGCAGGACTTTGAATCATCGTTCTACGTTGAGTAAAAATTGAGAAACGATAAAAGTTGTGGAGGTGGGTACAGAATCTCGCTCAGGCGCAACAGGGCAGCTCTCAACAGGCTTGAAGGCGATTCTGTTGCTCCTGCTGGGTGTCTAATGGCGATATTCAGAGAGAGGACATCTGTAGCTTTCCAATGAGACCAAAAATAAATAATTACGAAACTGGTGAGTGAAATTAGATAATTTTCAAAAGCATATTGGGACTATTGCGTATGGCAGGGCGGCCGGTGGCAGGAATCAGGGGATCTAGCACCAGGGCGCAAAAGCCTAAGGTTAAAGTGAATTGCTGGTGTTGAGTGCAGCTTATACTCTGCAAAATACGTTATGCCACACATTGCCTTTGGCTTCGCTAGTGATTGGAGACCAGGTACTTGACTTACCTGGTGCCACACAGCCAGGTCTTTAGCCTTGTCGGCTTCACTAGGTAACACATCCATCACCATGGCAAAATCTACTGAAATGAACGAACCCAATCCAATACCTGCATGGACAACACCATCACAAGACCAGCAAGCAAGTAAAGAGTTGCACTACCATCTGCTATGCCCCCAACCCAACTAAACCACACAAACCACTATACTTTGCTCTCTTGGTTTTTGGTCCTTTGAGGTGTTGATGTGGTTGTTGTGTACAACACGAAGTGACAAACTTGAGACCCCCGCGCCACAAAAAACTAAGGCGCGCCACAAAGTTTCGTTTGGCTGTTCAATGAAAGGACGTATGGAAGCAGGGATAAAAACTATCGTGGCTGCCGGCAAAACTCCTAGTATGTAAGAAACGGGGGTGTGACTTTGGTAATTCCAAGGAGAATGTACGCACAGCCATTCCACAACGAAGACGAAACTACAAGCTCAAAAACACTCCGATTTTCAAACAAACGACGCAGGAAAGAAGACGTGGACGCAGTGTTCCCGTCTGGTCTTCAAAACATCTAATTTTACTTCGATAGTGGCTGGTTCAGGGCAAATTCTGGCCCAATTCGACAGCGTCGCACCGCTCATATTCGCCCAAAACACGAGGAAATGTACGGTAGATCCAAATGCGTATGCATTTTGCGTATGGGGACGACTGGCCAGAGTTCATGCACTGCAAACACCCGTGCAAGGCTCAAGCTTTCCAAAAAGCGCAAGATTGCCAATTTCGCCCAAGGGAAACTAAGCTTATCAACAAAATGGGTCGCGGCGTCTCGCGGGGACTGAAAATTTGTCCACTTTGTCAGTCGGATAAGGGTTATGTGAATCAGTGGAACATACATACCCAATAAAGTATAATCTTATGCAAGTCACATACATGTCACATACAACTTACCGAAGATAATGGCCATGGTGACAGCCAGCCAGAAGGTGTTCGTTATGGTCAACACTGATGCACTAAGTGCCATCACAACGGCTACATACACATGCCACCATACACACACAGATATGCAGACAGACACATACACAGACATAGAGATACACAGACGCACCGACACACACATACACACCGACACACACACACAGCGACATCACGACGGCTACAACGCAATGCCTTATTTAGGATACAACTTCTGTGATGTACATGTACTGCAATAGCAGAAATTTTCGGTGGTGTTTTATTTGCGGTAACTTCGGTGTCGACAATTTTTACCTAAAAAAACGCACCGAAATTTTCGGTACTACATGTACACTTACCTGGAAAACGGGTTTACTGAAAATGCCAATTTCGGAGAAAACGGAAAAAATACTCCACCGAAAATTTCTGTTTTTCCAGTAACCTGCGACGTGACCTGGCTGGAGGGTTACATGGATGCAGTATCGTAAAGTATCGCGCGACAAGATGGTGGGGCGCTCTTGCGGTACTTTACGGTATACGTGATTTCCAGTCTTGGACCACTCTGGTAGGCTACAGTGGTCGTGGCCAAATCTCCTGCTCATTGCTCCTGCATGCCACAGAATACAACTTAGAATACAACTTCAGGGAATCCCTTCAGTGGATCTTGAGGTCCAGCTTGAATTGCTTTTACGGGACGTCACCTGGCTGCCTTCGTATAACCAAGGAAAGATATCGCCGGGAGCCATGTGAAGCGATCTGGAATATGCACGAGGGGATTTTGACTAGTATAAGCAAAAGTTGTCTTCTCCCACTGAACACCATGTCTTCCTACTCACCAGCTACAATCACAATAATCTTGCGCCGTTTCAGGTAGTCGGAGAGGATTCCTCCAAGCACAGAGCTACATGAAACAACAACAGCAACAGCAGCAGCAGCAGCAGCAACAGCAGCAGCAACAGCAGCAGCAGCAGCAAGATAATACAAGTACTGTAAAACGGGTAACGTTTGCGACAATACATGACAATACATATTTGCGTTTTACAAATCAATACATGACAATACATATTTGCGTTTCACAAATTGAGACTGGTTTGCGCTGTTTAATGTTTGCAATTGAATACAATGTGGAATACATACAGTCATATTGAATACATACTTCTTTGAACTTTACATGGCGCGAGTTTGCGTTGTTCAAAGTTTGCGATCCGGGGCCTCTCGCAAACATTTTTACGTGGCAATAGTTACCCGTTTTACAGTACTAGTAACAAAGAACAGCAGTAGCAACACAGTTACTCTGTTGGATGGGCACATTACACAAATAGAAATCGGAGCAGGGCAAGTGTCACTATGCCCACCTCCAGTCGACATGGTCCACACAATTCTGACCTTTTAGGTTCCTTAGAACCTTCCATATTATATGATCGTTCTAGCTCAATTTTTTCCCCTGTCATAGTCCTGTTTATCATGTTCAGCATAAGCTAAGTTGTGAATCATGCTTGCATGGTTGACTCCAACGCGTACATGCAAGTAATAATAATAATAATAATAATAATAATAATAATATGACGACTACACCATAGCTCAGTGGTTAGAGCATCGCTGGCTACAAGCGAGGGTCCCTGGTTCAAGTCCTGGTGGTGACAGTCAATTTTTTCTTCAGACTTTTCCCGTTTGTCTCTTTCCCTCAAAACCAGTTAATATTTTATGACTTGGGGCTCCCCGCGTGCTAGTTTGTACGTGAAGTGTGTGGGTACAGTGAGGGCTGCGTCCCACCCGCCTGTGTGGATTCACAGGAAGTGTGAGTTACGAAGTCTGAAGAAAACGTTGAATGGTCTCTGCTTGGATGACGACTACACCATAGCTCAGTGGTTAGAGCATCGCTGGCTACAAGCGAGGGTCCCTGGTTCGAGTCCTGGTGGTGACAGTCAATTTTTTCTTCAGACTTTTCCCGTTAGTCTCTTTCCCTCAAAACCAGATAATAATAATAATAATAATAATTTGAAACTCGGATGTTGAGCCATAAATAAATGTGGAAGAGAAAAAAACATATGGATACGAGTTAAGAGTAACTCTCCAAGTTGGAAGGCTGTCGGTTAGCGCTACGGAGATGTGTTGAAGCTAGGTGTCAGGACGTCGAATGTTTCAGTACTCTGTCAGTTTTGTGCCTAGTTATTGCACTTCTTTTTTTTTTTAGTTATTGCACTTTCTGACTGTATATAGTACCATGTCACAGTGATGGAGAGTTACTCTTAACTCGTATCCATATGTTTTTTTTTCTCTTCCACAATAATAATAATAATAATAATTTGTAAAGGTTTGGGAGAACTTCAAATTCAAAGGATCAGTCGGGGAAGTGAACTGCCTGAAAAGAGAAAAACGCCAGATCCACCAGGACTCGAACCTGGGACCCTGCTTGTCATGAGCAATGCTCTAACCACTGAGCTATGGGACCAGGCTGAACCTAGAAGGCGCTGACAAGTTTTTCACTCCAAAGGCAGCTCACAACACGCGCCACACATACTGATGGCACTTGGGTCTTTTTCCCTCCCCCAGGGGACCAACCACGGTCAGTTTCTGGAAACTACCAGAGGTGAAAGAAAGTGATTAAATTTGTAAAGGTTTGGGAGAACTTCAAATTCAAAGGATCAGTCGGGGAAGTGAACTGCCTGGGGGAGGGAAAAAGACCCAAGTGCCATCAGTATGTGTGGCGCGTGTTGTGAGCTGCCTTTGGAGTGAAAAACTTGTCAGCGCCTTCTAGGTTTAGCCTGGTCCCATAGCTCAGTGGTTAGAGCATTGCTCATGACAAGCAGGGTCCCAGGTTCGAGTCCTGGTGGGTCTGGCGTTTTTTTCTCTTTTCAGGCAGTTCACTTCCCCGACTGATCCTTTGAATAATAATAATAATAATAATAATAATAGAACCTTCCAAGTTCGAAGGCTGTTGGCGTGCGCATTTGAGACGCAATGGAGCTAAAGGTCAGGTGGTTGAATGTCAGTACAACAACAGTCATTATTGTGCTGCTAACTGTGGCACCCTATGACTCATCAATATCACGCAGTTATAATTGCCAGTGAATTTTGTGCAAAAATTACTCGGTTTCCCAAAGCTACAGTGCATGTCTTCATAATTTAAATTATTTAATACCTAAAAATCTGCATTTAATAGTGAAAGAGTAGCTCTGAAACATGTCAGTGTTGAAGTCGACTAAACCTCAGAACACGAACCATACCCCTGGCAAATGCATCCTCACCGGAAACTGATTCAAACTTCAAAAAGGCGGAGGGGGGAGGGATTCAGTACTACTTTCCCCTAACGAGTAATCCATAGCGTAACTAATCATCGTTTCAGCCCTACTTACAAGTGACAGCAGTAGCACACAGCACACATTCTTACCAGATAGCAGCAACAAGTAGCAGCGGTAGCAGAGCAATAGACACTGCTTGCAGGGCCGTGATGCAGCCAGGCAGGTGCACAATATCATCAAACCAATACTCGAGAAATCTAAACAAGACAGGGGAAAAGAAAGTGCCCGACAAAGATAACACCAACAATGACATTGGCAGCGGTGGACACCACCAGCACAATATAACTATAAACACCAGCAGCACCAGCTGCACCATCACCAGCAGCACTGCCATCACCACCACCAGCACCACCAGCAGTACCAGCAGTACCACCAGCAGTACCAGCACCAGCAGCACTGCCATCACCACCAGCAGCACCAGCAGCAGTACCAGCAGCGCCATCACCACCAGCAGCACCAGCAGTACCAGCAGCGCCATCACCAGCACCAGCAGTACCAGCAGCGCCATCACCACCACCAGGAGCAGCACTGGCAGTACCAGCAGCACCACCAGAACCAGCAGTACCAGCAGCACCACCACCGGCACCAGCAGCACCACCACCAGTACCGGCAGCAGCATCGCCACTCACACAGACTGGTACATCACTGCAAACAGCAAACAATCCAATAGGACTACACAGATGCAAAACACACACCATACCCACCCACAAATCAGTAGGCCAAGCAAGAATAAGAAAACTGCTGCGCCAGCCATGTGCCGCATCATCTCCAATATTGGCCCAGTCCCCAATGGTGACCCAGGGCAAGGTTTGTTTGAAATAATAGTATTTAAAATACCTTTACTAAGAGCACAGTCCCTACCAGTAACATGCCACAATTGCAGTATGCAACAGTACACTGGCTGCATGAAAAATGGCAGTGCAGGATGCCAAGTGCATGTATAGGAGGAAGCATGTCGACCTACTAACGTTACACTGTACTTCCGTCTTGGAGCCTAAACATCAGTTTCGACCGTGTCCCTTTGAGTTTAGATTTAAAAAATTCTCAATACGTTTCGTTTTATGCCATAAGGTACTGGAATAAGCTTGCTATCAAAATATGCAAGTAGACTCTCAGCAGCAGCAGCAGTAGCAGTAGCAGTAGCATCAAACCAGACTCTTACCCCATAGTAGTGGCTATGCCCATCTGCATCAAGAATCGTGTCACAAATACCCAGCGGAAGTCATGCTCTGCAAGTAGAAAAAGCAGAGCAGCAGAACGGGGAAAAAGCACAAGGCAGCAACCAAAGTGAGTAATCACAGAAAAAGGTAACACTCAAAGAGAAGTGAAACCCACCAGCTACAGGCAGAGACCTGCTATTACGCTGATGTTGCAATGTTCAAGGCACTCACACTGTACAGATGAGAGAGCCAGTACAACTAGCACTGTCAGTAAGTTGTAACACAAGCAGCAGCAGCAGGATCAATGAGTCGTGTTAAATGAAATCTAGTATCAATAATTGGTTGTCGCTGGCCTCCAAACACGCTATGCCTTGCGGCCTGTTCACCGAGGAAAAGAGGGTCACTTATTCATGACTCATGAGGCAGCATTTCATTAGTGGCTGTGTTCGATTATGCACTTGAATCGATTCATGAATCCATTCGCATGCATTCAAGTCGTTCGATTTTCACGTCATGAGCCCTGGAATCGATTCGGAATCCATTCACCCTATTCACATGGGGTGATGTGAATAGCGCGAACCGATTCGTGAATCGATTCGGGGGCATAATCGAACGCACTCAGTGGGTGGCGCTTGGAAGTCTTCAAACCTGGATAGTGTGGATTTGCCAGCAGGCAGTTCTAGCAATTCCCTGGATAGAGCGGATTTACCAGCAGGTAGTTCTAACAAGTCCCTGGATAGCGTGGATGTGCCAGCAGGCAGTTCTAACAAGTCGATGAATTCTACCTGCACACTAGACGCTCAATTCTCCGAAAAATGCTTTACTTCACATAAATTAGCCAGGTATGTTTACCATACAACTGCCCAGATTGTCACACTTACCAAACAATGGCTTTATGTAGCCGAGAAATATGTCCTTGATATCTAAATCATGCACAGATACAGAGATGCATGCGCACGCACACACACGCGGAAGACAAATGTGAGAAAGGTACACGCTAGCACCAGCATAAGTTGCTTCTATAGCAGTTAGTCATGTATATGTCAGAAGAGAGTGGCGTGCATCAGCAATTTAGATGGGTTTTCCAATATGCATGTAGATAACTTCCGATGTGTCCGGCATCAATGGCTACATACCATACACGCTCTGGTTGTAACTGAAATTACTTGAAGTATTCAACAGGCACACACACACACACACACACACACACACACAAACACATACACACACACACACACAAACACATACACACAAACACACGCACACAGATACACACACACACAAACACACGCACACAGATACACACACACACGGATACACACACACACATACACACAGACACAGACAGACACACACACATACATACACACACATACACACACGCACACACGGGTACATACACACACACACACACACACACGCACACACACACACACATCAGGGATGAATTTATCCTGTATCGCATCGCAGTTTGCGATGCAAAATCGATCTACTGCTACCCAACAGTCACCGTGACTCGCAGAAAATTGCGATACATACAGACTATCCATGCCTGGCTTGCGCTATCAAGTAACATCATACTGTGCAGTGTATGTGGTGCCGGTACTCTGAATCTGCGTGCATATGTATGCTTCAATCGTTTTTTTGCAAATGAACTTTCAGGCATCACTCTCAAGAAGGCCAATATGGTAAACACCCAACCTTCAGAGGAAAATGCTAATCAAAACCAAAGACTGCTACACAATTGTGATTTCGTATAGCAGAAACTGCTATGCAAAAATATGACAGTAAACTCATCCCTGCACATTAACTACAACACACAGCAGCTTGCAGTACGGGGAGTGCTGGCCAGCGGAGGGAGAGGCTACGGAGATTCAGGGTCGGCCGGGTAGACACTGCCGGAGCAGAATCCACGAGAGACTTGTCAACTGCCGGAGCAGGATCTTGGCGGAGCCAAGAGAGTCTGAGACTTGTCGACTGCCGGACAGGATCTTGGCGGAGCCAAAAGAGTCTAGAAACGTCCGAGGGACGACGACCGAGGGCCCTGAGTAGCCGGAAATGAGCGTGGCGAACACCCCATTATTCACTTTGTCAAAGTAAATGAGTGATGAGAAATGGGAGGTGGGAGGGTGAAACACAACGAGCAGACAAGAATGATCCACACACAGTACGGATCGAAATTTATAGCGAGGCGAGCTCTAGGAAGTCACGTCGAGCAAACGTGGAGCAAACGTCGCATGACGCCTACGTTGAGCGCCACATATAAATGCCATGGTGAATGCCACGTCGCATGTCACCCACACGTTGAATGTCACGTTCAATAACACGTAGAGTGTAACGTCACCTAGAGTACCATGAGTGCATGCACAATGTTGTTTGGCCGACACGGTCACATTGACGTGCAGTGCACACGACCGTAGTCAGTAGCAAAGCATGAGCATACAGCAACAGCACTAGCACTATCAAACATAGCAGCGTAGCTTGAGCGGTAGCACGGAAGCTGCGTGCACCCATTAATCTGCTTGATCACCATAATGCTACACACACACACACACACACACACACACACACACACACACACACACACACACACACACACACACACACACACACACACACACACACACACACACACACACACACACACACACACACACACACACACACACACACACACACACACACACACACACACACACACACACACACACACACACACACACACACACACACACACACACACACACACACACACACACACACACACACACACACACACACACACACACACACACACACACACACACACACACACACACACACACACACACACACACACACACACACACACACACACACACACACACACACACACACACACACACACACACACACACACACACACACACACACACACACACACACACACACACACACACACACACACACACACACACACACACACACACAACAGGGTGGTGGTGGTGGCACAGGGCAGAGCAATCATGATAAACATACCAAACACCGGAGTGCCTTTCCTCTTGCATGGCACATCCAGTTCGTCCACACTGAACACCGTTGTCATCACAGCCGTAAAGAAGACAAACGCCACCACACCGTATGTGCCAGCAACATGAAGTTTCTGCACAAGCACACAATCAAGCAGCAGCAGCACAGTAAGTTAGCCACTGCAGACAGAGACAGCACTTATGCACCAAGTCATCATGCACATCCACACCAGCATACATACTAGCAGAGTGGTGTCAAGCAGCGCAAGCCTATTTCCCTCTCTTACACATCGACCAGCACCGACCAGCACACACACAATCCATCACAGATTGGTGTAGTCGCTTCCATAGTGTAATCTCCACTGTATCATGATTCCAGCAAGTAGAAACAACGTACAGTTCTTGACGTGTGCTGCTGCTCAGATCAAACTCTAGCCACTACCCATGTACCCAGCACACGTTGACCATATCACTGCAGCAAACCCCTTTACGATAAGTACATGTAGCTATAGTTGAATTTGTACTACGGACAAAAATATTCTGGTTTTAAAGAAGGAAAGAAGAGGATGGATATACTAGTAGGTGGAAACAATGCTACTAGGATGACAGTGGGGGGGAGGTAGCAGCTTTATGCAGGCAGTCAAACAAAGCAACACAAAAGACATATGTTATGTGTTTGTACTGGGCTTTCTTAGCACTTGAAAAATCCCGACAAGATCATCCTGTATTCCATCAGGAGTACATGAAACCCAGAGTGTGCAGTAGAGTACACGAAACCCAGAGTGTGCACTGTGCAGCTTTTAACTTTTCTGCATGCGTGCCCGTCACGGCGAAATTCCGGGACTACATCATATTTGGCGCAGATCTGAGGCGGGAAGTGGCGTAGTGCGTACAACTGAGCTGCAGTTGTGCAGAAAGAGACCTGCTTGAATCCTGTCCGTATGCATTACATCACTAAAATGATGTAATCCTGGAATTTCACCGTGACAGCAACCGACCAGAGCTACCCACTCTGGGTTTCATGTACTCTTGACTCCACGCACACTCCATGCACACTCCATGCACACTCCATGCACACTCCATGCACACTCCATGCACACTCCATGCACAATTGCGTAACCCCTTACAACATTACTGTGAACAAGAGTATAAGAAGCGATATAAGAATGTGTGTTACCTCGGCAACCACACCCAGAGCTGCACCACCAAGATTGCCAATTAACATCATCAATCCCATGACACCAGAGCTGAAACCTGCACACTCAAAGCACACAGTATGCAATACACACACACACACACACACACACACACACACACACACACACACACACACACACACACACACACACACACACACACACACACACACACACATGGACACAGACACACACATGGACACAGACACACACATGGACACAGACACACACAGACACACACAGACACACAGACACACACACACACACACACACACACACACACACACACACACACACACACACACACACAACAAAGCACTATCAACTGGCACGTAACATAAATCCAGATACATGTACTGGGTAAACAGGTGCATCGACAGCAGTACAAGACAAACTGCTAAACTGCCTCACTTGAAGAACAAGCTGACAATTCTTATAGCGCGTTTGAAAAAACATAGACTTGTCTCCATGAACGTTCTGTACAGATTTCTAATGCACTCCCAAACCTGGATTAGAATGTACACACTGACCAAACTTCAATAGAACACTCACAGTGCAGCACAGGTATGTGCTCTTGACAATACAGTCACTGCCTAAACCCATGAATCTCTTGGTTTATCATCTCAAAGCCTCCAGTCTTTCAGGATCATAATTCATAAGCCATAGACCATGCAGTCAAACTGTAACAACACATTCGGAAACTTACTGACGGAACGCTAACATTGACCAGACAACCACAGGTACAATAACTACAATTGTAGCTCATCGCACAGCATAGCACAGCACAGCACAGCACACACACACACACACAGAGCACGAGAGCAGTGTGTCCTCACCTCGCACAGAGTAGTGGGTGACGTCAGCAATCAATCCATTGTACGTGGTGGCCACCATAGTGTAACCAAACAACAAGACTAAGTAGGACAAGATGAACGTACCTGTACGGTGCCAGGTGCATCACAGTCAGCAAACACAGCAACAGTGTGTCAAATAATCGTACACGACTGAATTCATCATTATGCCACAGTCATACGGGCATATGGGGGGCCTGTGCAGTCATATGGGCTATCTGTCACATTGACAACGATTTTAATCGTTGTCAATGTTAAAACATGCAATGCCCTTCTTGCCCTGACAGGTAAAAACTATTACTTGTAGTTATAGCAATCATGGACTGTGGTAGAAACAATTACAGTCGAGAGATGGTGTGACAGTACGCCAGTAGAATTGTGCAGCAGCTCTGGGTGAAATAACAAATTAAAGTTTCGCGGACTACCCAGTCAGATTGAGTTGTCCACATCTGTAGGAATATCAAGCACAAAGTGGTCAAAGACCGACAATTCCATTCGCTGCATCCATGATTCCCTCGTTGCAGGATTAGAACCTGGCACCCTCTGTTTCTCAGCCACGGCCTATAACTTGTATACATGCATATACCGTACTGTCTTGTGAAAGCCTGTCTAATAGAGAGGTTGCGCATAACAACGTTTTGTGGCGTTCAACGGATCAGGCAACAATGAAAAAGGCTACGGAAACTGGTTGATAGGGAGCTTGCGCAAAAGTGGGAACGTCAATTTGATGGGAGTACGGGAAATACTGAACTAGGTATCGACATCTAGGCATGCACGCGCTCAGTATACGGCAGCACACAGGTGTGACCGTGTCGTACATTACTATGTGGCTGTACAGCGATTGCAACAGAAGTCATTTTCGTTGTTGAGCTCTTTTGATGTTGAAAGTTGACGAACGTCCGTACGTCTTCGGCTGCTCCAGACCGTAACGGTAAAATCTTACAAATGTCCTTGTACGTAGCCTCTCTGCTATAGAAGCCTATTTCGAACACAAGCCAGATTTTCAAGATGAACTGCCGGCACTGGTTTTAGTGTTGACATACATGTACATCACTTAGGTTTAGACGTACCTGGTGCGAATACAAGCCTGATAGGAAAAGAAGCCTTGACGTGGGCTTCTTCGGGAAAAAGCAAGGCTTTCTATGGGATATTACAGAATGATGTGAGATGAACTGGCAGCAGGACAGCAGTGGCACCACTCCACAATGCAGGACAGCAGTGGCACCACTCCACAATGCAGGATAGCAGTGGCACTACTCCACAATGCAGGACAGCAGTGGCACTACTCCACAATGCAGGACAGCAGTGGCACCACTCCACAATGCAGGATAGCAGTGGCACCACTCCACAATGCAGGACAGCAGTGGCACCACTCCACAATGCAGGACAGCAGTGGCACTACTCCACAATGCAGGACAGCAGTGGCACCACTCCACAATGCAGGACAGCAGTGGCACCACTCCACAATGTTTCAGTACATGCCAGGTCTTGCCGCAATGTATGGGGTATAAATACTCAGGCAAGACCAGAAATGTATTGAAGCATCCAATAGCACAAGTTGATGGCAGTAAATATCAAGAAGACAGGTTACACGACGACGTACCTAGTCTACTCGTGTAATCATGAGTCGGCCCCACATCCAGAGTCTTGTTCATGTAACAATTTGGCTTCAGATTGTTCTGTTCTTCGCAGGTCAAGTTTTTTACGCCACGGGCTTTACTGTGAATGCAAAAAGACATCAAAGAAAACACACACACACACGCACATGCAGCACGCACGCACACACATGGCAATTGCTGTTAACAGAGATATGAAGATGCACATCCCATGTACCAGGCGGCAGAGTGTGCGCGTGCGTACGTGCGTGTGTGTGTTCTGTGAAGCACGTCTCAGCGTGGTACAAGTGGTGCTCAGCAGAACGGAACAATCGTAAGAAAGCGAATGTCGCCAAGACAGTAAATGCGATGTGTCGACCTGTCCAACTTGGACTGGGAGATCTCCCTACTGGCAGCCCAACTTGGACTGGGACATCTCCCTACTGGCAGCCCAACTTGGACTGGGACATCTCCCTACTGGCAGCCCAACTTGGACTGGGACATCTCCCTACTGGCAGCCCAACTTGGACTGGGACATCTCCCTACTGGCAGCCCAACTTGGACTGGGACATCTCCCTACCACAGATGAATAGAAGTTGGCAGGTCTGCGGGCATCTCTTGAATGAACAATGAGTACATCAATCAAAAGAGAATCACTTCATTTCCGATGTTTTATCATAGTCTGGGATTTTTTGCTCGTGGTGCACATGCTATTGTACGTGTTGGTGTACGTGTTGGTGTACGTGTTGGTGTACGTGTTGGTGTGTAAGAGCAGGATTATACAGGTACTAAGGTTCACTTACTTGGTTTGAGCAAATCCAGGTGCACTCAACGTTACTCCAATGAGGCATACACTATACAAATGACCACACACATACATTGCATACACACACGCGCACACGCGCACACACACACACACATACACACACACACACATACACACACACACATACACACACACACACACACACACCGGAACAAGAACAGCAGCAACAACAGCAGCACCACGAACAAAGTCAGTGACAGAATTCTGCATAAAGGAAAATTGTGTTGCATGATAAAAAGCTCTTGCAGACAAGCAGTACAACACAGATATGCACACTGGCCCACACACATACACCATACTAGGGCGATTACAATACTGTTTGTGTGTGTGTGTGTGTGTGTGCGCGCGCGGGATATTCCGAAAGAGGGCTCTAATCCCACAAGCATGGTAAGCACGAACAGACAGCTGCATACTCACCAAGTGATGACTGCACCAGCAACCATGAACGGTTTCCGTCGACCATACTTCGATTGAAGACGATCACTGCAAACATTAACATAAGGTAAGTACAATGGTCATCTTCAGGAAATCAAACAATGGTCATCTTCAGGAAATCAAACAATGGTCATCTTCAGGAAATCAAACAATGGTCATCTTCAGGAAATCAAACAATGGTCATCTTCAGGAAATCAAACAATGGTCATCTTCAGGAAATCAAACTCCGGCCCACAAATACCTACTGAGACACGTCTAGTCTGATGATGAGCCACACCCGGAATAGAGTGAAATGAGAAGAGACCGTGTGGGAGATTGAGATAGTATTAAAAACGAGTACAGTATAATATTAACATACAGACGTAACAAGACCACCCATAGAACAAGACCACCCATAGAACAATACAAAAGTGCACACTTTCAAAGTTAGGAACAAAGCACCAGAAAAGTGCTTCTGCATATGGAATCTGATCAAACCTAAGAAGATGAGCTCTCACCTAAAGTAGCCAATCAAGGGTGCTGTAAGCAGAGTCACCACTGCAAAACAAAAGAAGAAGAAAATGGAGGCACATTGCACTCTGCAGTGTCAATGGGACAATTTTAATTTAAAACTCGGAAGACATGGTGTTCTCCATTGCACATCGCACACTGTACAGTGTGCAGTGTACAGTGTACACTCAGTGACTGTACACTGCACAGTGTACAGTGAAGAGGGGACGGCTCGATACCGGGACGCTTTGACAGCCAAATTTGTATAGACCCAAACCGATCATCAGCGTTGATTTTTCACTCGAAATATGTTTGTGGAAGGAAACTGGCATGTTGAAGTTTGCTCTGGGGCCAGAGTCAATCGAACTGAGCCACTCCTTTGTGTTGACCCATTGCCTCCAAGTTGCCCAATTTTTCGCTTCAAAAAAGTTCAAATCAGAGGTGGCTCCAAACCGGACACGTTTCAGAGTGCACGTCAAATTCACTCTGGGTCTGAAATTAGGTAATTGCTATCGCTCCACGACGGCCAGTACAGAGTAACAATAACCCTTGTGTGTGCTTCCATTAGTTTTGATTGGTATGCGGTGCCTTATTGGCGAGAGGCGTGTTTACCTGCGACAAGAAGTTGATTTTTCGAAAGTCGTAAAACTCAAGTCGCAGTGCGAAGCAACACGTCAAAAACTCACCTGCTTGATATGGCGCTTCTGGTCATCGCAGAGCCATGAAATTTTGGCTCGGAGGATAACACATCGTAGTCTCACTGTGACATATGTTTTCTAATCGAAATACCAAGAGAGAAAGTGAATATTGAGTCCGTTCCGGTTTGCAACCTGTGTCCTATTTGAAACCGTCCCCTCTACACTGTACACTGCACAGTGCACATCGCACACTGCACACTGTACACTGTACACTGAACACTGCACACTGCACATCGCACATCGCACACTGCACATCGCCAAGAGTACATAACCCCAAGAGTGTGCAACTGCCTGCACAACCTCTATGCTGTGCTGCGACGGCAGAACTTCACATCACGTGACATGGTTCAAAAGGTTATGCTGGCAAACAGTGCAAAGTGACCACAAGAGAGTTGTACCCAAAGCTGGGCTGCGTACAACCCAGTATCTATCATGCACTAGAGTGCACGGGTTCATCACGTGATGTGAAGTTCTGCCGTCGCAGACCCCATAGCTGGAGTTGCACACTCTTGGGGTTATGTACTCTTGACATCGCACACTGCACACTGCACAGTGTACACTACATGTTGCATAATGATGTACACCAGGACGTTGCAGCGTACAGGGAGACCACATAGGCGACTGTAAAAGTTACACTACACAATGTGCGTTTTGCTTCCGGGCTGCCCGTTCCAGTCGGGGGGGCTGCCCGTTCCAGTCAGCTTTGGAGCAGGGTGACTTATGCACGTTGTCCAAGGAGGTTGAATATGCTTTCTTTGCAGCAAAAAGTTCGCTATAATAATATTATTGTCACTGTGCTAGTGCTGCAATTGCCTGGTATTTCTTGCCAGTATGATGCCAGCAGAGACAACACAACAAAGTGCACACAGCAGAGTGCACACTGCATATCACAACAGAGCAGTGTCAAAGCTGAAACTCTATATCCAAAAGAAGGAAACACAAGCAAACTGCAAATTTGAATAAAACAACTTACGTGAGCCTGCTGCTGCTACAATGGACAGGGTTTTGGCTTTACGTTTACTGCCGACAAGATACTGTACTTGTGAGGGAACAACTGTCATAACAGCAGCAGCAGCAGCAGCAGCAGCAGCAGCAGCAAGTACACGCCCACACACAAACATGCCCATGCCCACGCACACACACGCGCACACACACACACGCACACACACACACACACACACACACACACACACACACACACACACACTCACAGATACACACACACACACACTCACAGATACACACACACACACACACACACACACACACACACACACACACACAGCAAGCATGCAGGAAACAATCAGTTTCAGTGGGATCATGAGATAGTGCATTACACCAGTCAACATTTAGGATTATCCCGTCAATACAAGCAATAGCATATCACTAGTACAGGATATACATGTTCACTAGTACAGGATATACATGTACTGGTGAATACAGAAAGTACATGATCACTGGAACAGAGAAAACACAACACTGTGATCACTGCAAGCCAGAACACTGGCACTCACCTGCTACAGCTAGCACTAGAAATGACATCATCATTCCGGACCATGCAACGTTCAACAAGACAAGTCTGGCAAGAGAGACAAGAAGAAACAAGCAAGCAGGAAAACCAGTGGTACTTGTAGTGCATAGTGTGTAACATATGGACATCCTGTACCTGCACACATACACCATCCTGCACACATACAACACCATCATGCACACATACAACACCATCATGCAGAGCTTGAATTACTACTACCAAGAGCACATAACCTCAAGTGTGTGCAACTCCTCATCTCCGAGGTACGGGTGCCCTGTGCAGCGCGCTGCATGCCTGCATTACCTAGTGAAATGACAATGCAGGTGCTTGGATTTGACTTTTCCTGCAGTTTAGCCTCAAGGATGTCACGTGCAATATGGTAAGTTCAAAGGCAATGCCTGTGCGCGACACATCACATACAAAAGCATCCGAATTCTCCGAGGAAAGCGGTTTCGGAAGCAGGAAACCGTAGCAGATCAATAATAGGGAGGTTTCGCTCTACGTAATTACGTATGAAAATCCGTATGTCGTACACGCCAGGGAGCGAGGGCAACTTTCATACGTAAATCTCTCTACGGATTTCTGTAGGAAAGCTCTTTCCTATGTTGGGTCATCCGTAGGACTTTTTGAAATATTTTTTGGCATTTTCCGCATTTGTCCATGACGACGTTCAAGCCGCGCGAAACACAAGGTACACACACACCGTACACCACGTGCAAAATAAAACGGAAAACGCGGTTTCAGTTCATGGTGCATGCGGTAGGCGCATGCAGCCAACGCGTCTCCAAAGCAACAAGGCATGTTTAGCAGTCGTGGAGAAATCGCGTAGAGCGAAACCCAACAGCTCTGATTTTTACGTATGAAAATTTCGTGCAGTTCCTGCGTTATTTTCATACGTAATTCCGTAGAGCGAAACCTCCCTATTGATGCAATAGCCCGCAGTTCGTGGCTACGTAATGCAGGCCGCACGCCGCACTAGACCCCTTATGTAGAGTTGCATACTCTTAGGGTTACGTACTCTTGCTAGTACATAAAGCAGTGAAGCCACACACACACACACGCACACACACACGCACGCACACACACACACGCACGCAGAACAAACATTACTTCATTGTACACATACCTTCCTTTGGATAAGATAGGAACTTCACATATACGAGCAGGCTCGTCGTCATCCGTTTTCCTATAAAACAATATCCAAGTACCAACACATTGAACAGAAGCACAGAGAGATAACCAATACACACTAACTTACTACTTCACTCTCATTTCAAAAAGAACTTCTACAGCAGAGTTTCAACCTTGGAGATAGATCCTACTAGCAAGAGAACATACTGAAGAGAGTGCATTGCCTACCATAAGCTGCAATGAGCTCGCCAACGGCCGAGTGATTGTATACTAGCTGCATTGTCATTGTTTTGGCAGAAGCATGATCAAGGGCATAAGCCTTTCCAGTTTCCACTCTTTGTCATGTAGGAACGGTAGTAGTTGATCCCGTGCAGGACACATAGATCTACTACTTTCATCTCGCTTCAGTTATTCTGCTTTGATAGCCACCTCAGCCCTAGCTACGGCATACAAGTTCTTTGCATGTCCGATCTCTGGCTACGCATGATAGCATCAGTTAAGCCAAATGGCCACGATAGACTGTCATAAAATATTCCGGTACAGACTCGCCCAGTGACACTCTTGGCCATGTACGCTGTACACTCGCTGCTACATGTACCAAGAATTCATAAACCAGAGTGTACAACTCAATCAGTGGCGGGGAAAAAGCGTAATTCATCATCGAGGTACTAGTATGGCGAATGGATGTCACAGATCACATGCAGTGCAATAGCATCATCACAGATCTTATGCCGTGCAATAGCATCATCACAGACCGTATGGCGTGCAATAGCACCATCACAGATCGCACCTTCCATGACATCAAGAAATGACGTAAATGACAAATTCCGTTGACCAGAGCCCATATGCAGAGCTGCGCACTCTAGCTTTCTGCCTACTACTGAGAGTAAGGAACGTTTCAGCGTTGACAACAGACGATGGGTTTCTGTCACGACTCCACTCCAGCATTACACAACTTCACATGATGTACCCGGCTCTAGGCATGTATTCAATATGAGAGGTCCACCTCATGCAATGCCGCTTTCTGTGCAGTCAACTGGATTACAGCATTGGATTTCTTGACTGGCTGGCTGGATATACTACAGAGTAGTAGCAGGGTTCTAGCCAAAGGGGGTAGGGGGAACTGGATTACAGCATCGGATTTCTTGACTGGCTGGCTGGATATACTACAGAGTAGTAGCAGGGTTCTAGCCAAAGGGGGGGGGGGGGGGGGGGGGGGAGGGCGCAGCCCCCCCCCCCCCTCTTATTTTCCGATTTTTGTGTTTTCCATGCAATTCAACGAAAATGCAGTCGAAAGTCACTATTAGATGGTTCATAAAGGCACATTTGTCTGGGGCAAAGTCGGGGATTCACCCCATACGTTGCATTTAGTGTGGCAAGACAATATTGGAAAGTGGAAAAATGGGGTATGTGGTAACTGTTTCCCATGCCCCCCCCCCCCCCTACTATTTAGACCTGGCTAGAACCGTGAGTAGCATGTGAAAATAAAAGCATGAGAAGAAAGAGTGCTGGGTGGTGTAGAATACTTACGATGGCGAGAAAGCCGGCTCTCCTTCAGATCCACTGTCCGTTCCAACAGCTGCATAGCGCATTTCTATAGCTGGATACAAGATAACACCACCATAACCAAGCCCATTCATGCATACTCAAGAAAACTTGTTGAGTATTGAGACACAGTACCGGTATGTGTTAGACACAGCACTACATGTAGACCTGATGAGTGCACTCTGCAAGAAGACATATTCACTTGACTTCTACTGTTTTTACAACAACGGCCAGGCAACGCAGGGTGGTAAAAGTACCCTCTATAGAGACATCGCATGGAAGAGGTAATTCATTTCCCCGTACCTGTAGTGAAATGCACACAGCTGCAAATCTGAACAGTGCAGTAGCCAGTACTGGCAGTAGTGCAGTAGCCAGCAGTGCAGTAGCCAGTAGTGCAGTAGTGCAGCAGCCAGTAGTGCAGTAGCCAGCAATGCAGTAGCCAGTAGTGCAGTGGCCAGCAGTGCAGTAGCCTACAGTAATGCAGTAGCCAGTAGTGCAGTAGCCTATAGTAGTGCATCATGTTCAAAGGCATGTCTATCATACGAATGTACAGTAATGTACAGTAGTACAGTAGTTCATACAGATGAGAGGAAATAAGCACTTACAATCTACTTTGCTGTAGCCTGCGGCTTGCCTGCACACATAGAACACAAAGCAAACAGCTGAGCAATTCAAACATAATCTTCAGCATTGGGTTCCTCCCAGTTCACAAAGTGCCTATCTGAGGACAAGAACTCAGAAAATGACACATTACCAATGTGATCTAATAGTTTTGAAAATCACATTATACAACATTGCAATCATATTCGGCGTGAACCCATTCCATAAAATAAACCCAATTCTCAAAACATCGCACATACATGGTTGGACTACTTTGAGACGGTCACTAAGGCACATGTAGAAAGGAAGTATGGGCTAAAATCAAATTTCAGAATCTGAGATCATCTGCATGCCGAGTTGAATAGACTTAGGGGCCTATTATATGTGCAACTCCAGTCCGGGCTGGAGCGAGCGGGCCAGCCCGCCAAGAGTGTTTACATGTGCACGGCCGGGCTGGTTGCCAGCCCACAGTGAGTTTATATGCGCTGAGCACACACCAGCCCGTTGTGAGTATGCAACGAACACACCACGACTGTAGTGTGCTGCCCCGGGCTGAAACGCAGGGCTGCAAGCCATACTCATGTTATAAACCTAAAAACTTTTTTCTCGCACAATGTATTCTTCTGCTGATTTCTTTTCGCGCTATGGCACATGCTTGGTGTGTTGTGTCACCTCATTTCTTTTCCTGTTTTTCACATTTTCAGTTGTCCATATCAAAGTATTTTGCAAGTAGTTCCCCTTGGCCTTCCATCGTAAAATACAATCATGCATGTCGACAAATAAACAGTGCCCACGGCACGTCCTTGTTGCTGTGCAAAAAGTAGGGGTGAAACAATTATACCGAATACTCGGAATACTCGCTCGGTTTTTTCAATAATAATCGTACTCGTAATAAATCAGAGTACTCGTTCATACATGGTACATGCAGTTACCACAGAAATCTGCAGTTTCAGAGCAGCAGTCGGCAGATATTGATGTGCAGACTATGTGGTGAACATTTGTTCATGAGTAGAGAGAGCCCAAATGACCCACCAACCAATATACCCGAGAAATATGACTGCCACTCGGTTCAATCAGGGTTGTATCATGCGATTTTAAGGCCCTTGGTGTGCAATTTTTAGGAGATGAAGAATACTCGAATACTCGAATATTTGATCGGAGAAGATCAGATTACTCGAACTCGGGATCTCAGTGCTAACTTTCACCCCTAGCAAAAAGCACCATAGATTTTCAAGACAATGTCGGGAATCCTCTTTATAACTTCCCTCAAAAGGTGAAGTACCTATTTTGTAGTATGAACGCAGTGTCGACAACATAATAATACAACTCTGGCCCGGGCTAGTCTGTTTATTTGTGCTTTTTCTGGCCCGCTTAGCCGGGATCCCGGGTGCCTCGAGGCGGGATCCCGCCTCGCTGGGCCAGCCCGCTTGACATGTAAATGCACAACATGTTTTGTGTGGATTTGTGTACAACCCCGAGATCCCGTTGCAGGCGGGCTGGCCCGCCTGTTGACCAGCCCGGGCTGGAGCTGCACATATAATCACCCCCCTAGTCTAAGAAGCATAAGACTAATCGATCCTCTGATATTCCTTCTAATAAAGTCTGAATGAAAGAATCAAGGAATGAATTCTCGCCGCATTGCAGTGCTGCATTATCACTATTCGCCAGATTTGCTAGACGATAGAACGCCTAGCAAAGCTAGGGTTCAGCACCCTTTCGCAAAATACACACACGCGTACGCGAGCGTGTGTTCGATGTGTGAGCGTACGGGGGGGGGGGGGGGGGGGGGGGGGGGGTAACCAAGTTGTTCGCTTTATAATAGACCACTGGGTGACTGAGTACGCGGCCACGTGATCACATGTGAGTGGCCGAGAGGTGTAGGTCACTTGTCATAAGCTGCTCATGTTGCCCACTCCGCTCTGTGCATTTGCTACACGTACTTGCACAGAGGGTATGCACTGTAGGTCGGCATCACGTGTAATGTGTTTGTACTTTGTAGTGACATGATTCATGGCCTTAGTATCTTGTACATTCACTATACCATCATACAACATACATGTCCTGTACATTCCCTATACCATCATACAACATACATATCCTGTACATTCACTATACCATCATACAACATACATATCCTGTACATTCACTATACCATCATACAACATACATATCCTGTACATTCCCTATACATGTACCACCATACAACATACATATACTGGAGAGACACAGCGGCAGCTCTATGACCAAGCATGGTACAAGTAACATTTTCAGAATGGAGCTTCCGGAGAGTGCTGAATCCAATGGCCATGGTGTGAGTCAGAGAGTGAGTGCTCACTGATGGGACAAAAGCATTCCGCAATCAAATGGCCTCCGGCATCGGTCGTTTTACAGCGGGTGGGGCACTTCTTATGTCATCCTTGGAATACGGCATGTTCTATTACGGCTTCATCGTAACCTCCCCGGGCCAATTGCAATTGACTCAGTGCCCAGAGACTAGTAGTCACTACAGGTTACGCAGTTTTGTTTTGCCTTGTTTCGTTTCCGACCATACTTCCCCCATAACAAACTTCACAAACTGTGTGCAGACTGACCAAACACAAAGCCTGCGTGACAAAGCCCAAAGTCTGTTTCAGTTCAAAACTCGGTACAACAGTAACGTCTTACACTCATCAGCTGCGGGAGCTGAAGCAGTACTATATTGTCAGGGGTGTCGGACACGCTACGGTCACTATGACATTGACTGCACCAAATCTCGTTGTTGGTACCCTTTGTTTAATAATAATGAACCAAGATCATCTTTAGCTACAAATATTGATTCTTCGGAGGAGGGCCCCGGAATGACACGTACAATAAAGGCTGGCCGTATCATCCTGGAGTACTTTGCGGCGACCCTGATTGTGCATTTGAAGCGAACTGAGCGAGTTGCTCAAGAGAGCGCCCGCTACACCTGGGCGTAGAGCCTGGTATAATCTTCTCCATATTCAGAACCAAAATATACATGTATACAGTAGTGTCATGCAGCCAGTTGTTTGAGAAGGCACTCAAACTAAGAGCTGCAAAGGGACATGTTCACCACTCAAAGTCGTGGCTAGAAACCACGATGAAGGTCCAAGACAGGCCTCTCTCTATAAAATTAGATTAGCACAAACTGAAAATGCCTAGTTCATGCTCACATACATTGGAAAGGTGCTACAACACAGAAGACAGTGTTTATGTGCTCCAAACGAACTTATCGACAGGACACAAAGCAATCACAACACTTCCGAAATAATGATAGGTTTCTGCCCCCGACGAAGAATGAAAAGAACAAGACCAATGGACCCAACCAAACCCATTATAAAGGACAATACTAGTAACAAAATGTATAGCAAGCTAAGCTAGTATTATTATTGAATACTTACGGGCTTGATCTAAGAAGAGAAGCCATCCTCCGTGTTCAAAATTCAAAGTCAAAGAGCTGATTGCAAAAATGGTAAGATGGAGATCAACAACCGGCTACATCTCCTCGGACATTTGGAATAAGTATTGGCACAATGTTATCCTCCAGCTTCTATTTTCAAGAAAGAGGAGCTACAAAAGAGTCCTCTGGCCCGAAGTTACTACCCGGGGTACCCGAGTCTGAAATAATTGTGAAAGCTCGTTTCGATCGCGTTTCTCTCTCGTTCTTCTGCACAGACTGAAAACCACTTGAATAAACTCTGAACTGGTGAGTTCGATTTTCTCACATGATTGTACATTAATGCATTGCATTGACCAGGTGACGTCACGTACTAGCTAGCTAGCTGAGATCATGTATCACGTGATGTACATGTGTGTACGTGAAAACATCAACATATTAGATAATTATTATAATTATTATGATTACGTCATGCTAATGCAGAAACCAATGGCAACCTTCTTGCGCTTTTGTTTTTCTTGTGCTCGCTCCAGTCCAGATTCTGATTGGTAATACTAATAGTTCGGTTGATCATTGATCCTCCAGTCAAGAAATGATAATAATTATTGTCTCTGTCAACAGTTTGTACTCGCAATCACTAATATTAGAATTGTAGCGCAATCAGGAGAGATTGACCTCTTTAGATGATATTTTTACACGAATAATGGACATCATACCTGGGAAAGTTATCGTCCTGCTAGGTCTGGCTGGCCTAGCGCATACGGCATTCTCCGTCGTTCAACGTAATGTCTACTTGTTCCTTTTGACTGAATATCTATTTAGGGGGTTGTACATTTATTGAGACAAGCGTTATGTATGCAACCTCTTCCTTGCCATTGAATGTACAGATCGCACGTATTTGAAGATTACAGAGCAAGGTTTCACTGGCATACCTGCTGATGTAAGACTGTGTCATGTACCTGGAATTTCTTTTCTAGATTTAAAAAACGTCCTCTTACCTTGCTTAATAACCTGTCAAAATAATTGCGTGTACATGTAATATCTTATCAGAGCAACAGTTAACTAGTTACTAGTACCTGCTGCAATGTTTGCTTTTACATGAATTTTGCGGAATACAAACGGTTTTGTCAACTCGTCCGTCGTCAGCATGTCTGCCTCTGCATACGGCGGATCAACAATATTAGTTGTGTCTTGCAGCAAGTCAACTTGTCCCTTTCGGATGCAGCTTCCAAGGCAGTTAACAAAGAGACTCGTCTAGTCCTGATAGACGAATGCATGAACCTCAAAGATTCTCTATGGCTGCATATGACTTTTTGAACTGTTCATGAACTCCGACGCTGTTATGTACACATGTATAACTTCTCAATCTCCCAAACAGTCTCTTCACTGCCAATAACTGACTTACATTTTACCAAATGTGCTAGCCTGGCCTATTCATCATCAGGGTGAAAAACTAAAAGAACTGACCGAGCAAAAGCTACTTATGGAAGTATGGTGACAAGCAAACAGACACTGTCACAGTGAATATTCAGGTGTGAATATGGGAGTTTGAGGTGTGGGAAATAAATAATTGGTATAGGCAATGTATTTATCATCAGTAGGGTGTGTGTATGGGGGGGGGGGGGGGGGGGTGGGGGTGCCATGGCCTCGTTAGTCTTATTGTGTAGACTGTACATGTGCAAGTCTGTCTCCATGACTGTACATGCCTGATCTATATAGTAGACTACATGTGCAAGTCTGTCTCCATGACTGTACATGCCTGATCTATATATCGCCTACACTTACTACTCCTCAGCTCCCATGTTCACACTTGGATGTTGTCTTCACAGCGTTTGTTTTCCTGATGATTGGCCAGGCCAGAAAGCTTGGTGAAGTGCAAGTCAGTTATTCGAGAGCGCTTGGGAGATTGAGAAGTTACACTTACGATTGACTACAAATGCGCTCTACGTATGTTTAAAAAGAATACTGGCCAGTGAAATGTGACCTCGTGAGTAAAACAGCACCAGACTCTACCCAGCCCTGACGCCACTGCGTGCCAGTACTAGTAGTAATTGGAATGGACATGTCATGTGATTTTGGCAGGCCACTGCTTGTCTCACGAATAAATCCTACAGTATAACTAACTGCGCAGTGTGGCCTGTTCAGAACAAGAGCCGACCAGAACTAACTGAAAGAAACTATTTTCAGTCGCTGTGGTACTGTGCAAGGAAGGAAAACAAAGGTGCACAGTTGAGCCTTGAAAGAAGGAAATCTGTGGCTGCAGACTTCGGGCTTTTCTAACCATGATTGTTTCCACGTGCACATGTGCTACTACTTCAAGTAGCAATCTCCCCAGGCAGACAGGTACATCCGCTTTTTCCGGTATTTTGTTCTTCAGAGGACATCTCTATTATGGAATTGTCCAAGGGTGTGTCAAGCTTGCTCTGGTAGGATAGAACGCTGCTTGACCTTGTACATTATGACATTTTGAATCTTCACATCGGCCGTTTGACTGATTTTCCGCTTTCTACATGTATGTTGTCTGTGTTGTTGATTTTGCTTCCAGATTACTCTTCAGTGTATCTTGTCTCTTCTGCTGTGCCTGTATGGTGTGGTGAAGTCAACGGGCAAGTTCAGTGAGATCCATGCCACAGCTCAACTAGCCACCAGGTTAGCTACCTGCTTGCCCAGTGCTGCTCCTCACGCTACTTGTAGTCTACCCTATAGCAGTCAAGTAGTCTGTCGCTTGCTTTGGAATCCAAAGCAACTACATTTGTAATCAAAACGATAGTTTGGGCTAACAGCCTAAAAGCCTGCCAATTGTTGTTCAGTTTATTCCTGTTTGGTGCTGCTTGTCGTGTGGCACCAGGGTAGTGTGGCTTGGGCAAAACTAAATACCGAGTACATGTACGTATGTGTACAGGGCCTGCTCTAGACATTCAACACAGCCCGGTCAGAGTGTACCTGGCGCATGCAGGCCAGCCGGGTCAGATCATTCGGCAGAAAAACAACCCAAAAGCCTGCTCAAAACTTGCAACTGTGTCAAAAGCTATAGCCAAAGTTACGCTTTTGACTGCCTGCCCTCCTGACTTCCTGCTCGCCGCTGGCCAGATCGCGCTCGAACCAGTTGGCCCCAGTTGACCCAAGCTGAGTTTCTGTCGCTTGTAGACTGTAGTGTGTACGGTTGCGCTAGATTTGCAACACATGGGGTCCGTGAGTCGTAAAATACCGGTATTTTAGGAATCCATTGTCAGTTTGAGACATTTTTCAGCCGGGCGCGTGACCCGTCTGACCCGGCTCTCCAGCAGGCCCTGGTGTACCGCTATAGCAGTATAGGGTGATAACGTTGTGTCATGACAGGATAGTACTAGACTCGCTGATCTTCTACACCACTGTTGTTAGGGCTGTGTTCCCCACCGAGTAATACTAATAGAGAGGTTTAGCGCAACGAAAAAAAAATTCATTGATTTTTCGTTGTTCTCTCGAGCTGGGTACGAGTAACGAAACTTGCAACAAAAAGTGGTACGAAGTTTCCGTAAAAATGCCCAAACAACGAAGATTACTTTTCGTTGATTTGTGGATTTGAGTTGTGTTTTTTTTCCTACTCGGTACTCTGATTCAATCACCATTGTGTGTTTTCAACTCCTCCGGAGTTCGCCACGGCTTCTCCAACTCCAACTGTAATTTTGTCTGCATTGTAGTTGAGAAGAAGTTTTGGCTCCTTGCTTTCATTTCCCTTTCGTTTCGGCAAGTGCATTCCAGTGTGTGTCCGTGTATGTCTCCCTGTTGATCTTGGACTAAACCTGAACGCCATTCATGCTACCCACTCCGTCTGGTCGCTCCACATCGACCAATCCTAAGAAGATCTTGTTTGATTCGCAGAGAGAGAGAGAGAGAGAGAGAGAGAGAGAGAGAGAGAGAGAGAGAGAGAGAGAGAGAGAGAGAGAGAGAGAGAGAGAGAGAGAGAGAGAGAGAGAGAGGGGGGATCTTGTCTTTGCGTCAAGTAAGGAGCGTGGGGAAATCTATTGTTCATGCGGCATCTAACGTTGCATGTATTCCGAGGACGTCGTGCAGCTGCTTTCCTTCCAGCGCTCGAGATTTGAGAGGGAAGGTGTCGCAGATCATCTAGACCTATGTGTCGGAGATCAACGCCAAGCGAAGGAAGCCCGCCAGCGATGAGGAAGGTACAGAGATACATGTAGATGCTTCGCTGACAGAGCTCTCCTGTTTCAAGTGTTTGAGGAACGAAAAGCAGGAGCCCGTTACGACGAAAAGCCAACATGTGACTGAAGGGAACAGGAAAGCTGGTGCTTTGAGAGAAGACACCTAAAAACCCTGTAGCAGAAGAGAGCCCTTTCCTATAAAATGCTAACGCCAGATGCAGAACCTGAACCGAAGAAGAAGCTTCTTGATTTTTGGAAACTTCGGCCTAGCGGCTCACGATCGCCATATTTTCCGTGGAAACAACGAACAGCTCAGTGACTCTGCAGATCTGCTTGCTGAACACAAAACAAACGAAATTTCATTGGCAATTTTTCGTCACGATCATAACGAGAAAAAAAAACTAACGAAATTTCGTTGTGCTAAGGGGTCGTCGCAAAAGTTTTTTGTCGTCCCTGAAACGAACATGATTCATTTGGGGGGGGGGAGGGGGTGCGAGCCAAAAACGCAAGTCGACCGACACTGTACATATGTCATGTACATGCATGCGATTTTCGTCGTCCAGCATAGCAAGCTGTGTTCGTTTCAGAGGGAGGGGAGGGGGTCCAAGTACGAAATGAACGATGTTCGTTTCAGGGACGACAGAAAACTTTTGCGACGACCCCTAAACCTCTCTATTGTCTAATTGTAAAAAGTCCTATGGGCAGTGCTGTGAACCCTAGTCCTATGGGCAGTGCTGTGGGCAGTGCTGTATGGGCAGTCCTATGGGCAGTGCTGTGAACCCTAGAACAGCTAGAAATTCCCACTCCATTCTCTCTTATATAATATATTATCGCCTTCTTAGTATTTGACCCCACTAATTTCCCTGATACCTAAGCGGTCAAATATATCGCGTATTTGACTGCTTAGTCAAATACACAATATATTTGACTCCTTAGGTGCCGTCCGGGGTTACCGATTGTTTTTACAAAACGAAAAGTTTTTGTATTTTTCAGCCCCCACCCACCCACCCACCCACCTTTTCTGCAGGTAAAACGAATTCCAATAAAATAATTTATTGATGTCAATTTTCGACATCCAGAAGTAACTGGGCATTCTCAATCAGCATTCAATAATTATTTTCAAAACGAAACTCCATCAAACCCACCCACCCACAAACGAAAACATTTCGTTTTGAAAATATTATTGGTAACCTTGGACGGCCCCTTAGAATTTCTTGGACTTTGAAATTTTCTCTCCAACTTGGAAAAAGAAATTTTTGAAGAAAGCAGTAATACACAAGATGGGAGGATATGTCATATATGGAGAGAAACTATTGCGTGGAGAACACGATAAATAGATTATAGACCTCCTAACCGGTCTATAATCTATACATATTACTGTAAAACATGTAATTTTAGGTGCATTAAAATTTCGGTGGCAGGAACCTGCCAGGTTTCAGGTGTAATATAGAATTAGTTGACCATACAGTGCATACTCTAGTGCCTTTTAGGTTTAATTTAAATTTAGGTGCCTGGTTTCTCTACCGAAATCACCGAAATTAAAGTTACACCGAAAATTACTTCCTCCGCGTCATTAAAATTGTCGCTTCGCACATCGCAATATTTGTGACTTGGCTCGTCTTAGTCAGACTGTCGGAATTGCTGTTTTCTGTGTTCGAACACTGGTGTGACCCTTCCTGCGCAATGTCTACTTGTCACTGAAGCCGTTGTGGTCTCGGACCTTGTCGGAGCTCTCTTCTGCACCAAGCAAATTCTTCCCGCTCCGCACTATTCCGCCCCAGAGCGCATTTCGTTTTCTGGAGTTCGTGTCGTCCCACATCGTTCGCGTGGGCATTTGCCAAGACTGCAAGCTCGGGTATAAGAATCCTGGTATCTCTCCTGAATACGAACTGCTGAAGTTGACGATGGGAAGAACAAAGTGGTCTCAAATACCTAAAAATCGCTAATCTTGGCGCATTTTGCTGCGAAGGTAGCAGGTCTGAAAACACCGACAAAATCAGCGAAGCGCTTACAAGGAAAGAAGGTGCGGAACTGCTTACCCTATCTCGCTGGAAGGTCGTTACAGTGTACTTGAAAAATGCTAGCTTGCCTTCATCGCCTGCCACCTGGAGGCATGGATCGCTTGAAAACGAAGTTTCTTGACCTGAATTTGAACGCGCGTCTTGTTCAGCGTATTGTTGAGTGCTGAAGGGTCTGCCTGAAACTCTGATGAAGACGTCGTCGACCTTAGCTGCAAGTGCAGCGAAGCGGGGGGAGGGGGGGGGGGCACAAACTATTGCTTGGTCCGTCGACAATGCTCTGCCTCAATTTCTAGCTGATTTCTTTGTCCTTCGAGTGGACAAAATAATTTCGAAAAATCGCTCCGGGAAGCGACAATTTTAACGACACGGAGGAAGTATATGTTTTACAGTATATTACAGCAAGGTGTGGCACAGATGTAAAGTCTCAGAATAACATTAACGCGCCACTGCTGCTTTTGTTCTTCCGTCTTCCTTCGTCTTCTCTCGTTTGCCTCCTTTCAATATAGATCTTTCGACAGCATCTCCAATCGGCCATCTTTCCATATCTTCCAGCACCGTGGCCAAGCACTCCACAGCAGTCATGATGTGGATGTCGTCTCTCTAGACTCGCGGACAGCCAGCTAGTAGATATGCTGTGTTCTTAGGATGTTTGCGATGGCTACTCTTTTTCATACATGAAAACGCTTAGTACAGGACAGGACCTGTACTTAAAGTGATAAGTAAGCTCTAGGGTATATGTGTGTCACAGAACAGATGCTCCAGCAGGTCATTCACGCGTACAGTCACGAAATACAAGCAGATTTTATTCTACAATCCACCCTTTGTAGGTACAATGTTGTGTTGTGTAGTGTGGTCATGGTCACGGTTAGACTACCAGCAAACCTTCACCCTCATCTCTAGTACATCCTACATTGACTCGGCTTGTGTTCTGTACAGGCATCGTGCAGTAGGTGCAGGGCAGAAGCATTCTTGTAATCTTGAAATTTATTACATTTTCTGATTCAAGGACAAATCACAAAAGCACTGCTTCCTGCCTGTTTGTGTATTTATCAATTCCAGAAAATTGTCTTAAGTGTTTTTCAAACAACTATTGGCTTTCAAGTTGTCATGTTTTCTGTTGACCTTGAAGCACAGCAGCCCCTCTCCGGCTATTGTTTTGCTTATTCTTCAGCCTGGTGATGGCATCGGCTTTTCTATTCTGTTGGCTTGGCTGGCCTTTAAGTGTGAACTTCGTCCAAGGATCGATTACTATACAGGTCGAGAATGTGTGCTCCTGCTGCAACCAATGCTCCAACCATCATGGCAATGGTGTGCTTTCCTACACTATCCAATCTACAGTTTGAACTTTCAACTCATTTGTGATTTTATGGTCACGATCGAAGTCCAGCTAGTCCATATGCTGCATGCCTGCATTCACCAATCAACTCTCACATCACCATCAATATCAAACCCCGTGTTCTAGTTGACCTGTGACGCCAGTACTGTACTCACACGTTTGCGTTGTTTTCCCGCCACGTACAGAGCAGAGCAGGCCCTCGCTTCTAGAAATCATCTGGAGTCGTTTGGTCCAAGGCAAGGTGAAGACTTCTAGCAGTAGTGGCCTTTCTCCACCCCCATGGGCCATGCATGTGTTCTAAGTTGTAACTACTTCGTACAATAATAGGGCCTTTCTCCACCCCCATGCACGTGTTCTAACTAGGGCCTTTCCCCACTCCCATGCATGTGTTCTAACTAGGGACTTTCCCCACCCCATGCATAGGGCCGTTCTCCACCCCCATGCATGTGTTCTAACTAGGGACTTGCCCCACCCCCATGCATGTATAGTCCATTTCAAAACTATAGACGCGTACCTTGTAGGCAAAAACCGTTATGCCAGCATCTATACCACATAAAATCTGTGATCACTTTGTGCATAAATTTTTCCAAACTGGGCGTCTGTTATCCAGTCGTTTAGAAACTATATGAGAGTAATTATGGAGCGGACCTGAGCAATATTCCGAAAACTATTCTCAAAAAGTTCCAGCCAAATTTGAAAAAAACCCTACGCGTCTATAGTTTTGAAATGGACTGTAGGGTGATGTCACGGTGCTGACTACTGTTGTGGACATTGAAATCGGCTGAGAAGTCAAGCGGCCACAGGCACAGGGCGCTGTCCTTGCAGCCGCTGTGAGCACTGCTGGTCCATGTTTACAGTGTGTATGTGAACTACAGTGCAGTTTCAATTGCTATTTTGCATGCACCCCCCCCCCCCCCACCCTATGTGAACTACAGTGCAGTTTCAATTGCTATTTTGCATGCACCCCCCCCCCCCCCACCCTATGTGAACTACAGTGCAGTTTCAATTGCTATTTTGCATGCCCCCCCCCCCCCCCCCCCCCCGGAGCGCTTAGACTGTAATTGTGCCCTCCAAGGTCAAAGCCACTCTTCAAAGTTACTTAGACCGTGGAGAATTCTGTACACAAGTAGACAATGCACTGAGCACTGTGTGCAGCTACTTTGTATCGCCGAATTGTAGATCTAGCAGCAGGATTGGTAATGGCGCGTAATGTACAAGCAGCCTTTCATGTTTTGAAACTTCAAGAATTGTATTGCATAACAGGGTAACTGGTACATGCATACTTGAATCATTAAACTACTCCCTTCCATACACTGCAGTGTTGCTTATTTCATTCAACTTTTAAAAAAGTGTCCAGCTTTTGTAAGATTCTATCACAGCGTATAGCTACCAAAGCGTCACGGCGGCTGCTGAATAGTTGTCCATTGGAGACAGCCAGTTAACACACATGCACACGCACACACACACACACACACACACACACACACACACACACACACACACACACACACACACACATCACCACATGTGTAATAACCTTGGGCCTTGGTCATCCTGATCACCGGACTGGCCTATAGCTGTCGTCCATCGCCTGCAGACCCCATTACAGCTTTTCATACTCTGTCGAGGAACCACCTCCGACACCTTTTACTTTCTGAACTCCGAACATAGCTCCATCCTGTACATGGCCATTCATGCAACAACACACAACAGCAAGAGGAAACAATATCACTTTTAATCTGCTTCAATACTACATGTGTGGCCTTGTAATCAGGACATTACAAGTATAGTGATAACGCTATGGGGTGAAAACCAGTGGCTATTAAAAAATAGTAACGTTTTCACTTTCGCGTTGCCACCGGCTATACAATTGTGTCGGGGAACACAACCAGCTTAGGAAGTTTCGCTTGTGCGAGGCCACCATCATGCCAGAGTAGCAGCGGCGAGGGTGAGGTGGTAAGTCTGACAACCCAGTCGCAATCTACTCGTAAATCTCTCCCTGTGTCTGTGAACTGCTGTGCATAGAGTCAGGAGAGTGCCCACGCCCACTCCCATTCTAAATCATAAAAATCGACCTATGGTACACTGTACACGTACCTCTTGAGTCTTGTGAACTCTACCTTACCTTGATCAAGCCTGGGAGGCCAATCCAGAACGTGTAGTTTGGGATTATTTCTTTGCCGGTCTTGTCAAACTTGAAATGTTGAATCATGATCCCGGCCACTATGTACACTACAAGGATAGATATGCCACTGCATTTGATAGTGTAGCACACAACATGTGCACAGACATACATGTACACACACGCACACACTCACACGCGCGCGCACACACAAACACACACACGCATACACAAGGTTTAACTTGCATCTAATCCCGTATTGGACTATCCCACCCAGGTACAGCATGACCTTCTCACTCTCACTTGTACTGTTCTATTCCTTCTCTTTAGCCCTTATTCCCTGTGCTGATCCTCCCCATCTATTCACTCCCATGTACAACAATCACATGTACCGTAACATCCTGCCAGAGTGCCCCTACCTCCGCCACCCTTCCATCGGGTCCAGGTGGGGAGGGGGCGGATGGGCGAGTCCTAATTGCCGCATCCGGTACTACATGGAAAAGTGTTCACCCTATGAAAACAGTGCGTGCGTCTCGTACATCGACCAAAGGTCAAGAGCAGGGAGTCGTGCAGATCCATCAAAACCCTGGGTTTGTGCGACCCCTGGTCAAGAGGGTGTGAGCTGCGTACATTTCCAACCGGGTCGAGCACGCGTCTGCAGTGCGGTACGGCATCACACTTCACAGAGTCATACGAGGATGCTCACTTCCTTGACAAGCAGTCAGGGAGGGGCGCATGGGAGAGACGGAGCACTCTGGCGGGATTTTACGGTACTCGTAATTGGGCATGAACCTGTTTGGATATGCGAATTTGAACAACAACAACATCTTATTGGTCCGAGTCGCCATCGTGAGAATAAAAAACAACAACAACAACAACAACAACATATGGTGAGAACCAGGGAGTCGTAAAATACCATTTTTTACGACTCCCTGGTGAGAACACACCCGGTACCCATACACAGTTCCTGAAACGTATGCCACCACAGGCACCAGTACATCGGTACACCGGTACACCAGTTTTATTTTATTTTTATTTTTATTTTTTTACTGGGAACACAGCCCTACTGGTATACCGGTACACCAGTATGGTGTTGTGAATAAAACCGTTCTCAAGTAAGTACACGGGTGCACCAGTACACGTGTACAAGTGTTGCAATGCTGCAATGCTGCAACAATGCTGCAACGCTGCAATGCTGCAATGCTGCAATGCTGCAATGCTGTAGAATGAGACAAATCGGATTTGCTTTTATGTAGAATAGCGGCAGCAACTTTGGTGACACACCAAAGAAAGGGCGGCTGCTCCCAACATGGAGACTCGTACGTTTCTGCTGACTGACCTGACACTTGGTGTACCTTTTTAACTAACGAACGGGCAATTTTCTTAACGGGCGGATTAACAGGTACGCTTTAGCAGCTGTGTTTTAATTTTTGCGCAATTTTCATAAAAACCATGATAGTAAGTTATCTGTTCTCAGGTTGCATTTTGATATCACATTGTGATTCGCCAATTGATTTGAGTCTGATAGTTGCGGAGGTACATGTAGATCTACTAGGTGCGAAAATGCAACAGCAATGCAGACATGCAGCTTGGAGTTGTAAATAATTGACTCTAGCCTGGAATGCACGATCCCAGCAGTGTTGTTCCGTACTGACTTGATCACCGAAATCCAAACGGGTACATTTTACTAACGGTACCTGAGATTAACGGGCGGGTACCCGGGTACCCGGAACACCCCTTTGATCCCTAGTATTTCGTGACAAAAAAAACTGACAAAAAAACTGACAAAAAAACTGGGACTGGGTGCGGCTTATAACAATGTTACTTATACTGCGGAAAATACGCTAAGCCAAATTTCCCGGCTGCCAACCCCATAACAGTTCCTCAAAGACGACATTCCCGGTTGCCAACCCCATAACAGCTCCTTAAAGACGACATCCCCGGCTGCCCCATAACAGTTCTTCAAAGACGACATTCCCGGTTGCCAACCCCATAACAGTTCTTCAAAGATGACATAACTTACAGTATTTGCTGAAGTATAGTGCACACTTTAGATGTGCTATTTCAGACCCCAAATCACAGGTGTGCACTATGCTCTGAATATGAGAATTAGGGCTCAAACGGTTAGTCCGATTAACCGATTGCAGACCGGTTACGAAGAATTAACGGTTAACCGATAAAGATAACAGTTACGCAGTAACTTTTCAGTCAATTTTTCAAGTATCAGGTCGTTGCAAAGTGTGCACTTTCGCAGGCTGTCGCACACGTACGCAATTTCTGGGCTGTCAACTCGGTCATATCTGGTCTCTTGGCCAATTGGTGTGAGAGTATGTATGAATGAGCATGCAAGAGAATGTACATGTGTGCGTCGTACTGAATAGGGTACATTTTTTTGAATGAGTGTACTTGTAGTCAAATATACGGTTAAAAAAGAGTCCGCAGGATTGCCGTGGCTTATAGGTTATAACTAGGGCTCAAACGGTCACGGTTTTACCCCTAACGGTTAACTGCTAAGCTAACGGTCGGTTTAACGGTTATAACCTATAAGCCACGGCAATCCTGCGGACTCTTTTTTAACTGTATATTTGACTATACTCATTCAAAAAACGTACCCTTTTCAGTACACCGCACACATGTACATTCTCTTGCATGCTCATTCATACATACTCTCACACCAAGAGACCAGATATGACCAAGTTGACAGCCCAGAAATTGCGTACGCGTGCGACAGCCTGCGAAAATGCATACTTTGCAACGACCTGATACTTGAAAAATTGACTGAAAAGTTACTGCGTAACCGTTACCTTCATCGGTTAACCGTTAATTCTTCCTAACCGGTCTGCAACCGGTTAATCGGACTAACCGTTTGAGCCCTAGTTATAACCGTTAAACCGACCGTTAGCTTAGCAGTTAACCGTTAGGGGTAAAACCGTGACCGTTTGAGCCCTAATGAGAATGCATGGACTTCGAAAAGAAGTGCAATGCATCAAACTGTTGCGAAGTTTGCCACCTCTGACCCGGTGCAAGCCATATGCATGCATTTGTAGTGTCCAAATGCATGACGGGTTGGGTATGAGGCCCCATAGGTAGCACATGCATTATACAAATGTTTCGTCAATGATCGCACTATAACACTGTCTTTATAATTGGCAATTTTCTCAAACCTAGGCTGTGCATTACAATACAATCTGGATATACCCTGAATTGCCAAAATGCTGGTCAAATAAGACGTGGAGCATTATATTCAGGTGCTAGGTGCGTGTTATACTCCGCCAAATACGGTACCTTCCAGCTTGGAAGGGTTACACTTCATTATTTTACTGTTTCTGCCAGCAACGGTGCATGACTTACAAGATAACCATGTACCATCCAGGCGTGAGGCCGACACTGCTACCATTATTTCCTCCTCCACCTCCACCATCAGCCGACTTGGGACAAGCACCGGGTCCTGTCATTTCAAAGACCTGAAACAACAACAACAATAACACCAACAACAAGCAGCAGCATGAGCAGCATCAGCATCAATAAATGACAACACCGACAACGTTGGGTGGTTAGTGAGACACACTGCGTGTGCTGAGAAGAGTGCTGGTGTGTGTGTGTGTGTGTGTGTGTGTGTGTGTGTGTGTGTGTGTGTGTGTGTGTGTGTGTGTGTGTGTGTGTGTGTGTGTGTGTGTGTGTGTGTGTGTGTGTGTGTGTGTGTGTGTGTGAGTGATACAATTTGGCATATGTGGCGGCTTGGTCTGTCCATAGGTCAAAACGGCTGTTAGTGGCCATGCACCGTATCAGTATAAAACTACTTTGTAACCAATGCTGATGGTGTTATGCTGTGGCTCTATTATCATGCTCGGGGGGGGGGGGGGGGGGGGGGGCAGCTAGTTCGGTTGATGGGTGTACTTAGGCTAGATTGTGCCTGAAGTACAAGACTAGTACAAGTGTGTGCGTGTGTGTGTGCGTGCGTGCGTGCGTGTGGTGTGTTTGTGTGTGTGCCAGCTAGTTCGGTTGGTGGGTACATTAGTATGCCTGATTGTGTTGGGTCTGTTGCCAACGGGCTCGGCTACTTGAAGGTGTAATGTTGTACCTGCCACCTTTGTTGGTTCCAGGGTTCATAAACTTTCTGTTTGAAGTATACATACCTGTTAACCATGGACTACTTCTGGCTAGATTAACTCTTGTGTAATCAATGGTGCTAGTGAAGCTTATATCAGATCCACTCTGATTTAGCCACCCACACTAGTAGCTAGTATTACCTTCACTGGGGGCAGGGGTAACTGCAGTTGGATCCCAGGACGGATACCCTGATGCCATCAATCCTTTTTCTGCACCTTGTCCTCACCCACTTACTGAGGTGTGGTGAGCCCATAAGTGGGATCATTTTCAAGTCCACCCAGAGTTTTGGGGATTTCAGGGGGTGTCGGCCGTTGGGCGGTTCAATAGCCAATTGAGTCATCTTTCCAAGATTCCTTTTGAGTCTCCCTCCCCTCTCCCGGGGAGACCCACGTGACCAGTTTTGGCAGTGAGCAACAAGTACAAGTGTGTGTGTGTATGTGAGTGTGTGTGTGTGTGCGCGTGCGCGTGTGTGTGTGTGTGATGCAGTTTGGCACAGTGGCTTGGTCTGTCTAAAGGTCGTGACGGCTGTTAGTGGTCGTACACATAATTATCATACTACAGGCCCGTAGCAGCCCATTCTGGAAGGTCTGGCAACATCCAACTATACATAGACTATGAATGAATTCTCAAAACGATATAACAGTGAACATGGCAACATCAGGAGTGAAGGTCACTTCAAGTATCTTAAGTCGGTGATGATCGGCATCACAGTGCGAGTTACCGTACCAGTAAAGGCTTTGCTTACGTATGTATGTTGGATCTCCTGGTCTCCTGCTGCAGAAAATATCGTCTCTCCCATGCCTTCGTTGCAATTGAGGTAGACTTTCAGGATCCTAGGAGACAACAGTACATGCCACATACCCGTGAGACTTCTCACCGTCATACCGGCACCGTCACAATGTGACATACGTACACTACTGTACAGTACATGCACATGTGCTAGGTCTCGGGTCGTTGAATGTCACAGTAACATGTCAGTTGTGTGCCCTGTTATCGCACTTTCTGACTGCTTATTATCTTGTTACAATCCTGATGCTGTAGACAGCAAGCTGTTTCGGCCATAAAGGCCTCATCAGTACAGCTACGAGCTAAATAGGCCGAGTTACCAGCCATGGTGCAAAGGAGGCACCACAGACATTAAGGTAGCTCGTCGCTCTAGCGCCAGAGTGCTCAAACTACAAAAAGTAGCGGGCATTGCGCGATGCAGCAGCACTAGAGCAGCCTACTGAGAGTGCTCAACAAGGCGAAAGCCGAGGAGCGTGATACGTGAGGATACGTGATTTGTTACAATCCTGGATAGTTGCTTTATAACTCGTTTCCATGTGATTTCTTCTATGTAATTCAATTTAATACCCCGCCAATATTGTCAAAGCCAGGCTGGAGAGGTCAGCTATGCCAAACCATAGCACTCACTTGAAAGATCGCACCCTGTTGATACCGATACAATATAGTCAGAATTGCAGAACTTTTCAACTCACTCAGGCAAACCAATAAAGACTCACAGAAGTGCAACAATTCTATTCTGCTTGCTTGTCTCACTCAAGGACAAGTACAATCGACTGAAAGTCAGCTGAAAGTCAGCTGAAAGTCAGCTGAAAGTCAGCTGAAAGTCAGCTGAAAGTCAGCCGAAAGTCAGTTCATTTTCGTAAGTATACGTGTACAACACTCGTTCATTTGCTGGTTTTCGGTATCCATTAGGGGCCATCCGGCCGATCATTTTCACGGAACAAAAAGGTCAAGTTATGACTCCTCCCCCCCCCTCCCTTGAACGAAATACCTATTATATTATAATAATTACTGGACATCTCAGGATCTACATTGTAGAATGGAATAATATTTCGGCTTTCTATATATTAGAAACTCTCCTCAGTCGACCCACCCATAAACAAAAGGTTCTTGGAAAACGGCCAGAGAGCATAAAGCCCACTTGTCACACATATTGCTAATTTCACAATTCACCTCATGACCTGGATTCAGCCCCGGGCACCCTACCAGTTCTCTGGTGCCCACTAACTACAGTCCGTATTGCCTATAAGGTTGGCGACTATAGTAATATACCGGATATAGTGATCAATTTCTCAAATTCATTTTCATTTGCCATAACTAAGTATACACAGTTATCGAGTATAGTAATAATTGTCTATAGTAATATATCGCCTATAGTGATCAAATTCATATTTCAAAAGACCTTTATTACATTATTTTTGCATCGGTTATAGTGATTGATGTAAAATCAAGCGATGTCAGAGGAGAACAGGGTGTTACTTCTTCGTGAAGAACTTGTCCAGTGAGTGTTGTTTGATGAGTTTTGCTCGTACAAGTTGCCAAAATATGCCTCCATCATGAGGAAAGGCGGATTTTGTGTGTCAGGAGCTACAGCCACTGCAGCTACATGACATTGTACATGTATGTAGTGCGTATGTGCACGGCGCGCTGAGTCGTTTGGCACCCCACTCGCATACATTGTATGCAGTATCGGTCATAGTAATATAATATTATCGCTTATAGTGATAAAATGCTCCAAATCAAACAGCAACGCTATAGCTATATATATGCGATACTGACTGTACATGTACTGAGTGAAATAGCACACTGCTGAAAGTGTGTAGCAGACATTCTCACATTCTGACATTGTGATCTTGTAGGGACTGGACCCTTCACTCCGCTACACTGGACCGCCGGAAGCAGTTTTCGATTAGTCCGGTAGTGTCGTGGCCGTCATTTGTCCGGTAGTGTCATGGCCGTTCATACTTTCAACTCTGCATGATATGACGGGTGCACATGACCGAGGGTGCACATGACCGAGGGTGCACATGACCGAGGGTGCACAGGACCTCGCTGGCTCCACAGTAGGAAACATGTGTTGGTCGCAGACAAGTTGGTCTGGTAATTACCTGACCAACCGAACCGGTTCCGGCAGGCCTGTCGTCTAACAAGTATCCACTGCACTGGAAAAGCAGGCCGGCTTCTTTTTTCAAATAGACGATATACGATATCGGAGGAGCAATCCTGCTTGCTCTCATCATCGGTCAGAGCAATCCTGCTTGCTCTCATCATCGGTCCATAGACCATAGCACTGATGTACCTACTCGGCACACTGCACAGGCATGCACTCATAGTGGAAAGCACCGCCGCCAGTACATGTACTACACAGAGGGTGACAAGCATACAGTCTGCACCAGACCCTCATTGCCTGCAACATCACCCTTATGAGCTATGAGCTATAAGCCATGGCTAGTCACGGCCAGTGCCACTCACCGGAATGCAATCGAGTCTGTGTTTTGTGATTGGATGAAAACACGGTTTCCCTCACTGATGAAGCGATTGGATTGCAGGGTGCCAAGTCCGCTGAATATATTATTCCATAGCTGGCAGGCCTGTGAACAGCAGCGTGAATCAGTGTCATACCAGGAGTACATACAGCAGCCATACTAGCAGTACACTTAGCAGCCACACTAGCAGTACGCTTAGCACCTATTCCAATTAAATAATTTTATTAGGCCCCCATTACCTGCACTCTCTGGCCTGAATGTGATAAACAGGCTGAAAGCGCTACTGCTGCTGCTGCTGCTTACCCTGCTCATTGCCTACATTGTACTTCACTGCCGACATGGAGAATATGAGCTGTGCAGCCATGCAGGTCCCCTACACAAAGATACAATGTGTGCAATGCGGATCATAGTAGTCTGTGATCCGCATTGCACACCCAAGAAAGACCCCCCCCCCCCCACACACACACCTCTCTCTCTCTCTCTCTCTCTCTCTCTCTCTCTCTCTCTCTCTCTCTCTCTCTCTCTCTCTCTCTCTCTCCCACCCACCCACCCACCAATACACTAACATGCATACAAGCCGGCAACATGTATGCATACGATCACCGATGCTTACAATGACATCCTCGCATCCACCGGATGATGGTATGGTAGCACTTGCGCAAGGATTGAACCAGTAAAGATTCTGGTCATTGCCGCGTACCTCGGTGTATCTACACGGCAGAACACACAAGAATGACATACATTGCACATGCATTGTGTCAAGCACTGCAAACCACTCCGAGGACAGGGCATGCTGCAATACACATGTTTATCACTGATGAGCCGCAAACTGCATCTGTACAAGGCTGCTGCGACATCCCACCAGAAAAGGACTCTACTGCTCAGTGCAGTAGACATAGTACAACAAACTAATTTCAGTACAATCAAAACAGAGCAGCCGCAGGCAATACACAGGCTGCCGAGTGCAGCCACAGTGATGAATGCGGCTTTGCTGTGTTCATGTCCGGCAAGGCCTTTGCTGTGTTCATGTCCGGCACGGCCTTTACTGTGTTCATGTCCGGCAAGGCCTTTGCTGTGTTCATGTCCGGCAAGGCCTTTGCTGTGTTCATGTCCGGCAAGGCCTTTCAGTGCTGTGTTCATGTCCGGCAAGGCCTTTGCTGTGTTCATGTCCGGCAAGGCCTTTGCTGTGTTCATGTCCGGCAAGGCCTTTGCTGTGTTCATGTCCGGCAAGGCCTTTGCTGTGTTCATGTCCGGCATGTCCGGCAAGGCCTTTGCTGTGTTCATGTCCGGCAAGGCCTTTGCTGTGTTCATGTCCGGCAAGGCCTTTGCTTGCCCAGCGCATCATAAGAGGTTACGGATGGGAGCAAACCCATTACTAATATAATTGGTCAGGGTGACAGTAATACGTGCTTGCAAGCACATCCACCTAGACTACATGTTACAGCGACATGTCTGAATCGTGATACGTTTTAAAAGCACTTTTAAGTTTTAAGTCACCCACTCGCCATAAATCACACGCTTTTAAAAGTTTTACAATCTGGACTGTCCGACAGCATGTACTAGTAAGGAATAGGTATACACTATTTGTATTCTGTAAGTCATGCAAATCCGGCGTTTCTCCTCAACATCGGGTGCCTGAGTGACCTATCGATAGTAGCCTGTACTGCCAGTACTGGTTACGACCATGACACAGATAGGTGAAGCCGCTTTTGTGTGACTTGTCCAGTGGTCACAAGCAGGCATAGTGTACATGCATGTGGTGATCACAATCACGGATCACTCGTACCAACTGTTAGTATCCGCATGACTGCTGCGGTGGTCAGCACTATACTACTACCTAGTAACAGTACTGCCTAGTAGCAGTACTGCCTAGTAATAGGTAGTTAGTACTGATACAGATAGGTAACGTTAGTGCTGATATGACAACCGCAGCAGTCATGTGACCGGGATACTAACAGTTATAATTATAATACAGTTCTGAGCAGGGAAATTCAACCTCATGAATAAAACAGCACCACAGTTGATTATGTGTGTTGCTTGCAGGGGGGGGGGGGGGGGGGGCATAGCGCCCAGTACTATTATATTCAAGAGGTCGAATTTCTCCGGCCAGGACCGACGTCTGGTTACTACGTGTACAGTCAGTGCTGTTCAATGAAATCCAGTCCCAGTGTCGTGTGCGAAGCAGTTCAAGCAATGGTGTAGGCCAGGTGCTGTGCAGTCAAGCAATGGTGTAGGCCAGGTCACGCTGTGCAGTCAAGCAATGGTGTAGGCCAGGTCACGCTGTGCAGTCCTCACCCTGCAAACACTAGGTTGTGTAAGGCTGCACATGTTCGCCATGCCAGATTCAGTCATTGATATAATTATACTTTTTTCTAGAATACGAAAGGCATGCTAAGCCATTACATTTCAGCTGGCTGGGCTGGGAACAATTCTGACTGGCATTTTCATTTTGATAACTCCGGGTGTGGGGGGGGGGGGGGGGCAGCTGCCATGAGATTTACCGAAATGTTCCGTCTCCATTGCTCAGGTCACCGAGGTCGTATGTCATTTTCTTGCCGGTAGCAACATCCGTGTAGACACAGGAGCACTTAGTGGGAGTGGACTCGCACTGGCCTGGAAACTGTGCATGGCCCTCTTGCACTAGGTAACAGAGTGCCACGCTGAGACTGAACCATGCCAGGAGTGACGGACGAAGAGCAGCTCCATCCATTTTTCACCGTGGACTGGTTACCAGCCTGTGGCGGTTCAACGTCCAGCAACACCGCAGAACTCTCCCCTCACTGCCTCAGTCGCAGATAACCCACCACAGACAAGCCTTGCGCAAGTCATACACAAACTCTCCCCAAAGAGCGGCAGTGGTATGGACTATGGTGGTGGGCACCCGGTGCTCGAGAGATGCCCGGTTACAACAGACAGCCACGGTGTAGATCTCAGCACGGAGTCCAGAAGAAACACTCCACTCCACTCCACTCGTACCTCAGTTTACAACTGATGCATCGATGATTACTGAAGTAGTTAGTTAGTCTTGACTTTAGAGTTTAGACTTTAGTCTAGTAGTAGTATTACTAGTTACTACGGTACCGGTATTAGTATTCTCTGTCTATAATAGTTTAGAGACGAAAGTAATACTGGACACTACTCTACTACAAGTAGTCACGTACTACGTAGCCGTCTAGAGACTAGAGTCAGTGAGTTAGTCACAACTAACTAAAAGTATTAGTTAACTTTGTAAAAGAAGTAGCTACTGTACTTCGCCTAGTACTAGTACTACATGTAGCAGTGGTCGCTGTCCAGTCCAGTCTTCTTGTTGCCTTGGACGAGGACTGAATCACGCGACAGAATGCACGATAATGATGATGACCGGATTCAGCCTTTCAGGACGTCATCAGACCAGGTTCACGACCGTCAGGCTCTGAAGGACCTGATCATTGCATGCCCTTGCCTTTGTTGCCAGGCTTTGGGAGTTTGGGCCGCATGCCTTTTACCCAATGCTGTACAGCCTGTAGACCATGCCCATACTCATAGTCATACTAGACAGCAAGCTGTTTCGGCCATAAAGGCCTCATCAGTACAGCTAGTAGTAGTAGTACTAGTACTGTACGGCCGAGCCACCACTGTACCGCTACCAGCCATGGTGCAAAGGAAGGCGGCACCTTCAAGTCCAGGGAGTCGTAAAATGTTACATGTACCTGGTTACGACTCCCTGGCCCTGACTGTCTGTCCTTGTCATCAGTGCATTGGCATCCGAAAATGATTTTTTTACCTACAAAAATACTTGTACTACTAGTACTACGAGTACTAGTGTAGTATACTGTTACAGTATGTACTATGACATTGTACAAATGAATGTATGTCGCGCGCCGTGCATGATCTTCACGTAGCGGGCGTGCTGCAGCAGCAGCTGCAGCTGCTACATACATGTATTATGTGCGGCGCTTGCGTTACCTGGTTACCAGGGCTACGGACCTACTCCTACAGACTCTATCTAGACTGTGCTCGGTAACGCGCGCATCTGTCGCAAACGTCTTCTGACTTTGTTTTGCCTAGCGATCGATCGCGCGAGGACGTGCAGGCGAGAACTGTTTGTGAGAAAGCCAGGGCCATCCCCGGCGGCGCATGTCGTGCAACTAATTACTTCTGTCTTGTTTGATCTAGAAAACGATCGTCAGTGGCTTGGCCCAGAGTTGAAGAGTAAATTTGGAAACACGTGTGTGTCGTCGGAGAATGTCTGTGGTCGTTTGTGTCTAGTCTAAAAATATCACCGTTTGATCTGAGTTGCTCACACCCCGTGTGGCGTCCGTGCTGAGAAAGCCATGCCAAAGTTAGAAGAGATACCGGTAGCGGTGGAGAGGGATCCGTCCAGACGTCGCCACTACACTCCACTGGAGGTTGCTGAGCATAACCAGGAGAGTGATATGTGGGTCACATATCTTGGCAGGGTGTATGATCTAACAGCGCTATGCGAGGAATATAAAGGTACTTGTACGGGTACATATTACCACAACCAGTACTCAGTGTAGTCATGTCCGTCTGTGGCGTGCCGTCACTATCACCATCAAGGGAACAGCCCAGTTGAAGATTTCTGAGTACAAACGTGCATCACTGTACACAGCCCTCAGCCCTCAGCAGGCTACATTACGACATGACATTGAGTCATTGTACTTCGGCACAGAATGCTGGATGGAAGCACGGCCCTTGAGTCTATACTCCATCTATTAATAATACAGTGGTCCCTCTATAATCCGGCACCATTTGTGCCACGAAAATCTGCTGGATTAGGGAGGGTGCTGGATTAACAAATCTGATTTACTGCTGCAATGTGCATGAAGAGGACATTTTGGCTACTGAAAATTGTGCTGGTTTATCGAGGGTGCTGAATTATAAAGTGCCGGATTAGAGAGGGACGACTGTAGTATTACCGTAAAGTACCGTTGATCCGCCCCCTCTCTAATTCCCGCCCCCTGTCGATTTTCTCCTTGTGAAGCGACTTCGGCGTATACAACGAAATACGATGTTGAACCGACGCATGCACTGCTGTACACAATACTTGCCAATCCAGGATCAAAATGTTCACAATCCAGCACATCGAGTCTGATCCTCTACGTTGTTGTACATCCATCGTACTGCACTTGACAGCCTTGATCTAATTCCTGGGAAGCGACATGGCGTGGGGGAGGATCAACGGTACTTTACGGTATGTGCAGGGAGCCGTAACCATGGTAGCATGGAGAAAGCAGTGGTGTATGTCTGGCTATTACCAGAGCACCCATTTCAGTCACCCCACTGGCCTGAGGCTGAGGGAGGCTGAGGCTGTGCCGGGCAGTCACAGTATCACTATCATTGTATGCACTGCATAGCCTCCTGGCTGGTCTGGACCGCGTCACAATTGCTTGTGTTCAACAGGTCAACAGGCTTGGATCATTACCAGGGTTGTATATAGACCATACATACAGGGATCACGTTCGGAGTTATAGTAGCGTTGGGGTACTGTGGTCTTGTGTGAATTCCCTGGATGCTACAACTCCCTGTCTTGTGTGAATTCCCTGGATGCTACAACTCCCTGTCTTGTGTGAATTCCCTGGATGCTACAACTCCCTGTCTTGTGTGAATTCCCTGGATGCTACAACTCCCTGTCTTGTGTGAATTCCCTGGATGCTACAACTCCCAGTCTTGTGTGAATTCCCTGGATGCTACAACTCCCAGTCTTGTGTGAATTCCCTGGATGCTACAACTCCCAGTCTTGTGTGAATTCCCTGGATGCTACAACTCCCAGTCTTGTGTGAATTCCCTGGATGCTACAACTCCCAGTGATGTTCACATGGATGGTGGATGTAGGCAGTCATCACATGAGGTCAGGGGGGGGGGGGGGGGAAGGGAATAACAAAATATAGGAGACAATCTCAGTTTCGCCCTCTACTCTCCTCAGACTGTTTGAGAAAGAAAGGGAAAACTGGTGTGAAACAATTGTGCGCATGGTATGGAACTACTGAAGTATTAATATTATGAGCTGCGTAATAATATTATGAGCTGCGTAATAATATTATGAGCTGCGTAATGTTACCAAGTGTTGTATGAGTGTACAGTAGACCCTAGAATGATGCGTATCGCCATGCACAATAGACTAATGAATTTACTACAGCGCCGCAAGACTATCACTGCACGACTATCATAAGTGGGTTGCTGCAGGACAGAGTCGTCTAGTATTATAAGGTTGCTGCTAATCAGTGTCCCTCTGAGCTCAGCTGCACACCCGGGTGTTCTGTGATTTGTGTGCAGCTACTTAGTATAGCGTGTGTGTGTGTGTGTGTGTGTGTGTGTGTGTGTGTGTGTGTGTGTGTGTGTGTGTGTGTGTGTGTGTGTGTGTGTGTGTAAGCTACTGGCTGTAAAGTGTGCAGCTAGCACTGCCGCTTATCCATGATGTGGCCAGTATACACTGAGTACACCGAGCTGTACAAAGAAACAAACAGTAACAGGGAAGACTCAGTGGTAACAGGGAAGACTCAGCGGTAACAGGGAAGACTCAGCGGTAACAGGGAAGACTCAGTGGTAACAGGGAAGACTCACTAAGTAACAGGGAAGACTCAGTGGTAACAGGGAAGACTCAGTGGTAACAGGGAAGACTCGGTGGTAACAGGGAAGACTCAGTGGTAACAGGGAAGACTCACTAAGTAACAGGGAAGACTCAGTGGTAACAGGGAAGACTCAGTGGTAACAGGGAAGACTCGGTGGTAACAGGGAAGACTCAGTGGTAACAGGGAAGACTCAGTGGTAACAGGGAAGACTCAGTGGTAACAGGGAAGACTCAGCGGTAACAGGGAAGACTCAGCGGTAACAGGGAAGACTCAGCGGTAACAGGGAAGACTCAGTGGTAACAGGGAAGACTCGGTGGTAACAGGGAAGACTCAGTGGTAACAGGGAAGACTCAGCGGTAACAGGGAAGACTCGGTGGTAACAGGGAAGACTCGGTGGTAACAGGGAAGACTCGGTGGTAACAGGGAAGACTCAGTGGTAACAGGGAAGACTCGGTGGTAAAAGGGAAGACTCGGTGGTAACAGGGAAGACTCGGTGGTAACAGGGAAGACTCGGTGGTAACAGGGAAGACTCGGTGGTAACAGGGAAGACTCGGTGGTAACAGGGAAGACTCGGTGGTAACAGGGAAGACTCGGTGGTAACAGGGAAGACTCGGTGGTAACAGGGAAGACTCAGTGGTAACAGGGAAGACTCAGTGGTAACAGGGAAGACTCAGCGGTAACAGGGAAGACTCAGCGGTAACAGGGAAGACTCAGCGGTAACAGGGAAGACTCAGCGGTAACAGGGAAGACTCAGCGGTAACAGGGAAGACTCGGCGGTAACAGGGAAGACTCGGCGGTAACAGGGAAGACTCGGCGGTAACAGGGAAGACTCGGCGGTAACAGGGAAGACTCAGTGGTAACAGGGAAGACTCACTAAGTAACAGGGAAGACTCAGTGGTAACAGGGAAGACTCAGTGGTAACAGGGAAGACTCGGTGGTAACAGGGAAGACTCAGTGGTAACAGGGAAGACTCACTAAGTAACAGGGAAGACTCAGTGGTAACAGGGAAGACTCAGTGGTAACAGGGAAGACTCGGTGGTAACAGGGAAGACTCAGTGGTAACAGGGAAGACTCAGTGGTAACAGGGAAGACTCAGTGGTAACAGGGAAGACTCAGCGGTAACAGGGAAGACTCGGTGGTAACAGGGAAGACTCGGTGGTAACAGGGAAGACTCGGTGGTAACAGGGAAGACTCAGTGGTAACAGGGAAGACTCGGTGGTAACAGGGAAGACTCGGTGGTAACAGGGAAGACTCGGTGGTAACAGGGAAGACTCGGTGGTAACAGGGAAGACTCGGTGGTAACAGGGAAGACTCGGTGGTAACAGGGAAGACTCGGTGGTAACAGGGAAGACTCGGTGGTAACAGGGAAGACTCAGTGGTAACAGGGAAGACTCAGTGGTAACAGGGAAGACTCAGCGGTAACAGGGAAGACTCAGCGGTAACAGGGAAGACTCAGCGGTAACAGGGAAGACTCGGCGGTAACAGGGAAGACTCGGCGGTAACAGGGAAGACTCGGCGGTAACAGGGAAGACTCGGCGGTAACAGGGAAGACTCGGCGGTAACAGGGAAGACTCGGTGGTAACAGGGAAGACTCGGTGGTAACAGGGAAGACTCGGTGGTAACAGGGAAGACTCGGTGGTAACAGGGAAGACTCGGTGGTAACAGGGAAGACTCAGCGGTAACAGGGAAGACTCAGCGGTAACAGGGAAGACTCAGCGGTAACAGGGAAGACTCAGCGGTAACCGGGAAGACTCAGCGGTAACAGGGAAGACTCAGCGGTAACAGGGAAGACTCGGTGGTAACAGGGAAGACTCGGTGGTAACAGGGAAGACTCGGTGGTAACAGGGAAGACTCAGTGGTAACAGGGAAGACTCAGTGGTAACAGGGAAGACTCAGTGGTAACAGGGAAGACTCAGTGGTAACAGGGAAGCCGATGATCCTTTCAAGAAAACTTGGTATGTTTTCAAACCGAAAATCTGCGGGTGTACTTCAAGTATTAGACTGATAATGCTCAGCAACGTTTGACTGATAATGCTCAGCAACGTTTGACTGATAATGCTCAACAACGTTTGACTGATAATGCTCAACAACGTTTGACTGATAATGCTCGGCAACGTTTGACTGATAATGCTCAGCAACGTTTGACTGATAATGCTCCATGGAACTTGAGCGGCCGGCTTTGCGTCTTCCGATTTGAACTGCAGGTAGCGACCTGATCAAGCCCATTGTGCAAGCTGCAGGTACGGACATTACCCACTGGTTTGACAAGAGCACATTGGATGTAAGTGAGTCACCATGATGTCACAGTGTGACTACTACTGTGGCATGCCGCGGTCACAGAGCAATACAATAGTGCCGCCCCGATGTCAGTACACATGTACATAGTTCCCAGTCACTGCAGTACACATGACACACACCCATCCTTTTGGAAACATGTATACTCCTATACTCCTAGTGACTGTGATCTGTTATCAGTGAGGGAGAGCTATACTGGGAAGTGGCTACAATGTAACATCTTTCTGGCGTATTTGACTTATAAAAGCTATACTGTTCTTGTCATGTTTGTTTACCATTAGTGGTCTGAGAACCACTGTGACCGTCTCTGGTGAGCAGCATGTGAGCCTGCGCGGCACAGCACCGTGCGAGTGGACATCGATCAACAATCTTTACCTCCTCTTCATTGCAGCATGACCACTTGTTGGTTGTCCGACTGATTAGTCATTGTGTACATGTGTACGTACGTGTGTTGTCAGATACGGAGGCGGATTGATGAGGAAACGGGCTGCTCAATGTACCACACGCCGATGGGACGCTTTGTCCATGTGCCTCCACGGTTTCCATCATCGAGCTGGAAGACGAACTTTGGCACACCGTGGTGGAAGAACCACAAATACTGTATCGGCATTTTGTCATCGCGAGTTCGACATATCAGGCTGGTGAATACCCTAACCTCTCAAGAACACTGCATTAAGGTATGAATAATGATTGCACATGGACTATTATCATCTCACAGGGGAGGGGAGGGGAGGGGTGGGGGACACACACAGGGGAGGGGAGGGGAGGGGTGGGGGACACACACAGGGAAGGGGAGGGGTGGGGGACACACACAGGGGAGGGGAGGGGTGGGGACACACACAGGGGAGGGGAGGGAGTGGGGTAGAGGTGTATGTTAGGAGTACCGTAAAATCCCGCCACTCGGAGCGCCCCTACCTCCGCGACCCTTCGAGTAGGTCCAGGTGGAGAGAGCGGATGGGCGAGTCCTACTTGCCACATTCAGTACTACATGAAAAAGTACCCCTACGAAAACTATGCGTGCGTCTCGTACACAGACCAAAGGTCAAGAGCAGGGAGTCTTACAGACCCATCAAAACGCAAGGTTTGTGCGATCCCTGGTCAAGGGGGTGGGAACTGTTGCGTACATTTCCAACCAGGCTGAGCACGCGTCTGCAGTACAGTACGGCATCACACTTCACAGACTGGTCATACGAGGATACACTGTACACTGTAGTTTCTCTTTGCGGTTGCAAGTGCCGAATTGGGCCAGCGCCATACATGCCAGGCTTTTTCTGTAGGGTTCATATTTGGTTATAGCATGCTTGCAATGGTGTTGTTGCTGTCTTTCCTTGAAAGACCGGTTGGTGAAGGACAGCCTGAATTATTTATTAACTTGAATTGTGTCTCCCTCATAGTCCTGAGCAGAGTCAAGCTACATCAACCATAGCTCTTGCTGTGTGTTGAACACTGAAGTACAGTGCTGGCAACTGAAATCCGACCCCTTAGCGGTGCAGCCGCATGTAGCGGTCTCTGTTTCGTACTTTTACCATCCCGTGTCGGGTCTTTGTGCGATGTGAGCGCACCGCTCAGGGGTCGGATTTCAGTTGACGGCACTGTACATTTTGGCCAGGGTACACAGCACAGTGAAAACTCAGCTACAAAAGATTACACTGGACCTACCCCATGAAGCCATGTCCAATTTTACTACAGGCTGTGCATCTTCTTCCCTTCCAACACAGGTTTGCGAAGAGGAGACAATCAATGAGATTCTGCTTCGCTATCTGGTCATCAACCAGCATGCAAACAGCTACACATGGAAGTTTGAGGGCAGGAATTTGGACATGGAGCAGACTTTGCAAGAGAATGGTATACCAAATCAAAATGCGGAGTTCTTTCGGCTAGGAATGGACGAAGAACACTGGAGACCGGCAATTCTACTCTATTTCAATGATGATCTATCGGAAATGTAACCAAACAAGGACTATTGGACCGTGCCCTGACTACTAGCTAAAACAGTTGCTCCGCTCCTCTCTATGGATGCACAACACGCAGTCTGAATACTATCAGAATTTCCCAGTCTGGACTAAGCCATCATGATGTTTTGGTCATGTCATCATGTCATTATCGGCTAGCTCACCGCCAAGCAGCCTGACTGCCTCCTGACTCAGCACAAACGGCATATCAGGCGCTGATATCCGAGCCGTGATGATGCGCAATGTACAAAGTGCAACTGACTACGGTGGCATAGGTGGACAGTCAAGACTGGTCGGTGGCTATAGGTCTGTTGCCACATGGAATGCAGCGGCAGAAGCGGTGGTGGTGACAGCAACTGTTGAAGGATTGTGACATCATGCCGGCGAGACGTCATGCCAGTTCCCCGCCATCCATACATGCTGCACGTTTTGAGCATTTCAAAATTCTTTTATTGACCTGGCGGTTTCCCAGCATCCACTACACGAAAGAACTAACGCTGGTGCTATCTCAGATTATGGTCTAGTTGCACTTTTTTAAAACATAAATAGAAATCACTCAGAAACCTTGCATAGTACATGTAGTGGAGAGCAGGAATTAGCAAATACAGCAAATACAGCAAATACAGCAAATACAGCAAATACAGCAAATACAGCAAATACAGCCTACCGGAGATACCTGCAGTGGTGATGTATTGAGAAATGAAGTCAGCCAGCATGTGACCGTGTGTTTCATGAGTAATCTACTAATCGCAGCTTTTTATACGCCGCCACTGGCATATGGTTTCATTTCTAAAAAGCTTAGTCCCTCTTCCACGTCTTGCGTAGATTAGCACAATGTCATGTAACACCGGCGTTCTGTCTGGCTTGTCTATCATTCAGAAGTCTAATCTCGGCTACGTAATTATACCATTGGCCCATGTCTCTTGTACTGCCACAAACACACAAATGATGAAGTGTGGGTGTGAGTATGTGTGTGTGAGTGTGTGTGTGTGTGTGTGTGTGTGTGTGTGTGTGTGTGTGTGTGTGTGTGTGTGTGTGTGTGTGTGTGTGTGTGTGTGTGTGCCAGCTAGTTCGGTTGGTGGGTACACTTATGCTTGATTGTGTTGGGTCTGTTGCCAACGGGCTCGGCTGCTTGAAGGTGTAATGTTGTACCTGCCCCCTTTGTTGGTTCCAGGGTTCATATACTTTCTACTTGAAGTGTACATACCTGTTAGCCATGGACTGCTTCTGGCTAGATTAACTCTTGTGTAATCAATGGTGCTAGTGAAGCTTATCAGATCCACTCTGATTCAGCCACCCACACTAGTAGCAAGTATTACCTTCACTGGGGGCAGGGGTAACTGCAGTTGGATCCCTGGACGGATACCCTGATGCCGTCAATCCTTTTTTCTGCACCTTGTCCTCACCCACTTACTGAGGTGTGGTGAGCCCATAAGTGGGATCATTTTCAAGTCCACCCAGAGTTTTGGGGATTTCAGGGGGTGTCGGCCGTTGGGCGGTTCAATAGCCAATTGAGTCATCTTTCCAAGATTCCTTTTGAGTCTCTCTCCCCTCTCCCGGGGAGACCCACGTGACCAGTTTTGGCAGTGAGCAACAAGTGCGTGTGGGTGTGTGGGTGTACGTGTGTGTGTGTGTGTGTATGTGTGTGTGTGTGTGTGTATGTGTGTGTGTGTGTGTGTGTATGTGTGTGTGTGTATATGTGTGTGTGTGTGTATGTGTGTGTGTGTGTGTATGTGTATATGTGTGTGTATGTGTATATGTGTGTGTGTGTGTGTGTGTATGTGTGTGTGTGTGTATATGTGTGTGTGTGTGTGTGTGTGTGCGTGTGCGTGTGCGTGTGTGTGTGTGTGTGTGCGTGTGCGTGTGCGTGTGCGTGTGCGTGTGTGTGTGTGTGTGTATGTGTGTGTGTGTGTGTGTGTGTGTGTGTGTGTGTGTGTGTGTGTGTGTGTGTGTGTGTGTGTGTGTGCAGGGCCATTGATGGACACCTACTAGTATTCAATTCCGCAGCAGCGGATTGGCATTGCACCTTTAATTAACTGTTACTTTAGCAATCCACCCACCCGAGATGAAAGATTCCGCCTACTTGCGTGAGTCCATCGCACTGGTCGCAGCTCAGTTCTAAGATAGGAATTCAACACTCGAGTACATTATCAAGAGTGTGCGGCTCCTATCTTGAACTGCGATGGACTCGTCCAGGGTGGAATTTTTTCTGCGTCACTCTTTGGGAGAAGTATGATCAAGTACATACATCTTTCTGCGCTTGTTATGAGGATTTTAAAAGTGTCACATCATCAGGTGCAGGATGCGTGGAACTACTGTCTATTATTCTGCTTGCCGTCGCTGCAATGTACAAGTTCTTTGCACTTTCGATCTCTGGCAACGCATGATGGCATCGGTGAGCCCGCAAATGGCTGCGAAAGACGGATGTCTTTAAAAAAAATTGATTGCTGGAAGCTAAAAGTTCTTTGAGTTGCACACTCTTGGTTACCATGGTTACTCCCGGGTCTTTACTGTACTAGTAGCTAGGCGGTGCTGGCTATAGGCTAGCGCACCGCTTTCAAGCGCTGTCTGCAATTTTATCAATATATCCAATGCATTGCTACAAGAGATAATACGTACATAAATGTCATTGAATGCATACGTGACCGGTGCGCGACCACATCCGGCATATGTTCATGTGTATAGATGTGAATGGCCACTTTACCTGCTGCACAAGTAGTACTGTGGACCTGTTGACAGTCATGCCTTTCAGACACACCGGCCGTACGTAATAACCATAGATGCCGGTGGCTTACACTTCATGATTGTGTAGCCACTCTGGACCGGCTGCACGGACATGAACAGGAAGGGAGGAAGTGCTTGCCGCCTAGTGCATGTACTAGCACTATAGCCGTTGTTATTGTATTGTGTAATGTACATGATTGTATGTTTTGATTGTGCTACACCATCTGCACAATATCCGATATATCACTGCAATAGATTATTGCCACTTTATTGGTAAAGAAAGTGTCGCAACATCTTTCTTCGTAATAGATCATTGGTTATAACTTATATAATATATTTTGATTTGATAGCCGATGTCCGGTATATCTGTACATACATGTACATGACATTGTAGGGTAAACCAGAGTGTGCAGCTCTGCTGCATAAAACCGACCCCACCGCGATTTTGTTTGCAGCAATGTGCAACAGAAGTGGGTGATATGGTAAAATGACCACGTGAACCGGCCTGGTCGATGCAGCAAAGGTGAGTCAAATTTCGCTGTGGGATCAATCAAAGAATAATATTACTACTTGTGCCCCACCGCTTTCCAAGTTCCATTTATATGTCTCCGTTAAACTTAAAAAAGTCAATCCTTTATTAAAACGGGTAGTCGACTTACAAGCAAGGTATAACCGCTATTGCACAATATTGATCATCATAGATATTGAACCGGTAAATCGAAGCCCCAAGCGAAACATGTCTAATGCTGCGTTCGTGTTGTCTATTTGGGTGGACTGAGTAGAGAAGAGCAGATGTTGGAAAAAGAAAAGACGTTAGATGGTAACGTTAGTTTACGAATGCAGATCTATCCATTTCGATCTGAGAACGTCGATTTTACAGTATGATGTGCCGTTTTGAATATTTGGGGTAATGCTAGCATTCAATGATGGCTGGCATTATACTGAGTCCCTTTTGTCCAGGTGGCATAATGCTGGCATTATAACACCATTTCGCATGCAAAATTGGCATTACAAGCGTAATTGCCGGTCGACAACGGTGTCATGCATGAAGCTGGCTAGGTCCAGTTCCGAAAATCGTGCATCTGAACCCGTCCGGCTTCGTCCGGAGACTTGACGTTACAAATCAACCTTCTTAGTGGATTGTTTCAGACATGCTCATTGCTGTTTAAGTTTTTCTTCTTCTACGCTTTGGCCTTGATCCAAGACGGCCTTCTTAAATCGACTTTTCCAACTTTCAAACTGGCATTATGGAGTAGTGTGAGCATTATAAGTGGCATGATATCCTCATATTATGAGCATTGCCTTTAGCATTATCGCAGCAACTTGATAACTAGCATTACCCGCCCATGCCTAGCTCTCATGGTCACACCAAGGGTACATAACCCCTGGCCCTCAGGGGGGTTCTTTATTGTGTACCCTTGGTCACACACACATACAGAAATACCGTCACTACCTCTACCAACCTACATACTTCTACCAACGTTCAAGAGTTACTCAGTATTACTTCGAAGTATAATCGGGCTTATATACTCTTGCTTCTACCAGTAGTTCTACTGCCCTCAAACCTGGTAGAGGAAAGTAGGATCTACCGTTTGGGGTAGCCGAAAAAATGTTGGTTTGCGTTGCGCAAACCGTAGTTAACCAGCACGCTACGGGCCGCCCCCCCCCCCCCCCAGGGGAATATTCCCGCTAGCTGACTTTAGGTGACCTTACGCACTCCGCCGTGCCGCCGCAGTCGACTTGCGCAAGCACGCACTCTTGCGGAGTTCCGCATTCGAGTCGCACTCGCGCACGACAGCCCGTACGAGCCACCCTTCGCCTGGCGGATGCATCCGTAGACGGCTCATCTACTGCCGGCTGGTGTAATTTTTGGCCAGTTGTCTGTTTTGCTGTGAGAGCTCGCCACGCAATTTTGTTTCCCACCCTCCCACACCTACCGGACGGAGGGGAGGCACGGGCTCGGCCGATGGGCACGAAATCCGCATGGTGCACATCCAGCGGCTGCCGCAGACAATACAATTAATATACTTGTGGGTACTACCAAGAGTACATAACCCCCCAGAGTGTGCAACTCCCACATACCCTGTTGTCCCGACAGAATTTCAAGTTGACGTCATTATTTATGACGCAATGCTCCTTGCAGCAGTGATTTACAACATGTGTACGGGTGTCAACGCATCACACGTTTTTCTTTGCAATAATTTGTACAGGATCGATCGGCTTCGGTCAACCACAGGTTCCGGATTCGTCTGATAACCCGTGTACAGTGCGCATTGCATCATCAAAATGACGTCAACTTGAAATTCTGTCGGGACAGCACCCATAGTGGAGTTGCACACTCTGGGGGGTTATGTACTCTTGGTACTACCGAGTACTTAGGGGTCATGCAGTTGCCATAGCAATGTACTGGTACACCCAGCCCTTTATGATTGTAAAATGTTACATGACCCCATGGGTCGTCTTTCAAAGGCTCTTTCATAGCCGATAGATGGCGTTATTTGTTCCTTTCATACTATGTTTCAGATGGGCGGGCTTAGACAGCCCAGTCCGATCATTTCACTGTTATAAACTAACTTATATGTCAATATGTGCCATGTCAGATCAAACCGTTACTTTACTTCTGAAGAATGCTGCAGGACATGACGTCAAAATCAGTGAACTTTATTTTTGTCAAGTCAGTAAAAAAGTCAAGAAAAGGAACGAACAGGAACAAAAAATTTGAAATGAACACCCGATATTGACAATGTCAGGGTGATTTCATTTTCAGTTCAAAGTAACTTAGTTTAGTAATGGCTAATGCTACCTATCCGTTCTTATGAAGTGAATATTAGCTGCAAAGACAAGTAGATTTCTTACCTTGGAGGCTGCTGCGAATTCTTGACTGGCTACATGATGCTGCGGACCGTGGTAAGTAGGTGGCCCACGCTGACAAAGATGATATCGTTCGTTTCTCATCCAAGCAGCCTCCTTTTCTTCTGCTTCGACAGGTGCAACGTTGTGCGTCTGTAGTGCCACCCAATAGAACTTATGTAAGTTGGCGTACTCTAGTAAGGAGCCCAAGTGTCTGATGTCCACTGGAAATCGACATCACCACCGAAATCCATGACTTCATGGAATGATGAGTGATGTCAAAGTGCTGTAATTTGAATTTTCTTGACGCAGACGTATTCCTTGAGAAAAAGTGAAATGCTCAAAGTGGCGAAGGTGGATCATTTGATCTGTTCTTGTAGCTGAGCTCTGACGCATTTTTTATTTGGGCTTGACAGTCATAAGCCCAAGGTCATAGCCCTGGGCTGAGTGTGCCAGGCACCAAGAGCACCATCGAATTCTATGTTTTGTAGCTGCAGGCACTAGCAAAGAAGACATATCAATATCCACTGAACACTGTCAATAGTATCAAACCAAGATAACCTCGGTTGACAGCGCGCATGGCCATGGGAACGCAACTTTGTGAAACAACAGCAGACTTTTTTGCCAGTCTGAGTAGCCGTAGCCAAACTCACTGTGGTTATGTATGTGTGCGTGTGTATGTGTACGTGTGCGTGTGTATCTGTGTGTGTGTACGTGTGCGTGTGTATCTGTGTGTGTGTACGTGTGTGTGCGTGTGTATGTGTGTGTTGTTGGTACCTGTTCACAGGCACTATGTTCTGCAGCAGCACCAGTCAGTAGTCTGCCAGCACGGGCCCCAGCAAGCCAACCATTGGTGGTTAGCAACACTGTCAATATTCAGCATCGCTTCATGACAATCAATCAGAAGCTGAAATTCAAAGACCCTCTCAAACAGCCGAAGATGCGTGACGAGGATAAGAAAAAGCCGCAGTATAAGGGTGTGGTGATCAAGCCACTCATCATCAACCCAAAGAAGCCGAACTCTGGAAACCGAAAAGCAGTGCGTGTACGTCTGCCAGCTATCAACAAGGAGGTGATTGCGTACATTCCGGGCATTGGTCACTCCCTGGCTGAACATCAAATTGTTCTAGTACAGCATGGGAAAGTCCCAGACTGTCCTGGTATCCGGTTTATCTGTATCCGTGGCAAGCATGACCTAAAACATGTTGAGAAGAAGAAGTAATGATGAACCACACAACACAACCACTACTGCTACTGCTACTGATGCTGTTGTTGCAGAGAATAAAACTGTGCTTATCTCTGCTGATAATTCCCAATCATTTGCCATTGCGCTAGTCATAGAATTCAATATTTTACAAGCATTTTAAAAATATTCGTCAGTTTGACGCAAAATATCCAGTAAAAAAATGTGTAACTCCCGTGACGTTGTTTAGGGCTATGTGCCAATGTAAGCCGTTTTGTGCATAGCATGGGTTTGTAAATGATGTTCTAGTTTTATGCTGAGTGGGGAGGGGTGACAACTACATAACTATCATAAATGCCAATCATTAAAAAATGATCTCAACGCAGGGAAGCTTGCCGTAGCTAGCAACAGCACTCGCGTATCATAAATAAAAAATCATTTTAAAAGAATTGAGAATTAAAGAACAGAGCCTAGAAATAGTGAAACCTAAGAAATGTGAGAATGAGTCCAGCATGGGGACATGTTATTAACACGAGTAGTACAGCCGGTGGTGATAGGTGACTGTCACCGCTCTAGTTAGCACTGAGCTGTAGAAGCGTAGTTTCGGTACATCTTATTCATCTGCTCCAAGAAGATGAAGGTCAAGACTGTGTGGGGACCGAGCCTCGCATAATACGGCGTGAAACCCTTCCACAAGCTTAAGACGCCTTCACTTCGGATTGTCTTGCTCAGCACATCCTAGTGAGAGGAAAGACAAAGCATCATAAGCACAGCCATACATAAAGTTACACAGTTCATTATTACAAGTGCAGTACATCTACTTCAAAGTACCGGATTTTACCGGTTGTAAGTCGACCCCGGTTATAGGTCGACCCCCGTATCCGGAGGTCTCAATTCTGCGTTTTAAAGTTTTCACCCAAAGAAGCACTACTAACCACTCCCTGCTACTAACACAACAACAAATCATGTAAACATTCCTTATTGGAGGGTATAACATCCCAATCCTTGAAAAAGGCCAATAACTGGCAAAAATGGTGCACTTGTCTGTCCCTCCAGAAACTTGCGGAGACATTTCGGAAATATCGCGGGAAAAGTTGCGAGGTAAAATGCCACAAATTGCGGGGAATATTGCGGATTTTTCAAATATTGCGGGATTATTGTGGTAAAATTGCGGAAATTGCGGCCGATTTTGGTACTTGTACTCTAGTTGTGTACGATGTACGAGTCAGCATAAATCATGCATGACAAAACAGAACTAAACGTGTGCTGCGCTGACTGTGTTCAACTCCCTGACAGGAGCTTGCAAGATAGCTTTCCTCCATTCTCGGACAACACCGGACGCGAGCCATTTTGCGACTTGTCAGCCGCTGATTTGCCCAGAAACTTCTCCATTCTGGTGTCGATCTCACAAGTAAACTACTGACAAGCTTGAAGAACTAAACAACATCGAAGAAAGACTCAAATATCGCGGTTGCTTTTCGAAATATCGTGGTGCTTTTCAAGTATCAAGGACAGTTTTCTACAATAACGCGGATGATTTTTCAAATATCGCGGATATCACGGACTTTTGTTCAAACCGCGGAAAACAATGCGGCCGCGGAATCGCAAGTTCCTGGAGGGACAGACTTGTGCATGCAGTGCAGGTCATTTTTTGCATGATACTGATAGTTCCCGGTTATAAGTCGACCCCCACCCTTTCTCCTATTTTTAGTCGTAAAAGGTCGTATTACAACCGGAAGATTACGGTACATGTAATAATTGATTGAGAAACGAGTTCGAGTTTGCAGAGTGAATGGGAAGAGAGCGGTCTGCTCTGAAAACCTTGTTTTTCCTATGTAATTCACAGTTCATGATAAACACATCCACAGTTGCGCTCAGTGAAATCCGACCCAAAATGCACATTTGGCGCTCTCTACTTGCACGGCCTTTGACGGCCTGGAAGTGGCACGAATGCCGCTGGACGTACAAAGGTACAAATACAATGATGCAAAGGGAACTGATCCAGGGTGCCAGCTTTGCACTTCTGGTCAGATTTTCACCGAGCGCAACTGTACACGTATTATGGAAAGTGCAAGCATGCCTCCAAATTCACTTCGCATACATGTACATTTGCACAGACCACAACAAAGTCTTCAACTAGTAGTATGATGTACTAAAGTGAAAAGAGCAAGCTTGGCAACTCCTGAATGCTGAATACTATTAAAAAAAGTTTCGGCCGGTCTCAGATGAAGACAATTTGCTAGTTTCAAGCTTGATCATCTGCGGCTTTCCTAAAAGACGCGAAACCGGGATATCCCCAAATCTCACCCATCTCGCTCAGCTCACGCAACCGTCGCAGCTGGCTGATTGCAGAAGTGCTCAACTTTCGTGATACGGCATGTGATGCAATTTGGACCTTCTTTGCAGCAAATAATCAGGCATGGTGGTGGCCTGGCACAAGCGAAACCTCCCAAGCTGGATGTGTTTCTCAACACAATTGTAAGCCGGTGGCAACGCAAATGGGCGAACTTTATTATACTTTTTGCAGCACCGTTGCACGGTTCAAGAGTTGCTTGTAGATTTGTTGTACAAGTTGTATCTGGCTACGTAAATACCATGGTGACCTATGCCCTCGCATTGACCTTTGAGGCACATCAGCAAGGCGTCGTCGCATTGCTGGCTTCTTCCGCGAATGGTATTTCTCGAGTTTGCATCGCAAAATGCTTCTGTGAATCGCTTTACATACAGTCATAGCCTAACGCTGCAGTATTAGGATCTATGATCAATTTGGCGCGCACTTTACTAGTACTGTGGCCGGCCGATGGGCATGAGTTATGAAGCAAGTCATTTTTTTACATCAAACACGGAAATTTGTTGGTTTACTGTGCCACAAAGTACAGACACAGTGCATGCACGTGTGTGTGTGTGTGTGTGTGTGTGTGGTGCGTGCGTGTGCGTGGAGGGGGGGGTGGGGGGGGGGGGGTGTGAGGGGATCTACAGTACTTTACAGTACATGCAGTAATAGAGGCACTCCTCAAAATACTTGGCTTGAATTATTAGACGAGGATGGAGTATTTGTTTAAAAGTACATGTAGTGAAATGAACGTAATCATGCAGCAGCAGAATCTAGACCATTGGAACACATATCACTGGGTACAGAGACCTGCTTTCCTAGCACTCCACACGACACAACTAAGTCAAAGATTTCTTCAACTTTCTTCCATTGCACTCACAATTCCACCGCTGTATTCTGGTTTGCCGTCGATGACCTTCATATTCTGAATTCTAAAAGAACAAAAGCACACAGCAGGGTGAAGCATACCATCAATACTTATTAGACATGGCACAGAAGAGGTGTAACGTTGTGTGTGTGTGTGTGTGTGTGTGTATGTACATGTCCAAAGCGCCCTACTGTGGCTGAACGCCAACAATTCAAGTTTCACTGCCAAGTTTGCCACAAACGACGGTTCCGGAGGCGGCAAGATCTGGAACGCCACTTGGAGCATTGCCTTCCTCCCCCCCCCCCCCCCTAACCTCTCTGACAGTACCTCCCATCTGGGAGCGGCGTGGCCAATCCTGGCAGCTGTCAATAGTAGTAGTAGTAGTAGTAGTAGTGTGTACATGTGTGTGTGTGTGCCCCCCCCCCCCCCTTGTGCCTGTGGCGAAGCCCCTCATCTGTGGCACTTGTGCGCGCGGTTTTCGTCGGCCGCAGGATATTGCGAGGCACAAGTGTAACGCTGTTCGCGCGGCCCGCGCGCGCTGAGTATGGCGTTCCCCGCCCGGTGGACAACACGTCTACTGGTCTGCCCCGTATGGGGCCACATAGCCAGTCATGGCAGTGGAAGAAGGGGAGGGGGAGGGTGTGTGTGTGTGTGTATGTGTGTATGTATGTGTGTGTGGTGTGTGGTGTGTGGTGTGTGTGTGTGTGTGTGTGCGCGCGTGTGTGTCCGCGTGTGTGTGAGAGAGAGCGAGAGAGAGAGAGAGAGAGAGAGCGAGAGAGAGAGAGAGAGAGAGCGAGAGAGAGAGAGAGAGAGAGAGAGAGAGAGAGAGAGAGAGAGCGAGAGAGGTTTACGGTCAGTGGTGGAGATGCTGAGGTTGGCTGAGGCATGTCGGATGCATGGAGATTGCCGAAGTTCATCTTGTTTGGTGAGCTGTAGAAGACTCGCCCTCGCCACGGACAACGCAAGCGCTGGTGTGACAACGTGTCTACATGATCTCCGAGAACAGCACATCACTGACTGGTACAGCCTGGCCGAGGACCGCCATGACTGGAGACTGGCCTCTAACACATTACAGCTGCTGCCTAAGCCTATGTCTCGGGACTGCATTTGCCACGGTGCCTGAGAGTTCTCGCAGCACCTTACTCGCCATTCCATGTTCTGTTCTCCGTGATTGGAACACTGGCACTGGCAAGCACACCCTAGGTCATCATGTGTGTTATTCAAACTGATAGAAACGTCTTTGCAATACTAATATCAGGTACATATTTCTGTATTGCAAAGACGTTTCTATCAGCTCGAAAAAGACACAACTAAATTTTTAAAGGGGAAGTTCACCCTACAATGAAAACTTCACAACCTGTAGCGAAAAATGCACTGATTCCAATGGTGAAGGTCCCAGGTTGATCGGAGCAGCCGTTCCCGAGTTATACCAGCTTGAAATTTGCACTAAATTTGGTGACGTCATGCTAACTTGCCCAGACAAGACCGGATTTATGACGTCAGAGAGATAGACTTTGTATGGGAGTAGATGGGGAAATTTCAGTATTTTGGCTCTCCATTGTCCCAAAGAAGTCGGATCTTTTTCAAACTTCGGTATGGGACATATAGCACCCTACCAGTATCCCGACTGGAAAATTCTAGTATGAAGTTCAATGTTGCAGAGAAACAAGAAAGAAATTGGTTTTGCACCTTGCATTGCACCTTCACCATTGGAATCAGTGCATTTTACGCTACAAGTTGTGAACTTCCCCCTTAAACTGAAATGTTTTTTCTCACTTTAACGCGCCTGTGCGATGCGAGTTTATTTGCCAGAGTCTTTGAGTTTAACCAGGTCTAGTGGAGGTCAGTTTTATGCTTCCTGTATGCTGTTTGCACACTTCATCTGTGATTGTGTCCGATTGTGAAGTTTGGTACACATATTGCTTTGCCTATAAGAGCAAGTATTACCTTCACTGGGGGCAGGGGTACCTTGCAGTTGGATCCCGGGACGGATACCCTGATACCGTCAATCCTTTTCTGCACCTTGTCCTCACCCACTTACTGAGGTGTGGTGAGCCCATAAGTGGGATCATTTCAAGTCCACCCTAGTTTGGGGATTTCAGGGGGTGTCGGTCGTTGGGTGGTTCAATAGCCAATTGAGTCATCTTTCCAAGATTCCTTTCGAGTCTCTCTTCCCCTCTCCCGGGGAGACCCACGTGACCAGTTTTGGCAGTGAGCAAGTACAAGTGTGTGTGTGTGTGTGTTCCAACCTGTTGGAAGGCTACCTTCTTGCCAAAGCATTTGGAAGTTTGGACTAGTTTCGGCTCCACAATCCAGTGTGTCATTACTATAATAGCTTTCATGGCCGAGGTTGTTGGTATGTCTGTTGGCCCTGGGTTCCCAGTACTCAGTAGCCAAGGCTGGTTGGTAAAGTAACTCCAATTTCACTTCAAGGTACCAGTGCATCTAGTGTCTGCTTCTACCAAAGCAGCGTGCTGTCTATACTGGTTACCCCAGCAAGTGTAGGGTGTGCATAGGTAACTGTCTTGGCCGTTTTATGCCGATGTACTCCGTGTGGTGTAGACCAGGTGTGCATTGGTGGTCGATTCACATGGCTTCGCCAGTTGTGTGGATTAAACAGTTATCTGGTGCAAGTCTTGATATGTCTCATTCAGATCTTGTTCGCTATCGTTGCTATAAGAGAAAATCTGTGGGTGCACATCCAGTGCATTTGCAGATTTGCGTGCTTCTCTTGCGACGGGCGTATACATGGTACATGGTGTGTGTGTGTGTGTGTATGGTGTGTGCGTGTGTGTATGTGTGTGAGTTTGAATTCCACACTTTCTCAAAAAGTAACAACTTACTGCAGACATTGAATTCCTATAAATCTTATAATAGAACTCACCTCGTTTTAGCGATATCTACAGGCATTGATGCACAAGTTGTCACAAATCCACTGATCATACTAGCACCGAAATGACAAAATATATTATCTTGGAAGTAGCCTTGAGTTGGAAGCGAGAAACACACACAGACACACACACACCACACACACACACACACACACACACGTGCACGCGCACACACACGCGCACACACCAAGTACCGAATGATGATGGTGACGATGATGGGATTCTTCCAAATAGGAACAGGTTACAGGCAATGGGTAAGGAATAAGAGCAAACCAGGCTGGAGTTGTTGATCCTACATTCTTGGGGTGTGCGCACGAGATCACTGAACCAACATAGCAGCTACTGAGTACTGTAGAGTGTAGGTCTAGGAAGACCTGCATGTAGAGTATGAGTATAGATTTAGGAATAGCTACATGCAGTGGCTGTGATGCCAAACTCACCTGTTCCAAGCAGGAACTGTTTGGACTGCGAGTAAGAAGCAAGCTGCGCAGCGTTGACGACCATAGCCCGTGCCATGGTGGGACCGCAGCCCTATCAGCCAGTCAGTCAGTCAGTCAGTCAGCCAGTCAGTCAGCCAGTCAGCCAGCCGGGCAGCCAGTCAGTCAGTCATCCAGCCGGGCAGCCAGGAACAACACAAGAACAACATGTACATGTACACAAGCTATGTCAAGCAATGTACATGGACGCTTAGCACTCTCCTGGAACATCAGTTGCATACACTCGCTATGATTGTTGCTATGGAATGATGATGGAAAATGGCAACCGAATTGCGTTCCAGGAACAAGTTTGCCAAATTGTGTATGCTATGAAGGAGATGGCTTCATAAGACAAAAAAAACACATCGGTGTCTGAAAAGTTGAACCGGAAATGTCCTGATCAACTGTACTGCTGGTTTCTTCGGACATGCTTAGTCAACACCACGTATCACTGGCAGAGTCAAGGAAATTGAATGCAGCCGCACTCAGCATAGATGAATGATGTCCCAATTTATCCAAATAGCTCCATGAATCATCTCACGTAGAACTTCAAGAAATCAAAGCATGATATTACAGAAGTTTCTCGTTGCATCCAATTTGTACAAAAACATGACAATGAACAAATCACATAACGTTATATGTACAATCAGCAGATAGAGTCACGATTAATGAAAAGCAGCCACAAATACATTGTTTACTCCTCACCCTCCACAGAGTGAATAGACCTTCCTCTCTGGTGATGCGTGCTAACGCATTAAACACACTGGTATAGCCCCTTCTCTGCTCCGGTGGCAGCCTGAATCAGCAGTCAGCAATCAGACAGCAATCAGATAGCCGCACAGACAGCCGCACACACACACACACACACACACACACACGCACACACACACACACACACAGAAGGAACATGCAACATGCACACATACATGCAGCGCAGCCTGTCTAAGCCGACTGCAGTGCTCACATACCGGTAATTCCAGACAGTAAAACCTGTAAGTACAGGTAATGACCAACAAGACACGCGACCAACCTGCCACTACCGACAACTACGCCAGACATGGACGCTCTCACATTCACTGTACAAGCCACCATACAAAAGACGGGAGGGGTGTGTTAGCCGCACTTTAAAACGCATAAAATTCAAAAGGCTTAGGGTGCGTTCTTAAATTCTCTAGCTTCTAGGAGAAGAAGTCGAAGAAACTGGGATTCTTCAAGAACGGGTCTTGAAGAATTCGGAGATATTTTGCAAATGTCAAGCAAAATGAAGCGCCAAAGGGGCCGCGATCTTGAGTGCCACGAATATAGTATGCGCTGTGCGTATGCGAAAAGGGAAATCCGTACACTCATGATCAACACGTGGCTTTTAGCCTAGTTCGCATGCGCTGATCCCAAACCGCGGGAATCTCCAAGTTTCAACCACCTCTGAAGCTTGGAGAGCTTTGGAGAGCCTCCTAAAATTCGGAGAGGATATAAGAACAGCTCTCGAACTTTTCGGAGAGTCTCCAACCTTCCTGACAGGATTTAAGAACGCACCCTTAGTCTCCGAATGCTGGATGCGAATCGACCTGCGCGCCATGCGTGTAATGCATGTACGGTGTCATTCGACTACTTTTCATGTAGCACAATCCATCATTCCAACAGCACGAAGCTTGTACATGTTGTCAGTTTAGAATGAAGGACGAACTAGGAAACTTTTGCTAGAACTTCAGTCGCGCTTCTCAACTGTAAAAAAATGTTAAAAACCATTTGCAACGTCTCGTATGTACTGGCATATACTCTGAATGTCAACAAAAATACGAATCTTGGGCCCGAAAGGGGGGGGGGGGGGGTGCTTAGACCCCGATGCAGCTATTACCCCAGAAAATACGGTACACTGCTATCACCACGCACACACACACGTGCACGCACACACACCCTAGTAACAATTGCTGCTCACCTGCCGTCAGAGGTCATGCGAATCAACGAGATCTCCGCTGGTGTACCAACGAAGGCACCAGTTGCGCCTGCAACCATTCCTGAAAATATGGCATGCAAACAATGTGCATGGTCAGAATAGAGATCACCAGTATTGGCAGTAAGAACATGCAGCAGAATGATGCCACAGAGCACAAACACAACCCATCAAATCGTTGCTAAACTACATATCCACGAAAATCACAATGCCAAACATTACAATGAGTACACACACAAACATTACAATGAGTACACACTAGGGGTGAAACGATTAGTTCGAATATTCGAGTATTCGTTTGAAAATCTCAAACGAGCGAGTATTCGAAATTTTGCACTCGATCGTTTTTTTTTTTTTTTTTTTTTTTTTAGTACTGGCCTTTTATTTTTCAAAAACTTCTGTTGTACTGCTCATCGACTGGTATGCATGCCTTATTCGTGCCTTTTAGTCAGTATTTTATGACTTGGACGATGCGATCACCACGGCAAGTAACGTTATTTTGTTTTGAGATAATGAAAGTACTGGTGAAAATCATTACTTTACACTCTGTACAAGACGTTGGCGACTTTTGTTCTATGTTCACAGATAATTTCTTCCGAATTGCTCGAGAACTCACAAATCTAGCGCTTTTGAATTTCGATAAAATACTCGAAATAATCGGATACTCGATCGAATATAATGAATGAGTGATCGATTGGTCAAAATAGATACTCGTTTCACCCCTAGTACACACACAAATGAGTAAATGTAGTGTACGTACTAGTATACCACTACAAGTACTGGTGCTCACAACACAGCTACATTCTGCTCAAACTTCTTCACAAGGTACAATGTACACACATGTACATGTAAAGCCAGAAAGAAATGGTCGAAGGCAACCTGTGTGTGTGTGTGTGTGTGTGTGTGTGTGTGTGTGTGTGTGTGTGTGTGTGTGTGTGTGTGTGTGTGTGTGTAAGTGGGTGAGGACAAGGTGCAGAAAAAGGATTGACGGCATCAGGGTATCCGTCCCGGGATCCAACTGCAGGTACCCCTGCCCCCAGTGAAGGTAATACTTGGTACTAGTGTGGGTGGCTAAATCAGAGTGGATCTGATAAAAGCTTCACTAGCACCATTGATTACACAAGAGTTGAGCCCATAAGTGGGATCATTTCAAGTCCACCCTAGTTTGGGGATTTCAGGGGGTGTCGGCCGTTGGGTGGTTCAATGGCCAATTGAGTCATCTTTCCAAGATTCCTTTTGAGTCTCTCTCCCCTCTCCCGGGGAGACCCACGTGACCAATTTTGGCAGTGAGCAAGTACAAGTACAAGTGTGTGTGTGTGTGCGTGTGTGTGCGTGTGTGTGCACGCGTGCGAGAGAGAGAGAGAGAGAGAGAGAGAGAGCGTGCACGTGCGTGTGTATGTGTGTACGTGTGTATGTGTTTGTGTGTGTGTATGTGTGCCAGCTAGTCCGGTTGGTGGGTACACATACGCCAGATAGTGTTGGGTCTGTTGCCAACAGGCTCGGCTGATTGAAGGTGTATTGTTGTATCTGCCACCTTCGTTGGTTTCAGGGTTCATATACTTTCTATCCGAAGTTAACATACCTATTGACAATGGACTGCTTCTGCTAGTGAAGCTTATATCAGATCCACTCTGATTTAGCCACCCACACTAGTAGCAAGTATTACCTTCACTGGGGGCAGGGCTAACCGCAGTTGGATCCCGGGATGGATACCCTGATGCCGTCAATCCTTTTTCTGCACCTTGCCCCTCGCCCACTAAAACCTAGTTCACAGTCGACGGGGCGCGACGTAAGGATCGACGGGAAGCGACGGGACAGTCTGACGGCGTCCAATGTGAACACCTGGAACGGGAACGCAACCGTACTGCCGTACGGATCGGGAAGCGACGGGAAGAGTTGGATCGATCCAACTTTTCATACCGTAGACGGGCGTAAACGGGGACGCAAGCGTACAAAACAGCTGCATTTTGAGTGTGAACAGGAGACGGCGTCGTGCGCCGACTACTCCCGATTCGCACTTGGAAATGTTTAGCATTTCGAACACTGCGCTTCCCATGATAATTCGCAGAATGGCTAACACGACTCGAGTTGCATTTTAGCAAGATAAGGTCTGATGTCACTTATGGTATTTAGGGATAGTTCAGGAGCGTGACAGAAAAACTGTTTTATCATTTCCTAAGTTAGAGCTATTATTAGAATGGCACACCTTTCGAAGCTACTTTTTTGGCGTTTATGAAAAACTGGTATTGTGAACTTGATTCCGCTTCATTCAAGGAAATAAGTGAAAATAGTCCCGAAAAACAAGAAATACCAAAAGTCACCCTGTCACGGGCCGTGCCTTATGACTGGCGCCGTTCGCTGTTCAACAACTGCAGCATGTCGTGTCGTATGAATCGTACAAGATTTTACAGCCCACCCCAGCCTTCCCGACAAGCCCTTACGTCCCGTACCGTCAGCGTTCTGTCGATTGTGAACTAGGCTTAACTGAGGTGTGGTGAGCCCGTAAGTGGGCTCATTTGCAAGTCCACCCTAGTTTGGGGATTTCAGGGGGTGTCGGCCGTTGGCCGGTTCAATAGCCAATTGAGTCCTCTTTCCAAGATTCCTTTTGAGTTCCTCTCTCCCCTCTCCCGGGGAGACCCACGTGACCAGTTTTGGCAGTGAGCAATTACAGTACAGTACAGTACAGTACAGTACAGTGTGTGTGTGTGTGTGTGTGTGTGTGGTGTGCAGAAAGTGTACATGGCATGCTGGCAGGGGGAATCAACAAGGCTGAAATCATGTGATCCATGGATGCAGGAAATCACAGGTGTTGGAACTTGGAAGCGACATGGTAGTTGCGTATAGGTATTATGTGATAGATGTGCAACCGCTCCATATCAGTACACATACCTATAGAGGCTTTTGTTGCAAAATTGGGTGGTGACCCATCTTGACTGTAGAACAGATACACACCATGCACATACCATGTACATACACATACACATACATGTACACAGCACACACACGCACAAGCACATGCACACACAGTTCACAGCATACACAGTTACATAAAAGCAAGGGGGATCCTGTATTGACCGGACAATTTTTCATGCACCAAAGTGCTGTGGAACGAATGAGCATCCCTGGATCAATCGGAATCCGGTCATATCAGGACAGTTTCCTCTGCACCAAGGGCGTCCGGTTAGGGCAGGCTTTGCTGTATATCACTATTATGTACAGTCATTTGCCGGTTTGGGCAGCCAGAATTCGTTAAAAACGTGCACTTTGAAAAGTGCGGGCAGGACAAGCCAATACATGCCAAAACAGCGCAGCAATGAAGGCATGCATCAGAGCCGGTATTGCCTACGCTCTTAGCTTTACAACGCTCTGATCCGCGATGGGTAGCGGTTGGCTGTTCTCATGACAACTCCCTTGTGACATGCAGTGCAGCATACGCTACATACGCCTACACTGTGCGGATGCATGCACTATCGCCATAGGTTCGATGAGTGCAGTTTACCGTAAACATTCCGAATAAAGGAGCTGGCTGAGCCAGTATCCTTGGCTGCAAAAATGAAAATAGGGTGACATTTGTACACTGCGTCGCGTCACATGACTTTCCGAAGTAGACTGAAAAGGGCTACGCTCCGCCCCTGACGTCTCTAATCTCAACTATACTGTATGATGGATACACAGTGACACTCAGCGCCATATCTCACAGCACAGTCTCACTAGTGCTTTCAAAGAAACAACAAGCAAAGGCACATGGATCACTGGGCAGGGACAACAAAGGCAAGCCACACCAGCCCACTCGCCCACTCACCCTGAGGTCAGATCGAATAGGGTGGAGTATATACCTAGACGTGTCGTTGTGTAAGTGGCCTGTCTGAAGAGACCGGCACTCAACCTGTCACAGCCAACAAACAAACAAACAACAACAACAACAACAGCCACAGCAAAATCATGTGCTATGACAATTTTCCCTTCATGGGACCGCCAAAGCAGTACGTCTTATGCAGGCCGCACTCAATCTGAGGACAGAACTGTTTCGTCCTTTGTGGACTCCTCAGCTCAGCACAAAGAAAATGAACCTGATAGCAATGAAACATCCAAAGCCAGATTTAAACCAGGTCCGAATGTACCTTGCCAGAGTGCTCAAACTGACAAGTAAGTGAGCTGTGCATAGTGCAATCAGCAAAGGCATTACCATGATGTATGTTTTACCCCAAGTCCTCGGAATAGTACACTTTTGTATGTGCTCTAGCCTCTTATGGAGGAGAAATCAGTGCCATAAGATGCGTACATAATCCAGGCAAGAACGTAGCAATGCCTGTTCATACTGGCAAATTAAAATAAAATATACCAAACAACCAACATAATAGCCAGGTGTACTGTTGTGGACATTGAATCCGTTGAGATGTCAAGCGGCCACGGGGCGCTGGCTTTGCAGCCGTGAGCACTGCTGGTCCATTTCTGCAATGTGAACTACAGTGTGTGTACACGCTAAGGCAGTAAGCGCGCTGGCCCCGGCCATTCCACCGGATTTCAATGTCCACAACAGTTCATCTTATCCGAATCCGTACTAAACGATTTTCACTGTACAGTAAACCTCCCCAGATCCGGGTGTCCCTAATCCAGGCATGTCTGTCTACTGGGCACCTTTCTGACCCACCTACAGTCACAAAATTGGCTTTTTGATGAAAAACGGCCCCAAAAACTATTGATCGGCAAAAAAATCACTTGCTTGCATGCAGTAAGTATGCAAGTTGTGAGTTGCAGGCAGTGCTCGGTCCCAGCCTGCCCAGATCGGTGGGAGTTTCACTGTAGTCGTGGTAGTGGTCAACAAAGGGCTGCTTGACAGGCATTGGGCGCTTTCGATTACACGTTTACACAATTCTGGAACTGTTTTTTAAAATTCTGGAATGACCAGAATGAGCGGATTCCGGCCTTGTAAACGAACGACTGGAATTCACAACGCATTTTATTCATGTCATGTCACAAACAAAATTGATGAATCGTAAAAAAGAGATCACGTACACCCTCGCGCGCACGTGGACCCAGCATCGCGCACACGCCGGCCAGGGAGGCTCTTCGCGCGCTTGAGTCATGACCAGACCGGTAACACACCGACCGTGCAATTCTGGCGCCAGAATTAGAGAAATTCCGCCCTCTCTTCAGAATTGATGTATTTGACGGAATTGAATAAAATCAATTCTAACTACGGAATTTGTCACTTTTGTGTAATCGAACTGTGCATCAACAATAACTAATTCTAGAATGGACCGAAATGCGTGTAATCGAAGCGCCCAATTGAAAGATTAAGCTTGCTCAGTGCTGGACACTGGCAGGCAACAACACACAGATTCTGATGTGAAGCTGATTGGACTTCAGAACAGAGTACTAACATACACATATACATGTACATGGAGACAAAGCAATCCTTTCCATGTGCAGAGTAAGCACGGTGTTTCAATGGAGAAGACCATGGGCCAGACGTAGAGTGAGAAGCCGCATTGGGAAATAACGTGTAGAGTGAATAGTGATCCGTTAGGCCTATCCAGCCAACCAATTGCAGGGTTTGGGAGAAAGGAAGCGGGCTTTACACCCAGTAAGCCATGCGAAACCACCCAGAAACTGGCCATGGCAAATGTCCCATCACAGACACTTTGTCCCATGACAACGTGTAGCACACCTACAGGGAAAGAAAGTCAGACTGCAAGTCGGACTGTAAGTCAGACTGCAAGTCAGACTGCAAGTCAGACTGCAAGTCAGACTGTAAGTCAGAGTGCTGGACAAACTGCTGGACAGCAGGAAAAGATTGACTGCTGCTGCTACATACCCTGTGTACATTCCACGTAGGCCTTCCTTCTGGAAGATCTTTAAGACAGCATGAAAACTAGTCTTGTGCTCACGGACCTTTCCACCTTCACCTGCAATTAGCACCACACACACACACACACACACACACACACACACACACACACACACACACACACACACGCGCGCGCACACACACGCGCACACATACATACACACACAGAGCTAAAAACACTGTAGCATACTCTATGTAGTACCGTAAAATTCCGTAAATAAGCCCACTCTAAATAACGCCCATGTCCGATAATAAGCCCAGTTTTAGGCGGTGTACACTTCAAGTTCGTTTTAGCGCCCATGCCCGAAATAAGCCCAGGGCGTAAAGTGGACTCAAAATGACCAGCGCGTGAGCGTGCGTTCGCGTACAAACTGTAGAACAGTTGTAGATCGAGTGCGTGCCATCCAACTGCACGCAGCACAGTGCAGAACTCAACACTGTTAAGGCGCGCGAGGACAGGGATGTTCCGTTGGAATGTAGCAAACTGCCAAAAAATGTAGCAAAACATGTCGCGCTTACCTGTACGTAGTGGCTCGTAGTGGTGCGTGAGGAGGAAGCGCTTCCCTCCGTTTTGACTCCTGGCGGCTTTTTGTTTTCACATTTCAGTAGTGGTCTTGAGTGCCAGGTAGAAGTTTCAGCAATGGCGAATTCTCAGAGGAAGTCTCATACCAGAGAATTCAAAATCGAAGTTATAGAGTGGCTGAAGAAAAACGGGAACAATGTCTCAGCTACGGCACGAAAATTCAGTGTCGCTAACAAAAGAGTCCGCGAGTGGAGGGCAAACGAGAAACAGATCCGAGAAATGGGCAGAGAAGCTAGAGCTTCTGGTCGTGGCCGGACTGCCTTCTTTCCGCTGATGGAAGAGCATCTTCATAAAGACTTTTTAGCATTGCGACGTGAAGGGAAGAAAGTTCGCCGTTGGTGGTTCGAGAACCGTGGCAAGCAGCTGATAAAGGAACACTACCCAACTGCCGACAACTTCCAGTTCTCCGATCACTGGTTCCGACGTTTTCGGCTCCGCTACAAGATCAGTCTGAGAGTCGAGACTCATGTGTCCCAGAAGTGCCCATCGTCGCTCCAGTCTGTAATTTGTAAATTTCACTCAGAGCTCCATGATGTTCGGCAGGGTGGCAAATTCGCTTTGGGCGACATCGCCAATATGGATCAGACACCTCTGCCCTTCGTGCTGAACGATGGAAAGACCTACGACGAAACCGGTAGTAGTGAGATCTGGTGTGCTAGTGCTGCTTCTGGACTTGATAAGCGACAGTGCACTGTTCAGCTGACTGCTTTCGCGGACGGTGTCGCTCGCGTGCGCCCTCTAGTAATTTTCCGAGGTCAGGGCAAGCGAATTGCCAAGAAGGAGAGCGATGCCTGGGACAGTCGGGTGAAGGTGATGTTCCAGCCAAATGCTTGGTGTGACGAGGAGATCATGAAAGCCTGGATCGACAGTGAGTGGGGGAACGTGTTCACCAACAAGCCGACGCCAGGCTCCACCGGCAAGATTCTGGTCCTGGACATGCACCGCGCCCAGCAAACTGATGCTGTGAAAGCTGCGTTGAAGCGGCACAAGACAACGCTGGTGTCAATTCCCGGTGGGTGCACCAGCCGCATCCAGCCGCTGGACGTCAGCTTGAACAAGCCCTTCAAAACCGCCGTCCATGCTCAGGTTTGACAAGCACATGTTTGAGAACCTGCAGCTGTACACGGACGGTGGTATCAGTGCGTCAGAGCGTAGGGTCCTCATGACAAAGTGGATAGCGACCGCCTGGCATGACGTGTGTACCAAGAAGGAGATGGTGGTGCGGTCGTTTAAGAAGTGTGGCCTGTCCCTGAAGCTGGACGGCTCCGAAGATGACCACCTGAATGTCGAGGGGCTCCCTGAGTACAGATACAGAGTGGCGGTAGAGGCTGGCACGGAGGATGAGGACACTACCGAGTTTGATGTCGCTGCGGAGAGTGACCCTGAGTTCCATGCTCCTGCTGATGTGGAGGAAGACGTCACTACTGATGCTGTTGCTGCTGAAGCTGTTGCTGTTGAAACTGTCGCTACTGATCATGCAGACGACCAACCTGCAATTGTCATGCTTGATTGAGACATTCTGTTTGCTACCGGTACGAAATTTGCGTTTGTCATCAAGTGCTCTGCCTTACCGCTTCCTTCTGTTAATTCTTCTGCTTTCTTCGGTTGATCTGTTGATTCTTGTGTCATGTAGTTTGTTGCCTTACCTGCTCATAATTCTTCCAGCAGTATCATGACGTTTTGCCGCCTGACTATCATCTGCCTGCTTTAATTTCAGTGTCATCTAGTTTTCTGCCTTACCTGCTTCAGCGTCACGACGTTTTCAGCCATGCCGGTGCCTGTTGTGCCTTGTACTTACCATAGCAAGTGGTTTACCTATCAAATCTGTAATTTATCGCTACATTCTTGGTTACGACCAAATTTCCAGCTGTGGTTTGATGTACCTGTACCGCGCTCAGTGTGAATGATGGCTCACTGAAACTAGTGGGTTGCTGATAGATTGATCTTCTGCAGATTGCGTCCGAAATAACGCCCATGCCCTAAAATAAGCCCATGCCCAAATATAGTAATATACGCCCGGTTTTTGACGCTCTGCAAAGTATACGCCCGGGGCTTATTAACGGAATTTTACGGTAGTCTTCTACCTCTAAGAACAACTGCTAATAGAATCGTAAATCTGAAACGCAATGAGATCCATGGCTCAGGTTCCAAATTCCTATTTCAATCCTTCGTATTTAAGCTGCAATTCTTCATCACAGTAATAGGTTATTGGTTTCTCACTACATCCAATAGATGAATGCAGTAGGTGTATTACCCACGAGGCAAGGCAATACCATAGCAGAGAACAACAATGCTGCTCTCAAACAATTCAGCGTACACATTAAGCAATGCTTGAGGGTGGCGCCGAAGACACCATGCACAAGACAAGTCACAAGAGTGCTTTGACCATATATCACCAAAAATGCCCCCACCATCTAGAGTGTGACATGGGTGAATGAATCTACTATCATTAGTGATATTCAGCTGCTTATTGCTGCATTGACAGATGGGCAGAGTGGGGAGAGAGAGAGAGAGAGATTATGTGTGTGTGTGTGTGTGTGTGTGTGTGTGTGTGTGTGTGTATGTGCGTGCATGTGTGTGTGTGTGTGTGTGTGTGTGTGTGTGTGTGTGTGTATGTGTGTGTGTATGTGTGTGTGTATGTGTGTGTGTGGGCGACCAACACCATTGCCTAACAGATTCCCAGTTTGCTGACGACTCTTGCCTATTCGCTACGACTCGGTCTGGAGCGGGGGCAGCATTGTGCTGTCTTCACGAGGTGGCGTCGGGATTCAGCTTGACCGTCAGCGCAACGAAGACTCAGTTTGTAGTTGTTGGCCCCAACATCACGCCTACTGACCGCGCTCCCCTCCAACTTGGTCAGCCGGAGGTGGAATGCGTACCGCAATTCAAGTACCTCGGTTCTATAGTAGTGGACAACGGTTGCCGTTCGTCCCGGGACATCGCCGCAAGGATTGCCCAAGCCTCCGGGCCTGCGGTGCTCTTCGGAAGTCTGTATTCTCCAATCCACATCTGATGATGCACACCAAGCGGTGCGTATCCAATGCTTGCATTCTGTCCCTGCTGTTGTATGGCTCTGAGTGCTGGACGCCCTTCAACATGACCTGCAGCAGCGCTCAACCTTCAGCATGAGGTGCATCCGATCCATCATCGGGGTCTCTCGAAGCCGGATGTGGGACGAACACATCACCAACGAAGAGCTGCTGGTGCGCTGGGGAGACTCTGAGACGATTAAAAACAAGATTGCACATCGGCGGTTGGAGTGGTTGGGGCATGTGGCGCGGATGCCGGACAACCGCATCCCGAAACAGGTGCTGTTTGGCTCCTTCTTGCAGCGTCGCCCGGCACATGGCCCACACCGCAGGTGGAAGGACTGTGCTGTCCGGGATCTACGTGCCCGTGGTGTGGAGGCATCATGGTATGATGTTGCATGTGAGTCTCACGCGGAGTGGCGCAGCACCTACCAAGAGCCTGACAATGCGCCTGAGCCTCCGCCCCGAGTGGTATGTACGGTATGCGGACGGGATTTTGCACGGAAAGGAGGCATGGCTCGGCATAAGTGTCTGGAGAAGCGTGCGCGGCCTGTGTCTGAGCAGCGGGCGCCAGTCAGTGCGAGCGGTGTGGGCGGTGGCTGAGAAGCTACGGTGGCTTGGTCCGGCATGTGTGTGCCTCGACGGTGGATGCCACAGTGCCACCTGGAGCTACCGGAACGTCGGCACCGGCGGAGGGATGTTGTGCCGCGCATTGTGACAGGTGTGGTCGCTGCTTTCACGGTGGCCGGGGACGGGGCAGGCATCGCTGTTCAAAGGTGGCCCATAGACCAACAGCAGAGGAGTGTCAACCTTCCAGCACGTGTGCATGAGCGGATGCGACTACCCGTGCACCTGGAGGGTCATCGGGCGTCGTGCCCTCTCTCTCTCTTCTCAAGTTTCCCAGTGATGGGATCACGTGACCCTTTTGCGGCAGTGACTCTACAGGACAGGTGTGTGTGTGTGTGTGTGTGTGTGTGTGTGTGTGTGTGTGTGTGTGTGTGTGTGTGTGTGTGTGTGTGTGTCAGAGGTCTAGCCAGGATTTTATGCCAGCCGGCCAACGTTCTAGTGAAAATGCATCGTTCTGGGGGCACAGCCCCCAGACCCCCGCCATCAGTCACATATCAACACAGACACACACACACCACTACAAATCTTTCATTGCAGCTTGCATCTCCTTTCGCTTCGTCCAATTATGGACATTCATCAGGCAGTTGTGACAATGTGATCATAGGTGAATTAACAAAATATGAATGATGCCGATGGTCATGTGTTCCGAAATGCAGCATGCACAAGACCCAGCCTAGCCATGAATGGCCCACGATATGACAGTCCAGAGTCTGTAGCTGTCAGTGTCACAGCCGTGTACCAAGTGCATTTGAGCGTGAGTGAAGAGCTAGCCAGTGCTACGTACTGTACATACCTATGCCTACGGATATGGGTTGTACTCCACCATCTTGACTCAAGTGCTAGTGCAGTGCACTACAGTCTACATGCGTGACCTCAAGAATCTACGCAAGTACAGTGCACTAGTGCAGTGCCAGTTCAGTGGAAGTTTTCGCTGCCGCCGTGCTGGTCGTTCTGTTTCCACGATTATTGGGACATTGTAGTGGCAGAAACTGGACCTATTTTCGACAGCTGACAGTGGTCGACTCTTACCTTGGCGGAGGATAGTGGGCTTGGTGACATGATTGAAAAGAAAAATGATCCCGAACACAGCATGCTACAAATACTTGTACTTGTAGAAACTGAAAATCTCTCTAAATCTCAATTGTTTGCCAGCCAGCCAAAATAACCCTTGGAGCTGTCTCAGCCGGCAGGTCGCCCTCCCAGCCGGCATTCTGCCGGCTGAGCCGGCTAGGTCGCTGGTGTGTGTGTGTGTGTGTGTGTGTGTGTGAGTGAGAGAGGGAGAGGGGGAGAGAGAGAGAGAGAGAGAGAGAGAGAGAAAAAGAGAGAGAGAGTTCCAGGACCTCCCCCCCCCCCCCCCCCAATGTATTTATAAATATAAAACCACTCGCAAGTGCCCATAACAGATAAGCGCCCCTCCAAGCCAATCTACCTATGTATCCGTATTGCGAATGCTTTTTCATCAGTCCCAATAACACGCATGATGACCTTGGTAAAAACTAAAAACAAAGCATGGCGAGGACCTTTTTTTCTAACAGCAGTGATCATCATCCGAGCTTCACATTGTCAATTGGAGGCCATCCACATATCCAGACGCCATCCGAAGGTTAACAATGATCCTGGTTGGAGGCTACTTGACAATTCACAATTCACAATGTGACACTTTGATAATGATCACGGTTACTGTTGCCACTGACCTGTCCTGTTGTCACCAAGTATTTGTTCACGCCATTGTTACTAGTATACAGTTCAGCACAATGTTGTAGCGTAGGTGCAGTTTAGTGACAGAATTTCATCTGTTTGTCATAGTCCCATCACTCCTCACACCTCGTTTCCAGGCATGTTGTTTTTTTCTTCTTCTGTTTTCTGTTTTTGCACACGTGTTATTGTGAGTGCGAGCACGTGTGAGTGTGAATGTGTATCTGTGTTTGTGTTTGGGCGTGTTCATGCGCGTGTGTGTGCCTGTGCCTTAAGGATGGTATATTCTTATCACGAATGGTGTAGCTTCAGTCCACCTTGTGTAGCATGATTATAGGATATAGGTCCACCTCACTTGTTTTTTCTCCTCAATCCCGATGATGGCTCCTCGTCAAAAAATTGATTGAGAAATTAGTAAGTAATTTGCAGTGAAGACTGAAGAGACCACTTGATTTAAGGATGGAGTGTGTATGGTTTTCAGTATAACAGGGGCGTGCTCGGCCCCCCAACTAGGGGGGTGCACGGGAGCCGAGGGGAGCCACCGCCGGCAATTTTCTGCAATTTGTTTGCAACCTTTCTTGAATTTTAGAGCATATTTGCATACATTACAATTGCAATTACCCAGATTGAAATTTTGGGGGGGGGGGGTGCACGTGCCCATCGCCGAGCACGCGCCTGAGTATAATTACCACGTCTAAAATCCAGGAACACTGAAGACTGACATATGCGCCCCCCCAAGTACTCACCGCTCATCTGCATTCGGTTCTTCACCAAGTCCAGGGGTTGTACGAACACTGTAGCAGCCATTCTAATAAATATAAGGGCATAAGCAGAATAACAGAACTGATCATCACCTGCGAATGTAGCCAGCGTGAAACGAAGACAAAGAAAAGTTTGGTTTTGCTGTGAAGTGACACACATGTGCTCTGTCTTACCCAGCTGTGCCGCCAAACAAAAACTTTATGCCCTTTGGAGTGGGCGCTTGTTTCGGACTAGAAGCCATGCCACAAGCAATATTAGTACACAGCCCCACCAACTCAAATATCCTCACGAAAAATTGGCTCAAGAAATGCCAATCAAGAAAGTAATTTTCAAATCAACAACTCGAACTCAGAAAGCCCAAAGCGCGACATGCACGCGGCAAAACTCGTTGATAGGCTAGCACATGACCAGATGACTACGTAGATCTACGTATACGTGTACGTAGATGTGTAGAGTCGTAGATCTACGGGTTGCCACGCGATATGCATGCTGCATGGCGTGCATATTATGCATATCCTGTGCACGCTTTTCTTTGCATGCGCATGCATGCATATTCGATATTCATGATGCATGCGCATGCAAAGAAAAGCGTGCGCAGGATATGCACGTGCGCGTGCACGCGCTTGGCGGACGCGGGGCCGGCCCCGGCCCGGGCGTTCATAATGCTGATTACCGGTATAATCAAGAGTACATAACCCCCCGGGCGGGGGGTTATGTACTCTTGGTGTAATGCTTCAACAAGGGCCATTGCTCTTGGTTTGGGTCAAATGGGGAGAGAGGCTATAATATCCAATCTGCCGCTGAAGCCACCGCAATAGTTTTCACCAGCTCCACCACCTTTTGCCACTTCAAGACCCATCTACAAGAGAGGTGACAAGTCCATTGCTAGCAACTACAGCAGTACAGGCCGATATCACTGTTGCCCCAGATGGCTAAGCTTCTGGAGACACTGGTACATGAACAACTCATGGACCACATCTACACTGCTCCGAATGCGACACCACTACTCCCTCCGGAGCAATTTGCGTATCGGAAACACCACTCCTGTGAAGACCTACTGGCGTGTGTAGTGAATGACTGGCACACATCCCTTGATCAGGGACACTTTGTTGTTGCCGCATTCCTGGACATGTCCAAGGCATTTGACTCGGTAAACCATAGCATGCTCCTACAAGAATTGACAGACATTGGCGTGGGAGGTACAGCTTTGCACTGGTTCCTTACATACCTACAGAACCGGGAACAGCGCGTCGTCACGAAGACAGCTCAGGGGGACACATATGCAGGAAACAGAGGTGTGCCGCAAGGCTCTGTCCTTGGGCCCTCTTTATTCAATTTATCAGTTCGTAATCTTCCCTCGGCAACGAAGCACTGCAAGGCACGGCAATATGCAGATGATGTTTCCCTCTACAAAGCTGGCAAGGACCTGAACCAAATCACACTCGACCTCGCTGAGGATATCAGGGGCGTACATAGGGCGGTTCCCGGGATGCCCGGGAACCAGTAAAAAGAATTCGATGTGGGTACGGAGAATGTTTTGACCCAGGCCCAGCGTGCAGCGCATGCATGCCTAGCCTAGGGCTAGGTGACTGCAGTCCGCCTGGCGGTTCGAGAAGGGTGACAGGTGTAAAAGTGCTGCTGAGCCTGGGGCATTTTTGTGACACAGCGTAGATCTACTGAACTGACTAGGTGCAACAAAGTCTCTACATACGAGTTACATCGATTCTTCGATCTCAGAGTCATTTCCTTTGCAGTTTGTTTCGACAAAGTTGGTTACGTTTTTGACGATGCTTTCGCTTTGTGGGAAAAAAAATGAAGAGTCGACATCCAGAGGGCCAGCGCTCTATTCAGACCTATTTTGAGCAGGAGGCAAAGCGTGTAGCCAGTGTGAGAAAGGTCAAGCGATAGATGAGATTGCGGACGCACCTGACTTGCAAGTGGAGTCTGCAACGAGCAGCACAGAGGACGGAATCGTCGGCGAAGCTGTAGAGCGACCGTTGTTGGAAGCTGCTGGATCATCCAAGACTTACTTCAGTGACATAGGAGTGTGTTGGAAAGGATATTCTGAAAGTGTACTTCCACAGTGGAATCCTTGATTCCCCGAAATTTGCCGGACATGGAAAAGATTGCCATCATGGACAATCATTGTGTGCCACTGAAGGCGAAGGATTTCGTTTCCTGTGCGTGTCCAGCCGGATAAACAGCGCCGCTTTCAACTATCCTGGTTGGAGGAGTTTCCCTTGGTAGTCTTTTGACCGGCGTGCCATGGTGGCTTCTGCTTGCCCTGTGTAATGTTTGCTCCAGATGATTCGAAGCTTAGGCAGCTTTACCGCAGTCCTCTCGAGAATATAACCCGACTCAAGACTGCATGAAATCGTCCTGCTGAACAAAACATCCATAAAAATGCCTTGGCAAAAGCTCAGTCTTTTGAAATCAAATATGCGTAGCAGTGACATTATCCATCAATTTATGCAGAAACTATGTCGGATGCGTATAAGAGCACTAGCAATTGTGTGGAATGTTGGTTGATCAGTTGGCATGGGAACCACTCCTGGAGGCGAGCGGTGTACGCCCCTGGATATTACCATTGTTCGTGATTTCCTGGCTGCACGAGGTCTCTGCCTCAATCCTGACAAGACTCAGTTCATAATCTTCAGGTCGAAGTTCACACCTTTGACCCCTGACGTCAGCCTTCAACTGAACAACACCTCAATTGCCCCTTTGCCTGAAGTGAAGTACCTTGGCATCGTTTTGGATGAACACCTTACTTTCGGTGCCCACATCGCCCACCTTGAGCGCAAGATTGGAAACAAGATCGCCGTGTTCAGGAAGATACGACACCAACTCACGGAGCACGCCAAGAAAACATTCTACATATCGTCCATCCAATCAGTTCTCGAGTACGGGTCGAATGCGTTTGCTCACTGCCTTCGTGAGGGTCAATATGAGCGCCTGGTTCGCTTGAGTAGACGTGCCTTGCGCACGGTGTTCAATCTCACTCGCTTCAACAGCATCAGTGCACTACAAAAACGCAACCATTTACTCCCACTCGCCGCTCGGTATCAGCTCAGACTTTTTGTTCTTATTTTCCGTTCACTGAATGATCTCGCAAGCCCCCTACTCTCTAGTTGTTTTTCGTTGCGCAGTGCATCGTCACATACAAACTCCTGTACACGCTCTCAAGTTTCTGCAGCCCTTACTCTTCCCCCTGCTTCAAATCGGTATGGTCTTTTTTCTCTTAGTTTTCTAGGCTCAGATCGTTGGAACTCTTTACCTGCTGACATTCGCCTATGCACATCTGTTTCTCGCTTCCGTAACCTTGTATTGGCACATTTAGGGTACCCTGTAAGAAGGCCTTAGGCCTGTGGGGATTGCCCTATCAAAAATTTAATAATAATAATAATAATAATAAAGACATAATGGATTCTCCAGTGGCTGTTCTCTATCATGCAGTTTGACGCAGGGCTATGCGTATTCATCTTGATGTGCACCGCCTTATTGTAGGCCCCATGACCCATGTACCCCGTATAACGTGGCGAACTTGAGAGTGAGGGACAGCAAGGGGCTTACAACTGTAGTGATGCTTATAAGGATGGGCAAAATCGTTGGACGGGACGGAACAGAACTACCAGAGACTGCTTTCCAGTCACAGCCTCAGCCAAAAATACGATGTGCTCTACTGACTCATACTCATAGTCATACCAAGACGGCAAGAGTACATCATGTGCTCTTGGTCATATATCATACTCATACTGACTGACTGCACTGAGTCATAGCAAGAGATCAACACCGCTTGCTCAGTTGCTGGGTGCGAACTAGGTTCGGTTTGGGGTTTCCCCGATTTCATGGAGAGTTCGCTTCTAGAACATCGTGGTGATCAAGACTCAAGTCAAGAGTGTACATGTAGTAGAACTCGTACAAGACTTGGCTGGTCCACCGACTGTCATCAGTCAGTGCAGTACTAGATTCTATGACTCTACATAATTATACGTAGTAGCAAGAGTACATAACCCCCCTCGGGGGCGGTTATGTACTCTTGGTAGTAGCTATGTAGTGTCATGTACATGACTCACTGTACGAAAGTGTCTATTTTTCCGATTGATTATCGTTGGTAAAATCCTCAATAGAGAGAAGTAGGGTGGACACACCCATTCCCACAGCACTGCAAAACCAAACCGATTCCTTTTATGTACAACGTTTCGGCAAAATTGCCATCGTCAGGTACGAACTACGAAATGAAACAATGATGCCATGTCAGCCAAAAAGAAGCAGTTTTATGCAAAAGTCCTACCGCCAAAACAGCATAATCCCGCATATATTAACGCCAGCACCAAAACATATCGTAAGAACAAATCCTACCGCCAAACACAGCATGATCTGGCGCAATACGAATGACAGGTACAGCGAGTTGAGCTTCAAAGGTGTAGGTGAGATAATCACCACCGGAACCAAAGCATATTGTCAGATTCCGAGTCATTTTCACTTTCCTAACACCTGTACATGTATTGCACACCTACAGTGTATGTCTTACACTTCGTGCATGCATACTGCAAGACGGGCATGGCAGTGAGGGAAGCTTCCCAAGTGTACCGTATTTTTCTGGGTTGTAAGTCGACCTTTTACGACTAAAAATAGAAGGAGAAAGGGTGGGGGTCGACTTACAACCGGGATTCGACTTATAACCGGGAACTATCAGAATCTTACAAAAAATGACCTGCCCTGCATGCATGAGTGAGTGCACCATGTGTACACATGTTTGCCAGTTTATTGGCCTTTTTCAAGGATTGGGACGTTATACCCTCCAATAAGGAATGTTTACATGATTTGTTGATGTGTTAGTAGCAGGGAGTGGTTGGTAGTGCTTCGTTGGGTGAAAACGTTAAAACGCAGAATTGAGACCTCCGGATACGGGGGTCGACCTATAACTGGGGTCGACTTACAACCGGTAAAATACGGTAAGTGTTCGTATTCAGGGATGACGGCTCTGTGGCTATTCCATTATAATGATTGTCCAATTCAGTTATTATGAAGGAAACAGTTGATATCATCCAAATAATTATTTGTTTCTCCTACAATAGTTCCCATCCGGTGCCGGTGTTAACGTGGGGCCTAGTGTCGCGGATCTCGATGGCTTCACGTAGTTTGCGGCGGGCTCTATCTGGCTCCCTGGCAACAACGGCAACTGCAGAGAACGCACTCTGACCGCATACCAAATTGCAATCTGGGTGGTTCGTACGGAAATGGTCTCCCCATGGCTTGTCTCTTGTCTGCCTTCTCGCCTCACCATTACCGGTATGTTCCTCGAGCCGTTTCTCAAGGAAGCAACCAGTCTCGCCGACATTCTGTTCAGGACATTCCTTGCACTTAATCTCATATACTACATTCTTCTGCATGAGACATTCTCTCCACCTGACATGCAGGTCAAGCACGGACCCTTTGGTCGACCTCTTTTCCTTGGCTGTAGTGGGTCCTGCCTTTGACGCACATCGGTCGAGTCAAGGCGGAACGACACAGTGTACGCCTCAAGCTACCGGTATGCTCATACACAAGTCTCACAGGGATGTTGTATTTTCAGATGGCTTTATGAGCAGCATGATGTGACAGTTACTTGACCAGACTTGTAAGGCAGTTTCAGGAACGCACAGCATGGATTTGCTCTTCAAGAACGAGTCGACGGCGCTTTGGCTTGCTGGATACTGAGCGTGCTTCTTCTATCATTCTACATGGGTTATTGTTTAGTCGAAGTTGTTCATAAATCATTTGTTCACTTTCTGCACGCATGCGGGGATTTGATGAAAGTCTCTGCGCCCTGAGGAATTGGGAAGATGCGACAGCCAACTACATGTGAAAGGGAACAGCCGATGCGTAATCTATAGTGACCTGCTACTGCATAGCTTCTGGTACAGCTTGTGTTCGATATGACCAGATTCATTGATCGATATTGTCACATCTATGTAGTTGATCAAACCACTCACCTCGCTTGTCTCAAAGGTGAATTTGATTTTTCGGATGTGCAGAGTTGAAGAGTTGGATGAATCGAACAAGTTCTTCCATATGACCAGCACATCGTCAATGTAGCCTTCCCTATCAAAATAATAAATTCTACTACTACTACTACTACTAGCGCTTGTATCCACATGAGCGGCGCGAGCGGCGACATCTGCAGAAGCCGGGCCTCCAACGTGTGCATGAACAGGATGGCAAATGGCGGTGCCAAGTTGTTGCCCATAGCTACTCCGCCAACTTGGTGATACACTTGGTTTCCAAACCGAAAATAGTTGTGGCTTAGTACGAACAAGAGGAGACTTCGCACCTCACTCACCGACAGGCCAAACATGTTGATTAGCGGAGAATGTTGTTGCAGCACGTCTCCCACTGCCTCAACACCCTCGCGAATAGGAATGCTGGGGTAGAGTCCCACGACATCCATCGTTACTATTATAACACCCTCTGCCTCTGGGGCGTTCCTACCATGTACCAGGGCATTGTTGGCAGATATGGCCGATGGCTTCAGTCGTGTTGGCCAGGTGCGCTGGGACAAACTGAATTTAATAGCTGCTGGAGAATGCGTTCCGATGGAAACGCCGGTGACAGGGCTGTCACATGCCGATACGACAGGCCGTAATGGCAGCTTCTGCTTGTGGTCCTTGGGCAACCCGTACCACTCAGGAAAGTTAGTTACTTGGCGCATTTGGGAAGAATAGATTCCAATAGCTTGCTATCCATGCTCTGAGTCTTACATTCTGCGTGTAGAACGTTCTCGACCATCTTCTCATACAGTCATAGGGATTAGGGTAAGGGTAAGGTCGGCTTTTTCGTACATAGTCATAGATGTGTCCGATAGGAGGATGTCCTCGGCTTTTTTCCAAATACTAGCCTATACAGTACTCGTACAGCTCTTGTTTCATGGCAACCAGTTTCTTTGACTAGGCCGTAGGTTTGATATCTGATGCAGTGATGTGATGGCTTGATGTCGGAATCAGCACGGAGCTCGGAGCATGCTACTGCTAGGTCGAACACAAAAACTAATTACAGTAGATCTACGAGGCGTACTTGAAAAAAGACACTCCGGTAAAATTCTCGTATGAGTATGACCAAGAGTCCATAACCCAGTTATGGACTCTTGGTATGACTATGAGTATGACTCTGAGAAACATTATCAGAATAGCGAGATTCAACCCTCATATCTCAGTTCTGTCTGGGACCAAGCCACTCGTTTCAGATAGTTTCCACCCAAGATTGACTTGGAGTCGTAGAGGTATCCCCTTCGCACCAGCTGCATCCTTCTCTTCAACTGTACGACATTTGAATTTTTCTGCCGATACGATGACCTCCCCTGCCACTACACCCGAGGAAGTGCTGGATTTCTGGTTTTCCCTAGCTCCTGAGGAGCACTATAAGACTAATCCGGAGTTGGATGAGAAAATTCGTGCGAAGTTTAGCCAGTTACACGAGCAGGCATGTGCTGGACAACTCAACTCCTGGAAAGATGGTGCTGAATCATGCCTGGCACTGACAATTGTTCTGGATCAGTTTTCCAGAAATATGTTCCGTGGTACAGGCGATATGTATGGCAATGATGTGTCAGCGTTGGCCATAGCCAAGCATGCAGTGGACAAGGACTATCACAAGTGTCTCCCATTCTCCCGTGCGGGTTTCTTTTTCTTACCGTTCATGCATAGTGAGGAGTTGAATGATCAGCACCAGTGCGTGCAGCTCTACCGTGATGTGTGCGATTCAGAAGGAACACCATCTGCGGCTTCATTTGGATTGGAGTACGCCATAAAGCACAGGGACATTGTCGAGCGCTTTGGCAAATTTCCACATCGCAATGCGCTGCTGGGCCGCGAGTCGACGTCAGAGGAAGTGGAGTTTCTCACTCAGCCTGGATCGTCCTTCTGAACAGTGGTCAGTGATCAGCACTGATAGAAATACACCAATATGCCATGTGATCATGACATCATCATGATGTCGATGCAAACGGCCAACATATATTGCCGGTATGAAGAAAGTATGAAATGACCTACGGTGGGAAGAGCTTAGCTGCTATGTGTTTGGATATTAAACACTGCATCTATTCAAGAACCACCATGTCGGGACACTTTAACACCAGCGTATTCTAATGCACCTCGAGATCAGGGGAAGTTGTCATAACTTGTTCTTATTCAACTGAAGGACCTGAAGGAGAAGTGGAATTCCAACATTCTACCATCAGCTAGCTGCCTGCAGATCCAGTACCATCATATAGTATAATATGATAGTATTTAGGAGATTGAGCAATCTATGCTTTCTCTGTGCAATCTTTATCATAATATTTCTTCTTTGTTGTCTGATGATTGGTTTTTACCATTAAACTCTTGAGTAACAATGAGCCCTATTTAAGTACCGCTAGCATATCCGTGCTCAAGGACTTGTGAAGCACATTCATGAGGCCACTATTAACTCCTCAGCAATGGCGTTAATGTTGTGCATTGCAATTGTAGGCTAGGCTAGTTGATTGCCACCTTGCTTCTGGTGCGGCATGGCATGGGTCTAATGACGCTCAACTGTAGTACTGTCTGCATCAATAGACAGCTTTAATAGGTATTATTTCAAATTACTCTTCTAGTGCTCTTACTTAGTGTTACATGTTCTGTGTTAACTTCTGAACAGAAGTAAGGTGTGTGTGTGTGCATGTGTATGTACCATATGGTGCAGTGGCATGTGCAGCGATTTCCAATCGAGAGGTTGCGGGTTTGATTCTCGACCATTATGGTCACACACGTCTTTCTTCTCTCTCTCAGACTCATCCTGACTTTTCTTTCATTCTCCTGGGTGGCTACCAACAGCCAGTGCGTGCCAGAGTATGTGGTGTGACGTGCGTGCGGGGAAAAACAAACAGCAAGAAGTAGGGATTCACTGGCCAGAAAAAGCCACTTCTAAATTCCTACTTCTAATAGCTGTGTGGTGTAGATCAGGCTGAATACTAGTAGTGGCTGTTAATTCTTCAGCCTTGTAAGCTGTTGAAATAGAATAGTGCAATCCCAGCACAAGTTAGTATGGCTTCTTTCTGCGTTAGCATCACTATCATCGCCTCCAGCCATGTGTCACGAGTGTGTGTGTGTGTGTGTGTGTATTCCATCAACCTCCAGACTTGTAAATTGTTACTTTAATAGCGTCAAAGGTGTGTGTGTGTGTGTGCAGGCGCGTGCTCGGCGATGGGCACGTGCACCCCCCAAAAATTTTCAATCTGGGTAATTGCAATTGTAATGTATGCAAATATGCTCTAAAATTCAAGAAAGGTTGCAAACAAATTGCAGAAAATTGCCGGGGGGGGCTCCCCTCGGCTCCCGTGCACCCCCCTAGTTGGGGGGGGGGGGGGCGAGCACGCCCCTGGTGTGTGTGTGTGTGTGTATGTGTGTGTGTATTCCATCGACCTCAAGACGTATCATTATTATCAAGAGTAGATATCTACTCTTGTTGTTATTCATGAATCATGATTTTATTTAAAAAAAATTGAACATTGAAGTTGTTGTTGTAGTGACTACACAGTCACCAGCCCCATTACCACTCGGATGTCTCGTTTAGACTAAGAACCATGAAACTAAGGGCGCGTTCTTAAATCCTCTCGGAAAAGTTGGAGACTCTCCGAAAAGCTCGAGAGCTGTTCTTATATCCTCTCCGACTTTTAGGAGGCTCTCCAAACATTATCCATTTAAAATAATGAATAATAATGTTCTTCTGGACACACAAATGGCTTATGTATACATTGACAAACAGCTTCTAACACTTTGAACGTCAACTTCTAACCATGACGGGCACGGCACAGCACGGAAAACATGAAGCAGAACACACCTTACAACAATCAGCACTACAAGATATACTCACGGTGACCATAAAGTATATAAACTGATGACTTCCTGAAGTACAAAACACAGGGTTTTTAATATTCGGCCAGTTTTGCACCGAAATTTGCTAGTCCCGGGTTTTAGCGGGTCCCCTTCCATGTATATGTTTCGACACGCATAACGACCCAAAAGCCAGCAAAAATACGCACTAAAAATGCGTCGTTTCATGCGTACACGGGCCAGTTGTGAGCACAGCTTTAGCCTTAGACGGTCTACGCACCAGTACAATGTCACGTGGCCACAGAAAAGTCCCTCCGATTTAGCACACTCCTTAAAGCAGAGCACAAAGTTGAATATTACTCTTTCATGATACCCCATCAAGTCCCGACAAGGCATGGTACTGACATAAAACATGATTCAAGTTGTTTTACCCGTATGGATGCGCAGGGGTTATACATGTAGGAGGCTGTCACTGATCGATCGTTCAATCAACTAGCCATTCAACAATGATCAGTAGTTTTTTTCCGCATTGAGCATTGGTGAGCCAGTCGTATCCTTGAATAGAGAAAGGTCTTTTAGTCGTAACTCATAACATGTTCATCCTTCCTCTAATACATGATTGGTTTTGCATCCATGAAATTTTACGAAGTTTGACCAAGCCAAATTTTCACCGCAAATATGCTTGCTGGGCGGGTAATGATTATGCTTTGAGGCTCGACGGCTACTAATCTGTTCTATTCTCTAGCTTCTCCAATTGAATTCCTTTCTTCACGTTTATCATCCTCCGGAAAACTCCCCAACAAAGTATCCTGATGACTTATGTTTGGAGAAGCCTTCAAACAAGATATGAATGATTCAGGATACAGGTCATGTGCACTAATCCATGACACGCAGTTCTGGCAAGTTGGTGATGGTTGGTTGACAGGAGCAAGCCGCTGTGACTGTGCACACACAAGATCATGAACTGAGTGTATTACCGTTTAAGTTAAATGCACTACTAACTGATATGAAGAGAAGCAACTACACTGTACCGTGCTACACTGTACCGTGCTACACTGTACCGTGCTACACTGTACCGTGCTACACTGTACCGTGCTACACTGTACCGTGCTACACTGTACCGTGCTACACTGTACCGTGCTACACTGTACCGTGCTACACTGTACCGTGCTACACTGTACCGTGCTACACTGTACCGTGCTACACTGTACCGTGCTACACTGTACCGTGCTACACTGTACCGTGCTACACTGTACCGTGCTACACTGTACCGTGCTACACTGTACCGTGCTACACTGTACCGTGCTACACTGTACCGTGACAGTGTGCAAGACTGCTGGAGTACTCGATCTCGGCCGCTGCATGTACCGGCCGCGGTATGGCGGTATGTGCATAACTCAACACCACGCAGCAGCAGCAGCAGCAGCAGCAGCAGCAGCAAATAGTATGTAAGCAAACGCACCGGCTCAGCTGCTCGCGGGCTTGTCGGCATTGATTGGCAAGAAGTCAACGGTATAGTGGACAAGCTCCATTTGCCAGCCATTGCGTGGGTTCTTGGCATACTCTACGTCGGTCTTGCGGCGATACATGTGATGCTCACTGGTGTGTTTCACGTTCGCCATGTCGCCACACATTGCCTCTGCGGAAATGTCTCTCGCTTCGTAATCGGGGATCACGTCATAGATGAGGCGCTTGGGGCGTGTTCGATCTGAGGCAAATGTGTTGATCCAAAGTCTGAAGTCGTCCGTGGAGATGTTGCCTGTGCACTGCTGTAGCACCACCACATCAGCTTCCTGCAGGGCAGCACGTGTATCATCAGACATCTGGTGACGAAAATCTTGCACTACACCCTGGTCTATGATGTTCATGCGTTTGCTGTACTCCAGCGCCAGCGGTGCAAAGTCCAGGCCAATAATCTTGTATCTTTTGTTGATCAGCGTTTTCTCTCTCTGCTCGTCGGTCAGCGCTTTGTCAGCCTTCCAGAACTCACATGATCGTGCGAAATCCCAGCCATACATGCACGCTAGCGACGTGCTACCGAACAGTGCAGCGCAGTCGAGCAGGGTGCTACAGTATTCCGGCATGGCAGGAATCCTGGGAGAGTACCCTCTCTCAGTGCCCACCTGGATATAGAGCTCAGGATCCGGAGAAGAATACGCATCGTAGAACGGCGTTGGCGTCTCGATAGCGTTGCTAGAGGAAGTATCCACGTCTTTTGGCTTAAAATTTACGCCCGGCGCGCTGCCGTTTGTGTCAGTGGCGGAAGACATACTGGCAGCAAAACAGAACACCGGCAGCGCTTTCTCAGTCCGAACTGACTGTGAATGGAGGACGAACAGTACCACAGCAGGACTAACACAGTTTGGAGGTCGAGGAAGTATTTTTCTGGCGAGAAATGCCCGGCAACCCAGCGGCGGAGGCCAGCCGGCCAGATTAGTCACAAGTGCGTTGCACGTGTTATTATACTTGTGGCCACTGCAGGCCGGTCGACAATGCAAATAATGGTACCATGGTGTAGATCTACGTCCTCGCGCTCGCGGCCTCCTGTCCTGACTCGAAAGCACCTATTTATTTGGTGGTGTCACCCCTGGTCACTGGAGCTGTGCGCGTGCCGCACGTGAGGTCAATCAGTACAATGATGGATCGCCTGTGCACGGGCACGTGAGTTCAATCAGTAAAAAAACGGTGGCGGTAGATCTACCAGATCTGCAGAGTCAGTAGACCTGGTACTGCACTGGTAGACGTTTAGTCTACTGCTCATCCCGGCCCGGCAGACATCATCTTCCTACCAGTTTTGCCTGCATAATAATAATAATCATGGTGGGGGCAAGGCAAGCGTGGCGAGCAGGGGGAGTCGTATAAACCAACTCCCTGGTACATGGTGGCAAGACAGTTGAAGACACTGACTGAGCCTCTTTCGCTGTCCTGAGCTATTTCCATGATTTCTGCGTGTCTGCTATGATTACCGCAAATCTACTGCCTACAATTACAAATAGGCTTCGTTTGCCTGTGCACGACATAATATTTTAATACAATCATGATGATTGTAGAGTGGTCTACCATACAGTACAAGTGCATGTACCATGAGTAGATCTACCGGTACCGGTACACTGTGATCAGGTGATGAGGAGTCTTGAGGACGGGAGGTTACATGCATTTGTAGAGTCGGATGATCGATGCCGTCGATGGGAGCCCCCATAACTTAAGGGCCATATCCCCATGGCCTCCATTTCAGAGCCATCCCTTTGCCCAACGGGCCCTGTTGTCAAGGTGTCAAAGACGCATGTCATTCGACAATGACTAGATCATGATGCAGGGCAAACTGGTCCGAATATTGTATAAAATCTTACTTCGGAAGGACATAGTTATTGTAGTTGAGTGGCGAATACTGTTTCAGTTGCTGCTGGATATTGCTGGGCAGAGCGCATTCAGTCTAGCTCAGTTACCCTGGGTGGGAGTATGCGTGGAAATCGTCGAAGCCGAAGTTTGACACCGGGAAGGGGTCGAAAGATCCTCGCCAGCATCGCACTTCTTACCTTCATACTGTCGTGCAGCTTGTTGGGAGCGTATCTGAACCACGTGCGCGGCGATGGCGATTATATACAGCACGACGACGATTACTGGTACCATCACATCTTCAGTAGAATAGCTGTAGCGGTACCAACTGCTGTGATCATGGTAAGTGGCATCATACATTACATGTACATTCGCAGACAATCACAAGATCATCCACCAGTAGTAGTAGTCCATTACGTGTAGTGCACTCCAGTCTCCATTCAGAGAAAAAGATGCGCCTTGGGTTTCTCGACTAGCTTTAGATTGCGTTTGGTTTGCACCACGTTGCCATGATATCTTAGTAAGTTTCGCATGACGCTGGGCTTCAAATTTGTTGATGAAATCGCGAAGTTTATCAACCGTCCATTGCCACAGTGGGTTGGTCAAAGACCATGATTGAGATGCCGCACGGAGAGGTACCGGCTTCAAGTCCTGCCTGGGAGCGGGTTTCCAGCCGTGCTGCTACCCACAGTCAACTGGGAACTTGTGGCCATGCACAAGGGGTACATGGATGCAGCTAATGGGGTCGTTTTCGGCACTTGTGCCAGTGGTTGTGAGACTTATCCACTCACCCCCACCGTTAGGCGCTGCATCTGCCGCTAGGGTTTACCAGGTGTTAGAGGCCATCGTGAGTTCCCTTTGGGAACGGACACGATAATTTACTTTTACTTATTGCCACAGTATACGTGTACATTGTAGTCGATACAAAGTTTTTATTTCAATCAGCAAAATGTGAGGACAACAACACTACAAATTACAATAAACAAAGAACTCAACGCATTCAAATGCATTCAAATGTAATCAGGGCTTGTAACCAGGGCTTGTAACCAGGGCTTGTAACCAGGGCTTGTAACCAGGGCTTGTAACCAGGGCTTGTTGTTGTGACAGTGACTACTACCAAGAGTACATGTACTCTTGCTACTACACATTGTACAAACATCGTGTACATTGCAGTAGTACTCTGTAAACTACACTGCTGCTAATGGCTGCACACTCACACACACACACACACACACACACACACACACACACACACACACACACACACACACACACACACACACACACACACACACACCACACACACACACACCACACACACACACACACACCACACACACACACACACACACACACACACACACACACACCACACACACACACACACACACCACACACACACACACACCACACACACACACACGTACACACACACACACACACACACACACCACACACACACACACCACACACACACACACACCACACACACACACACACGTACACACACACACACACACACACACACACACACACACACACACACACACACACACCATGTACCATGTACCATGTATACGCCCGTCGCAAGAGAAGCACGCAAATCTGCAAATGCACTGGATGTGCACCCACAGATTTTCTCTTATAGCAACGATAGCGAACAAGATCTGAATGAGACAGATCAAGACTTGCACCAGATAACTGTCTAATCCACACAACTGGTGAACTTCCATGTGAATCGACCACCAATGCACACCTGGTCTACACCACACGGAGTACATCGGCATAAAACGGCCAAGACAGTTACCTATGCACACCCTACACTTGCTGGGGTAACCAGTATAGACAGCACGCTGCTTTGATAGAAGCAGACACTAGATGCATTGGTACCTTGAAGTGAAATTGGAGTTACTTTACCAACCAGCCTCGGCTACTGAGTACTGGGAACCCAGAGCCAACAGACATACCAACAACCTCAGCCATGAAAGCTATAATTATTATAGTAACGACACACTGGATTGTGGAACCGAAACTAGTCCAACTTCCAAATGCTTTGGCAAGAAGGTAGCCTTCCAACAGGTTGACACACCCACACACACACACACTCACACACACACACACACAGTCACACCCACACACTTGTACTTGTACTTGTTGCTCACTGCCAAAACTGGTCACGTGGGTCTCCCCGGGAGAGGGGAGAGAGACTCAAAAGGAATCTTGGAAAGATGATTCAACTGGCTATTGAACCGCCCAACGGCCGACACCCCCTGAAATCCCCAAAGTCACACACACACACACACACACACACACACACACACACACACACACACACACACGCGCGCGCGCGCGCGCCACACTGTAGGGCTGGGGACAGCTGGACAGAGGAAAGGACTCTTGAAAGATTTGTTTCAATCAGTGAAAGATTATGATGCAGTTGCAGCAGCTGAGCTGCCAGTTGAGGTATGGAATGGGTGACTCAGATACCATGCATGCTGTGAATGGGTATCAGATACAGTGCATGTTACAGCTCACTCCTCATGTGCCTTAGTTGCCCCGAGAATTTTTGCATGCCCGAGGCTTTTAAATTGAGGCTGATTGTGACAGTCTGAGTGCCATTGCGTAATAGCATGTAGTCATGTAGTCCACTCTAGGTCCGTTTTCGGCTAACTAACTGAGGCCATCACGTGACCAAGTCACTAGCGTCTGCCCTTCACTGATGTCTTGTTGCATGCTACAAGTACTTCGAGGTACTAGTATCTGCCCTTCAATGATGTCTTCTTAAAAGTAAAAATTACTAGTAGCTACTAGTCCTCATGTCATGGTCTGCCTTTCACTGATGTCTTGTTGCAGGCAATCTGCGCGGGAAGCTGGAAGCCTCTTCCCATCGTGGCAGCCTTGACGACCTGCAGTCTTTTCATTGGCTGGGGATGCTACTACAATGTGGCATTTGACAAGACAGGATACCCCGCGTAAGCCTCTCTCATCGGTCGCCCTACAGTATTGTTGGGTGCTAAAGAACTGGGCGGTCTGCCTCCTAGCCCTCCTAGCCTAGGCCGTTGTTACTTTCATGTATTACAGTCAGTCTATGGGTAGTTGAGTCACCGTGCTTGGTAGTATGCTGTGCTTGGTTAAATACCAGCCTGTTCACTCTTCCGCACTCCGTTCTTCAGTAGCCTGACAGTGCTCACTACTGCATACTAGCATTGCACACCCAGCGGTGCATGATCGCGTGTATGTGTGTATGTGTGTATGTCACATTGTGCAGGTACATGTACAACTGAACTGTCACGTGTGGCTAGTATGCTCTGAATCACTGAGCCTAACAACTGAACACTTCAAGCACTGCAGTTATGCGTGTACAAAGTACCAAGTGCCAACCCAGACCCTCCCTCCGCTTATCCATCTATTACTTGTCAAGTCAACACAATGCAACTAGTTAACTGCATTCAACGAAAAGTGTCCACTTCAACAGTCCTGCCTTAGATGTTTATCTGCTCAGTGACCTGGGAGGCGGGGGGGGGGGGGGGGGAGGGGGAAGGGACCACATGGCTTGCAGGGTTCTAGCCAGGTCAAAATAGTAGGGGGTGGGGGGGGGGGGTGGGCATGGGAAACAGTTACCCTATATCCCATTTTTCCACTTTCCAATATTGTCTTGCCACGCCAAATGCAACGTATGGGGCGAATCCCTGACTTCAACCCCAGACAAAATGTGCCTTATGAACCATCTATGCATGAAAAACACGAAAGTCGGAAAATGAGTAGGGGGGCGGCAATTTTTCACAGGGGGGGCGCGCAAAGAGAGTAGGGGGGGGGGGGGGGCGCTGCGCCCCCCCCCCCCTACCCCCTTTGGCTAGAACCCTGGCTTGTAGACTCGTTCACTTACAAGTCAAGCACACCTACATGTACGAGTACTAATGCCGCACATGTATATCAACAACTGACTGGTATGTGATTTGCTCATGCACACCCAAGAACGTATAGGCTAAACCTCTGTGAGCCTGGTACTTCCAATTACACTCCTAATCGTAATTCCGTATAACAGTTTCCTGTATACTGCAATGTTTCTATTTGGGAGAATCCCATCCGGGCTGTTCGTTGGCATCTCTGGTGCCCTTCGGCGCGAGCGAGATCAATGTGCACCATCTTTCCAACTCAGTATGCAATGGTATGAAGTGGATCACGTATCCCAAAGGGTATTCGTCTTCAGAGACACAATTGGCCCCGGCAAGCGAACATCCCCGAGTATGATTGCCCCATCCGGCTTCAACGGTGTCTTTGTGTCAATCTGCTTGTTCTCTTCACAGGCGATCCGGTGTGTTTGACTGGCTCATTGGACGCCAGGAGCAGGACTGGTCCACTGGTAGGATATTTGCACACAACTTTGCTGGCATGGCACTGCGTGGCCTTGCCTGGACTGCACCGCAAGGCTACATACTTTTCCATCTAGGCTATGGCTGGCAACACGCCGTAAGTGGTGCACTGATGAGCACTGTCTATGCACTGGGTTATGTCATGCCCTCGGCTGGTCACATGACCAAGGGTACAAACTGGAGCGAGTACATCTGGGGTTACTGGATATGGGCGGTTGGAATTTCTGCATCGCTGGCTAGTCTCATGGAGCAACTCAAGGAGAAGTATCACAAGGGTCCCAGTAAACAGACAAGCTCGTATCTGTCAGTGTACATTATGAACCGAAGCCTAGCTATCCTATTTGAAGTGTGGTGTGCAGCGCTAAGCCTGGTCTTCATTTGTTCCACAATCTGGTATTCATTCGTACAGCAGAAAGATGTTCGGAACAAGGGCCAGACCTTCTTTGGCATGTTTACAGTTTCGACGTCAATGTTTGTGGCACAGATGTTGGTGTATGCATCAATTTGGCTGACACGGCAAAAAGATATTGATTTGACATATGAATTGCGCACTGTGGCAATTCTGTGCCGAAGTCCACTGATCCTGCGCAACCGGGTATACTTCTCAACGCGCCGCTTCATACGCAGTGTGGCTGCGGCATCCAGAGACCGGGATGCAGTAGGCGGCAGTGATGCAGGTGCACCGTACAGCAATGGCATATCAAGAGGCACATCACCAAATGCTGAGCAACACCGAACTCTGCCATTTGAGTCCAGCGCGGTTAGTTCTAGCAGCCGCCCGGCTCCTGCGGAGACTTTCGAAGCTGATGATTCTGACTCTAGTGAAGGCGGTGAAATAGACTGGGATGAAGCATTTTCAACAGACACAGCCGGGTCGCCACATGTTCAGTACATCATCCAGGTTGTACCGTACAAGGTCTGGTTACTCGCTGATGAGTTCCTGTTTACCTCGCTACCAGCAGTGCTTAGTCTTGTACTTGGTGTGATCTCCTTGCTGGCATGTCTCATAACTGGGTCTCTTGTCATTGTGGCTGCTTTCTGGAATCTTACAGCACCGAGGTTCCTGGACGTCTGTGAATGTTCCCAATAGCATACAAGACAGCCTAGCAATATATTCTTGAGCACTTTGTTTGGTTGAGAAAACTGATGTTGCGATATGTTTCACAACAAAGAGAGATCATTGGAAAATTATTATTCAACTCCGAGTTTCACGTGTGCACAATCATCAGGCAGTAGCGGACCCTGCTTGCTCACATCGCGATACATGCACACGTTCATGTATTGACAATGTTATGGTGTGCTGTGTGCTGTGTGTGTGTGTGCGCGCGCGCGCTTGTGTGTGTACACATGTGTGTGTGTGTGTGTGTGTGTGTGTGTGTGTGTGTGTGTGTGTGTGTGTGTGTGTGTGTGTGTGTGTGTGTGTGTGTGTGTACTGTGCATATGTCACTGTTAGATTATATTCATGCACCGCTCGTTTTTTCTTGATCCTTGACCGATGTTGACCTTCAATTTTTTTACTCAAGCTTACCGCTCTCACATCAGCGTTTCCAAGTTGAATGACCATACTTGTACTTGAAAAGCCTCTTGTACGGGCAAAGCAAATGACCATACTTATACTTGTACTTTTACTTATGCATTCGGTGTTTTGTGATGGTTTTGTGTGTCCTGAAGAGTGCATCTACTATTACTGCCATTGCACTTTCCAATGACAATGTTCATATCTTAGCCCCATGCCCGATTACAGTATTTCGTAGGAGCAGTATTATTTTCACACACACAGGCATAATACTCCCCAAGTCAGATTCTCTTGAACTTGTTCTCTTAGTTCCCACGCTGTTCAATGAACAATGTTGTATTGACCAAGCCATGATTCACTGGTCTTGAGTCTTGTCTGATCTGCTGGGACTCCCAGCGCAAAGAACAGTGAAGAGATCTTGCTACACGATCACCTCATCACTCAGAAAAGCCGACATTTTTCACAGACAAGCAGTGTTCTGGCACAGTTGGGGGGGGGGTCACTCCGAGAAAAGTCGCAGATTTCATCAGTGCTCCTGCTCTCCACACCCGGCACATGTCTCTTATCATCTGTCCCTGCCCTACCCTACCCGGCACACTTCTTGGTCATCCGTTCTAGGTTGTTTGCTTTTCTTGTCTGTCAAATGGCGGTGAATACATAGTGTACATAGTGTACATAGTGTACATGCCGAAAATCATAATAATACTACTGTACTATGCTCTATTCACTACCTGATCATGTACTGCTGCAAACCAAGCAGTTCAACACTGATGGACTGATGGACTGATGGACTGATGCTTGGTTTGCAGCTACATGATGTGTGGGATCACAAGTCTATTGAGGTATCCATGGATAGTCAATATACAATCGGCGTAAAAAAATCCGGTGAATGCTGCACATGGTAGTCGACCACCATGTGCAGCATTGGTCTGATTTTTGGCGACGATTGTAATACGGCACTGGCTACAGTTGACTCCATTTACATGTATAACGATTAACGAACTCGCATTATAGCGAACTCGCATTATAACGAACTCGCATTATAGCGAACTCGCATTATAACGAACTCGCATTATAACGAACTCGCATTATAGCGAACTCGCATTATAGCGAACTCGCATTATAGCGAACTCGCATTATAGCGAACTCGCATTATAACGAACTCGCATTATAACGAACTCGCATTATAACGAACTCGCATTATAACGAACTCGCATTATAGCGAACTCGCATTATAACGAACTCGCATTATAACGAACTCGCATTATAACGAACTCGCATTATAACGAACTCACATTATAACGAACTCGCATTATAACGAATTTCGTGATGCAGTGAACCAGTGTTCATGTCCGGAGTCCCTGTTTGAACCCATAATTATAAAATTGACCCGGCTTTACAGCGAACAGTTTTCGTTTATTTCCAACCATAATCGTAGGTCCGCATGCAAACCAAGTGCAAGTGCACTCATACTGTCAATGGCTACATTTATAAAGAACTTCCTGCACGTGATATCAGGAGTCAACTGTGTAATCTTAGCTATGTAGTACTAGCCGGCCATGCAGGGAGTAGATCTACTACTCCCTAGCAGCAGCCAGTATAAATAATGATAATTATAAAAATAAAAGCGGAGTCAGAATGACACAAGGTCAAGGATTGTACATGTACCTCGTATACGCGTACCGGCCAATAGCACCCGTCATGTATTGTTGGTAATTCATTGCATCGGACATCACGATGAGCGACGACCACAAAGCGATCCTGTAACGCTTGACCCGCTGAAGGCATCATTTTGGTAGCAGAAATCGAAGACAAATAAACTGGGATCGTTTAGTGGTGACTCGGGCAGCTGAGGCGGCAAGATGAGGAGAGGAGCAGTGGGTTCGAGTATTGGACATCTCAGCCAACATAGACATGGGACCAACCAGCGCTTGGAACATTTGCGTAAAGTCACCTGTACGTTAGCACTAGTTGTGGGCATTGCTTGCATCAGTGCTGTCGGTGGCTACTTGAACCGGGCTCGCGGTGGAGCGGTCACGCCCGTTGGTGGGTACTGGTCTCGCCATATCCTAGCCAGGGCCATGGTGGGACTACCGACAGGAGCTATCGTGGTAAGCAACTAGCAATCCTGTAACAGTACTATTATTACTTTGTGTAGGGAGAAACGTGCGCAATGCCCGATGTCGCAATGATTCACCTCAAAATTAATGACAATGAATGACATGGAACCAGGGAGTCGTCAAATATTTGATGACTCCCTGCATGGAACCATGCACCCCAGGAAAAAAAACATGTAGGGGGGGGGGGGGGGACAAACAGTTCACCCATTTTTCCATTTTCATTCATTTTTTCCATTCATTTTTCCACCCAGATTGCCTTGTACAATATAATAAATTGTCTGAAGTTGTCACACAAAATGCAACGTACGGGCACAAGCACCCGGCCGGTACGATCGATTTGTGGCTGCATTTTCCTTTTGTGAACTGAAAAAACACGAAAATTGGAAATGAGTTGAGTGGTGCGCTATCAGAGTACGGGGGGGGGGGGGGGGGGGGGGGGGGAGGAGAATTATTGACTGTACATGTTTTGAAAACCGTGATCACAGGCTGCTGAAAAAATCTACTTGCACGTGTCCAGTCAAAAAGTTGTATGGCAGAAAGGCCGTGTGCCAGAGTCAAGGCAGCAGATGGAGGAAATGCAGATGGGGCTAAACAACGGTCCGGAAGCAGAGCCCAGCTATAGGTTACATCACTGCATTTGTACATGTGTACGACCAGTAGCACTCACACCACTTGCAGGGTGTCAGAGGCCGTGCAAATACAGGGCACCAAATACATGTATGCACCTTGGATCGGGCTTCACCTAGCACAGCTGTAGATAGGCAAATCTTACACTTCACTTTAACATGATAAAATGATGCGTGCGCTTGTGTGTAGTACAAAACCGTCGAGACGCCACTGGAGTCTTTGGAGGCATGCTGAATGTATATCAGTGCATTCTGCAAGAACTGCTGCCATGTTTTCTGTCCAGGGCCTGTTTGCACTCAGCTGGCGGCCATTTCCTGTTGTTGCCACGGTCACTTCAGTCAGCTTGATCATTGGCTGGGGATGCTACTTTGATGTCACCACACAGGAACATGGCTGGTCATCGTAAGTACAGTACATACATATACGTGTGATGCTACTTGAATAATGAATGCCATGATAAGGCCAAGGGGGGGGGGGGGGGGGGGGCAGAATGCGTATAAGCCCCTGAGAGTGTGCAACTCTGCATGTGGGTCACTGGTGGAGAAACCTCACATCGCGTGGTGCACAACTGCTGGAAGCGCACTTTATAGTGCATAGTGTATACCCTGCACAATACCCTGTACAGTACCCTGTACAATACCCTGTACAATACCCTGTACAATACCCTGCACAATACCCTGCACAATACCCTGTACAATACCCTGTACAATACCCTGTACAAAACCCTGCACAATACCCTGTACAATACCCTGCACAATACCCTGTACAATACCCTGTACAATACCCTGTACAATACCCTGCACAATACCCTGTACAATACCCTGCACAATACCCTGCACAATACCCTGCACAATACCCTGTACAATACCCTGTACAATACCCTGTACAATACCCTGCACAATACCCTGCACAATACCCTGCACAATACCCTGTACAATACCCTGTACAACACCCTGTACAATACCCTGCACAATACCCTGTACAATACCCTGCACAATACCCTGTACAATACCCTGTACAATACCCTGTACAATACCCTGCACAATACCCTGTACAATACCCTGCACAATACCCTGTACAATACCCTGCACAATACCCTGTACAATACCCTGTACAATACCCTGTACAATACCCTGCACAATACCCTGTACAATACCCTGTACAATACCCTGCACAATACCCTGTACAATACCCTGTACAATACCCTGTACAATACCCTGTACAATACCCTGCACAATACCCTGTACAATACCCTGCACAATACCCTGCACAATACCCTGCACAATACCCTGTACAATACCCTGTACAATACCCTGTACAATACCCTGCACAATACCCTGCACAATACCCTGTACAATACCCTGTACAATACCCTGTACAATACCCTGTACAATACCCTGCACAATACCCTGTACAATACCCTGCACAATACCCTGTACAATACCCTGCACAATACCCTGTACAATACCCTGTACAATACCCTGCACAATACCCTGTACAATACCCTGTACAATACCCTGCACAATACCCTGTACAATACCCTGCACAATACCCTGTACAATACCCTGTACAATACCCTGTACAATACCCTGCACAATACCCTGTACAATACCCTGTACAATACCCTGCACAATACCCTGTACAATACCCTGCACAATACCCTGTACAATACCCTGTACAATACCCTGTACAATACCCTGTACAATACCCTGTACAATACCCTGTACAATACCCTGCACAATACCCTGTACAATACCCTGCACAATACCCTGTACAATACCCTGCACAATACCCTGTACAATACCCTGTACAATACCCTGCACACTACCCTGCACAATACCCTGCACAATACCCTGTACAATACCCTGTACAATACCCTGTACAATACCCTGCACAATACCCTGCACAATACCCTGCACAATACCCTGCACAATACCCTGCACAATACCCTGTACAATACCCTGTACAATACCCTGTACAATACCCTGTACAATACCCTGTACAATACCCTGTACAATACCCTGCACACTACCCTGCACAATACCCTGCACAATACCCTGTACAATACCCTGCACAATACCCTGTACAATACCCTGTACAATACCCTGTACAATACCCTGTACAATACCCTGCACACTACCCTGCACAATACCCTGCACAATACCCTGTACAATACCCTGCACAATACCCTGTACAATACCCTGTACAATACCCTGTACAATACCCTGCACAATACCCTGCACAATACCCTGCACAATACCCTGCACAATACCCTGCACAATACCCTGCACAATACCCTGTACAATACCCTGTACAATACCCTGTACAATACCCTGCACAATACCCTGTACAATACCCTGCACAATACCCTGTACAATACCCTGTACAATACCCTGTACAATACCCTGCACAATACCCTGTACAATACCCTGTACAATACCCTGCACAATACCCTGCACAATACCCTGTACAATACCCTGTACAATACCCTGCACAATACCCTGTACAATACCCTGCACAATACCCTGTACAATACCCTGCACAATACCCTGCACAATACCCTGTACAATACCCTGCACAATACCCTGTACAATACCCTGTACAATACCCTGTACAATACCCTGCACAATACCCTGCACAATACCCTGTACAATACCCTGTACAATACCCTGCACAATACCCTGTACAATACCCTGTACAATACCCTGTACAATACCCTGCACAATACCCTGCACAATACCCTGCACACTACCCTGTACACTACCCTGTACAATACCCTGTACAATACCCTGCACAATACCCTGTACAATACCCTGCACAATACCCTGCACAATACCCTGTACAATACCCTGTACAATACCCTGCACAATACCCTGTACAATACCCTGTACAATACCCTGTACAATACCCTGCACAATACCCTGTACAATACCCTGTACAATACCCTGCACAATACCCTGTACAATACCCTGTACAATACCCTGTACAATACCCTGTACAATACCCTGCACAATACCCTGCACAATACCCTGCACAATACCCTGTACAATACCCTGTACAATACCCTGCACAATACCCTGTACAATACCCTGTACAATACCATGCACAATACCCTGTACAATACCCTGCACAATACCCTGTACAATACCCTGTACAATACCCTGTACAATACCCTGCACAATACCCTGTACAATACCCTGTACAATACCCTGTACAATACCCTGCACAATACCCTGCACAATACCCTGTACAATACCCTGCACAATACCCTGCACAATACCCTGCACAATACCCTGCACACTACCCTGTACACTACCCTGTACAATACCCTGTACAATACCCTGTACAATACCCTGTACAATACCCTGTACAATACCCTGCACAATACCCTGCACAATACCCTGTACAATACCATGCACAATGCAGGTCAGCAGGTGTGTAGCCCAGATCTACCAGTGATCGTGGCTTCTCAACGGAATGTGCTCTCGTTACTACTCAAAGGCTGGTGAATCTAATAACCCATACCTTAGTCAGGTGCTCGTGACAGCTGCTGCATGTGAATGCGTAGAGACGGCTCTGAAGTGCGTCCTGTGACATGTGTTTTCGCTATTGACGTAGCACACGTAACTCATGCGGAGTTGGATACTCTTGGGAGCTGATGCAAACGCGATTTGTTGACAAGAGAAACGCTCAAACTTGTTCAGAATGGATGTCAGAATCTGTACTGACAGTACACATGTACAAAATTAATGTCGCCAAGTGTGCTGTATGTCCTAAACTACTGCTGCATGTCTTTCACGCCTCCAGAGAATCATCTTTATCCGGTCCGAAACCATTTCGACGTGAGCTGCAGGTAACTCAAGTTGTTTTTCGACGCGTGAGCCAAATAACGCGAGCTGAACTTTCGCGTTACGTCAGAAATAACGTGCATCTTAACCTCTCTACAAATTACCATGTAACAATGCACTGTGATTCACCCATTCATTCTGGTGCACTATCTGTGTTGATTCTTGCATGATTGCTGTCCAGACGTCAAGGCATCTTTGATTGGCTAATCGGACGTGAGGAGGAAGGCTGGCCACAGTACCGCGTCTTCTACCATAACTATGCTGGCATGGCATTGCGTGGACTGGCATGGACATCACCGCAAGGCTATATCCTCTATCACATGGGCTACGGCTGGCAGTTCTCGGTCACTGGCTGTCTGATGAGTGCGCCGTACAGCTTTGGCTGGTACATGCACAGTTATAGCTGGATGGCACGTGGACAGCCATGGTGTGAGACCGTGTGGGGTTACTACATCTGGGTGGTGATGATCACAGTTGCCATGGCAGGATTGCTAGAGAGATTGCGGGAGAACTCCAGGACGGGCCACACACGCCATGTGCCATACTACCTCTCATCATATATCAGTAACTGGTGGCTGGCGGTATTGTTTGAGGTGTGGACGGCAGCCATCACAGTCATATTCCTCGGCTCACTTGTCTTCTATTCCATGGTGCAGCAACTGGATGTCAAGAACAAAGCACAGACTTTCTTCGGTATGTACTTTGTCACCATGGTTCAGCTCGCTGCACAAGTGGTCATCTACACGGCCATTTGGCTCACAAAACGGAAGGACATTGACTTGACATATGACCTGCGTGGTGTAGCCATACTCTGTCAGAGTCCGCTCATTATGCGCAATAAGGTTCAGTTCTCGCCAAGCAGATTTCGTAGTCGCCAGCTTTCGGAGAGCACCACTGACCACCAGTTTCAGCCCTACCAGCATGGCTTGGCAGTTGACGAACAGCTTGCAAAGAGGACTGCTGCTGGCAATGCAAGCAGTGAGCACAATCGTCTACTCGGATCTCTACAACACAGCAGCGGTGGGCCGGGAGGTAGTGGAGAAGATGACTCACAGGATGACATAACTACTTCAAGTGATTCAGAGTCTGATGAGGTGGTAGACTGGTCAATGATTTTATCACAACCCAGCTCCAATGTTCTCATTCAGTTACGGAAGTTGCCATATCGTGTGTGGTTAGTGGCGGAGACCAATATCTACACGTCTTTTCCAGCCATGCTACGGCTTCTGCTGGGTGCTCTGGCATTGCTTGGCTGTCTTCTAGCATTCTACATCACCACTAGTGCAATGCTGTGGAATCTGCATGCACCACGCTACCTACATGTATGCAACTGCACTCAATAGAGTCAATAGGGACATGTACCTGCCGCTCAGCATACACACAACATTACTCAGTCTCTCTGAAGGTACTGTTGTCCCGACAAGACTGCAGAAGACATTACGATCAGTTTGTAACACAGCAGAAGCAGGACAGCCGCACTGAGATGAGCAAAGACTCACTGATGGTTACACTGATGGTTACACAGCATCTGCTAGTATCAACAGTGTACATAAGCCAAAGTGTGCCACTCAATCAGTGGAGGGGAGAGCGTTCAAACTTACACAGGACAATAGTGAACTGCCTGTCCGTGTTCCAAGGCAGCAGGGCTAGGAAGGTTGGGCTACTACTCCCTGCATGGCAGCAGCCATTGTTATACACAGGCTGAGCATGCACTTGCCTAGTTACTACTTGGAAGTACAGTACTTGGAAGTATGATCATAGACTGAAGGAATCAAGTGGGCACAGTCTCAACCACACATCACCTGTATATGGGAGCAGAATGTGAATTTACGTCGGTTATGCACAACTCCCTCCAAGTCCTGTAGTACATATGTACAATCTAATGTAATGTACATGTGCTGGGATTTTCTTGGCCTGTTGGATTCTTTACGAGCTATAGCGTTCCATCGCAACTCGTGTGCGGCAGACAACACGCTGTACACTGTACTCATAGAAATCAATACGACTTAGTTCTCTCTCCCGATGATTTAACGTTAGGGAATATCTCCCTTTTCTGTTGCAAACTCGTAAAGCACTCCAATTTTAGTCTATATTGCTGATAAGTTTGCATGGAGTGATTGTGACAGTATGTACATATTGAGTAGCAACAGTCTCTCAGGTTTAGACTTGTTGCACTAACAGGTAAAGTAGGTGAAAAAGCAAGTGGCAAAGGGGCTTGAGTGTACTTGTATGGGCACTACAGAAACTGGCGATCGCAAAGCAGAGTCACCGTTGACTTGTGAAAGTGCTCAAGGCAAGAGGAGCCTGCGACACAAGTTCATTATGGCGGGAAATGTGTGCTGTTGTTACTCAGAGTTTCATGGCAATATGGCCAGCCACAAGCGCAGGCTGGTGGTCATGTTTGTTCATTAAAAAATATATAAACTCCAATGTGTGTCAATGCGATTTTCACCCACTTCCTCGTACCCACAACATGGCCATGCGCAATTTTGAAACTTGGTGTACGGTACTGTACACCATGCTACACAGGTATCAAGTACAAAAGCATTTTTCTCAGGAAAAACAATTTGACACTTTTCAGGTTTCACCTTTAGCCCAGTATTTTGTTCATCATGGCTGATATCATTATCAAATCGTCGGCATGAGTGCAGGCTTGTATGAAAAAATCACCTGGATAAGATGTCCACTCACCATAGCAACTGTGCTCTTGGTGAATATGACCCAATACCATGTATTAGGTTTATACAACTCCATAATGCGACGCCAGAGTGAACATACAAACTAGCCATGCAATGTAGGAAGCAAATTGTGCTTACTGGGGCATGCTGCTTGAAGGTTCTTGAGCAGATGTAGAGCGAGCAAGAGAGGTCAGTGACAGGTCAGTGACGTGTCAGTGACAATGGTAATCCAAAGGGAAGTCCAATGGGTAGGATACATGCAAGAATCACAGTTTCTTCACTGTGTGTGGAAAACAGCAAGCTTGCCACCAGAGAAGATAAAGAAGGAAAATAGAACTCAACAGTGATCTTCACTTCAACCAATCAAGTCGGCAAAAAAAGTCCGCAACAGGGGGTCACACGACCACACTGTGGAAGTTGCCGCACACACTCTTGCCAGCAGCAGCAGCGGCTGTGCACCCAACACTATGCCCTGTACAAGGCGGTGGCGGAGGTGGCACAGTAGAGTGCACCCATACATGTATGAATGAAGGAACAAAGAAGAAGAATGGCCAGCCATTTTCTTTCCCACACTATGACTTTGTTTTGGTCTACCGAAAACCATGTTCCTGTGCTGCTGTGGCACTGCACTTGCCGCTACTTGTACTCACAACAATGTACAGTCTGTATCGGCTATAGAGTGACCGGATATAAGAATATATCGGCTATAGTGATAACTTTAAAATACATGGAGCAATAATATCAAAGGCCCTATTTTTTTACTTTCTTTTCACGTTGCTTATTTTATAGTGATACATGTACATGTACTTAACAGAATTTTTTTATGGAAATGCGGGCACTGTCAACTATGCAGCATGCTCATTTGTCAAAACGCCATGCTGGAAGTATTTCCTTGCCTTTCATGTGTCGATCGAAAAAAATCGATCGTATCGCATATAGTGATGCATTGGTTATAATGATAAAATCGAGGAAATCAAAAGGGTACACTATAGCCGATACAGACTGTACAAGATACCTCTGCTGCTGCTGCTGCTGCTGCTGCTGGTGGTCACTCCATGTACAGACTCTGAAAACCACGTTCCCATGTCGCCATGGCGCTGCTCTTGTCCAGCTTTGTCAAAGGTTAGTGTACATCTGTGTCTGCTGCCTTGGACAACGGTGGCCACTCCATGTGCAGACTGGCATGCTGCGACTGTGGAAGCCATGCCTTGTATTCGGCCAGCAAAACTGAACAAACAAAGGGGATGAATACATGCGAGCGTGCGCGCACACACATACACATACACATGCACACACGCATGCACACCCACACCCACACACATACACACACACACACACACACACACACACACACACACACATACACACACACACACACACACATACACACACATGCACGTTCCCACACGTGCGTATACTGATGTGAGTGAAAAGAACATAAATTATGAAGGAGAGCATCGATGTGTAGTAGTGCGGAGGATGAGAAGCCATCCACTGCCTGCGAGTGATGCATTAGTACTGAATGGGGAAGTAGGTACACAGCAACAGCAACAGCAACATCTACTATTGCACATGTTAGAGAGCAGCTTACACTTAGGCTTGGACTTCCAGATATTGATGATGGATGCTCGGTCACATGCCCCAGCAGTCACTAATGCATCCAGCAGATTCTTTATCCACACGTGGCACCTTCATCACAGAACATACATACACACACAGTGAAGAGAGAGAGAGAGAGAGAGAGAGACAGAGTGAGAGAGAGAGAGAGAGAGAGAGAGAGAGAGAGAGAGAGAGAGAGAGCGAGAGAGAGAGAGTGAGGGAGAGAGAGAGAGAGGGGAGAACACAGTGAGATTATTGATATATAAAAGGGGTTCCTACTGTGGGGAGGGGGAGGCGCAGCGTCCTCCTACTCTGATTCAGCCCCCCCCCCCCCCCCAGTGAAAAAGTGGCGCCCCTACTCATTTGTAGATTTTCGTGTTTTTTCATGCCACTCAACGAAAATACAGTCCGATAGTTACTCTAGAGGGTTCATAAAGGCACATTTGTCCGGGGCACGGTTGTTCAGCCGCGGCCATCTAATAACATGGCGGCGATTTTACTGATAAATCGCAAATTTGTACTTTACACGTTCGATTTATGAAATTGGCGTGGTTTCAGGTGGATCCTTTCGAATCAAGTAGGTGATCTTAGGTAAATCGAGGTTTGGGAGTCCCTACCGAACGTGAAGTGCATGCAGGAAAGATAAGTAAAATATTGCAACAGGACGAGATGGAGGGCGAAGAAGAACCGACTTGAAAAGAGCCGGAGAGTCACTGATTATTGACATGACCACGGAATGAAGAGAAGGATCGCGATGGCTGCCGCTTTCCTCGATGCCTTAGCTGCGGCGACTGAGTGGCCTGGACCCGGGCAGCGTTCTTGTTAGGTGCTGCGTGAAAATTGCTTCGAATTGTTTCATGGGCGCAGGAATCTGCCAGAACGCTTCTCCAGAGAGTTGAATTCCGCATGGATGCTCTCTTAGCCTTGCTCAGCGAGCAAACCAAGGCCAACACGAAGTCGGATCATAGCTGGCACGGCGTGCATCTCTAAAGGTGCAGCTATTAGGGGTGACGTGCCATTTGTTTCTCTTCACGATCTTGTCTCGTACGAGCTCATGAAATGTTCGACGTTTCATGTTGCTGCTGAGCTTTGCTGAGTCCTCAGAGTACAATGGAACTGAAGAAGCAGTGCAAGTCTGAGTGAGCTACCTGATAATGAAGACAAAGGGAATAAGCAGGAGTCAGCAACTGCCTGTCATCTGAAATTCTCAGTCCAGTCACACAATGTCACTCCTGCTTAGTTTGGTTGCACATAACCTCCGAATTGTGGCCAATGACAACTCGCTCATAGCCTTGCCGAGCTACGTAGCTGAGCTGGCTTTTGGTTGTTGTGGCCTTTTGCTCGGCTGCTTCCTCGTTAGCTATGTCTTGCTGCAGTTTGGCATGTAGCATGACCCATGCCATACCTGCCTGCTGCCCTTGGATGCATCAGACGCTTCACTGATCAAGCTCTTATTAGCTGGCAGACCTCTGCCAGCACTGATCCATCCTAGATCCAGGAATAAATCCCCAGGTCTAGATGCAACACTGGCACAAGTTAGCCCAGTGCAAGGTCGTTTCCACAAGGAGTCTGACACAGGACCCAACGCAGTCCTGTACTGAACTTTAAACAGTGCCTTTCTCCAATGTTGAGTTACTGTCATGCACTACGTATGTGCTCATTTCCCTGTTCTTATTGCTGTGCATTTGTTGTGCATTGATGCTTTGAAACGGTAATGGCACATTGCTATCCATGTTATGCACGCGCGAGCGCATGTGTGTGTGTGTGTGTGTGTGTGTGTGTGTGCACAGCCACGGCTATGAGTGCAGAAGAAAGCCTCTCTTGCTGTGACTCCATCTTACGTGCATGTGTGTGTGTGTGTGTGTGTGTGTGTGTGTGTGTGTGTGTGTGTGTGTGTGTGTGTGTGTGTGTGTGTGTGTGTGTGTGTGCGCACACATGCACTCACATGTGTGTGTGTGTGTGTGTGTGTGTGTCCCCTCTCCGTCTCCGTGTGTCCCATATGGTGCAGTGGTATGTGCAGCGATTTCCAATCGATAGATTGCGGGTTCGATTCCCGACGATTATGGTCACACACGTCTTTCTTCTCTTTCTCAGACTCTTCCTGACTTTTCTTTCATTCTCCTGGGTGGTTACCAACAGCCAGTGCATGCCGGAGTATGTGGTGTGATGTGTGTGCGGGAAAAAAAAAAAAAAAAAAAATGAAAAATGAAAAAGACCAAAAAAGGGATTCACTGGCCAGAAAATGTCACTCCAAATAGCTGTATGGTGTAGACCAGGCTGAATAGTGACGGTCAATTCTTCAGCCTTGCAAGCTGTTGAATGGTGTAATCCCAGCACAAGTTGCTATGGCTTCTGCCGTAGCATTGCTATCATCGCCTCCGGCGATGGGCGTCAAAGGTCAAGGTCAAGGTGTCCCCTCTCCCGGGGAGACTCACGTGACCAGTTTTGGCAGTGAGCAAGTACAAGTGTGTGTGTGTGTGTGTGTGTGTGTGTGTGTGTGTGTGTGTGTGTGTGTGTGTGTGTGTGTGTGTGTGTGTGTGTGTGTGTGTGTGTGTGTGTGTGTGTGTGTGTGTGTGTGTGTGTGTGTGTGTGTGTGTGTGTGTGTGTGTGTGTGTGTGTGTGTGTGTGTGTGTGTGTGTGTGTGTGTGTGTGTGTGTGTGTGTGTGTGTGTGTGTGCAGCCACGGCTATGAGTGCAGAAGAAATCCTCTCTTGCTTTTGCATGACCGTTATGTCTGTGTTGTCTGACTAGAATTACTCACAGATTATCTCCCTGCTCTGATAATGTTCTCTTCCAACTGTTACAATCATATGACTTGTCGCAGTGCCGGTCCTGTTGTTACAGCTGTGACAGCTGGTGCAGTCGGTGTGAATGATGAAGAAACTTGGCGAACAGTTGCAGTGATGGTTGATGTGGAAGCAAACTAAATTACTTGCTAGTGCAAGACTTTGGCAGTTTGGCTGAGTGGCACAATGTCAGCTCTGCTCAAATTTTGGCCATCTCTCCGTTTCGGAGACGCTTTGGTTGCGTAGCGTTTTCATGTGAATGCACGCACGCGTGCGCGCGCACGAGAGGGAGTGTGTGTGTGCAACCCATACTACTGGCTCAGCACAGCCACAACCCTCTCATCCCCTGCAAGTTCGCTCGAGTGGATTCGTACAAAATCTGCACATTGAATGTAAAGTCAGTTTGGATGCACATACATATACATTGTATTGTATACATCATGCATGGTCAACATCAATTTTCACTTTTTTCAGGGCCTGCAATATTGTTTTCTGAAGTTTGAGACGGTGTACTTGGTTGTCTGAGTCCGGCTGGCTATTTCCTGGCCACCAACTCCACACCTTGACAGTAAAATGGCACGACGCTCGTCCATGAGTGAATATTGTCTGTTCCAATAACACAAAAAGCTCGGAAATGGGTGACGAGTGACTTTCGTTTCCGCGGAGTAACTTGGAACGAATTTCAATTTTTTGGGCAGACGAAGGATGCCTGCACCCGTAAAAACTCACCAACAACCCACCAAAACTCCACGACGGATGATAAATCAGCAACAACCTATTCATGTACATCGCATCCTCGCTTCGATCGCCAACCAGCAAACACATCGTGTAGCGCAGGACGAGGATGGAGGAGACGGGTGGAAAAGGCATCAAAACGTTCCTTGATGATTGCCCGTTTCGGAAAACCGATTTCCTCAGACTAACAGCAGCGAAGTAAGTCAGGAAGGCCTTGATTCGTATCAATTTTGGTCCAACTTTTTGATAATTGGGATACGAGAAATTCAAAAATTTGAAAATATGTGACGTAACGGCCGCCATATTTAGATTGCCAGCGCTAGGATCACTTGAACAGCCGTGGGGGTGAGGCCGAGGGTTCGCCCTGTACGTCGCATTTCAAATGGCAAGACAATTAATTTTCGTAAAATGGAAATATGGGTTATGGGGTAACTGTTCCCCCCCCCCCCCTCCCCCACTACTGTAAGACATGCATATATAACGAGGAAGCAAATCTAACGTTTTAACGGATGACATTTCTTCGTTATAATAAGATCCGTTGAAGCCGTACTACTTCATATATGCTGTGTGTGGATATGGCAGAATACTGCAAGATCGTTAACATATCTTCTCGTTAACCTATGAATTTTGGACAATCGTTAAATTTGCGACTCGTTCTAATAACATGTCTTACAGTATTTGACCTGGCTAGAACCCTCTGTAGTATTATTATGCCATAAGGTCCTATATACGAAGTCCTAGTGCAAATTAACGTGGCACAGTAACTATACATGAACAATCAGAGCAGCAGCAGCAGCAGCAGCAGCAGCAGCAGCAGCAGCAGCAGCAGCAGCAGCAGCAGCAGCAGCAGCAGCAGCAGCAGCAGCAGCAGCAGCAGCACATACTGTAGTGCCTATTTTTTTAAGCAAGCCGTGACACAGAAGCATGATTCGAATAAAAGCCGCTTTCTGCAAAATATACGTACAGATACTTGCAGAGTAGCGTGGCAGTAAGCACTGCACAGTGTAGACTGATCATGTTGACGTAGAAGCATGTTTTTGAATAGAAGCATGGTTTGAACCCCGGCTTATACGGGCGGAAGAACCTGCTTTTATACGCGACATTACGGTACACTCATACGCTGTGCGCACTGCTGCACTTCTGCACTGCTGCACTGCTGCACTGCTGCACTGCTGCACTGCTGAACTTCTGCACTGATTGCCTACAGTGTTACTGCCTGTGTATGCCGGTGATCACCAGTCACACCAGGATTACCAGGATTCCGCTTGGGGAGGGGACTGGTAAAAAATATATTTTTTACTGTACAAGAAGTTGTGGATTCATGCACTGGGCCCCAGCGACACAAGACCACTATATTACAGTCAGACCTCGCTTATCCGGTCCTCGTTTATCCGGATCCCTCGCCATCCGGAAGAAAATAGCTGGTTACAAATGTACAGCATATGCCATGCTTACATACAGTATGTGTGTTCGATTATCCGGTTCCCTCGCCTATCCGGATATTTTTGTGGAAAACGGATGTGTGCGGTTATGCGAGGTCTGACTGTACATAAATAGAATAGAGATGTGTCAGCAAAACTGGTCTCACCTGTAGCCCCAGGGACGCAGGATTGTAGACGGCTTGTACATCAGCGCACCAGAAAACTTGGCAAGCGCTTTCACCACCTACATCACGATGAAGACAGCATGTGGACACACTAATGGTAAAGGTACTACAAAGAAGCAACGACGTACAGACAAGACGTTATGGTTATGTGCAAATGGTGTACTAACACAGAGCAGTCAAAAGCTGAAAAAATTGGTCATCTTGTCATACGATTGGTTACATTGATGTTTGTCAAAGCACAGGAATGATGGGAGCAGAGAGAAAGGAGATGTGATACAACCAGCACCTACCAGGCCATCCAGAAGGAACTTTGCAAACCACATGTACTTCTGCTGACCATCCGGCATGGCCAACGCCTGTGCTGCAATAGGCCATGAGTACGGACCTGGCAACACAACAACACAACACAACACAACAACACACAAATGTCATGCCCATCAACGAACATACCAGACGAAATGCAAGCAGCAAAGGAGAGTACAGTTGTCTGCAATAATGAGGCATGATGACGATTAAGCCTGGACTCAAAGCTACGGGGAGAAGCAGCGAGTACTCTAGGGTTGCAGCTACAACTGGCTCACTGACCAGGTCACTGCCCTGGTTGAGAAAAAAAAGACTCAGTCCGGTACAAAGTGACCCAGTTTCAATTAACACACACGTGCATATTCAACAGATTGTAACTCGGTCAATTTTCAATCCAAACCAACCATCGAGCTACCTAAGAGGTAGTGACGAGGCTCAGCTGTTCAATCAAACTACATCGAGCCCGAGCAAACTACAATAAAGTTGTAGTGAACTGTGATTTATTTACACCTTTTCACTTTTGGTGCTGGTTGAATTTCATCCATCTGCACAAAAGAGATTTCCTGACTCAACTAGACTCTCGCTGTGTCTGTGCGAGCACACACGAGTGTGTGTCTGTCTATGTTATGTGCGTGCATGCGAGCGCATGTGTGTGTGTGTGTGTGTGTGTGTGTGTGTGTGTGTGTGTGTGTGTGTGTGTGTGTGTGTGTGTGTGCATGTGTTGTTTTGCGCTCCTTGGGAGTAGGTTACACTTTCTGAGCTCCGTTTTCTGGCTTTCGCTAAGGTTTTCTGCCTACCCAGGGCGACTCTGGCTATGCAAGAGTCGACCCTGGAGCACCCTCGTGCACTGCCAAAGTAGTGCAGAATGATTGGAACGCGGAATCGCGATGTAGCCGTTCAGGACACATTATTTCAATATTGTCACTGCTGCGTCGGCCGTGGTCCAACACTCGCAGTAGAGTAGCTGTCCCTCGAGTGCTGAATGTCATCGAAGCTCAAAGATAGCAGTGGTGGGCATAGCGGATTGGTTTGCAGAGTGCTGGAACGAGTTGTTTATGGTGGAGTGGACGAGCGAGTGCGAAGAGGAAGGTCGCAATGGCGGAATGGTGGAAATTGAAACGCTTCAGTCTTTCGTCGTCATGAATACACGGGTCAAGCGTCGTGGAAGTCTGTCGGATTTGCGAGGCAATGCCCTGCCGCTTACATCTTCAACGTGGAAGAACTGCCAGTGGAGTCATGGTGGGATTTCGGATGCCCACACTCCTTTTGCTTGGTGGATTCTTTCATGGATAGTTTTTTTGTGACGTGAAATTTTGGCAGTGTTTTTTTCCTGTTCTTTTTCAGTCGTTGTCACTGTCAGGTTGTTACAGTGCAGCAGTCATCCGTTCTACTCCATTGTTCCATCTGTTTTGCCAGTTCTGCTAGCTGATTCCCTTTATTTGCCACTGCTCCTCATACTCATAGTGCCCATGCTTGGGTGGAGGGCGGCGAGACCTGCTTGGGTGGCCGTGTCATAGTATTAGTAGTGTGCATGTGCATGCGCGCGCGCGTGTGTGTGTGTGTGTGCGCGTGTGCGTGTGTGTATGTATGTGTGTGTATATGAATGTATGTATGTATGTGATGGTGTGTGTGTGTGTGTGTGTGTGTGTGTGTGTGTGTGTGTGTGTGTGTGTGTCCTCAGGCAGTGTTGGTGACGGTTTGAACTTTTTTTAGCTCTCGTCCTAAGGCAGTCTTTCCCCAAAGTCCTTTCCTCAGGGGCAACTCTGGACTTCCAGGGTTGCTTGTTCGATGTAAGCCAGTTGAAGACCAGTATGGGTATGAGTGAGGAAGAGCGGAAGTTGGTGAGTGTAACAGGGCACCGTACCGAAGTGCTCTTGGTGGTCAGCTGCAATCGTGTCAGCACGCCATAACCAATGAAGACACTAGGCAGCCCATCAAGTCAGCAATTGTTGATGCTGCCCAAGTTACCATCCTCCGCGGGAATGTCGACGCCAGCCGGATTGGTTTGCAGACAGCGCAACTATTCTGGAACCCAAGCTGCTGCAACATCGAGACTGCGCCTATGCCCGGTGGCTTCAATCTACTGATCCCTCGGACCTTTCAGCTTTTCGCAAGGCACATAGTGCAGCACATGCTGCAGTTAGAATGGCAAAGCGTGTTTGGTTGAAGAGAAAGGCAGATATTGCACAGTCTGGCAAGTTTAGCGGGGAGCGTGTCTGGTCAGCCATCCGGGACATCCAGTGTTGCTGCAATGGCCTGTGGCCCCGCGTTCTATGCGCAGAATTGATGGAACCCTGTGTATGTGATGGAACCCTGTGTATGTGATGGAACCCTGTGTATGTCAGTGGAACCCTGTGTATGTGATGGAACCCTGTGTATGTGATGGAACCCTGTGTATGTGATGGAACCCTGTGTATGTGATGGAACCCTGTGTATGTGATGGAACCCTGTGTATGTGATGGAACCCTGTGTATGTGATGGAACCCTGTGTATGTCAGTGGAACCCTGTGTATGTGATGGAACCCTGTGTATGTGATGGAACCCTGTGTATGTGATGGAACCCTGTGTATGTGATGGAACCCTGTGTATGTGATGGAACCCTGTGTATGTGATGGAACCCTGTGTATGTGATGGAACCCTGTGTATGTGTATGTCAGTGGAAGAGCGTGCTTGTTGGCAGCAACACTTCACCCATGTTCTGAATGGCATCAGTTTATTCGATGCTTTTGTCTTCCAGCAGTTGTCCTGCCGGGAGGTTGACAACAGCCTGTCAGGCCCTCCAACAGCCGTGGAGATTTAGTGCACTTTGCATCGTCTTGCCACTGGGATGTCAGGTGGTTGGTTCATCTCACATCGTCACTGAGCTGTTAAAGCATGGCTTTTCTGTTCTTCGGCCACACCTGCATGAACTCTTCTCCGCATGCTAGTCAGCGTCATCTGTGCCTCAGGAGTGGAAAGATGCTGTGCTCGTCCCTATTCCCAAAAAAGGTGACTTGAGCAAGTGTGATAACTGGGGGGGGGGGGGGGGGGGGGAATAGCCCTATTGGAGGTCATCGGGAAGCTTCTCGCACGTGTTGTTCAGGACCGGCTGCAACCTCTTGCTGAGGCACATCTCCCTGAAAGCCCGTGTGGTTTTCGGTGCGGGCGATCCTGCACAGATGCCATCTTTTGCGTGCGGCAGGTAGCCGAGAAGGCATTCGAGCATCGCTGTAAGGCCTTTCTTGCTTTCATCGATCTCCGCAAGGCGTACGACTCAGTACCACGTGCTGCACTGTTGCTGGCTCTTGAGGTGTATGGTGTGCCTGGGTCACTCATCCAGCTGATTGACGGTTTCCATGCAGGCTGCTGTTCGGGTTGATGGTGGTACGTCTGGGAGCATCTCGGTTGAGAATGGTTTGCAGCAAGGGTGTGTTATGGCCCCACTGTTGTTTAATCTGTATTTGGGGGGGGGGGGGAGGGGGAAAGAGACAGGGGAGCTGTTCCGTTGATCTTACCGAACGTAGCTGTGCGATGACAGTGCACTTGACCGCTATTGGCGTCAAATGTTGGTTCTGGCATTTCGAGTGGCTCTGAGAGCTGGCAGTGGTGGGCTGCATAGATAGGCAGCCAGTCACCATCCACTGCAACCACACCTGCACGTACACACAAACACACACACACACACACACAAACAAACACAAGCGTCTAGCTATTGTAGTGGATGGGTAGTAGTTAGTTAGAGTTCACAACTTGACATAAGCACTCCGAGTGTGCAACTGCACATCCCTTTCTGCTTGTTGGGAGTTGCCGCAGCAAAACACAAACTTTGTACGTCAACAGTACAGTTACAACACTACTAGGTTCAATCTGACCCAAAGTGACCCAAAGTGAAAAGCTGGCACCTTGCACCAGTTCCCAGTACATCACCGTATTTGTACATGTGTGTACGTAAAGCAGCATTCATTCCACTTACAGGGCGTCAAGGATCATGCAAGTCCACAGCACCAACTATGCACTTAGGATTGGATTTCACCTTGCGCAACTGCACTTCACCATGTACATAGTGAGCAAATAAGCTCCCAAGTGTGTGCAACTTCGCATATGGGGTCTCCGACGGCAAAAACTCACATCACGTGTCTCAGGTACGTTTCGTTCAAGTACAAACAACAAAACAAAGGACAGCGTGCGCAATCCGGATATCTGCCATGATCGTGCTGGGGAGTTGCATAAGCGGAGTGATGTTCTGTCAGGGAGTGCTATTTTTATTACTCCGCTGCTCGCTAAAATGGGCTAGAACCGCTGATTGAGTGCCCTCCTGTGAAAAGTGGTACCCCTACTCATTTGTCGATTTTGGTGTTCTTTCATGCCAATCAACGAAATGCAGTCGATAGTCGGTAACAGTGGGTTCAAAAAGGCACACTTGTCTAGGGTGAAGTTGGACGTCCCCCCCCCCCCCCCCCCCTCTCCCCGTACGCTGCATTTTCCATGGCAGGACAATTTCGGAAAATGGAAAATAGGCTACGGAGTAAATTTCCCCTCCCCCCCCCCCCCCCCCCCCACTATTTTGACCCGGCTAGAACCCTGATGTCAGCACTGAGAGCACTGTTTTCAAATTGCAACTTACACTGCATGAATGACTTAGTAGTTTCCACGACCTCGCGAAAGACCACAAATTCAGGAAGCATCTTCTGGTACTTGAGTGCACAGGCAGAATTCATGTACACAGGTTCCTCCATAATGCAAGACTGGAAAACACACACAAACACACATGTACGCACACACGCACGTAGGCACGCACACATATATACATGAAGAGTGTGTAACAGATAACAGATGTATGCTATGACTACTAACATAACCAGTCCAAACCCACAAGAAGTTAATTTCTTATCAGCAGAAATCCTACATGCGGATGCCCGATAATGGTAGTTGTCATAATACACTTTGTCGTACGTATGTGGTTTCTAAGTTTTTAAGAAAATACAATTTGTTTGCACTTTCAAGTCCTCACAAGTACAGGAATGCACAATTATTCCCGTAGCTATGCAGACGCTAGCCAGGGTCCACACAGCTTTAATTTGGTGTTTGTTTGTGTGTTTGTTTGTTTGTGTCACGCCTGGCGCTATCCCGTATCTGTCCCGTACTGTACCGTACCAGCAAAGACAGCTGGCCACAATTTGTTTGTTTGTTTGTGCCATCGACATGCCTGGTGCTATCCCGTACCTGTCCCGTACCATCAAGAGTACGGTACCAACAAGAGAATGAGTATATATGCGAAGTGTATCGGGGGAATGCATTCAGTGCAGTAACATTTTGTGTGGATTTGTGTGCGAGGCCGAGATCCCACTAGCAGGCTGGCTGGGCCGCCTGTCGACCAGCCCAGGAATCGCATGTAGGCCGATAGCATAATAATGATAACGTTTATACAGTCATGTAGATGTATAGCAGGGAGTCATATTATGTAAACGACTCCCTGCTGTATGGGGAGATTTCCTGGAAAGAAATACGAAGTAGGGAGACGAGTAAATGCAATCAGAATGGATGTTAGTTGCCGTCAGTATAATAATAAGAAGAAGATAAACTTCCGTGATCGGCAGAGTCAGCGCCGGTCCCAGGAAACGTCAGGACAGACATCCCGTCGACTCCAGAACGCCCGTGATCGGCAGAGTCAGCGCCGGTCCCATAGCTATGCAGAAGACGTTACTTCAGTATCTCATTGAAACGTTTTTGCAATACAATGATGTAGCTAATCAAAGGAAAAAGCATTTCCATCACATGATCAGTTCTAACAACATGCACGAGGAGCTAGGCAACAAAACATAGCGCAGGGCCCTGAGCTTCCAAGCTCTCCCGTTGCGCAGCACGTAAGTGTTGACTGTGCTGCATTGAATCAGCACCTACCCGCCAAGGGGCAACAATGAGCCAAATTACGAGTGAATATCATCCAAGGCCTGCGGGAATTGATTTGTGTTGCACAACCTTGTTCTAGCCAAGTGTGCACGTGACCAGGAACCGAGTTGATTCTTGCTGTTCTACAGACTACAGCTGTGGCAAGTGATGTGTGCACCGATACACACTTCCAGCACTGCACACCCGTTTTGATTATCTTGTGTACTGATGAAAGAACACACACACTCGTACGTGCGAGTGCGCGAGCACACGCAAACCATACACACACACACACACACACACACCCACACACCCACACACCCACACACCCACACACCCACACACCCACACACCCACACACCCACACACCCACACACCCACACACCCACACACCCACACACCCACACACCACCACCACCACCACCACCACCACCACCACCACCACCACCACCACCACCACCACCACCACCACCACCACCACCACCACCACCACCACCACCACCACCACCACCACCACCACCACCACCACCACCACCACCACCACCACCACCACCACCACCACCACCACCACCACCACCACCACCACCACCACCACCACCACCACCACCACCACCACCACCACCACCACCACCACCACCACCACCACCACCACCACCACCACCACCACCACCACCACCACCACCACCACCACCACCACCACCACCACCACCACCACCACCACCACACACGTACACACACACACATATACCTGGTATGCATAGCGGAGCCTTTTCTTGTCAGTCAGTGGCATGTCACTCGTGTCGATTTTCCTGTGTAAGACAAGAATAACGTTAGACGCAACAAACAACAACGGAGTTCGCAATGGCAAAAGAGAGCCAAATCGCACCTCTAGCAATACATGTATAAAAGAGAGGTTCTGAGGTTCTGTTTTCTGATGATCGCTCAATGCGTGAAACTCGAAGTAAAAACACTTTTTTCTCTTATTCTTGTTGCACCACATGCATATGTATATGCTAGGGTTCAGGGGTTTCAATCAAGCTACTTCTGAAGTAGAACCATTTGTGATTACCAACTCATAAGTACACACACACACATCCCAGATCATATTAGTGATAATTCCAAAACCTTTCCCTCTTTGGAATTATCACTAAGGCTGTGTTTACATGAAGCGTTTCAAACCGGGTCAGATTTCAACCCGCCATGTGAATGGCGCGTTTACATGACGCATTGCGCTTGACCCGGGTTGAAATTTCGCCCCGGGTTGATTTCAACCCGGGTCAAGAAAATCGTACAAACGTACTTCTGTGCGTATCTCGCGCCCGTACAAACGTACTTCTGTGCGTATCTCGCGCCAGGTTTGAACAGCACTGCAGATGCAAATTCCGGCCGAACGGATTCACGTGACCATACAGGACTGTAGAAGTGGACTTTTGGTGGCATATCAGTATTTGGGTCAACTGTCTTCATGTAAACGCTCACCTCTTTTGTCTATCGTACAGGCTTTCAACCCGGGCTGAACTCGACCCGGGTTGAAATTTCTCATGTAAACACAGCCTAATATCCATGAACCTTCCAAGGTGGAAGGCAATTGGTTAGCGCTATCGAGCAGTGCTCAAACTCACTTTCTGAGTTTCATGTCATGGAATGTCTCAGTACTCCTTGTCAGTTTGGTGCTGCTAAATTGTGCACGTCTGACTCTAACGCATAACTTGTACCCCACTGTTTTCCAAGCTTTCAAATTAATACTGGAAATGCTGCTACCCTTGCATTTTCTCATACCTGGCAACGTGATCGCAGAGGCCACTCAGCATCAATTGCCTCAGAAACTTGACCTAACGGATGGCAAAGCACACAAAGCACACATACACATACATACACACCATGATTGCCAACACCAGTAGTACAGGTGGAATCCTGATAATTCGAACCTCAAAATGCCAGGAAAAAAACTTCTAATTATCCGGACATTCTAATTATCCAAACATGAACCCACAACACAATATGTATGTCAAAATGCTCTCATGGTCACGCAGAGTTGCGCTATGGACCTTAGACACAGATTTCACGGATACTGAACTGACCGGCACAGCCTGCTCATGCAAACTGAACTGACCAGTACAATGTACAGTGAACTTCGAATTTCAGTTTGCTAACTTCGAATTATCAGCACAAATCCCACACATTTTCTATGTAAGTGGAATCTGTGGGACTTCTAATAAACCATACATATCCAGTTCCAGGTTCGAATTATCAGAAATGTTTATGTGGGACTCGTATTGATAGAAATCGGTCCTGGAAAAACTTCTAATTAAGCGGTATGTTCGAATTAAGCCATATTCGAATTATCAGGATTCCACCTGTACTGTGACGTAAGCACCACTGAACGCAGCCGGGTAAAAAGGATGCACGTAAGTGCTAAGTTCAGAAGGCAAAATGCACGCAGACCCATCAATCTGCTAGTACAGAGGTTTTCTGCGGATTTGAAGTACCGTAATAGGGCTTGAAAGTGATGACGTCAAAAACGGCCAGGGAGTAGTAAGTTCACATCAGATTTCTATTTTGGATCCACTAAGGTGTGACTTTGCTATTGCCTCAGTGTGTGGGTGCATAGCAACCCACGCATGTCGTATGCAGGTGTGACTTTTTCTTCGCCACCAGTTGTCACCCCACCCCCATTAGCCAACCCAATCAATTTCACTGGCTATATCACCGTGCTGTGAGTAAGACCGCTTGAAATGTGCTTGGATCCATATAAAAACTGGATCCAAGTGGATCCAGCTTTTGAATTTTTGAAATTGTTGCTATGCTGTGACGTAGCACTTTCAAGCCCTATTGGCTCGAGTACACATACAACTGTAACACATTGGTTTTTAGCAGCTACAAATCAGAGCTGACACTCAATGAAAAACCAACACAAACCCAATACAAATGTTGCAGATGACAGCGGTGACAGGCAGCACAGCACGTGCAAAGAGGCGCTACAGTGAGTGGTCAAACATCTGATGAGAGTGAAAGAGACATCCAGGGGGGGGTACCGTTGGTCGTTTCTACGTCTTTGTACTGACCTGCAATGCCGATGGAGGTGGAAGATTCGGATCAAGAACAACTGCATTAGACACACGCCTGCTACTGACTGAACAATTACAAACATGCACACCCACCCACACACGTACACACACACACACATACATGCGCATGCAAACAAATATACACACACGCACACACACACACAATCATGAATAACTTTTGTGGTCTCGCGTCACATAGGGATACCATAGTCAGGTGAGGATGGTGTCCAAGAAGGTTAATTAAATGCACAGCGTACAGCTGTTGAACAAAGCCTATCACACAACCGTCATCCCACAGACTCGAACTGACTCGAACTGACACCTCGCCATGATAAGCTCCTGGGAAAGAGTAAGGATTCATATTTTATTGAAGCAATATGGACGCATGAGAATCCACTGTTAAGGAAGAAACCACTCCACTCACTGATCGTCGAGAGTTGCTTGCGAAGCTTGCGCACTTCCAGGACGGCTTTGCGACGAATGCCATTGGCTTCACAGAACTCGTTGCTACAACCAGCGGCTTCCGCTGCCAAAACAGCCTTCATCAGTACTAACACATCACCTAACAAGCCAAGTGTGCTCTGCAGTGGGCAACAAAGGACATGAACAATAGTAAGCAGCAGCAGCAACAGAGTTATTATCATTCCTTTGTGTGTTCAATAAAACACCTTTTAGTGGTAGCAGATGATGTAGGTGCGGCTCGTCTAGGACGGACATTCTAGCAGTAGAGTCTGGTACATGGACACGTGCGTGAGTGATATGTAAACTGCACACAAGTACCGTATTTTCTGACACTGGGGCCGGTCTTTTATTACCGCCTGTCTGAAATGGGCGCCACATCAGTTCAGGGGTTTTGTGTCGATTTTTTCAAATTGGGTGAATATTGGGCTCGCAAACTACTAAAATGCCTCGGCCAGTATTACTGAAAATACGGTATAAACAAGTAGCATAATCCAATGTTGCAAACACTACAAATGTGAGAATAGCAGCAGCACAACTAGCCCAGCTACTTACTGGCGACCCCCATTTGGAGACGAGAGCTTTAGCAAACTGCTCACGGGACTTCTCCCTTTCCTTGTCCTCTTCTTCATCCTTGCTGCCAGGTGATGGCATGACCAAGATATCCTGTGTCAATGTCCAATACAAGCACATTCACATCAATGAATACGCATACACACACACACGGACACACACATGCATGTGCACCCCCCCCCCCCCCCCCACACACACACGGACACACAAACACACATGCACACAAACACACATATACACACACAAATACACCTACATGAATACACAAACACACATGCACACATACACACACATACACGCACGCATACAGCCGCATACACACACACACACACACACACACACGCGCGCACGCACACACACGCATACACACGCAGCATCACACAAACACACCGTCATAATCTCACACCTCACCTCACACATGCCCATCGCTGAAGCGATGATAGTGAACACGCTACTTCGAAGTACGTTAGACATAGCAACTTGTGCTGGGATAACACCATTCAGCAGTTTACAAGGCCGCCACCATTTTTAGCAAGGTCTACACCACACAGCTGATTGAAGTGGCTAGCGAATCCCTATTTTTCATTCTTCATTTTTCGTGTGACGTTACAAAGTGACGTAGTGCGCCTGGCATAGCCAGGGTCCACGAGTGAGCTGCTAGCTCATGGCATAGCCAGGGTCCACGAGTGAGCTGCTAGCTCATGGCCCTCGATATGCGTGTTCTCTACCTAGGTCATCATACGAGTATCAACTCTAACTTATAGAAACGCCATTGCAATACAATTACATGTATCTTCACAGGGGTGGAGGCAGCAGGAAAACAGGATATTTTTATAGAGAAAGTATTACGCGTGGAGCTTGCCTACCTAAAAGAAAAGCTGCACACGACTATCGATACTACAGGTAGACTCCCTCTAATTTGAATACGGTATAATTCGAACATTCAGTGCAATTCAAACTTTTGGTTGTACCAATCTTCTGCAAGTCACTTCATGTCAAATTCGAATGCATAATTCGAATTACGAAAGTGCGCACGCTGGATAATTCGAGTTCATACAGAAGAGCAGTTTACAGTACAGTGACTATGTCCTTCGAACGTTTATTTTTGAAGTGAGAGGGAGTTGTTATACCTGTAATTCGAAGTTCATTCCTTTCTCCTTCTCTAGCCAAGAGTAGCTCAAACACCGATCCCTGATGCGCTCCAGGATCTAAAATAGCGTTCAAGAAACCCACTTTCTCTCGAAATTTGATTCAAGCCCGTGCGAGGCAAAGTGCAAAGATTTGATTGGAGACGACTTCTTCCAGGTGGCTGACTTAGTCCATTCGCGGATCTCAGTGGCCTTTCTTGCCGCACCAGATTGTGCGCCGTGATGTTGGCGAACAACAACACTGGAAGTCGTAAACATTGTCTATGCCTATGCTCCACTTCCGTTCTTCAGAACGACGTGCTGCTGTCTCACGGCCTTTCATGCCGCGGATTAGGAGGCACTGTTCTTTTCCTTTGAAATTGTTTCAGGACAGCTGAAGTGACTGACATCTTCTTCACTAGAAGATTAAGACAATTTCAAATGACTTTGTGTTGATCCAGTGTTTTGATGAAATGAACCGGTCTGTTGTACATGACCACGTACAATGTTTCGTTGATGCATATAAAATGCAAAAATAATCAGCATGCGATTTCAGGCATTTTGACATATATATCAGTACATGGGGCTGCATTTGGATAATTCGAAGTTCCGGATAATTCGAAGTTGGGGCTTGGCAATTCGAGGTGCGAATCAAAGGGAGTCTACCCGTAGCACTCACCTGAACAGAGAGGATTGCAACCATAGCGATGACATACGGCAATACACCCTTGCGGTCACGCACAGTCAGCATCTTACTGAAGCGTGGCGATACTGGATAGGCGGCCATGCACTGGCCCATCGGAGTGATGCCGCTTGCAACACCCTTACCTACACCAGCAGATGGCAATACAGCACATGTACATGTTAATGATGTAATCCTGCTTTAGGGGCCATCCGGCATTATCGACCATTTTCACAGAATAAAAAAGTTTAGTCATGACCCTCCGAAACCCACCCCCTAAACGAGAAATATATCGACTTGAAAGGAAGAATGGAGTAATGTTTCAGCTGCCCTTACCCCATGTCCTACAGACTTGTTAGTGAAAGTCCAATGCAATCATGATTGTGTAGTTTCAAACAAAGAGAGTAGGTACCATGTTTCCCAGAATATAAGCAACAAAATCTTTCACAATCGAGTGTGACCTATTCCTCAAGTGACCACACTGAAAACTACTGTATAAGCAGAACATGTCGTCGGTCAATAATTTCGTCCAACTCCAAAGAAAGGGAGTTCGTCCGGTTGTAAATTTCGGCCATGGATCACAAGAGTGTATTGAAAAGATGGACAAATCAATATTAGTCCGGCATTTAATTTAGTCCAACAGCTCGTTGGACGAAAAAGACGAAATTAAATTCCAGACGAATATTTCTGCTTGTACAGTATAAGGCATAGACCCAAACAAGGGGTGCGATTGATATTCAATACGATTAGTGTACTACAGTGTTGCTCTCAATGAAATCCAGTCCCGTCACTCCAGTACGGGCCGGGGGTTGCGCGGCCCTACATGTAGACCTGCGAACTGATGCAAGGCGCAGACTTGAGTGATGCGACTGGATTTCATTGAGCAGCATTGTAGTAGTTACTGTAAGAGTTTTAACCCTTTGAGCACGACGCTACCTGAACGCCGCCCCACATCAACACCTGCAAACCCTTTGAGCACGACGCTACCTGAATGCCGCCCCACGTCAACACCTGCAAACCCTTTGAGCATGACGCTACCTGAACGCCGCCCCACGTCAACACCTGCAAACCCTTTGAGCACGACGCTACCTGAACGCCGCCCCACGTCAACACCTGCAAACCCTTTGAGCACGACGCTACCTGAATGCCGCCCCACGTCAACACCTGCAAACCCTTTGAGCACGACGCTACCTGAACGCCGCCCCACGTCAACACCTGCAAAAATCGCATTTTTCCTATGAAAGTAGTAGCTATTCAAGGATCGATAACTTTACCTTCCCTTGGACGAATTCCACGATCTTGAGCTTCCTGCAAAGGTCTTGAAGCGAGGAACAAACTAGTTCCCAGCCCAGCTCGGAGCGACACCAAAAGCCCATGCTACAGTCTGGCAAACTTCACGCACGCGCTCGACAGACTTGAGCACGGCCAGGAGATCAAATCCTCAGCTGCCATTTCACTCTCCTTGCTTGTATCGAGCTCAAATTTGTTGAGGACTCCCAGATCTGCTGCCATCATTTGAATCTAGTTTCCATGGCAGCAGATAGCGCAAAAATGATCGAAAATGGAAAATACGCGTTCTGCAGAGTACGCAAAAAAAATCTATTTGAATTTGCCGTGTCGAGTCGCATACCTCAACAACCCGGGGTTGTGTCGCTTCGGCGATTGTTTCTATCGCAAGCTGAGAGTTTTCTCTTGCAGATACATGTTTCGATCGTGAGAATCGGCCAAGAATTGAGTTACGATAGTTTGAACTCACGCGGTTCATGCAAATCGCGTTTGTACGCTATGTACACTCACGACGTAATACGTCACGCGTGGGAGCAGTGACACTGCATACCTGCCAAGTATCCAGATTTTTTCGGGATTATCCCGCAATTTTGGATGAACTCCCGCGATCCCGAAATTCCTGTCGATTATCCCGAAATTCACTGTACAAGAAACAAGCTTGATACTGTACTTGGAGCACTTCAAATGACTTGTCACAGGCCAGTAATTGTCCTTATTGATCCCGGACCGCCATAGCCTGCAGCACCAGTGGATCTCCCAGTGCTCCTTCCATGAGCAGTCTATGAAAAACCTCCGTTTTTGAGTCTTGAACATGTGTAAGTGTGATCCGATGATCACCATCAATCATCTATTATCGAAATGTTGGTGCCATCAAAAGTTGAAACCGGATTTTTTGGTAAAAATATGACATATCCCGAAAAACCAAGGCAAATCCCGGGATTTTGCCATGGCGATCCAGAAAAAGCACTCTCAGTACTTGGCAGGTATGACACTGTACGTGACGTAATAATACGTCATGCGTGCTCAAAGGGTTAAACATCTCTAACAGCCTAGTAGTAAAAGGGCACAAAGTTGAGCGTTTTCACTAGAAAATTCATCGTTAGCTCAAGAAACGATACTCGTCCGCTATTCCTCCTCTCCTCTGCACTAGAAAAATTAAAAAGGTGTGTGTGTGTGTGTGCGTGCGTGCGCGCGTGTGTGTGTGTGTGTGCGTGCGCGTGTGTGTGCGCGCGCGCGGGTATGTGTGCGTGTGTGTGTGTGTGTGTGTGATGGCAGAGCCGTTGAACCTCGAGCAAGAGGGAAAACTTTGCAACTTGTTAAACGTTAGAGTCGGCACACTTTCAGTAAATGCAAGCCATCATGCATCTTGGCTCAGAACAACAAAGTTACAATTATACTCCAGCTGCACCAATGTTCATCAGGGTTCTAGCCAAAGGGGGGTAGGGGGGCGCAGCGCTCCCCTACTATTTTGACCTGGCTAGAACCCTGGTTCATCATCTACTCATAAACATCAACTACTTCAATTCCACTGTCAGCAGTGAAAGTGGGCTACCAACAGTCTGGAGAATGAAAATCTGAATGCAATCAAAAGACCCACCATCTTGCAACTTCTTCAACTCCAGAGCACCAAGTGAAATCAGCAATTGCTCAGCAGCCTGCATGCAACATAGGGAATACAACCAAAAGAGATCGAATAGTACCAGTTGACAAGTTAGAAGGTTGACATCAATCAGGAGTAGTCCGGGATCCCGATCTCGAAATCGAAAAGTTGGGTACCACTTCGTAGGGAGCACAAAAACTCTTCACCAACCCTTTAAGTGCCTAACAGTGAGTATGTCTGAAGTTGTCGGACATCGCGAAGCTGTGTCATACCCTCAGGAGAAGGGAATATATCCGACGACAAATCGACAATTTCATGAAGAAGATATCGTAATATTTTTGGCTCACTGGGCGAAAAATCACGAATGCAACCATTGAGAGAAAAGAGAGCGCGCGCAAAAATGTGAAACACAGCTGACTAGAAAAGGAAGAAGAAAACGATGCCACAATTCAAAAACTTTTCAAAAGGCGATGCTCGGCGGGGATTTCTTTGAAGGAATTACTTGCTTCTATGTAACGTCCTGGTTTTTCGTTCGTCACTGTCCTTTCCGACATTAGTTCAGGTCATTCAGCTCCAGATAGGTCTCTGCCGTGTGCCTTCCTCTTTCCATTTCCCTTGATGGTAGTGTCATAAAACATCGCTTGATTATAATAATTATAGTTCATAGTTCATTCATGATTATTTTGTTCTTTCAACGAGTGTGGCCTTGTCGCTTGGCCACGTACATCAGGCAGCATGGAAAGCTCCGGTGGCGATGATGATGACAATGCGACAGCTGTTCCTGGTGCTGTGCCACTCGCCAAGACTACTCTCAATATTGTTACTCTGGGGAACACCACCGCCATCACGTGGGAGGACTGTTTGTGCCACACCTGTGCGCCCAGTGACCCTGGATGTAAGGTCGCCTTTACACAAACCAGCTGGGAAACAATGATCTGCGCGTCATCTGTGCGGCAAGATGCCACATGGAGGCTTGTCAGCAGCCATGATGGACCTCCGAAAGGCTGGTACCTTCGCCATTGCTATCGCGACTACACGCATGCCAAAACCATTGCGAGGTTGAGAGCTGACAGGTGTGAGCAGGAGGATGGTGGCACAGGTAGCCATAGCAGCTCCAACCCTGCCGAACCAGTGCCCGTGATCGGTAGAAGACTGACAAGGAGTAGTGTCGACAAGGTACTTGCGGATACTTGCCTTTTCTGCCAGCGCCAGCGGAAACGCAGGAGGCGAAAGGCAGACGAGTACCTCACCCAGTGCAGCACCTTCGAGGCAGGTGAGAATATTCTGGAAGCAGCCTATCGGTGCAAGGATCTGCCGTTAAAGAGTCGTGTCCTTATTGCCTTGGAGAGTGGTGGACCCGACTGCATTGCTGGGGAAGTGAAGTACCACTTTACTTGTTACCGTGACTTTGTTCGGGATAGCCGCAAGTCATGTGAACCCCAGCCATCGCCTTACCAACTCATGTTCCAGGAGCTGGCGTCAGAGATGTCCGAACAACTCGCTAATGACAGGAAAGTGGCAGCACTCTCAATGCACGACTTGAGGAACAGATACGTGCACCTAGAGAGGAAACGGGCAAAACCAAGACTTAGTCTATCTTTTGTACCCAATATATGTCCAAATGTGGTTCTTATCCATATGATGAAGAAAATGCTTATTATCCTCCTTCCAGGAGGCTTCTTTGGGCCAAAAACCAATTTTTTTAAACCATTTTGTCGCCGAAAATCAAGAAATTGTACACTCACTAAATGCACCAGAATACCTCTTATATGCCTGGTGACTCTACCTACAGTCCATTCAGAAAAAGATGGACTTCTAGCTTTTGGCCATAAATGGGTCAAACGTTGAGTTGTTTTAGAATTTTTTTCTGCAATCCCCTATGGAATCCTTTTCCAATTATGTTTCTGAAGTCTATTTCTCCAAAAAGCAAGCCATAGCAAGAATAGGATTTCGGCCAGGTTTTGCCTCAAGAGCACTGAATTGGGAAAAATCATCAAAATCCAGGCCGTTTGACCCTGCCTGCAACAGTGCATTGTACGGTTCGAACCCCAGTTCGGGTACTGTATAAGCAGAAATATTCGTCTGGAATTTAATTTCGTCTTTTTCGTCCAAGGAGCTTTTGGACTAAATTAAATGTAGGACGAATATCGATTTGTCCAGCGTTTCTATACCCTCTTATGATCTATGGACGAAATTTTCAACCGGATGAACTCCTTTTCTTTGGAGTTGGACGAAATTATTGACCGACGAAATTTTCTGCCTCTACAGTACCCTTTTTGGACCCTTTTTCAAATTTCAAATTTCACAGCACTGCACTGTGCACATGTGTACGATAAAATCTTGAAAAATCGTATAATACGGGAGCTCGCCAGAGCCAGGGCCCATCTTTTTTGTGAAAGGACTGTAAAAACTATACCAAATCGAAGAGGAGACATCACTCCACCATTCTATGACTCAATGCACAACAAATAGAATACAGTGTAGGTTCAATTCGTTGCCAACACGATCACAAATTGTTCAGTTATTGATTCCATCTCAGCCTCCTGGCCTATGTCATTGGAATGGCTGATGAACTAACTCCAGCTGAACTCACTCCAGCTGTTAGGCCCTCTTCAGACTAGGTACAAAACAGCCTATAAGTCACGTTTACATAGAAGTTTCCAAGACAACTACTGTCGTGGACATGGAAATTCGGTCGCATGTCTAGCGGCCCCAGGGCGCTGGGCATGCAGCCGTGGGAAAGCAGTACACGCTACAGCGCGCTGATCGCTTTGCGCTTCGGCCTCAACACCAATTACATTGACAATCTTCGGTCTGGCAGGACTTCACGGCTGGATCAGTGCACACTGTATGCAACGTTCTGTACGTGCTGAGGGCGCCGGCCCCGGTCAATCGACTGCATTTCCAGGTCCACGACATTACAATCATTTGGCGGGAAGCCTAAAAAGCTACCCAGTCCTTTCAGGCAGGGTGCGAACCCTTGTACAAGGCAACTTTCCTGCATTTATCGTACTTTCACCAGGCAGTCGTACAAACTACTTTGTATGACTGCCGCTGCTTTCACACATCCCAGGCCCCTTGCGCGATTGCGTAGGGTCAAAGGTTACCTGTGTGTTGCATGTAAAATGTGTAGTCTGCATGCAGGCGTGGAAAAATGCTGCCTTTTAGGTTTTATGTGATTTTGTACTGTATGTTCTATGTACGTTAGTACTAATGTACGTAGTCTGTAGAGGGCTTAAGCCACTACTGCGTGCTACGCATGCCCATCCTCAAAGACAAAAGACAAAAAATAATATTTTCCCAAACAAAGAAACACGTCAAATTGCCTCACTGAGCAGTTACAATTGTAGGTGTGTGCATAGGAGCTCAATGACCTGACGCACCAGCAACAAAGCAAGCTTCAAAACAGCTAAAGAAAGTGTCTGCTCCGAACGCCGGAGCTCGCGCTTCCTGCCGACTGGCTTGACACTTGACTGACTCCAGACTGTGTCCGGACCACACGAGAAACCCGTCGAACCTTCCACTCGGCAAACCTGCAAGAAAGCACCGCTCCCTGCTCTAAACACTTTCTTCAGTAATCACCGCCGATGTCACAATATCTTTCAAAACAGCTGCTTGGAAAACAAGAATTTACCTTGATGCTGTCGGCTGGCGGCGGTGTTGGGAATGGAAAGTTCTCCACCTTCACAATGTGCATATTCTGCAGAGAAAGGCAGCAGCATGACCAGCAACATTAATGAGGATGGTAGTGGATGGTTCTAACCAACACATCTATAGTGGAAGCCTGGTAGTACGCGTCAGGGAATGGGGCACGGGATATATTCATTATTGTAGGCAGGGATAGCCTCACGAGAGTCAATCCCAGCTCATCTATAAATCCGATACTAGTATGTCAAATGACTCAAAATCAAGAATCGAGTATGAATATAAAGCGTCCTGTGATAAGCATCATACCACACGCCTCCACAGCAATATGGTGTACAGTCACAACTTGACTAGCACCTCAGTTCCTCAGGTATACCGCATCACACGGCGTATATCGTAATATCATTACGCAGCGCAAGGTGTATACCATACCGCGATGTAAGGTGTCTACTGTACAGAGAGGTGTATAGTGTACACCGTACCAAACAAAGGAAGACTGGCATGGACTTGCTTACCTTGAGCTGCAAGTACAGATCATCCACTGGACGATGGATTATTTCTGGCGGTGAGAACTTTTCAAATTCATTGCCATATACTGCCGATGAAAAAAGCCTAAAAATCAACAACAAGAAAAAACACGGGTGGAGAGCCAAGGGTTAATTTATATTATAAGAAGAAATGAGGACCAAGGAACTACAAGTTAAATGGCCACCAACACCTTCCCATCCTATGTAATTTCTAACTTAGAACCTTCCAAGCTGGAAGGCTGTTGAAGTGCGCACCCAAGACGTGCTAGAGCTGATTGCCAGTTAGGTGTAGAACGTCAGTACCGTTGATCAGTGTCGTGCAATGTCATCGCATGAGCTGATTGTAAAGTAACTGGTGGTGTTAGGGGCCGTCCGGCATTATCGATAATTTTCACGGAACGAAAAAGTTTAGTTATGACCCTCCCCCACCCACCCACCTTCTTCAACGAAAAATATATTGACTCGACAGCTAGAATGGATTGATGTTTCAGCTATCAATAATTTTCAAAACGAAACTTTCCTCAACCCACCCACCCATAAACGAAACGTTTTCTCTTTGTGAAAAAGATCGATAATTAGGCGAGACCAAAACAAATAGAGATTCCCGGGCCCTCCCGCACCAAAATCGAGCCAAAGCCATTTATTTTTATTTTTTAGCAGTTCATATACATGCACAGAACTGATCATGTGAGTAGATCTGTGACGTGGGGTCACATAAACCCGGGCTTGTACGACTCCCTGATGTACAGATCAGGGCAATAGTTGGCCGAAATACAGAAAAATTGAACGGGTAAATCGCGTACCTGTTTTCTGTAAAAAAAAGAATAAAAATTACCGGAAAATACTGTAAAAAATGTTCAGCATGGCGTGCATATACATACATTGGAAAAAATTAAAAATTTCACATGGGTCCTGCCCGGGAATCTCGATTTTATTTTGGTCTCGCCTTACGGATGGCCCCTTAGTGGACATTGCTTTTCGGCTGTTTCCTTTTCATGTATATAATCTTCTCCTTCTTTTACCATGGTTGGCTATCACCCACATCTTCCCGTTTTGGCTGCCATCGGAAGCCATAAGATGTTGAATAAATAAAATAAATAAAATTATAGCGTAACTTGTGTTTCCTTGGTCCTCTGTTCTTCTCATAAAACAAACAAGTAAAGAAAGACCAAATTGATGGAGCCTGACCATGGAGCAACACATACCAGTGTGTTGTCTATACTGGTTACTCCAGCAAGTGTAGGGTGTGTGCATAGGTAACTGTCTTGGCCGTGTTATTCCGATCTACTCCGTGTGTTGTAAACCAGGTGTGCATTGGTGGTCGATTCACATGGCTTTGCCAGATGTGTGGATCAGGCAATTATCTGGCGCTAGTCTTGATCTGTTTCATTCAGATCTTGTCGGCCATCGTTGCAATATGATAAAATCTGTGGGCATACATCCAGTGCATAATGCAGATTTGCACGCTTCTCTTGTGACGGGTGCACAGGGCACATGGTGTGCGTGTGCGCATGTGCATGTCATTCTGTATTTCACAAAAGAATAAAATGTATCCATGCAGCCCACCTACTTACCTATAACAATGTCCAGGACCGGTACGACCAGCACGACCAGCGCGTTGGTTAGCAGAAGCGGCCGATGTCCACCCAACTCTGTACAAGTCATGCGAAGAAAAGCAGCAAGACAAGTCAGCAGAACAGGACTACTACATATTTATAGTATATAACAACAGCACATCATGTACTACGAAGTGCTAGTACTCGTACTCCTTGCTTAGCCTGTCCTCCTTTACCCACTTGCCACGACAATTGCTGGAACAGTGATTGGGGCTGCAGATGTGCAACACATGAGAATGATGCGATAGAGCGTAACTGACAGTGAACTACAGTATTTTTTTCTGTTTTCTGCTTCCCTTGCCTGTGCCAATTGTATTCTTGTGAAAAATGAACATTTCGTATTGTGTTCGTAGGCTCTAATGCAGCTATTTGACATGTGACTCATAAGGGCCCGGCCACACGTGCACAGGGGTTCTACTTCAATGGCGAGGTTAAGCAGCAGCAAGTCGTGTGCCTCTCCAGCGCAACCATGTGTGCATGGTCACACATACAGACAGGACAAGCTCCAACTTTGGGTAGAACTATGAGAGAGAGAGAGAAGTGGACTGCGGTGCATACAGTACAGTAAACCAATGTAGACAATGAATATCTTCTATGCATTTTATGGCATGCACATCAAACGCATACACAGTTGTCGTAACGAGTCCGTTTACACACAGAAGAACATAGTTTTTTTTTCTGTTGAAGCGGAACCGCAAAAGCAATGGTATTGCTCCCAAACCTTTGGAGGCAGCGGAATTGAATTTTTGCCGAAGCAGTAGTTCCTCACTCTGTAGTTGCCATATTTCCCGCTCCTGTGGTGCCGCCACTCCCGAATGCAAGTGTAACTGGTCTGTCTCCCTCTCACACACAAACTCTCTCTCTCTCTCTCTCTCTCTCTCTCTCTCTCTCTCTCTCTCTCTCTCTCTCTTTCCCTCTCTCTCTCTTTTCTTTCATTCTCTAATCTCTCTTTGTGACTTTCCAGCTTTCGACTTTCTCTGTCTCTCTCGAACAGTCTCCTCATTGGGAATACTTTACACTTCACTGTGAAATATGAAATCAAGAACCTGCAGCAAAGAGACCGTTCCACTGCAGCTACTGCTCTTGGCTTATGCTGCAACTAGACGAACAATGTCCATGAACACTGACCACAATTGGAATCTGGTACCCGGTACATCTACAAGTAGATCATCAAGCCTGCATCGGCCAACATTGTTTTTGCTCCCCCCCCCCCCCCCCCCACCCTGCATCACTGTCCATGAGTTGGCAAGTAACTGCGTACATAAATAAGCAGTGCACTCAATCTCTGGACAGCTAGCTGCTTCGCCCATGTCAGGTCTCATCAGCGAAGCTAAGACGGTGACTGGCCGAACTGATCACAATCAAGCCTAGTCAACAACAAAGCTTCTAAAAAACGGCCGCTCAAAGCATCAAACTATCAGAGTGCAGTAGATGTGCAATGTAGAGTGCCAGCCTGTACCTGAATGTTGAGACACCTGTTACATTGTCAAAGTAGCGACGTTTCACCTGACCAAACAAAAGCAGAACACACACACACACACACACACACACACACACACACACACACACACACGCACACACAGAGGAAAAGTCTGGTTGGAAATACAAGTCAAATTCTTCAGTATTAAAAGCCAGTGACAAGATTCTTCTCCAAGGAGTACAGTCATAATCCACTTGTGCTTGACATGAAACTGATCAAACTAGGCATGGGCTAATAAGGACTGCATCTACAAATGGGACCTATGGTAAGTTCGATGTCTCCAGCCAGCCAGCCAGCCAGCCAGCCAGCCAGCCAGCCAGCCAGCCAGCCAGCCAGCCAGCCAGCCAGCCAGCCATGATAGCCAGCCAGCCATGATAGCCAGCCCTGTCATTGATTCATTAGAATCATCTCACCTTGCCAGTATCCACAATGTATTTGACGTTGGGAATGGTAAGCGAAGTTTCGGCTACATTCGTAGCAACAACGCAAAGCCTCACACCGTCTGGCGGGGGAGCAAACACCTGGCAGCAACAACAGGAAAAGCAAGATCGTCCATCCAATCACTGATCCAAAAACAATGAGCAACAACAGGAAAAGCAAGACCATCCAATCACTGATCCAAAGGAAATGTATAAGTATGTTACTGTATGGGCTGTACGTGATGCGAATAAGCAGTTGTGCTATAGCGCTACTCTCTGTTCATATTGATAAGCATGTTCAAGTATGTACAATGTAGGTATACAGTGGAGATTGGGCATAACGACACTCCTACAGGAGAAAACAAAATGTCGCTATATTCGAGCTGTCACTAAACCCGATCTTCACATTTAGTATGCAATACGTATATCAGAATGACAGAAACGCATTGCAGATATGTATGTGCATAATATAATGCATATGGATTTCAGATGTGTACATGTACATACATGTGTCTTGCATGCATAGTCCAAGCCAAACGTCATGCATAGCAACTACACCGCTGCACTGCGGCTACAATGTGCAATGACCAGCACGCGTGGAGTGACCTAGACGGGCCAGAGGTCCAGGCATGTGACACAGACATGTCCCATGCATGCCACTCCGCCTGATACAAGAGGAAAGCCGTTAAATTCGATGCATTTCAGGTCTTCGGGCACCAAAAAAGCGTCAGTAAATTCGCTCTGTCGACTCGCTATTTTCGAGGTCGTTATACCCGATCTATAATGTACAGAAAGGACTTGCTAAACGACTTGGGCAACAGAAATTTGTCGCTAAACTCGATTTGTTGTTACATCCAAGGTCGTTATATCCAATCTCCACTGTATTACACTATTATCATGTGTCTCTCTTGGCAAGTATCAGGTAGGCTATAGCCAAGATCACACATTTCTGAAGAGAATAAATCAAGAGGAATAGTGAGACATTCAATCACTTACTTGTGCTTGCCGTTCAGGTGCTAACAGTGCGTACAGGGGCAGCACTTTCATAGGTAAACTCTGGTCATGCGCTCTTCTCTCAATCTGACACATCAGAAGCAGCAGCACACAGAATAGCCATTGATGAACTGAAAGAGATGCACATGATGTTCTGTAAGGGGTTGTGGCAAACGTTTTCCGTCGCCCCTGACACACAACATCATTCATTTGTTATCTGGGGGGGGGGGGGGGGGGGGGGAGGGTGTGTGTGAGAGGAATTCACAAGTCGACCCCAGTACCAGTGTACTGCTCGCATAGCACTGCACCAACACAGCGTACGACCACACCAGCCTCACAGCATGGACAATGCATGCCTATCTACACCTGCTGCACTGTACGCATGTCATATCTTGCAGTTACACCGGGAACATTAGGGGAGGTTTATAGTACAATGGTACACATTTATGCAGTAGTGCATGTAGATACGCAAGTCCAGACAGTGAATGCCATAAGCGTAGTCTTCACACTTTGTTGGCGTACCAGGGGCATGCACGCTACTCGCAACTGCGCAAGGATTTGTTTTAGCTCAGCATCACTTGTACGTAAAAATCCATGGTCTGCATTTCAGTTGCCACCACGGTAGAAACATTTAGTTGTCGCATATAAAACTACATGTACCGTACTGCAACTACCGTAAAGTACCGTTGATCCGCCCCCCACGCCATGTCGCTTCCCAGCTGGGTTTTCGGGAGGGGGCGGGAAATAGATCAAGGCTGTCAAGTGCAGTACGATGTACAACAACGATTACGTAGAAGTTCAGACTCGATGTCCTGGATTGTGCACATTTCATCCTGGATTGGCAAGTATTGTGTACAGCAGTGCATGCGTCGGTTCAACATACTTGGTCCGGCTCATCGCAATTGTCGCTTATCTTTCGCCACTAAGAACAGGAGTTTTTTTACCGCTCTATAAAATTTCCAACAGGCATAGTAAGGAAGCATGATACATGAATACTCTCCGCCACAAGAACAAAATTTCAGCAATGGAATCAGGTGAAGCGAGTCGAAGAAAGGAAGCAAGGTAAGCAAAATGCACGAAATAAATCAGCGAAGGAGCGCGTTCTTGCACTCACACTAGTAATACAGGTTCACTCTGCATCTCTTGAGCCGCGCCGTTACATGAGCTGACATTTGCTGGTGTCTAGCTGCTGGCGTAGACTGGTAGAGTATCTCTTGCGTTCTCAGCCTGTCGTATGGCAGCAATGGGAAAGGAACAGTTGTGGCTGTCACTTCGGTGCTTGAAGGAACTGTGGGCAGTGTGACCTGTGTGTCACCACAGTGTGTGTCAACAAAGCCTTCGAATGAGGCATACAGGCCTCTCGAGACAGGTGTCATACGCTCCACTGGATACGCCGCCGGCCACGACTCTTGTAATGCGGCTGCTAGGTCCACCATTAGAAGGAACAACCAACACGTCGGCCGGGCGCATCGCATCAAAACACCTTTCTTCTTCAGCATCACCATGATGACGCTCATACTCCTCTGCCGTGCACGCGTGCCTGTCACGCTCTCCAGGCCAGGATGTCAGTTTCCCCTGCTACAGTTCCCGTCTTCGGGTCGCTGCGCTTGGCTTTTGGCAACACAGACAGTGAATGGCCAGATTCCCACTTCCCAAAAAAGACGAATACATCGCGATTCAAAGCGCTAGTCGCGATCATTTTTTCTTTGGTGCCTCCTTTGATCTTGCCATCACGACCTCCCAAGCAAAAGTAAGTTAGATATCGTGATTGGACTGGGTTTTACCTGTCAAAAAGTGCGTGGGGGATAAGCGACAATTGCGATAAGCCGGACCAAGTAGTATTTTCGTTGTATACGCCGAAGTCGCTTCACAGGTAGAAAATCGACAGGGGGCGGGAATTAGAGAGGGGGCGGATCAACGGTACTTTACGGTACATGTACCGCATTTTCCAGAGCATAAGCCACACTGGAGTAAAAGCCGCATCCAGATTTTTTTTGTCACGAAATACAGATAGCTACCCCATTTACCACCGTTAATTTGACCATCGTAGCACAAGCAGCACAGACTTTTTTGGGTGACACCTGCGACTTGCGACACCTGCGACGAGCTGCGACAGCGACACACGGTTCACAATCTTTCTTCATGTTTGCGACATCCTTGTGCACTAGTAGTACTATGCACGTGCACTGCACATGCACCCAGGGTCGAAACTGTACTCCATTTGTGTATGTCGCGTGTCGCATGTCGCAAAAGTTGAACTTTCTTCAACTTCTGCGACAGGTGACTTGCGACAGCTCGCGACAGGCATTTCTTGTCGCAACTGTCACAAATCGCGTGTCGCGTCGCAGAAAGTTGTATTGTGAATCGGCCTTAATACTCCGGAAAATACGGTACCCATCTAAGGACAGTCTCTAATGTGTGACATCACACACACCGTTACAGCATTTTTTTTAAATGTAATGTGCTATATACGCTTTCAAAGTATATAAAACAAAAGATGCAGCATCCCACACCAATGTGTAGACAAAAGCAAACAAACAGGATGAGATACACTACTGTCAGTGCTAGCCAGTACTGGCCAACACTGGCCAGTGCTAGCCAGTACTGGCCAGCGAAACCCGATGATCACAGGTACCGCACTTTTAGTGCACACAGAGTCAAACAACCATTGGCATCCAGCAGATATGTAACCCAACTCAGGACACACAGCCGCCATGCAACACTATGTGTGGTGCCGGTTCTCAAGCGAGTGGTCCGGATTCACTGGCCAGCGCTGTAGCATGCTAGTAATGGCCACAATGCACAATGCACAATGCACAATGCACAATGCACACACACACACACACACACACACACACACTCACACACACACACACAACTCACCGCCATAAAATCGTCATCTTCATTGTCGCTGCAGGCACTGCTGCTCCCGCCATCACTATCATCACTGTCTTGGTTGTTCTCGAAACCTTCATCACCAATCTCACCATCAACATCATGACTGTCAAAAGTCGGCTCACAAGGAACACTGTGCACAGGCATGAAGATACACACACACACACACACGCACATGTGTACTTCCTCACTGCCATAAACTGGTCACGTGGGTCTCCCCGGGAGAGGAGAGGAGAGGGAGAGAGAGAGAGAGAGAGAGAGACTGAAAGAAATGTCGAGAAGATTACTTATTTTAGGCTGTATGCATTCAAACCGCGGTGAAAAGTCTGCGGGGACACTTTTTTTTGTTGCGCCCACATGCAGTAATTATTTGTACTGTAGAAGTATTGCTGTGGGTGGGAAATTTTAGATTGTTGCCTTTGTAGCTGCAAGGTCCTTCTGCATCGCCTTGTTTCTGCCAGTTTTATAGTCTCAGAAAGGATGCCGGGTCATGCCAGCTGCATTGTACTATTCTGCCCCAACAGGAAAGATCGATGCAAGTGGGGTTTGGTTGAGAGTGCCGAAAAGAGAGCTGGACGAAAGTTCTACGTAAAGAGAAGATTGTGCCAGTTAACTTTAGATAGGAAAGGCTGCGACAACTGCGATCCAGTTTGTAAATCCTTGTCGTTCCATCGCCTCCCGGCCGACTCGGATCTGAGGAAGAAATGGCTGCAGGTGATACCAAGGGCGAACGTGCAGCCAACGCCAAATTCATACGTTTGTGGCGTACACTTTGTCACTGGTAGTCGATCCAGCTCTGACGATGTGCCATGCCAAGTTTATGATCACCCTGTGGTGCATCGGCGCACAACGATGCGTGCTGCTATGGTTGCTGCTGGTCCTGCTGACATTGTGTCCTCCGAGTCGGAGATTGAGCTAGAGCTAGGTAATGACGATGTTTTGGAAGCTGTAGATGTACCTGACGTAGATGCAGTTCGTCAAGCTGAGCTTGAGCAACGACTGCAGGATGTCTGACATGATCATGCCTATGAAAATCCAGTGCAGCGCCTGGAGAGAGAATCGTGTACAGAGAGAGGAGGTATCACGACTCAGTAAGCTGCTGGAGCAGGACAAGAACTTGCATGCACAGTGCAAAGAGAAACTTGAAAAACTGACGTTCTCGTGTCGGAAGCTGCACTCAAACCCGCAGTCGTTCAAGTTTTTCACAGGCCTGACACCAGAATCGTTTGACGACATTCTAGTCCTGCTAGGTTCATCTGCTGAGAACATGAGCTATAATCCGAAGGCTGACGTAGAACACCTTGGGAGACAGACAACGTATTCTACGCGCAGCCTGTCTGTCCAGGATGAGCTGTTGATGGTTGTGATGAAATGTCGGCACTTCCCGCAGTCTGACCTTGCTGCGCGGTTTGGCATATCCCAGTCAACGGTATCAAGAATATTTACTGCTTGGGTTCGCCTAATGTTCCATTCATTCAAGGAAGTGAACATCTGGCCATCCCGACGTCTCGTTGACGAATATATGCCAACCGAGTTCCGAGAAAATACCGGTCAACGTGTGTTGTCATTGATGCCACTGAGTTTCATATCGAGAAACCAGCAAATCCGGATGTTCAAGCATCTACGTGGAGTAACTACGAGAACACCAACACCCTGAAGCTCTTGCTTGGTGTTACTCCGAATGGTTCACCTTGCTTTCTTTCCGACTTGTACGGGGGTCGGATATCCGATAAAGAAATTGTAAAGCGCTCCGGACTGCTAGGAAAACTGGAACCTGGCGACTCCATCATGGCTGATCGAGGATTCGACATTGGTCGACTGATGCCTCCCAATACCAGCCTCAATATTCCTCCTTTCCTGGAGAGCCGTGACCAGTTCGAGGAAGAAGAAGTGGTCCTTACGCGTCGCATTGCGAGCCTAAGGATCCATGTTGAGCGCGCCATTGAGCGCATCAAAAACTTTCGAATTACTCATTTCATTCCCGCTTCCCTGTGTGAGCTGGCTGAGCCCATTGTGTATATCTGTACATTTCTAACACTCTTCCAAGCGCCGTTGGTTCCGCCACCTGGCAGTGTGCAGCAGGCTCAAGAGCTGACCGAAGAAATAAGGAACATAATACACTGGGCAAAAAAATCAAAACCATCTGAAACGTTTTGGAGAGAAAATAATGATTTACCGCTTCAGGACATCGGCTTTCTTTCCGCTACGGCCTATTGGCTATTGAACCGCCCAATAGCTGACACCCCTCAATCCCTCTCCTCTACGCGATAACTATTTCTGCAAGTATTCGTTTTATAAATGGGAAAGATCGAGTAATACAGTCGTCCCTCTCTAATCCGGCACCTTTTGCTACGGCATTTTCTGCTGGATTAACGAGGGTGCTGGATTAAGAAATCCTGCCCTCTGACCCGGCCCTACCCAATTACATGCATGTATCATACGTCAAAACGCAGGGTTTTTCCGTGTCGACCCCAGTATTTGGTGCACGCCTTTATATTCTCAACTTTTCTCCAGGAATATACACAGTGATAAAGTAAAACAGAGAACATGTTCACATGTATAGGTACTCTTGCACACACACGCACAGTCGATTTACGACTAGTAGTAGTAGTAGTAGTAGTAGCAGTGCTAGATTGCTGAATGTTTTGGAAGCTGTATACATCCACACAAGTAGTAGTAGTAGTAGAATTTATTATTTTACTTGGGAACTCCCAACAGGCGTTGCCTTTTTACTGGGAACCCTAGGACTGCCGGATTATGAAATCAAACTACGTGCAGTTTGAGCGATTCGTTTCAAAAAGTCACTGCCGGAGGCGGAATTCAAGTGCCGGATTAAGATGCAGGAATTGAACGAAAAAAATCGGTTTCATCAGAAAGTGCGCCGGTTGGCAAGGGTTCCGGATAAACAAGTGCCGGATTAGAGAGGGACGACTGTACAAACAAGACACAGCCAGTACTCACTCATCAAGGTTGATCCTCCTGCGTTGCGTTTCAGGCTGCAATGGATTACCTAGCAGGGAATACATGTATTTAAAAGAAGAAGACGTTTTACGCTAATAGCAACAAGGCAGGGGCCATAATAATAAATGACCATGTATATCTGCCACCCTGGTATCACAGGCATGGTGGCGACCTGGGACGAGCGAAACTTCCTAAGCTGGTTGTGTTTCTCAACGCAATTGTAGCCGGTGCCCGGTGGTAGTGCGAATGTGCAAACTTTACTTTATGTATATTCAGTAAAAAGTTATGCTAATAGCAACGAGCCAAGGGACAGGCCAGTCTTCACGATAATGGTGTACACATGTATGGGCGTGCTGCTGCTGCTACTGCTGCTGCATTGTCACAGTGGGGTGAGGTAAGACTACCTGGTAACTGTTTGCATGTGTACCATACTGCACACCTCTTGACCTCTTGTCAGAGTTGAGCATCTAGCCTGATGTCACAGACACAGCATCCAGCATGCACACTGTACCAACAGACTGGCCCCCGGCCCGGCCTGGGTTCTCTTTGTGCAACAGCGTGAAGACCGTGGAGAGATCTCTCATCTGCACCGCCCCACAATCACACCACCCCACAATTACACAGCCCCACAAACACACCGCCCCACAAACACACCATGAAAAAAGGGGTTGACGTGACAAGCAGGTGATCTGGCAGCAAATTGCTTGACATGATCATAGAATGAAAAAATATCTATCCATTAGCAGGAGATGAGGAAGGTGCTGTGCACCAATTTGAACTTTTGTAGAATGCCCATTGCTAGAATAGTACAGATAAGTTGCACACTTGCACACTACGACTCACCAGCACTGCTACTGGCTTTACTAGCGGCAGGAAAGGTCCGTCGAAGACTTGAACACATCCAGTTGATCTCTTGTTGTCCAGTGACAAACACAAGAATACCACCTTCCGGCAGCTCCCGGTGAATCTTACACACCTAAACACGTGCACGCACACACATATACACACACGCGCGCACACACACACACGCGCGCGCGCACACACGCGTACACACATGCGCGCACACGCAAGCGCACGCACACGCAAGCGCACGCACACGCAAGCGCACGCACACGCAAGCGCACGCACACGCAAGCGCACGCACATACACACACACACACCAACGTGCTTGCATATGATAAGAAAATAAGCAAATAGAATGAGAACCTGAGTACAAGAGTGTTGTGGGCATTAAAGAACATAGACAAATGACATCACTGTACTTTTCCTCACAAGAAGAGTGTAAGGGAAAGCAATATGCAACAGTCTAACAGAGCAACACAGGATATCCCGAAACAAACACTTGCCACTAGACTAGCAGTTGACTTCCATGTCTCACCTTTTTCACTGCTTCCTGCATGTATTGATCATCATTAGGAGTGCGTTTCGTGAAATGGACAGTGACAGGAAACTGTCGGGAACCGACCTGAGACAGAACACGTAAACATACACGTATACACATGTACACGCACGCACGCACGCACGCACGCACGCACACACACACGCACACACACATGCAAACATGTAGACCAGTGATAACACCCACTCTCTCCAAATCAGCCGGTGTTTCCACTGCGCCTTGAGATGTTGCAATAGATAGAATAAATACATGAATAATTATAGAAATGGGAATGGGATAAACTTCAAGGTAAACAGTTAGGCCCTCATCAGACTACGTACATAGAAAATCCAGTACAAAATCACATAAAACCTAAAAGGCAACATTTTTCCATGCCTGCTTTCAGACTACACATTTTACATGCAATATACAGGCAACCTTTTGACCCTACGAAATTGCGCAAGGGGCCTGGGATGTGTGAAAGCAGCGGACAGTCGTACCCGGGTACAAAGTTCGTACAACTGCCTGGTGAAAGTACGATAAATGCAGGAAAGTTGCCTTGTACAAGGGTTGGCACCCTGCCTGAAAGGATTGGGCAGCTTTTTAGGTTTCCCGCCAGGTTCTTGTTGTTGTCCTGGAAACTTCTATGTAAATGTGACTTATAGGCTGTTTTGTACCTAGTCTGAAGAGGGCCTTAGGGGAAGTGAACTGCCTGAAAAGAGATAAAATGCCAACCTCACCAGGACTCGAACCTGAGACCTTGCTTGTCATGAGCAATGCTCTAACCAACTGAGCTATGGGACCAGGCCAAACTTAGAAGGCGCAAGTGGTGGGGAATTATATTAGCTGCATTTTGAAATACATATCGTGTAATGAGATCCATATATGGTTGCGTGGTACAGGCCTCTGACTAAAGACCACCTGCCACTAACGACTGCTTTTTCTGTCCCCAAGGGGTGGTCGGTAGTTACAGGTGTTTACTCTACTCAATCTGCGGACAGCATGCTGTTTCGTTCTTTTTGAACTCATCAGCGCAGCACAGAGAAAATGAGGCCGAACCTGATAGCAATGGAAATAAAAATTTCCAATCAGGCCCGAACGTACCTTGCCAGAGTGCTCAAACTGACAAGTCAGTGAGCTCTGCATAACGCAAACAGCAAAGGCACTACCCCACGCGTGTTTACTCTACTATATGCACAACTCACTCAACAACATATGAACAGAGCGCGATCAATCGTTGTTTGGTTAATTTGTGAATTATTTACACATACACTTGTAAACTAGTGTGAGAGCACGCAACCCAACAAAGCTGCATTTCATGTACGTGTTCAACCCAACAAAGCTGCATTTCATGAACGTGTTCAACCCAACAAAGCTGCATTTCATGTATGTGTTCAACCCAACAAAGCTGCATTTCATGTACGTGTTCAACCCAACAAAGCTGCATTTCATGTACGTGTTCAACCCAACAAAGCTGCATTTCATGTACGTGTTCAACCCAACAAAGCTGCATTTCATGTACGTGTTCAACCCAACAAAGCTGCATTTCATGTACGTGTTCAACCCAACAAAGCTGCATTTCATGTACGTGTTCAACCCAACAAAGCTGCATTTCATGTATGTGTTCAACCCAACAAAGCTGCATTTCATGTATGTGTTCAACCCAACAAAGCTGCATTTCATGTATGTGTTCAACCCAACAAAGCTGCATTTCATGTATGTGTTCAACCCAACAAAGCTGCATTTCATGTATGTGTTCAACCCAACAAAGCTGCATTTCATGTACGTGTTCAACCCAACAAAGCTGCATTTCATGTACGTGTTCGCAAAGACCAGTGACAACCTATCAGATGATGCTTTGTGCATCGGCGCAAAAGACTGTAGCCTCAACACAAATTGTCTCTTTTCTTCTTCTAAGCATGGCTAGTTTTTTTTCTCTCGACTTCATCCACAAAAGATATGGATCGTGTTTAGCTGATCACGGCTCGAATTATAATACCTCATATACTACAAGACGATACCTTAATGACAGGCGGTGGGGTGGGGAACAGATGACGGTTCTCAGTGAAATCTTCCACACGTAATGTAGCAGACATGATGATGAGTTTGAGAGGATTGCCGCGCTTGGTTCTGAGCGGTACAATGCGAGACAGGAGTCCTAGCAGGATGTCGGTGTAAACAGAGCGTTCGTGAGCCTCATCAACGATCACGGCTGAGTAGTTGGTAAGAAGAAAGTCCTGTTCCAAGACAAACGAAAAGATAAAATCCTGTTCAGGAAGAGTTGCATGTAACCTGTACCATAGTGAACAGTTACAGTAAAGCCTGCCTAACCGGACACCCTTCGTGCAGCGGAAACTGTGCTCATATGACAGGACTCTGCTTGATCCACTGCACTTTGGTGCATGAAACTTTGTCCAGTCAATACGGGATTCCCCTTAGTACATGGTTCAGCAAACACAGGTTTTACTGTAGTTCTATACAGAACTCAGCAATGCATACCAGAAATTGATTTCTTATTTGTGACAGGACTCAAGGTGGACGCGGCACGGCAAAGTATCCAAAGAAGATCATCAGCAAACCTGAAATGACTGATGCGGTACAACAACAAAAAAAGGCTGTGGTGGTTCCACAGCAGTGCAAGATCAACAATTGAATTCACGCTCCAATGGCCAACCCTGGCATAGCATTTGAGAAGACTTTCTGTTCTATTTTATAGTAGCAGTACCACTGTAACTGCATCTGTACTACTATAATGGTACTTGGTCCGCCCAGTTAAAATTGGAGCTTATCTTCACACTTGTCTCAGGAAAGAAATACGAATATTTGAAGCAAGCCACGATCACAAAGCACTATATACATGATTATTTACATGTCAGTAAGCAACTCAGTCGAAAATTCAAGCAAGTTACACATCCTCCTTGCCACTATCGTCGCTGGAGGAAGAGCTCAAAACGGATGATCCGGACAGCTGCTGCACCGGTCGTTTCATAGCTTGTTCCACTTCTCCTCGTCTCGAATCACGCTCAAAGGCAGTGCGTGCCTGTCACCTTCCCATCAGAAGCTGAGTGAGACTGCACGCATGTTGACTGTAAGTGTTATCCCCGTTCGTCGCAATAATGCGTCTTTGTTTGAGACAAAAAGGCAACGCCAATGTCCTTTTTTCAAATCGCCTCTTGCGCTTGTCGTACTTGCTGATCAGCACCCGTACCCACGCGAGCCGCTGGTGCTTGTAGATCTACATGCAGCGCAGTGTTAGCTTCCGCTTGATGTAGCACCTGTGCGTACTGCACCTACAACGCCGTGCATCAGGCTTTTCGGCTAGTTTCCTGAAAGTCCTTTGCACGAGTGTTTCTCTCAGGACTTGGTGTTTTCTTTGATTAGCTCCTTTGCCCTGTCCTCTGTGAGCTTCAAAGTGTGTCCACCGGATTGGTCTCACTTACTGGAGATATCGACATGAGCTGCAGTTTCTTCGTCAGCGATTTGCTGGTGATAGCCCTTCACTAGGCGCTGTACTGTGCAAGCACTGAAATTCAAGCTCGCGAAGCGCTTTTTCAGCTTTTCTATACCTCCCCGGGGTAAACAATCATTGCCATCAGACAGCTGGAAGTAGACAGAAACTGTATTCTCCATCGCTCTGAAATGCGAACATCCAGACCTATTTTACGGACTCGAGCGGAGGTTGCAGTGTTTTCTTGCGCTGACGGAAGTGTTCGTCGGCGGCAGCTCCGTCAAAAAGACTCTAACGAACCGGTCGCAACTTCTGTGATGGTTTGTGCTGCCATGTCGTCGGATGCAATGGTCAATGGTTATGTTCGGATGGTGAATCGGTGGTTCCATGCCGTGTGGCACAGGCAGAACACCAAAAAACCAAGTGAGAAGATAAGCGCCAATTTTAACTTGGCGGACCAAGTAGTTAAACCGTATGCTTGTGCTCTTCAGCCGACATAGGGTTGGCCGGGATTGGGCCACCGCTGATGCCTCCCTGCTCTAACTCAGCTTAGCATTACGTGAACCAAGCCTAAGAGATGGACACCTGCAGGTTGCCAAGTCAGTGAATATGCTGCACGCCGTCACACCGATTCTGCAGACATGAGATGAGATGGATGCTAGCGCCATCGTCACCTTTCTGCTTTTCAACACAGCAGGATTGACCCATCATCCTCTGAACACTTAGCAACAGCCGAGTCTGAACCTTGTCTGAAGCAGCACACAACACCATGCTGACTTTCAATCTCTGCTTCTGCCGGTCACAGGTGTCTGCACCACTGAGGACTATGCATCTTCGGATGATGCCACTTGCTTGACCACACTCAATGACTTTGTCTGTGAAGCGATTCACATCCCTACTAAAGAGGACGAAGTGATCTTTGCCAGTAAGGGTGCAGAATCTGACTCCAAGTGGCACCCATAGGACAAAGACCAAAGCAATGTCCTTGAGGTTGTTCACTGTACCATTGAGCTATTACTACTCACCGGCATCAATGATGATTGTACCAAACACATGCCGAATTTTAGTTAGGAAAATGTGAGAAGATAGGCCCGATTTTCAGACAAGTGTTGATGATATGAAAGAGGATACAAGAAACTTGGATGGTTGCTTACATTCTCAATTTCCTTCAGGAGCACACCATCAGTCATGAATTTGATCTCAGTGTCATCTGCAAATCACACCGCAAAGATACGCATGGGCACACATGCACACACCATACACAAGCAACACACAAACATAAGCCAACATAAGCCTAAGAGGTGACCATCACAACGATCTGTGAGTCACTCAATGTCAGCCTAGGTTCAGCAAAACGGCACTACTATCAATCAATAGTAGACAAAGAGTGTAAAGGAACATGATTACACAACTGCAAACTGCTGTCCATGCCAGCTGCTGGGACAGCAGAGTTTCACAAAATGTGACATGGTTAAATCAGCTATGCAACATGACCACCAGAGAGGTGTGGCCAAACCAGGTCCTGATGGTGCTGCTACTAGTTACAACAGAGAATTGACATACAACTTTTTTTCAAGGCCGCACCCATTCTGCTACCTTGCCCGTCAAGGACAGCGTCACAATCATGTTCAGAATCCTCGGATTCGTTCAGATAGGTTTATGGGAGGGCAGTAGTGTTCCTCTCCATAGCTGTTTTGACCTATCCAAAGGATGTGTGTGTGTGTGTGTGTGTGTGTGTGTGTGTGTGTGTGTGTGTGTGTGTGTGTGTGCAGCGGCTGAAGTAGAGTATTGAATGAAGTGCACTGTGTAAGGAGCTTGGCATGACAAGCAAACCGATTGCTGGCTTGTAAATCCATGACCGCTAATGGGCTTTTGTTTATTGGGAGACAGCAGCAGATGTGCTTGAGCAGAAGCTGATTATTTCAACCCAACAAAGCACAACCCATGCTGTCCAACATCTACGACGGTTTCCCTGCCACATTCCGACCCTAAGTCTCACATGTCGCACATACATTCCGTGTGTGTATTCATCATTATTCATGAAGTCGGAGAACTCTGTAGTGCAGAGCAGTACAGAATTATTTGTATGCAAGTTCGGCCGTGCTCTGCTTCTGCTCTGCACTTGTGTACAAATAACCCTCAGTTCATAGAGAGTGGCGGCACCTTCTCTCCAAGAGCTTTCCAACAAGCCCAAGTAGTTAGTTGGTAAAATCGGCGCACTATCTAGGTTTTTGAAAGAATATTTTGCTCACATTTACAGTAGGGTTCATTCCAGCCCTACCAAAACACACGTCGCAAGCAACACTTCATTTCCACAGAAGATCTCTTTTTCCTTTCCATCCAGCTGCACTGCGACCCGGCCACGCTGTCACGTATACTGTAGTGTCGCGTATAAAAGCATGACCTGTATAAAGCATCACTCGAATAGAAGCCGATTTTCCAAAGCGTGCCATGACACAGAAGCATGATTTGAATAGAAGCACATGTACTTGCACACTACATGTGTGACAATGTACACTGTACAGTATAGGCTGAAGAATTTGACGTAGAAGCATATTTTGAATACAAGCATAACTTGAATAGAAGCACGGTTTGAACCACGGCTTATACGGCCGTAAGCACCTGCTTTTATACGCGACATTACAGTAAGCCACATACTACATGATCGTCACTAAGCAAAATGTGCCCATAATCTGATGCCCTATTTTCAAAGGCATCCCCAAGAACTCACCGGTAACAGTGCCTTCGTAACGAATTTGATATGATACCTCCCTGCAGACAAATTTAATTAACACACACACACACACACACACACACACACACACAAATACGCACAAACACGCCCACACAGACACGCACATGTACACATGTACACACATACCACACAATGTACACATGAACAAACCCAGGAGAGCAGGCAGTGACAATTCTGGTGATACAAAACCAGCTGGTAGTGTGCCAATCAGTAATGATTGGATCAGCAAGAAGGGTATAGGTTAGCATGCAGCATGCATCACTCATCCAGTCACCATGCACATGAGGAGATATTCGATGAGTGGGAAGGATGTATCAAATAATCAAAAGATGCAACCTGCACAAGCTGCACAACTTACTTGTCAGTAAGGCTCATCTCTTCAGCAACACGCCGTGCCATACTAACAGCAGCTACACGACGTGGCTCAGTCACACCTATCCGACATGCTTTCCTGAACAATAGCAACAATAGCAGCAACAATAGCAGCAACAGCAACAGCACAAACACAAACACCAACACCAACACCAACACCAACCACCAGCCACCAGCCACCAGCCACCAGCCACCAGCCACCAGCCACCAGCCACCAGCCACCAGCCACCAGCCACCAGCCACCAGCCACCAGCCAACAACAACAACAACAACAACAACAACAACAACAACAACAACAACAGCAGAATACCATACATCAGTTGGGAAAAGCATATCAGCTTCACCACACCACATAAGTATGGCTGGACGTCAAATAGCCAAGCAGATAGAAAACGAGAGTACGTTGTAAGCTTTACTCACTGCCACTACCGTAAAGTACCGCCAGAGCGCCCCGTCTCGCGAGAGCGCCCCACCTTGATTTTACAGCCAGAGAAAGGAAAATCGTATGGCAGAGTGCAACGAAGTGTGTACGATGTGAGAATCATAGTGTACTAAGGTCACACTTGGCAGGTTTTTGTGTGGAGCTTGTGTCCTCTTGAAGGTACGGATTGACTGCAAAACGTGCAATATGTGTACAAGGTTCATGTCGTATGACCTACAGACAGCAGACCACCTCCACAATACGACCACGAAAGGATGAGATGGTGGGGCGCTCTGGCGGTACTTTACGGTACTAGTATCCTAGCTAGTCTCCGAAGAAGAATATGAAGAAAAAGAAGAAGAAAAGCAATTGGAGCCTGGCTTCAGCAGGTGTGTGACATCACAATGCGGCACTGCTCACATCTGGGAACAGCTTGGAGATACAGCGCCCAGGACATGGCTTCGTCCTACATCAATACGTGGCCACCTTCAGCCTTTAGGTAAAGTGCGGAAATAAACCTTGGGAATTCTCAGCTAAGCACTTGATAGGTGTGTCCATAGAAACTACTACGCACCAGCACCAGCACCAGCACTAGCTTCACGAGCTATTGAAAAAAAACATACTCCGAAGTAAGGCGAGACCAAAAAAATAGAGATTCTCAGGCCCTCCCGCACCAAAATCGAGCCCAAGCCATTTTTTGGAGGTCATATACATGTACAGTACTGATCGTGTGAGTAGATCTGTGACGTGGAGTCACACAAACCCGGGCTTGTACGACTCCCCGATTTACAGATCAGGGCAATTGTTGGCCGAAATACAGAAAAATTGAACGGATAAACCGCGTACCTGTTTTCTGTAAAAAAATGAATAAAAATTATCGGAAAATACTGTAAAAAAAAGTTCAGCATGGCATGCATACATACATTGGAAAAAAAATAAAAAAATAAAAAATTCGCCCGCCCGCACCAATTTCACATGGGTCCTGCCCGGGAATCTTGATTATTTTGGTCTCGCCTAAACATATAATTTTAGATTTGAACTACTGCACACAGCCGCACCAAGTCCTTGACTATACAAAAAATAAAAAATAATATCCCTGAAAATTTGGAAAGAACTTGAAGTTTTCGGAGAGATTTCGAGAGGTTTTAATTGTAATTTTGTGTAGCCAAGGACATGGTGCGGCTGTGTGTGTTAGCAGTTCAAATCATGACAAGGCTACAAAGGAGTTACGCCATCATAATTACTGTAAGACCAGATAGTTTTAATTATTTAACGTCAATTAAAGTTAACCCTTTATGGACGGATTACTAGCACAGTATGCACCAGAATTACAAAATGTCAGTACAATTTTCAACTTTTCCATGTCATAACTCTGGTGTCCTTCACTTGATTTTCACAATCAAGGGCTCATTGGAAAGCTCTTGGCGAGAGCAACACCAGGGTACCAATCTCCATTATCCAGGCGCCACAAATCATGCGCAGTAACACAGCAAAGTCGTCTCCAAGCCTGATATGCAAGCAAATACGTCCCATCAACGCCATTCCACTCTCCTTCATCGCAGAACGCTCAAATCTGTTTGAGACTATTCAAACTTCAGCCGGCTACGTCATTATCATGTGCTCAGTCGCTCAAAGAGCACACGAAAAGGGATTTTCCCCCAAAATGGCGAAATGATCGATCAAAAATTTGAATTTGCCGAGGTAAGAATACGGCGTGCGATATCTCTGGCGTCCGACATCGTAACTCTTCGGCGATTGTTGCATTGGACAGCTTGGAGTTTCCGCTACCACGTAGACCCTTCGATTGTGGAATTTGCTCAAGAAACGATGGAGTTACGAAGATTTTACCGCCTGCAGACTTTCGATCTTATTAGATCGAAACTCGTACAGTCCGTCCACAAAGGGTTAACGATCTCCGGATTTTGTGGGTTAGCCAGGTGAAATTCTAACGAATTCAGTCTCAAAACCGGCAAATGACTGTACAGGTACATATCGTTTTTAAACGACTTCAAATGTTAAAGGGGAAGTTAAGCCTAAAAACAAAACTAAAGTTCACCAGTTGTAGTCTTCGGGGTGCCGAGTCGAATGGTCTTGGTCCGAGGAAGCTGAGACGCTCCATTCCTCCTATATTGCCAATCGAACTCGCGCACTTCCACCGAAACTGGGTGACTGCGCCCTACTAGATGGGGATTTGTATGCAAAATGTCACTAAAAGCGCCATTTCGTTCTTATAAAAGCCCGGAGGACCGCGATTGGCCCATATGTTGTAGTCTTTTGGACGCTGAGTCGACTGGTTTTGGTCCGAGAATGCTGTGATGCAGCATTCCTCCTTTATTCCCAATCGAACATAGTTGAACAAGCGGTCACGTGCTCCTGCATGCCCAAGTCACCTGGTCACCGCGCCAGCAAGCGACAACTTTCACACCAAGGTTCAACTCGAGTGACAGGAGTGCGCCCAAAAAAAGTCAAACAGGCTGTAAGTTGTACCCTGCAGGCGCTAGGCTAGGCACGGTGACCAGGTAACTGGTGTACGCAGGAGCACGTGACCGCTTGTTCAACCATGTTCGATTGGGAATAAAGGAGGAACGCTGCATAGTAGCATTCTCGGACCAAAACCAGTCGACTCAGCGTCCAAAAGACTACAACATATGGGCCAATTGCGGTCATCCGTGCTTTTATAAGAACGAAATGGCGCTTTTAGTGACATTTTGCATACAAATCCCCATCTAGTAGGGCACAGTCACCCAGTTTCGGTGGAAGTGCGCGATTTCGATTGGGAATAAAGGCGAAATGGAGCGTCTCAGCTTCCTCAGACCAAGACCATTCGACTCGGCTACCCGAAGACTACAACTGGTGAAAATTTGATTTTAGGCTTACCTTCCCCTTTAACGAATTAAATGTTCGTTCACATTACTGGTCTTACAGTAACCCTTTTGCGTCCATATGATCAAAAATCGACAACTATCCGTCGATGACTTTTTAAACAGACTGCGATTCGCTCATTTTATATCCTAATTGGTGTCAAAAGAAGCACAAAAGACCCACATTTGATGTGCAAAACCGGATGGTCGTATCGTGCTCCAAAGAAAAGTTATAAGCCTCTGAAGCACGTCTGTGTTTGCGACGCGTACGAAACAGAGTTTCCAATGGTGAAACTTTGGAAATCAGTATGCTTTCCTCTTAGAACTTGACATCAAGGTTTCCCAAATGGTACACCTACAATATGTCAGCCTGCAAGTGCACACTTGGGACTATGAATACCTCCAAAAGGATTAGCCATGTGTCGGATTGAAAATATGAATTGAAGGTGGATTTTCGCTTCTCTTACCAAATCAAGACTAGATTCTCGTCCTAGAGTACTCCTCAGAAATCTCCTAATTCGCACAAGGGAAATCAAAGTTATGACGAAATGGGACACGGTCCGTCGCTCGAACCGTGAATTGGCCAGGTTTAGTGGACGCAAAAGGGTTAAAAACGTAATTTTAGGTGTATTAAACCCAATAAAATTTCGGTGACAGAGACCTGCCAGGTTTCCGGTGTAACGTAGAATTAGGTCACCTGCATTCCCTTCACACATAGTGCATGCTCTAGTGCCTTTTAGGTGTAATCTAAATTTAGGTGCCTGGTTTCTTTACCGAAATCACCGAAATTGAAGTTACACCGAAAATAACGTGTTTTACAGTATTGCATGTTGCAGTTGATCTTTACCGTCACTACACACCACCCTCAGTGAACTCTGGTTCTACCTAAATAACTCATCGTTTCGAAGAGCAACCTGGGGGTTACATGAATACAGCCACTACATGTAACTTCACTAGCAGCGCAAACTTGACCTGTTAAGTATAGCTTTCACGCTCTATCCGTCGAACCTTGAAGTTGAACTTCCAACCTTCGTGCTCTGAGTGACCGATTCCTGTGATCTTAACAATGGCGCCCAACATTTGCAAAGAACCTACGACCCTGAGATCCTCGTCTTCTACCGCCCCGGCAATCGTCTCGTCTTCAGTCTTCGTCTCGTCTAACTCTAGTGACCGATTCGTGTGATCGTTACATTGGCGCCCAACGTGGGGCTCGAACCCACGACCCTGAGATTAAGAGTCTCATGCTCTACCGACTGAGTGTACAATTACAACTACATGCATGCAGGCCAGCCAGAAAAGGTACGGGAGGAGGTACCTAACACTTCTAATCCATGTCTTGTCCACTAGAGGAAGGGAACTTGTCACGATCAAAGAATCGGGCCATACGGGTATAGAGCACAGCACACCCTTGCGGGGGCAGAGATTGTAAGACTTCGACTGCTTGATAAGCAGCTCTCCTACATGTCTTCTTCCCCTTTTTTTTCTTTCGCTTGTTTGAGTTTGTTTGCTTGTTCGAGTTGGTGTCCTTTTGGTGCAGTATCACCAAATTACAATCTGTCCCAATTCCCGCCATGGACAACTTCACCAAAGCTATGCAGGAGTTGGTAGATAAGCAGGCAGAGAGCGCCAAAGAGCCCGGTAATCAGCGAACTCAAGTACCAGAAGATACGAGACTGGCTTTCCGGACTGGTGGGTGGGGACGCCCACTTTAAGCACTGGGTGAAGAAAAGACAGTTCAGTTTTCTGGACCTCCTTGCCCTGGGATTGAGTAATGTTTTGGTGGTACCCAATCCGCAGAGTACCCTGCCGTACACTTCGCAGTAACTGCGAGTGGTACACGCTGGAAACGTTGTTCGGGTAGTCTCAACTATCCATGGTGACGACCTGCAGCACGCTGGGTACAAGCAAGTAATGGACCGCATCCAGCGATCATACTTCGGAATCACAAGGACATTCGTACAGGAGTTTTGCTCCAAATGCGGTACACTCCGCAAACGCTGTGCGGGTTGTCTCGACTATCCATGGTGACGACCTTCAGCACGCTGGGTACAAGCAAGTAATGGACCGCATCCAGCGATCGTACTTCGGAATCAAAAGGACATTCGTACAGGAGTTTTGCTCCAAAGGCGGTACACTCCGCAAACGTTGTGCGGGTTGTCTCGACTATCCATGGTGACGACCTGCAGCACGCTGGGTACAAGCAAGTAATGGACCGCATCCAGCGATCGTACTTCGGAATCACAAGGACATTCGTACAGGAGTTTTGCTCCAAAGGCGGTACACTCCGCAAACGTTGTGCGGGTTGTCTCAACTATCCATGGTGACGACCTTCAGCACGCTGGGTACAAGCAAGTAATGGACCGCATCCAGCGATCGTACTTCGGAATCAAAAGGACATTCGTACAGGAGTTTTGCTCCAAAGGCGGTACACTCCGCAAACGTTGTGCGGGTTGTCTCGACTATCCATGGTGACGACCTGCAGCACGCTGGGTACAAGCAAGTAAAGGACCGCATCCAGCGATCGTACTTCGGAATCACAAGGACATTCGTACAGGAGTTTTGCTCCAAAGGCGGTACACTCCGCAAACGTTGTGCGGGTTGTCTCGACTATCCATGGTGACGACCTGCAGCACGCTGGGTACAAGCAAGTAAAGGACCGCATCCAGCGATCGTACTTCGGAATCAAAAGGACATTCGTACAGGAGTTTTGCTCCAAAGGCGGTACACTCCGCAAACGTTGTGCGGGTTGTCTCGACTATCCATGGTGATGACCTTCAGCACCCGAGATATAAACAAGTCATGGACCGCATCCAGCGATCGTACTTCGGAATCACAAGGACATTTGTACAGCTGAGTTTTACTCCAAATGCCCTGTACATGTATGTCAGCTAAGCCAGCCACACAGCCACACTGCCACACTGCCACACTGCCACACAGCCACACAGCCACACAGCCACACTGGCACACAGCCACACAGCCACACAGCCACACAGGCACACAGCCACACTGGCACACAGCCACACAGCCACACAGCCACACTGGCACACAGCCACACAGCCACACAGCCACACTGGCACACTGGCACACAGCCACACAGCCACACTGGCACACAGGCACACAGGCACACAGGCACACAGCCACACAGCCACACAGCCACACTGGCACACAGCCACACTGGCACACAGCCACACAGCCACACTGGCAGACAAAGCCACCGCTCAGGCCAATTGTCCAGCGGGACTTTCTTAAGAGGGTTCAAGTTGACCTGATCGATATGTGCCACTCACCCGATGGCGAGTATAACTGTATCGGTCATTTCATGGAACATTTCAGCAAGTTCCCCGTTCTCTTCCATCTAAAGCAGAAGGCGGCAGAAGGATGTGTCCGTCCTACTCGAGGAGCGGGTACTGGCCTACTTTGGCCCACCACGCATCTTCCACTCAGACAAAGGCCGAGAATGCGAGAATGTGTTAATCAGCTGGTGAGGGCAATGTTTACTAAGTGGTTTGGCGACACCGTCTTCTTCGCGAATGGGGGACGGGGGACGGGGGGCAAGGCATCCACAGTCGCAAGGATCGGTGGAGCGTGGCAACCACCAGGTTGAAATGAAGATAACTAATCTGGACTGGATTGGTTTACCATTGATTATGCATGTCATCACGCTGTGACGTGAATCTTTCAGCGAGTGGGAAACAAAGCATGTGCAGCTAGCTGTAGTTCTATGCTAATCCGTAATAGGCTGTTCTCCTTTGTGTGCCGTGTTGGCTTGGTCTGACTTTGCATTGCGTGCTTTTTTGGTTGTGTTGCGTTTTGGAAGGAAGAGAAACGAAAACTAGTCTGCCTTTGTGAGAATCTGAGAAATCAGTGTGTATACGCAAGAACATAGCGATGAAGGTAGATGCCAAGATCGGTGTGGACCAGGAGCAGGGTTGCTACCCGTGAGCACTGCCCCCGCAGCATGCTTTCCAACAAGGGAACCGCGTGGAAATTGGCATGGACACTTAACCCTTATCCGTCCGACCAGTCAAAAATCTACGACTATCCGTCGATCAGTAAATCCATCATATCTCAGTCATTTCTTGACCAAATTCCACTATCGAAGGGTCTATCGCCATTAGAAAACACCAGGCTATCGTCTCGAACAATCGCCGAAGAGCTACGACACTCCCTTGCAACGATATCGTCTGCCGAATGTAAAATCACGGCAATTGCGATTTTTCTGCGATCGGGAACATTTCAAAGTCAGATTTTTTCTTTTTTGCATGACAGTTACGTCACCAAGCACATGCTCATGACGTAAAAACCAAATAATGTTCTGTACACAAAAATTCAAAGTCCAGCGATGGAGGAGAGTGAAATGGCGAGACAATTTGGATTCTGCCCGCAGATCTGGAGCTGGGGCAAGTTTGGCAAGTGGCGGCGCTTGACTTGTGGCTTTATAGATGTTGAATGTGGGCTCTGTGCATTCGTCGCGGAAGGACCTTTCCAGGAAGCGCAAGATCATGGAATTCGGCCAATGGAGACTAAAGTTATGATAATTTGAAGGTAAAATATGTCGTGAAATTGCAATTTTGGCCTGCGCAGCGATTTTGTCGGATGGATAAGGGTTAAGATTAGCTATGTCCAGTTACATACATGCCATGTTTTCGGCAATTCTGGCCGAGGCACTTAGCAGTTTGCGAGCCCTAAAAATTCACCCAATTTGAAAAAAGAAAGGACCAATAAGTTACGAGTTATGACTAACAGTCCACCAAGGTAACGAGATATTATACAGATGGTCCGATGTCCGGTGGTCTTGCTAGTCTCGTCATCATCACCCTGTAACGTTCGACATTCTTTGTTGTCGAGGGACATAGCTAGTGCACATCTTCGTGGCGCATCCCTTCCCCTCATTGGAACCTTTCCGCACCTGAGCCTTCCAAGCCGGAAGGTTGTCGGTTTGCGCTTTGTAGATGTGTTGGAGCAAGGTGTCAGGTTGTTGAATGTCTCAATGTCCCTGTCAGTGTTGTGCCTTGTCGCACTATCTGACTGTATAATATCTCATTACCTTGGCGGACTGTTTATAATAGTCATAATTCGTAACTTGTTGGTCCTTTCTTTTTACTACTGGTTCAACATAGGAGTTTCAATTTTTTTTAAATCCACACAAGCCCAAAAATGAGGAGGCGCTTATTTCAGACAGGCGGTAACAAAACAAAAATAAGATACATACCGTATTTTCCGAGTACAATGTATAAGCCACACTGGAGTATAAGCCCCTCCCCCCATTTTTGCCACAAAATACAGACATCTACCCTATTTATCACCGTTGATTTAATCACCGGAGTATAAGCCGCATCCCCCTTTTTCAGGTGAATTTAGAGTGTTCAAAGTGCGGCTTATAATACCCGGGAAACTACGGTACCTACATGCACCTACATGCATGCCTTGCTCTACTGTAAGTCTACAAATGTTCGGCCTCCCAGAGCTAAAACACATTTCGGCTGCAACAAATTTTCGGCTTGTACTGCTGCTGCCTGTATACACTGTCACACTGAACCTTGAGAAACAAATTTTCGTCCAAATTGATCAGGCCGAAAATAGCTGAAAATAAATATGCGCCAAAAATGTGTTGACTTACAGTATCTTGTTTAAATGGACTTACCTGCCATTCCGTGCTCTGGTGTAGCCAGCTTCATAGAGGAACTGTGGTACCTGTGTTGTCTTTCCACTGCCGGTCTCACCAGCAATGATAACAATCTGATTTTCATTGATTGCCTCCATGATTACCTGCTCCTCGCCTAATATGGGCAACTTGAGACGAGCGGCCTGGTATGACAACCATGACGACGACAACGACAACAACAACAACAACAACAGCAACAACAGCAATAACAGCAACAGCAACAGCAGCAACAGCAACAGCAACAACAGCAACAACGATGACAACACAGAGCAAGAGGCTTCAGTACTTGCGAGAAGTCGAGTAAACGGATTTAGATATCAAAAGGAAATGACCATAAACACACAATATGCATGGGGAAATTACACAGTGTGTGTGTGTGTGTGTGTGTGTGTGTGTGTGTGTGTGTGTGTGTGTGTGTGTGTGTGTGTGTGTGTGTGTGTGTGTGTGTGTGTGTGTGTGTGTGTGTGTGTGTGTGTGTGTGTGTGTGTGTGTGTGTGTGTGTGTATGTTCTTCAGCCTTGCAAGCTGTTGAATGGTGCAATCCCAGCACAAGCTGCTATGGCTTCTGCTGTAGCATCGCTATCATCGCCTGTGGCGATGGGCGTCCAATGGTCCAATGGTGTGTGTGTGTGTATGTGTGTGTACATGGTGTGTATGTGTGTGTACATGGTGTGTGTGTGTGTGTGTGTGTGTGTGTGTGTGTGTGTGTGTGTGTGTGTGTGTGTGTGTGTGTGTGTGTGTGTGTGTATGTGTGTGTGTGTGTGTGGTGTGTGTGTGGTGTGTGTGTGTGTGTGCGCGTGCATGCGCGTGCATTCGTGTGCATGGGCATACATGTACATGAATGGGCATTTTGAAGCCACCCATGACAAACAAGAGCAAATTACTAGTGTGTGTACCTGTATTGCAGGATCTCTCTGTATTGGCACATACACAGAAGGCTGAGATTTCACAGACGATGATGATGGAGGTGCTGATGTCATCTTGCTCGGTGACTTGCTCGTGCACTCTGCCTCGTCGGGCTTACTGGGCTTGACGGGGGACTCGCACAGGCCCTCTGCCTTGTCAGACTTGCTGAGTGACTTGCTCATGCACTCGGTCTCATCGGGCTTGCTGGGTGATGTTGTTTTCGACTCCGTCCTATCAGATTCACATTCACTGTGTTCATCTTCGGATGTTGAGGATGGAGAATCTAAATCCTCTTCAGACTCATCATCGTCCGAGCTGGACACTGGCAATGCATAGCCATAGCTTTTCTTTGTTCTTTTTTTGTTAAGGTTTCGCTTGCGCTTGCGCCCGAGCGGCTTTGCAGGAGGAGTGGGCGAACTAGATGTCAGCTGATCCCTGCAGAAAAGTAGAAAAATCATGATTGTACAATTTGTAGTGACATGTTCCTGGCCAAAACATCAGTAGGATGTAAAATACACACGGACACGGGCACAGACACAGACAGACACTTACAGACAGACAGGGAGACACACAGACAGGCAGGCAGGCAGACAGATATACAGACACACAAACACATGCACTTCTTCACTGCCAAGAACTGGCCACACGTGTCCTCCCCAGAAGAGGGCTCTGAGTAAATCACACACATGCACACACATGCACGTGTACACACATAACAGGTATTAGTGTGTGTGTGTGTGTGGGGGGGGGGGGGACACTGTACACGCATACAGTCCTGGCTATAGAAATCAGACCAGGGAGCGGTGTGTTGTGAAATCAGACCAGGGAGCGGTGTGTTGTGGAATCAGACCAGGGAGCGGTGTGTTGTGGAACTACTTCGAAGTGCTAATTTCCGGCAACACTTACACGTTGGTTACTGCAGTTGTTATTCCTAACTTGGATGTTGGCTGCAACAACTGCATCTCATTAGCAGTGATTCTGTGTTTCTCCAAGCTCTCCAGCAATGCTGACCGCTGCAGCAATCAAACAAAGATAGTGTGCACAGTCCACTAAGCACAAGGATTAAAAATACATGGTCTCCCCAAGACTAAAAGGCGAGAGCTAGAGTGCAAGTTAGCTGCCTCTGGTTGGCGGCAGATGTGTGACCTTCTTTCACGCCAGAAGGAAGCAGACACTAAAAACTAGGTGGTTGAATTGAGCACAAATATGTTAGGAGGCATGCCAGCCTGATGCTCTATACTGAGTGCTTCAGCGCCGAGAATTTTCAATTTACCACATCAAAGATCAGCTGCCTGGAAAGCTGAGAACGACCGAGCTACAAGCTAACACTACAAGGTGCTATTTTAGGACCTTTAACTTGCAGCCTAGATTGCAGCCAGGTGAAATAATATGCAATACAGTCAAACCTGGTTAGGACGAACTTCAAGGGACCGAACAAGTTTGTTCGTCTTATCCGGAGTTCTTCTTATCCAGATCTGACAAAAATATTGATATGCATATCATATGGATTGTGTTTATGTGAAGGTGCATGCTGTGGCACGTGTAAAGCATTTTTCCGAACATAACCCAACAACTGGTAAGTACAATGTGCAATGAATTCATGACAGCATATCCTCTGCCTTGTAACATGTTTTGCCAGTACAAGAGGCCTCGACTATCGGAAAAACTACAGCCAGTGTACCCACGGGGACCGAAAGTTCGTACTTCACGCTGATTTTGTTCAAATCACACTTGAAATTAGTTCGTCTTCACGAAAGTTCGCCATACAGACTTCATCCTAAACGAATAATTTTGACTTGATATGATGCCTGGCCAACCATAGGATTGGCCCTAGTTCGTACTAAAGGAAAGTTCGCCTTATCAGTGTTCGTCCTAACGAGGTTTGACTGTACCTCATATTGAGCATACATTTAGTCCCGATCAGCAAATTTTCACAATTTTGAGCTTCCACGCATAAAACAAGATGAACTCAAATCCATACCACATCAGCTGGTCTCCAAAGATGGATACAAGAGCAAATTTTCTCTAACAGCAATTTGAAATATCACTCTCCCTCATACAGGGCAGATCTCAAAGTGCTTGGGCTAGGTTTCTCTATATGCTGCCCATGAGATCAAAGCATGCTAGAATGACTCAGCATGCCAAGAGAGGAAAGACTCACTCTAACTCAGTCACAAGGATTTTTCAACTTTTACAGTAACTGAAATGTGGAGCAGGATATCGCTGCAATGCTACAAAGTTGCACAAAGCTGAGCTCTTCGGCTTCTTCCTAAGTACAGGGACAATTGTATAATTCTTCCAGAATTGAGTAATTTGATTTTCGTTTACGTTATCTTTCACACGCATGGTACCTTGTGAGAAGGACTCGTCATTTATCGACCGAAGGCAGTCAGACGGTAGCAAAAGTGCTACAAGTAATTGTTATGAAATCAAAATAACGCACAACGGGGATAAATTAAAAAGCCAACACCATACCTACCTTTGACTTCTTTTCTTTCTCCTCTAAAAGCTTTGCACCTCTTCTCCTCTGCTTTTGCGATAATTTCTGTTTCCGGGATCCATCCAAACCGGTCTGTGCAAGAACACAGGAAAATTCAGACCCATAGTCATGTACATGTATGCTGCCATAAAAAGTACATGTAGTGTGTTGGTGTTGGTGTGTGTGTGTGTGTGTGTGTGTGTGTGTGTGTGTGTGTGTGTGTGTGTGTGTGTGTGTGTGTGTGCGTGTGTGTTGGTGTGTGTGTTTGTGTGTGTGTGTGTGTGTGTGTGTGTGTGTGTGTGTGTGTGTGTGTGTGTCCAGCGCTGTGGTGTTTGCTCCAGAAGTTTGGTGTTCCCCCAAGGATGCTCAGTATCATCAAGTCCTTGCATGAGTCGATGGAGGTGAAGGTCCGCATCGAGGGCGGTGTCACTGCTGCCATTAACGTCAACAACGGTCTGCGTCAGGGTTGTACTTTGGCACCCGTCTTATTTAACTTGTATTTCTCTGCAGTCGTTGGGTATTGGCGCTCCATGTGCCCGGACGCTGGTGTTGAGCTGCACTACCGAGTTGGCCGAAAGTTGGTTGGAGACCGCACTGCCAAGTCCCGCCTGCAACGTGATGTCGTCACAGAGTCCCAGTTTGCGGACGATGCTGCAGTGTATGCCACCACTAAGCCGATTTTTGATCGGTGCACGGAATTGTTCATTTCGTGTGCGGCGCGGTGGGGCCTCACGGTCAGTCTATCGAAGACCAAATGCATGACTGTCAATTCGCCCATGAATGAGCCGGTGTCTCTTGGTGAGAGCACCATCGAGGCCGTTGACAGTTTTACGTACCTTGGCAGCGTCATCCATCGGGACGGGCAGTCTTCGCATGATGTGCAGTCCCGTCTCGCCAAGGCTTCGCGTGTGTTCGGCAGACTCCGTGTCCCAGTGTTTGAGAATCGGTCGTTATCTCTCCGCTGTCGGCGCCGCGTGTACATCGCCCTTGTGCTGACGACCCTCCTGTACGGAGCAGAGACGTGGACGCCGAAGGCACCGGACCTGCGCTCTCTCAACACCTTTCATCACCAGTGTGTTCGCATCATCGTTGGCGTATCCAGGCGGGACCAGTGGGACAACCACGTCACCTCGGTTACCATGGCCCGAACCCTCGGGACTGTGACGTCGCGGACATCATCCGGGAATATCGACTGCGTTGGCTTGGCCATGTTGGCCGGATGAACGACGACCGCATGCCGAAGCGAGTTTTGTTTGGGGAGCTCCCTGCAACACGCCCTCGCCATGGTCCACGCAAGCGGTGGCGTGACGTCATCGTGGATGATCTCCGCTCCATCAGCCCCCCTGTGCCTTCTGACTGTTGGTTTGATGCTGCCCAGGATCGCTCTGCCTGGAGGCAGATCGCTCATCGTCGTCCTCCCGCCCGTGCTCCTCCTGATCCTGACTCTGGCTTCCGCTGCGCATGTGGAAAGGTCTGCCGTCGTCCCGGGGACCTCAAGCGCCACGCTCCGTACTGCAAAGCTAGCGGATAATAGTCCCTTCGCTATCATTGCCATCGGCAATGGGCACGTTCAAGGTTTCAAGGTGTGTGTGTGTGTGTGTGTGTGCGGAATCCTGGCGACCTCTCGTTGTGTGTTTACCGGACGCCGTCCCTAATCTTCACGGATGCCGTGGGACGGCGTTCTCAACAGTTGAAGAGAGTGAGTGAGAGAGAGAGAGAGTGAGTGAGAGAAAGTGAGATAGGTAGATAGGTACTGTAAGACCAGATATTTTAACGTCAATTAAAGTTAACGATTTCCGGATTTTCGTGGGTTAGCGAGGTAAAATTCTAACGAATTCTGTCTCAAAAGCGGCAAATGACTGTACATGTACATATCGTTTTGCACATAACGACTTCAAATGTTAACGATGATATGTCTACAGTTAGCAAGAAGACATTTATTATAAAACAAATCTGAAGAGAAGGAAAACACAACTGAAGAGGCAAAGCAAATGAAGCACGGAAGTATCTCCCAAGCCAAGCAAGCATGCCGTTATGGTGCGAGGTCATACAACTGTGGTACAAATCTAGTACGGGAGTACATGAGCTACAGGTCAAATATGGCATGGGGGAATCCATATACAGCACGCCCCTTCGCGATAAATGCTGAGAAAACAAATCCAGTATTATCTATCAAATCCAAACAAAACTAGAAAAGAATAAGTATGGCAAGCAACGGCCTATAGCACACGGCGGAACAGACATAGCATGCCACACAAGGATACAGAAAGATACGATATAAGAACAATCCTCAAGAACATGTACACGATGTGTCCAGAACAAATCAATACGACTGTTCACGGGTGGAGGAAATGTTCAAACGAGAGGGTGGTTGGTGTGCTCGTGTGCTGCGACGCAGAGGGGGAGGCGTAGCAGGAGCAACGGCAACAGACGGCTGTGGTGAAACACATGGTGCTGGTGACGGCACGGGCGGAGAGAACGGACGAAGAAAACGGCGATTTCTCCAATAAACTCGACCACTAGCCAACTTGACGAAATAGTCACGGTGCTGCCCAATGGCCACAATCACGCCACGGGTTGTCCAACGCTTCGTCTTCGGATCCTGGACGTCCACAGGAGTGCCGATACGGAGAACGGGAAGAGAGCGGTGGGTGGGAGTACTGGCGGAAACAGGTGTCGAGGGTGGTGACTGTTCTTCACGCTCACTAGCGACGGTCGACCACGAGGAATCAAACTGCGTCCACTCAGCAATGACGAAAGACCGAAGTGGATGCCCGAGAAGATGCTCAGCTGGGCTCTTGCCAGACGGACCGGGCGTATTCCGCCACTCCAGTAGACCACGACGAAATGCATCTGTGTCGAGATTGCCATTTGACGAGGTCTTGAGCAGCAAGCGCTTCATAGCTTTCACTGCGGCTTCCGCATGTCCATTACTCTGGGGATAATGTGGGGAAGAGGATACGCGTTGCACTTGCCAACGGCTACAGAAGTCGGCAAACTTCTTCGATGCAAACTGGGGGCCACCGTCGGTGCACAGTACAGCAGGCACACCCAGATCGGATCGTGTGATGACGTGGTCCTGCCGGTTCGAACAACGCACGGCCAACCAGTCAGACGGTCGACATAAACAAGAAACTCATAGCCTTGGCAAGAGAACAGATCAGCGGACACAAACTCGAACGGCAGAGTAGGATGACGGTCATTCATCGGTGGTTCGGCTGACTGCGACGACTGGAATTCTCGACAAGCGGAACAGGCACGGACAAGGGTGTCTATGTCGGCGGTGAGACCAGGCCAGTACACGAGCTGTCGGGCGCGAGCCTTCGTGCGGACGAGACCTTGATGCGAGGCATGAAGGTTAGCAAGAACGCGTTGACGCATAGCCAAGGGAACTAGAATGCGTTGGCCTTTCATGACGATGCCCTGGTCCACTGACAGGTGTTCACGTCCATTCCAGAAGGGTTGTAGTGGAGCATCCAAATCACGCTGACGAGCGGGAAAATCATGCAGAACGCACTGGACAAGAGACTGATAGACAGGATCAGCTGAGGCGGCTGCTCGAAGTTCAGCAAACTTCAGGTTGGGGTGAGGACCATCATCACGGAGCATGCACACACGGATGCTGCGGCAATGAAGAGCCGGGGCTTCGCCGAATTCATCATTGGAAGACGGGATGCCGACGGGATTGCGAGACAGCGCATCAGCAAACGCGTGATCGGAGCCTTTTCGCCAGGAAGCGTGCACTTGAAACGACTGCAGCTTCAGGCGAAGACGGAGAAGGCGAGGATTCTCGATCTGATCTAGAGAATACGCGTTGATAATCGGGATCAACGGACGGTGATCGGTGATCAGTGATCAGATCAAATAGGGTGCCGGATAAGTACAACTTGCACTTGTGCACAGCCCAAACGACGGCGAGCATCTCAAGCTCAACAACAGCATAGCGAGATTCGGCGTCAGAGAGGTAGCGGGAACCACACTGGATGATTCGCCACTTATCGTCCTGCTTCTGCCATAGAACGAAGCCGAGACCACGTAGTGCAGAGGCATCAGTCTCCAGACGGAGGTCATGTCCATGCTGGTAGAAGGCCAGGATAGGAGGAGACAGCAGAGTAGACTTGGTCTTCTCAAACGCAACAGTGTGATTGGCATCCCAGACAAATTCACGGGTCGTCTTCAACAGACCACGAAGCGGAGTGGTGCAGGCGGCGAGGTGTGGTGAGAACTCGCTACACTGGTTCACCAGGCCAAGAAACGAACGCAAATCAGTGCGGTTCGCAGGAATGTCAAAATCGCGAATAGCCGCTGCCTTGTCATCGTCAACAACCCAACCGTCTGGACTGACAATGTAGCCGCAGAAATGGATGTGACGTGACGCAAAGGTGAATTTGGACGGGCTCAGAGTAATGCCATGCTGTCGAGCACACAGCAAGATGTCACGGACATGGGTGACATGGGAGGCAAAGTCGTCATCATAGGCCAGGCAATCATCTACTTGGCAAAATTCGGGATTGCATCGAACGCAGCATCAGTGCGGCAGTTGAAAACATCCCCAGCGGAAATCAGGCCTTGAGGGTTGCGTAGGAAACGATACCTGCCGTATGGGGTGATGAATGTGGTCATTGGACATGCCTGCTCACTCAGTGGGATTTGCCAGTATCCGTGCCTTGCGTCAAGCTTGGTGAGGAACTGTGCCGATCCAATACCAGAAACCACATCGCGAGCAGTGCGAACAGGGTGGGCTGGTCTCAGGACTTGGTCCTTCAGTCGTTTGAAATCGACGGTGAGGCGTTTCTCGGAGGTACCTTTCTTGTCGACGAGCACAATTGGGTGACACCATTCACTAGGCTCACTGACAGGCTCGATTATGCCATCGACAACCATTGTGTCCAGTTGTGACTTGACCTGGTCACGAAACGCGTAAGGAATCGGGCGTGCGGTATGGACACATGACGGCTTAGCATCTGGCTGAAGTTGGATGTCCATCGGAGGACCTGCCATCGCCTTCAAGCCAGTGTCGGAAAACACGTCCGAAAACTCCTGCAGTAGCTCATCGCGAACACGAGCGATATCAGCAGAGCTAGGATTGACAACAGGCTTTGATACAGCACAGACCTTAGGTGGTGCGGCAGCATTAGCAGCAGGGTGCTGTGCAGGCCAATCTGACGGGAGGATCTGGAGTGCACTCAAGGACGAACGTGATAGAAGAGCATCGTCCAGACCCTTGTACACATGGATTACGGTGCTGTGTTGTACTTCGCCAACCTGAAGTGAAGCACGAATACTGCCGACGTTCTGCAATTGCTCCCCAGATGCCGCTAGGACGCACTCTGCAGACCCTGTGATTTGAAAATAGGTGGCGAGTGATCTATCGCTCTCCTCGCCTGTGTCAGGCGAGCTGTAGGAGAGTGATCCAAAAATTCTCACTCCAACAACACAGCACATTATTGATATCATTTTTTTAGAGAAAAAATTCTGGATGCTTTCTGAATTTCCACCATTGTCTTGAAAGATGACAGCGGTTGGCCGTGAACTGCCATTAAATATGCAGTGTGGAAGAGCTTTTCGTATGCGTCCTCCGCTTGGACTAGAATAACTGTGTGGATGCGTGGCTGCTGAGGCGCTTGTGTTGCCTTGCTCCCTGATGCAGACGTCGACGATGATTTGTCGGTGTCACCCAATAGCTTCGCATGGCTCACTCCGATGCTATGCGCCTACATGACAACAAGCGAAGAAAACAAGGAGAATGGTCGCGAGTCCGATCGACTTTACTTTCGACATTGAATTGACCACTTACCTGTCCAGACAAATGTCGAGTGACAGCGTGCTTCGTCATGTAGTCCGATCCCTCCACAAACCTCAACGCATCGACCTTCGCTTGACCTCTCAGCCATAGAGTCGCTCCGGATAACGTCAGAATACTTCGCACACGACTTGCACCACACTTTCACGACCAGCTCTTTACCTTCCTTCTTTGCCGAGTTGAAGCCTATGTCCTCATCTACTTTCCAGCTGAGGAAAGTGGACAACTGCACACTGTTCCCTTTCGACATTTCTACTGCTAGCAGCAGCAGGAGATCATCAGCAAGGGATCATGTCGCAAGGAAAGAAAACAACTGGTATGATCAACTCCAGTTGACCAATTGGCCTTTTATTCTAAGAGTAAGAGGACGAAAGCGCCATTTGGGTGCATTTACTTGCAACGCATGCACTAGCAGAACTACCAGAACTACTAGTCTATGTCAGACTGCGGTCTATCTTGCTACTCGGACCCGCCAGGCGCTAGTTCAGAGGGTTGTACGGACCCCTGCGCTGCATGCAGGGGTCCGTAAAACCCGTTGAACTGGAGTGTTTCATGAGTGGTGGTAGATCTACGCGGCACAGCTCTGACTAGTTCAAGCCGCAATCATTCATCCAGACGTGTGAAATGCCCCGAGGTCATGCCAGGCTAGCTGGGCGCCATGCCAGTGCAGTGCCTGTGTCACACTCACAGTGTACGTGCAGTGAACTTGCCTACTCAGTGCTGTGCATGTCACTACACATATGACTAACTCACTGTCTAGTCTGTTTCATAACAGCGCGAGCGGGCACAGTTCCGGCCTGCGCACGGATCGATGAGTGCACTTGACACCATACACTCGTACTAGTCATAGTACAGTAGTAGTTGCGCTGCACTCCGAAAAGCGTACATGCAGCCAAAAATAGTTTCAGGCGCGCGACAAAAAGTGCACCTTCCAAGAAAATAAGGCGCGCGATGGCGCGCGAGAGCGATCGCTCGCCTCAAATCACAGGGTCTGACTCTGGGTCATGGTCGAGGTTCTCGGGGAACCCGCCAAGCAGTTCGAGATGATGCTCGCCAATGGCATCGACGTCACTGCCAGTATCAGGGACCCAGGGTAGCGTGACTGCCTCAGCCTCAGTGGCTAAACGGGTGGACACACGCACAGTAGGCTGCGCAGCAAGACGAGTACGCTGCAACTTCAGTTGGCCCACATGCTTCACGTTCCGGTCCGATTGTGACGACGACCTACACATAGCGAGAAAGTGACCAGTCTTGCCACAGCCATTACATTTCTTGCCGCTGGCAGGGCAACTAGACTTTGTGTGCGGGCTCCGGCCGCAATTGGGGCACTTCTTGTGTGTGTCGCTTCCTGACGAGGGAGCGGATGCAGATGGCAATACAGGTGCAGACATCTTGCTGCCAGGCTGTCCCTGTCGGGATTGTTGCTTACTGCGTTGGTACGCGGACCGCCGCACAGCATTGAGCTGGCTGGTGGACGGGATACTGCTGCTCGTCATGGTAGCCGCTTCCTCCGCCCGGCAAATTGTGACTGCATCGTTCAGGGTCAAATCCTTGGCAGACAATAACTTGTGCCGGGTAGCATCGTCACTAACTCCAATGACAATCCCGTCACGCAGGGTGTCAGCACGCACACGTGTCAGGCTTGTGCGACAGGTACTACATGTGTGTGCTGAACATTGTGAGCACAAAACGTCCGGAAAATCACAGCTAGTGTGCAATTCTTCCAACGACGTGTAAAAAGAATCGAAAGACTCGCCTTTCGATTGACACCTATCGTAAAATGCGATACGATCCAGGAGTGGGTTGCGCTGCCGTCGCAAATATTCCTTGACTGCAGAAATCACATCGTCCGTATCGGGATTCGGTGGAGTCACGATAATACCCTCGCGGAGAAATCTGCGTAGCTCCTCATCTAGAGCTTGCCGCAGCGAGGACAATCTGGTCTCACTGCTCTGGGCTGACAGGTGCTGGCAGTCATAATAGTCTCGCTTCTTTCAAATTCGTTAACTTGTTAGAATTAAATGTTCGTTAACATTACATGTACTGGTCTTACAGTAGATAGAGAGATAGAGAGAGGAGAGAGATGATGCGAGGCGGCAGAGGACAAAGCACAATGTGGACAGTTTGGGTTTTCGATTTTGCGCTGCTAATAACTACATTCTGCTGTTGGAGTCCAATTGCCAAGTTATAATTACTGTTCCGATTTTCTGTGCAATGCTGCGAAGTGAACAAACGTGCAGTGCTCACTTCATGAAGTAGGCAATGCTGCGGGCATAGGGATTCAAAGTGATATGTGACAAATAAAATACTACTTTTTTCTACGAGCACTTCTTTGTTGATGGTCATCGATGAGGCTCTAGCTTTAAACTATTTTTCCGACGCAGCTCGCTGTTGTAGCTGCTTTTCTGTGAGTGCATCAACAATTCGGCGTTCATTCACAGTTCAAAATATCCTGCGCATTCCATGATTGGAGGGTGCAGCGGGCGCGTGATCTTTCCCAAAAATCTCAACTAGCAAATACTGCGCACTGGAAATGTTTCAACTTTGTACAGGAAAAGTCGCGAGAGTTTGATGGAATCATTAAGTATGCCTAGATCATGAGTTTGACTCCCTGCTGAACTTCCGGCTGCCACCTGAGTCCAAATTTTTTTCGACCACACTGTAAACAACATTTTGTTTAGACTGAAATTTAAATGTACCATGCAAGAAAACTCACACCAAACAATACAAAATAGAGATGTATCAGAAATATACCTTTTTCTTTCCTTTGTCTGCAAGTTTTTGCTGTCGTTTCTGCTGCTTCTGGGAGAGATGTCGCTGCTTCCCTCCACTGGACCCACTTTGGGAATAGCCCACATCTGAGAAATTTCAAAGAAATGAAGGTACATTGCAAAGCCCCAGTTACGTGCAAAGTAAACACAATACAAAACTTGAATAAACATACAAAACAGCTAAAGAATTAAGGAAATATATACATTTGTGGATTGTCAAAATTAATGGGAATCAAATAAAATTTCAAAACAAAACATTATCAGTGAACCCAACGCAAAAGAGCAAAACAAAAAATTATAATACTATTACCAATGGGAACACCAAAATCCAGAGAAAGCACGAAAACAGCAAATAATGTATGATGGACAAAGAACTCTGAACGTCACGTCAATACGAGGAGAACACGATGTCTGAAAAATATGTAACAAGGGGAGACTCTTCCACTACCCGAAGGCACATTGCCAGTTTGTGTCCCTCAAATAAGATTCAAATAACATTTTATAGAAAAGAAAAAGGACCAAGGGGCTACAAGTTTCGCTATAATGTCCACTAACACCGCCAGTTACTAAACAATCAGCCTTTTTTTCTTTTCTATAAATTTATCCTTGGCTCTCCATCCGAGTTCAAAATAATAAGATTTTAAAACATTCTTGAATACTTACCGTCAATATCTGCCATAATTTCCTGTTCTCATGTCCTGTCTAGTAAACGCCATAAACACTCAGCAAGACACAGGATAATACCTTGCCCAACTCCCTCGTCGACAACAAAACTCAAAGAAGTAAAAGAAGTGACTTCGATTGCTACTCGAACAGAATCCAAAAAAATTGGTTTATGATTCTGAATGAACGAAGCACATCAAAAAGTATTCATATTTTTTACGCGAAGAGCTACAAAAAACACTTTGTGCACGTGCAAGCATGATATGACGTGTACGTGTCAAGAGTCCAGTTATGGACTCTTGCCTTGGCAGTACCATGACTCATGAGTACTGTGTTCCGCTCCTGGATCCTTCAAACCAGGGAGTAGTAATGGTACTACTCCCTTGGGCTAGGCCCTGCTTCAAACCAGGGAGCAGTAGTACAGTACCGTAGATCTATGGTATTGTACTACTCCCTGCTTCAAACTGCGAAGACATACCGCGTACCTTTACATCACTGACACTGCAAGTGACTGCATGCACTGGTCACAAAGCTTTTGACGTTTTGTGCATGTTTTTAGTTCAACTTTCAAGTGATTCCAGTGATTTGATGCATGCAGTTGGTTTTCCTTTTCAAAACACGTTATCAAGTTGTTGCCTTTGGCTAGGCTTTGGTCCTAAAGTAAGTTTAGAAGTTTTTAGATAGATCATCAAGCTGGAAGTTTTGTGCGTGCACCGCTGTGACTTACTAGTACGCTGAATCTCTCCTGGCCTGGTTCAAGTTAGTTACTTGATCGACTGACTGCAATTTTGTAGCGACACATGGTGATAAATTTGGCAAGTGCAGAACAAAGACCAGAAGACAACAGAAGCAGATAAACTTCTTTTGCCAGTCACCTTGACAAGACCGTTTCCAAGTTATTCTTCCTATGTGTGCACTAGGAGAGCTTTGTCAACAAGGGTTATGGCTGACAATGATGGTAAGGTAACTCTTATAAAGGACATTAGACCTGGGCTGAAAAACCTGACTTGCATTTTCATAATTCTTGAAATCGGCGAGGCCACACAGACGAAGGACGGCAACAAAGTGCGCACGGCCTGGGTGGCGGACGGTACTGGGTCAATAAATTTTTCGGTGTGGGATGCGTTCGGTGAGAGTATTCGACCAGGCTACATCTGCCGTCTACAGCGCTGCTATGCATCTTTGTTCAAGAGATCAATGACGTTATATGCTGGTCGAAATGGTGTCCTGGAGAAGGTTGGTGAATTCTGTATGCTATATTCTGAAGTTCCAAACATGAGCAGTTTATCAATGGATAACGAGGAGTTTGGCATGGCCAGCAGCCGTGGTGGGCCGGGCAGTGTAAAATCCAGTGGTGCTATGGGAGGTGAAGGTAAGCATGACCATCGCCGTGGCAACGGAAATGCTGCTGCCAATGCTACCGGCCAGTTTGCTGGTAGCGTTGGACTTCGCGGTGGACATAACAGTGGTGGTCGGTCGTCTCCAGCCAGGGGATACTCAACACCTGAGTCTCCAGCCAGGGGATATTCAACACCTGAGTCGAATAGTCCACGTGGTGTTGCTGCTGCCACTGACCCTCGTCACATGTCCCCTCTTCAAGGAAATATTTACAATTCACAAGCTGTGGGTGCAAGTGCCGCCACTGCTGCTGCTGGTGGTGGCACGTCCCTGAGCCCGTCTCAAGCACACAAGCCAGGTAGCAATGCCGCAGGTCGGCACAGTGAAGACTTGTCGACGCTAGGCCCACGCAGCTCCAAGAACACGGCTGTGGCCAATGGTGGTGGTCCTGGTCTGGGGCCCCGTGTACAACGACATCATCCATACGGACGTGCTGCTGGTCATGTGCGCAATAGCTTTAGCAATCATGAAAGATACGCACGGCCACTGTCACCACCACCGCCACAGAGTCGCTACTAGTGTTGCTGTTGATTTTGATTGCCATTGCGGCCACGGATTATTTATATTTTCTCGTGTCTAGGGTGTGTATGTGTGTCTAGTGCTATATGCTTGAAAAGAATTTCCCAGTAATTTTATCATGTTGATCATGAACTTAAAACTGATGCTGTCTTGAACTATCCACACACTTCATTTTGGTGGCGGCGGTGGTGATGTCATCACCACCATTGTTTATACCCATTGTAACTTTTTTTTCAGTTTTATACTGGGCATATGCTCTATAAACCCAACCCGGTTATCTTAGTTTTTATCAGTGTACTTTAATAGTTCTGCTTTCTTTTTTTTATTTCTCATTGTACTTGTGAACTGCTGCTGCTCTACGTTCTGAAGGAGTGCGACATGAGTGGTTGGAGCCACGGGTAGTGACAATAAGGATGCCTGGTGTCCACTGCCCAGAGCTATGCTGACAACTCATGGCACTCTCTTCGCAAGCCGTTCAGAGAAAGAGACTACTTGTCAGGTCTTATCTCTTTTATTTTATTTATCTCTTTTCTTTAGCGTACTTGTAGTGTTTGCACATGCGACGTGTGTGTCGGGGGGGGGGGGGGGGGGTATGTGTTTATCTCGTTGCTAGGTCGAGTTATGTCCACATCGCCTGGCGATGAAGGAACCATGCGTGCTGTGAGTACGGTGCACTCAACTCTACTCCTTGTTGAGATATACTAGGTCCACTTGCAGCACGTCCCTTCTTCATGCAGCTGATATGTGTCCCGTCCGTGCATAGCAGGAGTGTGCACTCGCTGTGCTGCTTGTGACAACGCAAGTTAGGAGTACAAGCAAGCCTTTGCGGCTACCATGGCCCGCTATAGTACTACCATATCTTCAGATGCATTGACACAAGAATCCACCTCAACCATCACACGGCATTTCAAAGGGTTTCTAGGTATGTTTCCTGTGACGACCAACAGCATTGTCTCCACGTTGATTACAGTGTTGTCGGGTGCAGAAGAAGGGACAGGCTAGAATTTCACCAAGTACAGCATATCAATGTATACACTGTGACTCAACTGTGCATAGACCACAGTACACGAAAACAAGAACGCCCCAGGCTACGAGGTTTGCCCCCCAGTTCTCCGGAACCCGACAGTACTGAATTCATATTCCTTTATTGTTCCAGTTTATAGAGATTAGCAGAAATATGCAGCAGCCAATGAACCCAGGACGTGCAGGAACCTATCAATTTCCTACTTGGACAAAATACAAGTCTTGACGTACAAATACTACACGTGTAAAGGACAAGTAGAGAAGATTAAGTACATGTATGCGGCTGCGACATCTACCATGCGTACCCTTCAGTATGCATAAAACTGTGATAGAAAATGGGAGATGACAAAGTTAGAGAAGGGATGGAAGCAGACCTTCATAGAGACCCACTGGAGGTTTTGGTTATTATGGCTCTCGCCCCTGACACGTCTACAGCGGAGCTACAAGGTTCTTTATAAGGGCGCGTTTGGTTGGTACGAACTAGAACAGGATTCACCAGAACAGCGCGTTTGGTTGGGACTGCACCTGTTCTGGGTCGCCCAGAACATGTTCTGCTTGCTCCGGCCTCGAGGCCAGAGCAGACCGAGCAGTTTCACTTTTTCACAGTGAAACCTGGCGGGAACATCGATTTTGGTCCCAAATTATTGGGACTCGTTGTACCGTACAAAGTGACCATGGTGACCCACACACATTTTTGAAGGATGCACCCAGTTTGGCACATTTTTCCACAAAAATGTGCTCTGTTTCTGGAGTACCGTTTGGTTGGCATGAGGCTGCTCCATGTGCACCAGCTGTTCGATCCTGTTCTAGATCGTACCAACCAAACGCACCCTAAGACTTAGTTATGATACTCAATGCACGGGCGCCAATGTACGTGTGTACAATCTCTAATAAAATAATTTAATAGATCTTCAAATAAATCCTACTTTGTGAATTCCACACAACAAGCAATGACAAAGCTCAAAATAGAAGTGGGCATTATGTTCGTGATATTGAATGTGTTCCATGAGACCGCCTCGTCCATTTTATATAATTATTATAATGGCGAAATGCACGAACATGAATGTGTCCTTGAGAATTTAAAACAGAACCGGGGTATACGTGATCCACATCACTCTAGCTGTAGTCTGTGGACCTCTGCATAGAAGAGCACCACTCACCTAGGTTCAACTGACATTACAGCAGAGAAGTCTGTGGAACGTGGACTTTGACATTTATTTTTGGTCTCTGCCACAAGTTGTGCACGTACACTGAACGATCATTACCATGATAACCTGAGCCTGATGGCTTATGGCCTCGTGTATGCAGAAGGCAGTATCTGGAAGAAAGCAACAACCGCTGTAATCTCAATTTAGAGAGCATCGCCGTTTGTACTGGCACCTTCAGCCTTCTTCTTGCTGTCATGCAGATAGAATCGCCACGACAGGAAGAAGGTACAGAACGATAACAATTTGCAGACCATGGTGGCACCAAACATGGCATTGCTCATGTGTGCGTTATCATATTCCCAGCAATTACCCTCGTTACAGCAGTTGAGTTGCCACAGGCTACAGCCCTTGTCCAGTAGAAACCCATAAAACACAGGTCCCGGGACATTGCCTAGAAGTCGCAAGATGATCCACTGGACACCAGTTGCTAGTGTGCGTCGATCTGCAGGTACAGATCTACAGCACAGGGAGCATGCATTGGCATGCACACACACCACACACACACACACACACCATACAGCACTATAATGTGGGCCTTCCTAGAAGAGTGAGGCGTGGAGAACCATGCAAATTCTCCAAGTGGAAGAAATCTTCATACAAGTTTGAAGCCATCCAAAGGGCAACATTGCTGCATGCTCCAACCATGGGTGCATGTTCCGATATGCCAGTACATGTACTAATCGACCAGCAGCAATGACAACAAGATGGGAACAGGAATGATAACCTGGTAACCACAGTACGCTGCTATGCGTCTCGGAATGACCACAACCTCAAATACGTACGTAAGGTAAAGAGACAAGATGGTTGTCTGTAGAGCATGGGCAGTGGCTGACAATCACACACATGTACATAGCTGTACAACATTTACAGGTGACTAAAATTCACGTGTGCACTACTTGGTGGGAATAGGTACAGTCAACTCCACGTTCACTAGTCGTGAAATTTCACGATACACAGATTTACCCTGTGTACCCTGTGTAACGAACTGTTCTCATTTTCTACAGACGGAATCTCATACTTGAAGTAGTAACTTTGCATGTACAAGTACAATGCACAGGCAGTCATATAGTCTTGTGCATGTACAGGCTGCTGTACAGTCTTGTGCATGTACAGGCTGCTGTACAGTCTTGTGCATTGTACAGGCTGCTGTACAGACTTGTGCATGTACAGGCTGCTGTACAGACTTGTGTATGCATTGACATTGTACATGTACTACAATGCTATGATGTTGCCTGCACATTGGTGTTCGCTTCCTCAGGAGTTGGCTAATAGGTACGGGAATTGTAATGAAAACAACGACCATACTGTGCTGTATGCAAGGGACTCAGCACCCTGTGCCACCTCGACTACATTGCAGTACGAAGTTGCTAAAAACCAATACAATGTTCAATCCCGGCTGCACAGGTACTAGTACCTAGTTTGAAGCAGAGAACTACAGTCAAACCTCTTTAGGACGAACATCAAGGGACCGATGATATTTGTTCGCAATAACGGGAGTTCTTCATATCCATATGTTTTACCCACTGAATACGCAGGGTTTCATCCAATACAGCTATGAATACTAGTTCTTCTTAGGCAAACATGTGTCTTATCAGTGTTCTTCCTAACGAGGTTTCACTGTAATTCAATTAGAGTAGGCCGGTACTCACTGAAGCACAACTTGAATAGCTGGTACATTGTTCATGAAGGTGGTGAACATCAGACCGATGACCAGCACCATGAAGAGGGGCAGAAGACCACAGGACGACTTGCAGATACCCACCGTAGCTGTAGCGTTCCACACAGAGTAGTTCGATTCAACTTGGTTAGCAGCAATGCAGCTGCAGTTTAGGTATGTCTGTGGGTGACGTGGACGAACAGGACAGACAGACAGAAGGAGTTGACCATGATCACAAAGACAGGCAGCTGTTGCCTAAACAATTCACTTCAGGTTCTGATCTCATAGGTGATTTCTTACTTGTATCAACTATTAGTATTGCCACTTTCAAATGTACTTTGAAGTAGACTATAAGCAGAGTATCTTTAGCAGTAATTGTGTTCATGGTGTTAGGAGGACGAAACCATACTGAATGCAAACCACTCAAAGCCATACGAAATGACGAAGCGACGACACAAAGTGACACGAACTTCAATGATGCAAAATGACACTTATTTGTCCACTCACTATCTCCAAGAGTACATGTAGTATGATGGTGTAAAGCAGTTTGGGTGTTTGGGTGCCGGCAAGGTACGTGACACATAACAAAGGACAGGGTTCCAAACCAAAACCGAGTCTGAGACTGTCCTGCAGTGATGGGCTGTGTCAACAGAGGGCCCACAAACCAGACTGTCCAGCAATGCGCCTGGGAATACTTTACTTCACGAGGCATGCTGTGGGGTGTTCTCTGCCTTGCCACCTGACTCCTGAGCCTCTGTCCTTCATCATGTGCTTACAGCAGACAGGACACCCAGGAGTAGAAAGATGTGAATAGACTTCAAAGTCAAGCAACACAACCGACACCAGTGCGGGTATTGCATGTGCTCTCACTCACACACACCAGTGGCATGTGTTCTCAGTCACACATACACATACGTACACGGAGTTTCGGTCTCTGCTCACCCGGTCATTCTTTTTGCCCGACGTGGCATTACGGAAGGCCTGGCAGCCAGCGAGACACGGCGTTGGATAGGTGAAGCCATCGTTACCACACACTGGATCATAACGCTCAGACACACAGCCACAGCTACTCACGCAGCTATGCGTGTAGTTCAAATCGCAGCGATTCGCGCCAGACACCGAGCTGTAAAGAAGATAAATAACCATGAATATCATGAATATCACCACCCAGGCACCAAGCAATAACTAAGGTGCTGCTGGCAACTGAAATCCGACCCCTGGAACTCACCACTCACACTGCAAACACCCAGCACGGGATTGTAACTCAATCGGGAATAGAGACCGCTAGAATCCATGCTGCACTCTAGCACGAAAATCAGGGATTGGACTTCAGTCAGTGCCAGCACTGTACTTCCAAGTCCGAAATGGCGGCCCTGCGGCAGTGCGCGGCTACACACCCTACTTCGAATAAACATGCACCGAATTCTAGCCCTCCCCACTTACACAGACCTATGCATATAAACACACACCACCGCCACCACCGCCACCACTGACACCACCGTGCACACCAGTGCGCATTCCCAGGCACACAAACACATCTGTATTTTCACTGGTCTGCCCGTTACTCTGTTAGCCGAGCTGTCTGTCTCTCTGCCTTCTGCTCCTACATGTATGCCTGGAAGCCGGCCTCTTATGCGAGCATTCATACAAGACTCCGAGCTTTCTTACTGTCTTACTGGTGGCAGCTGCTTTTCATGGCACTCGATGATCCACCGGCCTCTGAAATAGTTCTCTCCTAAATGTTTGCCCCTCGGTATCAGAGCTCTCATTGTCCATCTCGGACCAGATTCCACCTACCCCTTCCACATTATCTAATATGTTCTGCTTTTAAGTCCCGTCGTGCTTCTTGGTACCTTCATTCGCTTCCTTGTTATTGAGCACCTCTGCTCGTTTGGTCACTGCGAAATAAAATCAACAACAACACCATTATCTACAATACCAGCATCAAGAGCCCATACCCCCCCCCCCCCCCCCCCCCAGAGTATGGAGCTGTGCACATGGGGTCTGGCACAGAACCAGAAACAGCCGGGGAATCAGCTGTGATATACCACCATTATAGATCTGCTACAGTTTCCAGATAATACAGAATGCACTTTTCTTGGAGATTTTGTGTGCGATTCATCACGGGCAGGCATTGCCTTTGGATCTACCGAATTATTGTACCGCAGCATCAATTGTTACACCTAAACCGGATAGGAAAATTCCAATCAGTCCACTGGTCTGGATCGTCATTTCACTGCATAGTTGAACTGAGGCAGCGCAACGCGCAGAGCACCAATAACTCGAGATCGGAGCTGTGCTCTCTTGTGGCATGGGGGCACCGGGGGGGGGGGATGGTCTCTTGCCTGCATTTTATACGCTTTACGTAAAAGGAACAGAGAGGATGATGGAGATAATTAGGCTGTTATGAACTCATCACAGCATGACTCACCCTCCTGGATAGGGAAGTGTGGCGCCCATGATAGAAGGTGATTTACATCGCACCAGGAAGGCAAACACAAAGAAGATGGCGATGAAAGCGATTCCGGCCGTGTACTTGGCTAATCGGGCGCCTTGCACCTTGCGATGCTTCATTAGCCAACTGCTGAATAAAATACCACCGGCAACACCAACAACACTACCAATACCAGTGAGGGCGGATGCCATGGATGAAGTGACGCCAAACTGGGATTCAAAATACTTGGTGATGAAGGGAACCAGGCCAGATACCTAAAGACAGTACATCGGTACATAAAGCAAGTGCATAGAGTTGTATCAGGACCGGCCGCTATCAGCATGCATATTGTACACAAGGCGGGCACTGAGCTGTGACAGAAAGACGCCGCAGAGAGTGACCGGGCCAGGCCAGGCCAGGCATTGCTACTCAAAAAGCTGCTACTGCACTACACATAGCAGCACAACTGGCCAATGAATTCCAGAATTAGAGAATTAGAGGATAGCGATGAGCACTGCATCGTCATGCGAACTGTGATCGCAGTGGTAAGTGGGCCTTGCAGCCCTCTACTCCAGCCAAGACACCACTTGCACGGTACTGCCGCATGATGTGCTATCTATCACTAGTAAAACAAATAGCTACTGTAAGATATCTGATGATGTACTTCAAAGTATGATAGGTGCGGATGTGTCTGGAACCTCCAAAATCCTTTACTTGTATAAAAAAAAGAATATCCTTTCGTTAGCATACGAACTTTCGTTACTCGTCTAACAAAACACGTTTACAGCATGCAGCCTAGTGCAAGCTCCCTGGAGTACACCAAGAGATAGGAGGAACAGTCAAAGTCAAAGCCAGGAGCGAGCAAATATTCGTGAACGGCAGTTCTCGACACCCAGCAGTTTCATATCCACAAACTTATACACATACCCCCCCCCCCCCCCCACACACACACACACACACAATAATATAGCTAGAGAAGGACAGCTGATCATACTCACTGCAAAGGCTTCTGTTGTAGAGCCAATTGTGTTGGTGAGTAGAACCGGTGTTAGGAGCAAAGCAAAGACCAATTTCAACATCACCACCACCTCGTGAAGTGCACGCTTTACACGGGCAGCAAGACCAGAGCCTTGTGCACCATCAATGGCAAGACGACCAAACTCTGGGTGACCTGAGCCAGTTGATTTTCCTGTTCCCACCTGTTTCTTGCGCTTCTCCTCCATGATCCAGGCAGTGCCAGGAAGCTGGCGCGGGTACAACAGCAGTGGAATACTGACCACAATCATTGCGAACCCTGAGACAATATAGCCTGCCCACCAGCGACCAACAAAATTGGGGTCATCCGAATCGGGGTGATTCGTAACACCAACGTCAACATATTGAGAAAGGAACACAGAACCGAGGAGAAAGCCAAATGCAGGCCCGAGCGCTGCAAACACGTAGAAGAGGCCGATATAGTAGTGAACAACTTTCGGATTGGCGATCTCATCAAGGTAGGCAACGCCAACAGTGTAGAGAGGCAATGCTCCGAAACCAATAATCATTTGTCCAATAATCAACAAAGCATATGCACCGGGTACACCTTCGTCACACACTGACGTATACGTCGTGTGGTTGACATCAGCAGCACATGATTCAAAGTCCAGGACATGATCAGCAACGAACTTGCCTCCAATGAACTGTCATAAACACACGCAGAAAAAGCAGATATTGTACCCCTAAAACACACACACACAACAACAACAACATATGCAAAGATGCGCAAATGCAAGTGTATGTACATGTGACCATGATGTGCACGCATGCACGCACACACACACACACACACACACACACACACACACACACACACACACACACACACAAACACACAAACACACACACACACACTGCTTGCCTCCTACATGTACCACATGCTGATATGCAACATGCTGTGTCACGGTATACGTGTTACCATGGTTACAGATGTAATCTATCACTTACACTGCAACACACAGCGTATGCACTTCTTGAGTACAGAGCCGTGACTCATATTGCCGCATGGCCCCACATAGCAAGAGAGGTAAATTGCATGCCGATATACAGCACGCCAGCAGCAATAGCATGCGGCATGTACATGTAAGCCGAGGCTGAGCTACTGACTAATAATACCCTGCCTACTGTGCTGCACCATTTGCCACAAGACGTGCACCTGATAACCAGTGTTGTTGGCTGAGTTTGCGTACCTGCGGCAAGGTAAAGACAAGTGCACCGATACCGAGCAAGAAGCAGCCAATGCCAAGCCAGCGAGGCTTGTGCGCGCGCTCCCCAAAGTAGCTGACAGGCAGGACAAAGATAGCAGCAGAAATGTCGTATGCTCCAGATATGAGACCTGAACGCTGGCTGGGCAGGCGGAATCGTTTCTCAATTGTGGGTATCACAACACCATTCATGCCTGAGGTGATCAATAGTCATGATAGTGGCAGGAGGAAAAAAACAGTGATATTATCAACAGCATGGCAAATTGATGATGAGGTATTTCCAGAATACAAACCGTGAATGTTCTTGCCGAAACCCATGACTACTTGCCCCAGTGTTAACTTGTTCTCAAAAATGTAGGTCCGAGGAGGCAGCAACATAGAGCTACGGCTCCTGAGATGCTTGAGTGCACGGCCCCTAAATCAATGCTTGAGTGCACGGCCCCTAAATCAATGCTTGAGTGCATGGCCCCTAAATCAATGCTTGAGTGCACGGCCCCTAAATCAATGCTTGAGTGCACGGCCCCTAAACCCTAAATCAATGCACACAGTAAAACCTGCTGCTGCCGGCCTAACCGGACGACGCCCTTGCCTTGGTGCAGCGGAAACTGTACTGATATGTTTTGATCCAGGGATGTACGTTAGATCCACAGCACTTTGAATGTCTTTGATGCATGAACATTTGTCCGGTCAATACAGGATTCCGCTTGGTACAGGGTCCGGCAAACACAGGATTTACGGCACTTGCTTTAGGGAAATCTTCGTACTACTGTCGTGGACATGGAAATCCAGTGGATTGACGGGGGCCGGCGCCCTCAGCCCCCAGCCCTCAGCCCCGGCGCCCCGGCGCCCTCAGCCCCGGCGCCCTCAGCCCGTACAGAACAGTGCACAGTCATGTTGTTGATCTGATGCGACCAACGCGTTGCAGCGCATATTACGCATGTGTGTACTGCTTACCCACGGCTGCATGGCCAGCGCCCTGGGGCCGCTAGACGTGCGACCGGATTTCCATGTCCACGATAGTAGCAGCAGGTAGGACTACCGTATTTTCCACTGCACTGGAGTATAAGCCACACCCAGATTATTTGTCACGAAATACAGACATCTACCCCGTTTATCACAGTTAATTTGATCAGTGTAGTACAAGCCGCACCCCTTTTTCAAATCAGTGAGTACTAAAGCACTGTCTTGCTGGTTTGAACACCTTGAAAGGGGAAAAATGAGGATTTCGGAAGACGTATTTTGAAGTAATCGTTAGGTCACAGAATTACTACCGGGTACCCTATATGCTATCTGGCGGGCCACTATTGCCACTATTGCCACTATTGCCACTATTGCCACTATTGCCACTATTGGGCCGGGCTGCAACAGGTCGGAGTTTGATCGGGCAATGGCCCATAATGGGTTCGGGTATTTTTATCCGGGTAGCACGGGTACCCTCTCGGGTATTTTTTGACATAGTTTGTAAAGTGAGTGTGCACTTGCTCTACGTAGAAAGTGTACAGACAGCATGTAGCCGTGCTTTTCACAAAACGCCGTACTCCGACTACTCGATCGGGTCCTCAGGCGCAAGCTGCTACCCGATTACGCGATCTAAGTACGCCGATTATTACGGCCACGGGCAGCATGGGTACCCTACTACCCGATGACACCCCTAGATCTCGGCTACCTGGCCTACCTGTTTGACCACTACACAAAATCACATGGTCTTGGTGTGAATGGAATATGGTACTAACGCTAGTACACCGTTCAGGCGCGTGCCCCGTATGGGTTCCTGGGTGCCCGGAACCCCCCTTTTTTCGCTCAAAATGCACGATTTTGCTAACTTTTGGAATTTTTTCCCGGAACCCCCCCCCCCCTTGAAAGGCACCGGCGCACACGCCTGCCGTTCCCCAATAGAAAGCAACCATGATTTTGCAGTCAAATAGTGCATGCGTATTTCTGGCTAGTCTCGGTGATGGCATCACCGAAAAGCACTATCACGTGCAAGTTCGATTGAGAAAATTTGACAAACGATGCATTGCAGCCGCCGTGGACCAAGACTACTTGACTTAGCACCCCGGATGCTACGGACCTGGTACTTCATGGAATTTTTGGTTGGCGAGAGGGGCGGAAGAGGACAAGATAGTGTCCGTGGACTCTGGCAAATTTACGGGAGCTCCTCAGTATGCAGAGGAAATGTTTTAAAAGTGTGAAAATAATGTTCTATTGTTCTAACAATTTCCTATGTTGTCCCAAGTTTTAATCTCATTACAATTTCAACTTTTACACTAATTGTCCTAACAACCACAACACAACCATGTCCACATGATCAGGGTCATGGGCACCAGCAAAGGCGCATGCATGCATGCAACACACGCGGGCGCGCGCACATACACACACACACACACGAGAGGACCCGCATACGCGCACGCACATGTCATAAGCGCAGGCAATCACGTAACACGCGTACATCAGGTACATAATCGTCATTGCCTGCACACACATCGCTACACTCCCTACAGTACCGCTGGCGTGTGCACGTCACCGCGCTCCTACTTACCGCTAACGGTCAAGCCCTGAAATAGAACGTAGAGACAGAGGAAGAACAAGAACCATCGCGGCGTGTTGAAAAATTGCAGCCAATTCGGGTTGCACCAACAAGCCCCACACCGTCCCTCTTTGCTTCTCTCGGTCTCCGAGGTGGTACTGGTGCTTCTCTGCGAGCTCGTGTCAGAATCCTTGGCACTCGGCTTTGAATCTCCTTCCACGAAAGACGTGGTCGCGTCAGCTGGCTTCTCCGGGTCACTGTTCGTGACGGTGTCCATCTTTTTCAGCAGCAGCGGGAATTTTGGATTTACGTACTTGGACTTTTTGAAGAAGTAAGTAATCACAATGTAGTTTGGCTTTCAAAGACGATGCGGGTAGATCTACACTCGCGCGGTGGACATAATCACGCCTTCAACTGCAACAACGTCTGGCGGAAACTGGAAAGCTGTATTTAGACCGACCTGCATATTATACTGAGCAGTCCGCAGCAGTATGGAGTTTGTAGACCTGGTGTCCCCACGCAAAGATCAATAATCAAGTCAAGAACATCTGTGTCACGATGCTTTTAGGCACTCTACTCGTGCAGCATTTCCGCAGTATAGGTAACCTATCCTTTCTTATTCTGGCTGTTTTCCTCTACGAGAGTGCGCTAGCGACTGAACGAAGCCATAGAGCTAGACTGTCGACGTCCGAGCTAAGAAGTAAGACTAAAAGAGGATAAAACATTTACATGCATTATGTACAGTCCGATGCACGGTAAAGATGCAAACTGTCTTTGTAAAGACATCAGAGCAGCAATGACAGCATGATTAGTGGGTGGTGCGTTTGGAGGTCGCGTGCCCATCGAGGAAGTCTTCACTGTTTATGTCAGTCATAGATCATGCAGGTCTAGCGTCTACTGATATCAGTACTACTACTAGTACTACAGACTCAGTCAGTAGATCTACAACAAGTTAGTTACATGGACATCACGGACATGGTGCGCGCGCAGTCTACCGCCAACTTACTTACAATAAGTACAGGTTCCTGCACGAGTATGAGGGCAGTACCGCGGAATCCTGCCCGCGCCGCGATAGCGGCAAGGGCTGGATGAGCAGCGGTGCTGACCGAGTATGAGTGACTGGAACGTGTTTCCCGTATGCACCCAAGCCAAGGAGATCACTCACAATCTTTGACGTTTGAGTTTACATGAACCATTCTGTGACTTGACTCGAGTCCTGTATGGCTGTATGAGGCTGTGTCAGTGTGAGCTGAGTGAGAGTGACTTCGACAACCGGACACGGACTACAGACTCAGTACACGACTTTTGCATGTACTTTCAGACCACAGAAGCTTGTCATTGAAATGGTAGACTCATGAGTGGATTCTGTCCACTGCCCGTCGTCAAGTGACGACGGGCAGTGGATTCTGTCCACTGCCCGTCGTCAAGTGACGACGGGCAGTGGATTCCGTCCACTGCCCGTCGTCACTTGACGACGGGCAGTGGAACTAGTTCCATCACCATTCATCAGGCAGGATCGCGCTTTCCAGCCCGCGTAATTTGATCTGTCATTGGTCGACTCCAAGGCGACAGTCATGTGACATACGGGAAACTCTTTATCTCCACCAAAATGCCTAAATGGACAAACAGCGCTTGCTGATCTGGTACCATACATGTCCAGATACCGGTGCCAAAATCTACTGGCTGTCGCAGTCATGTAAACTGCAGTGTAGCTCGTAGATTTTTTGGCAGGCTGACATCTACATTGTACCTGTATGTGACTATGATTAGTATGAATGATTGCACATGACTGAAGTTTACTGTCACGCAAATTTAAATAATTTAAAATTGTCAGGAATCTGCCAGGTTTCAGGTCACGGTAATGTAGAATTAGGTAACCAGCATTCCCTTCACCTACAGACTCCAGTGTCTTCTCTACTACAGACAGTGCTGGTAACTGAAATCCGAACCCCTTGGCGGGGCGGGGCGCCGCCAAGGGGGTCGGATTTCAGTTGCCAGCACTGTAGTTCTAGGTGTAATCTAAATTTAGTTCTAGGTTCTGTACGGAAATTAACGAAATAATATAATTTAAAAGTTGCATCGAAAACAAGGTGTTATAATTATAGTGTGCCATTCGTACTCCGTGTATACATGTCATGCATATTTTCCCTCGTGCTAATACACTCATGAAAGTATTCGGCAATAAACCCCTCGTACAAATGTACTCATCGTGCAGTCATGGTACTCGGACATGTACCACAGACATTTTAAAGACAACTCGTTGCTCCAGCGCCAGAGTGCTCAAACTACGAAAAGTAGCGAGCGAAGCGTAATGCAGCAGCACTAAAGCAGCCTACCGAGAGCGCTCAACAAGACAAAATTAATGTCAAGGAGCGAGATACCCAATGCTGCAGACAGCAAGCTGTTTCGGCCATAAATGCCTCATCAGTACAGCCTACAAGCTTTAAGTAAGCCGAGTTGCCAGCCATTGTGCAAAGGTGGCACCACAGACATTGTGCAAAGGTGGCATCACAGACATTGTGCAAAGGTGGCACCACAGACATTGTGCAAAGGTGGCATCACAGACATTGTGCAAAGGTGGCATCACAGACATTGTGCAAAGGTGGCATCACAGACATTGTGCAAAGGTGGCATCACAGACATTGCCGGTGCAAAGGTGGCATCACAGACATTGTGCAAAGGTGGCATCACAGACATTGTGCAAAGGTGGCACCACAGACATTGTGCAAAGGTGGCATCACAGACATTGTGCAAAGGTGGCATCACAGACATTGTGCAAAGGTGGCATCACAGACATTGTGCAAAGGTGGCATCACAGACATTGTGCAAAGGTGGCATCACAGACATTGTGCAAAGGTGGCATCACAGACATTGTGCAAAGGTGGCATCACAGACATTGTGCAAAGGTGGCATCACAGACATTGTGCAAAGGTGGCATCACAGACATTGTGCAAAGGTGGCATCACAGACATTGTGCAAAGGTGGCACCACAGACATTGTGCAAAGGTGGCACCACAGACATTGTGCAAAGGTGGCACCACAGACATTGTGCAAAGGTGGCATCACAGACATTGTGCAAAGGTGGCATCACAGACATTGTGCAAAGGTGGCATCACAGACATTGTGCAAAGGTGGCATCACAGACATTGTGCAAAGGTGGCATCACAGACATTGTGCAAAGGTGGCATCACAGACATTGTGCAAAGGTGGCATCACAGACATTGTGCAAAGGTGGCATCACAGACATTGTGCAAAGGTGGCATCACAGACATTGTGCAAAGGTGGCATCACAGACATTGTGCAAAGGTGGCATCACAGACATTGTGCAAAGGTGGCATCACAGACATTGTGCAAAGGTGGCATCACAGACATTGTGCAAAGGTGGCATCACAGACATTGTGCAAAGGTGGCATCACAGACATTGTGCAAAGGTGGCATCACAGACATTGTGCAAAGGTGGCATCACAGACATTGTGCAAAGGTGGCATCACAGACATTGTGCAAAGGTGGCATCACAGACATTGTGCAAAGGTGGCATCACAGACATTGTGCAAAGGTGGCATCACAGACATTGTGCAAAGGTGGCATCACAGACATTGTGCAAAGGTGGCACCACAGACATTGTGCAAAGGTGGCATCACAGACATTGTGCAAAGGTGGCATCACAGACATTGTGCAAAGGTGGCATCACAGACATTGTGCAAAGGTGGCATCACAGACATTGTGCAAAGGTGGCATCACAGACATTGTGCAAAGGTGGCACCACAGACATTGTGCAAAGGTGGCACCACAGACATTGTGCAAAGGTGGCACCACAGACATTGTGCAAAGGTGGCATCACAGACATTGTGCAAAGGTGGCATCACAGACATTGTGCAAAGGTGGCATCACAGACATTGTGCAAAGGTGGCATCACAGACATTGTGCAAAGGTGGCATCACAGACATTGTGCAAAGGTGGCATCACAGACATTGTGCAAAGGTGGCATCACAGACATTGTGCAAAGGTGGCATCACAGACATTGTGCAAAGGTGGCATCACAGACATTGTGCAAAGGTGGCATCACAGACATTGTGCAAAGGTGGCATCACAGACATTGTGCAAAGGTGGCATCACAGACATTGTGCAAAGGTGGCATCACAGACATTGTGCAAAGGTGGCATCACAGACATTGTGCAAAGGTGGCATCACAGACATTGTGCAAAGGTGGCATCACAGACATTGTGCAAAGGTGGCATCACAGACATTGTGCAAAGGTGGCATCACAGACATTGTGCAAAGGTGGCATCACAGACATTGTGCAAAGGTGGCATCACAGACATTGTGCAAAGGTGGCATCACAGACATTGTGCAAAGGTGGCACCACAGACATTGTGCAAAGGTGGCACCACAGACATTGTGCAAAGGTGGCATCACAGACATTGTGCAAAGGTGGCATCACAGACATTGTGCAAAGGTGGCATCACAGACATTGTGCAAAGGTGGCATCACAGACATTGTGCAAAGGTGGCATCACAGACATTGTGCAAAGGTGGCATCACAGACATTGTGCAAAGGTGGCATCACAGACATTGTGCAAAGGTGGCATCACAGACATTGTGCAAAGGTGGCATCACAGACATTGTGCAAAGGTGGCATCACAGACATTGTGCAAAGGTGGCATCACAGACATTGTGCAAAGGTGGCATCACAGACATTGTGCAAAGGTGGCATCACAGACATTGTGCAAAGGTGGCATCACAGACATTGTGCAAAGGTGGCATCACAGACATTGTGCAAAGGTGGCATCACAGACATTGCCGGTGCAAAGGTGGCATCACAGACATTGTGCAAAGGTGGCATCACAGACATTGTGCAAAGGTGGCATCACAGACATTGTGCAAAGGTGGCATCACAGACATTGTGCAAAGGTGGCATCACAGACATTGTGCAAAGGTGGCATCACAGACATTGTGCAAAGGTGGCACCACAGACATTGTGCAAAGGTGGCACCACAGACATTGTGCAAAGGTGGCATCACAGACATTGTGCAAAGGTGGCATCACAGACATTGTGCAAAGGTGGCATCACAGACATTGTGCAAAGGTGGCATCACAGACATTGTGCAAAGGTGGCATCACAGACATTGTGCAAAGGTGGCATCACAGACATTGTGCAAAGGTGGCATCACAGACATTGTGCAAAGGTGGCATCACAGACATTGTGCAAAGGTGGCATCACAGACATTGTGCAAAGGTGGCATCACAGACATTGTGCAAAGGTGGCATCACAGACATTGTGCAAAGGTGGCATCACAGACATTGTGCAAAGGTGGCATCACAGACATTGTGCAAAGGTGGCATCACAGACATTGTGCAAAGGTGGCATCACAGACATTGTGCAAAGGTGGCATCACAGACATTGTGCAAAGGTGGCATCACAGACATTGTGCAAAGGTGGCATCACAGACATTGTGCAAAGGTGGCATCACAGACATTGTGCAAAGGTGGCATCACAGACATTGTGCAAAGGTGGCATCACAGACATTGTGCAAAGGTGGCATCACAGACATTGTGCAAAGGTGGCATCACAGACATTGTGCAAAGGTGGCATCACAGACATTGTGCAAAGGTGGCATCACAGACATTGTGCAAAGGTGACATCACAGCCATTGTGCAAAGGTGACATCACAGCCATTGTGCAAAGGTGACATCACAGACATTGTGCAAAGGTGGCATCACAGACATTGTGCAAAGGTGGCATCACAGACATTGTGCAAAGGTGGCATCACAGACATTGTGCAAAGGTGACATCACAGACATTGTGCAAAGGTGACATCACAGACATTGTGCAAAGGTGACATCACAGCCATTGTGCAAAGGTGACATCACAGCCATTGTGCAAAGGTGACATCACAGACATTGTGCAAAGGTGGCATCACAGACATTTTAAAGACAGTTTGTTAGTAATCCATACCGGGCAATCATCTGTAGTCATGGTAGTCATGGTAGTCATGGTAGTCATGGTAGTACCCCGCAGTCTCAGATCAGCTACTCATGCTGCCGCACGATGAGACACGATGAGACACGATGAGAGTGCTGCAACTGTTACCATGGTTACATTCAGTACATCAAGTACGCTATCTCCTACTTCAGTACATGTACTTTAAGTACATCGTACGGTATCTCCTACATGTACATCACTGTGATAATATTAAAAAGGGAAAATCTCATAGCGGCGGCACACAGCTGAGGTAGTAGTACAGTAGTCAGTAGGGCAATGATAAATTGATATTGTAAGAACCTGAGAACGGCCCCAGATTCACAAAGCCATGAAATGAGAACCAAGGAGTCGTAACTTGAATGCTTTTTACGACTACTTGAGCTGATGGGAACCCGGCAAAAGAAAAAGACAACCCAAATTAGGCAATGAACAGAGCACTCAATTCCGAAGAGTAAAAGTGAACACACCAGCTTACCCAAAGACACATATAGACTTGTTTACCCCGGCAAGCGCTCTACTGATATGCCGAAAGGCAAAGTCACCGCCAGCTCCATCCATCCGAGTCAACACAGGCGGCGGCAGTACGTTAAAAAAGAGCCCCCCCCCCCCCAACCAAGCGGTGGATGTAAGAGGGCCTGCAGCTCCTAATTTACCTAGAATACTAAGCTACTTCGAAGTTGGTGTAGTGTGTTTCCTTTGTACCTTTTCTGTCACTATAACTATATTGCAACTGCTGTAGTCTCACCTTTAATATTTGTATCACTTCTTTTATCACACCTTGCTGGGTGTTGTAGTTTCTCAACTTATTACTTATTACTTTTATAGTTATGGTCTCCTGACTCGTAATTTTTATCATTCCCTGTAGTACTTCAACAAGAAGGGAACGAAAACGTTCCTGAATACGAATAATTGTGGCTGGTGGTGCGCGATAACTTTGACTGCATGTGCATAGTACACATTAGATTAAAGACTAAATTGCCTCCATCCTTCCTTTGAAATACTAAAAGTCTTCTTACAATTACACTGCACATGTATTATGTATATGGCTAATTCAGTATAATAATAATTATGTACATGTCGGCATGTAATACTGCTTGTAATAATGGCGTGTCAAGTGACAATATAGGGAAACAGTCAGACCTCGCATAACCACACACAAACGTTTTCCACAAAATATCCGGATAGGCGAGGGAACCGGATAATCGAACACACATACTGTATGTATGCATGGTATATGCTGTAAATTGATAACCAACGATTTTCTTCCGGATGGCGAGGGATCCGGATAAAAGAGGACCGGATAAGCGAGGTCTGACTGTAGCTGAATGGGGCTTTAGTCGGCATACCAGTTACCTGCCAGGTCAACCCTATTCATGTAAACACCTATCTCTTTCTCCAATAGACCTTTAGCCTGGGTTGAACTCAACTGGGTTCAAAATTCTCATGTAAACTCACAGCCCAACAGACAGAACTCGATCCTCCAAAACACGACCACAGATCGAGGGGTGCAGGTGGTCGGGCACTCTTGCCGTACTCCATGATAATGGCATTGCCCGTGTGTACACTTGCAGGCGGGATGGCCATCATACTACCCAATGTTTAGTCTATCAGACTATATTGTACTTGCTGGGTGCGGTATGCCCGCCATACTACTAGTACAGTAGTAGTTCAGTACTGGTGATCCATGTTTACTGTTTAGTCTACATTGTCATTGTACTTGCTTGTTTTGCTTGTTCGCCTGCCGCTGCTGCTGCCGTTGACGTTGATATGGAGAGTATTGAAGCGGGAACTTCACAGCTGATGCCGTACAAGATGAAAGCAGGTACAGCCGCGTGAGGACATACATCGATACGGAAACAGAGAGGAAGAAAATGGAAGATCAGGCAGGCACACACGCACATGTACCAGTACACCCCCCCCCCCCCCCCACACACACACACTTGTACTTGCTCACTACCAAAACTGGTCACATGGATCTCCCGGGGAGAGGGGAAAGAGACTCAAAAGGAATCTTAGAAAGATGACTCAATTGGCTATTGAACCGCACAACGGCCGATACCTCCTGAAATTCCCAAACTCTGGGTGGACTTGGAAATGATCCCACTTACATGTATGGGCTCACCACACCTCAGTAAGTGGGTGAGGACAAGGTGCAGAAACAGGATTGACGGCATCAGGGTATCCGTCGCGGGATCCAACTGCAGATACCCCTGCCCCCAGCGAAGGTAATACTTGCTACTAGTGTGGTTGGCTGAATCAGAGTGGATCTGATAAAAGCTTCACTAGCACCATTGATTACACAAGAGTAAATATAGCCAGAAACAGTCCATGGTTAACAGGTATGTATACACCACACACACACACACACACACACACACACACACACACACACACACACACACACACACACACACACACACACACACACACACACACATACATACACACACACACGGACACACACACACTGTACTTGTTCACTGCCATAAACTGGCCACGTGGGTCTCCCCTTGGGAGAGGGGAGAAAGATTTAGAAGAACTTTTGGAAAGATTACTCAATTGGCTATTGAGCCGGCCATGTATGTTGAAGGACTCGGCAAGGTGCAGCAGGGTTTACCGAGTCTCACGGCTGATGGCTGATGAGACGATTCTGCGCGAGAGCATATATTTACCATGGTACTGACAATGCACCAGGTTGCTGAACTGACAGGAAGTTATGCTGCAGCTTGTATCCAGACATACTCACCAACTGAGATGGGGGCGGTGGCAAGCATTGCACGCAGTGTACAACCAGCTTAGACAGCGGTGGTGGCACATCATCAAGGACACACGATCTCCACATTGGTGGGTCCTGGGCTGTTGTGAAGCATGCAGTGACCAAGCAACGTAGGTCATGACTCATGACGGACTCGGTCTTTGAGCCACAGGTGCAGACCTTCTGATGGACAAACCCTGAGGAACAATCCAAACAGCAACTGCTCACTTGTAGGTTGCCTTGTATCCGTTATCCCCACTGTCACACTGCAGGGGCTGTCATGGACACTCGGTGATCGGACACAGTCAGTCACTGGGGCTGTGTTTACATCAGAATCTTGAACCCAGGTCAAGTTCAACCCAGGTTCAAGTCCGTACAGTTGAAAAAAACTAAATAGAGAAGAAGACAAGAAGGTTTACAAGTTATCCTCAGTTGTCCCAAATTAACATTAGCAAGATGTAGGTGGGTCAGTACAAGCAACTGTTAGCACAGGACTGACAAGTGGTACAGACATTCAACGACCTGACACTATCAGCTCCGGATAGCTTGTAAACCGTTGGTCGTCTCTAATTAATATGAATCATTGGCACTCCACCAGGGCTGAAAAAGAAGAAGGTGGGTGACTATTTCGGCGGGAAATTTGCATGTGCAATGCCGCGCAATCCTGGCGAGAAATACACATGTGCGATAGTTTCTTGATTTTCAACCCAGGTCAAGCGCAATGCATCATGCCAACGCTCTAGTCAACCTGAGCTCATGACGGGTTGGAACTCAACAAACTCAATCCGAGTTGAAAACTCTCATGTAAACACAGCCTGAGTGATAACAGCACTTGGCCGGCATTATCATAATGTAGAATGTGAGATGTGAGATGTGAGATGATGGGTATGTTGTGAAACGTGTCTGTGTTACACCTAGACATGCACGGTAAAAACCAGCCTAGCTGTTGAGGTAAGTTTAATCGAAAATAAATAAATTCCTGCAGTATAAAAAATATGAATAAACGACATGGATATAAACAATATTTATAAAGCAATAAATAAAACTAACTCTGCCGTCACCGCCATGCATCAACAAAGTCAAATGTTTTCCAGGATCGATTTTCATGTTACTATCGTCAGTGTAATATCGTGACTGAAGTGAAGGCAAGCCAAACAAAAAACAGTGATTAAGTATGCATTCCAAAATGTGATAAAACTTACAAGCAAGCAACACAAATGGTAGGTGGCACAAAAGAGCCTTCACAGTTTTCAGATTCTCGTTGTCTCACCCTCTTTTGTGCCACCTACCTACCATTTGTGTTGCTTGCCGGTAAGTTTTATCACATTTGGAATGCATACTTCTTCATTGTTTTTGCTTGGCTTGCCTTCACTTCAGTCACAATATTCCACTCACGATAGTGGCACGAAAATCTATCCTGGAAAGCATTTGACTTCGTTGATGCATGGTGATGATGGCGGAGTCAGTTTTATTTATTGCTTTAGTATGAAAAATAGACATATCAAATCCAATTTCAGGGAAAGAAAAGGGAGATAGAAAGCCAATATAAAAATAGTACTCGAATAGAGAGGGAAAGGCCATGAAGACAAAACGAGTCCGTTGATAGCTTCTGGACTGAAGAGAATTCTACAAGACGTAATAGTGTTGAGTAGCTCCGACACCGGAGTGAAAACGATTTCCTTCACGTACTTCAATCACTCGTGCTTCCAAATGTACTTTTCTGGTTTTTCGCATGGCCAAGCCAGTTTTTGTCTCTAACAAAGAGGCGCCATGACAGGAAGAAGGCGCCAAACGATAAGACTTTGCAGCCCATGCTGGCCGCAAACATGGAATTGCTCATGTGTACGTTATCATATTCCCAGCAATTACCCTCCGTACAACAGTTCAGGTGCCACAGCCGACATCCCTTGTCCAGCAAGTAGCCATAGAATACCGGCCCTGGTACATTACCAATAATGCGTATAATCAGCCACTGGACACCCGTTGCTAGTGTGCGCCGATCTGCAGGTACACATCTACAGCACAAAGGACACACAAGGACTCGGGATGAGTAGATACGTCTGGAATGTGCAAATAATGTACAGTGCCACCTGGCTTTCCTAACCCTTCCATCATCCCAACCTACCCCTAATCCTTCCATCATCCCAACCTTAACTCTCCAATCACTTCAACCTTATCACCCCTGATTCTTGGATGATCCAGGCACGTTGTGATCATCCAAACAAGGAGCACACATACACAGTTCAGTACCGGGCACACAGAGAGAAACGATTTCACTCTCGAGTTCTATCAATAGTACATATTAGCTCGGAGAGTGCAGTGTGTGGACTTTTAACTGCCTGCACAATCTCTATCCAGAGCAGTGATGGCAAATTTCACATTCATGAATCATGACCTAATATGGCACAATAGGTAATGCAAGAAAGCTAGCAGCGCAAATGACCAGTAACAACTGGTAGACAGACCCCCCCCCCCCCCCCTCCCCAAACAGGTCATGATGACCGAGACTACAAGTAGCCACAGTTCTTCGGCACCTGACAGTACCAGGGAGTACCGTAAAAGTCCGTAAATAAGTACCTGCCCGAAAGAAATACCCCCTTCATTCTTTTGGCTCTGTCTGTTGAAGTCAAGTCAAGCCCGATAAACATACTGCCCGAAATAAGTACCGGTACGGTGCGCACATGCAGCACGTAGCATGTACATCTACATGAAAATGACTTTTCCACTACACACAAGTCAGGTCCGAAAGTTAGTTCGTGCCTGAAAGTCAGTACCCACCCGAAAGTTAGTACGGGTGTGGTCACTAAATTCGAAAGTAAATACGTACTTATTTACGGACTTTTACGGTACTGCAGTATAGCATACATGTACTTCAAGTACATACTACTCCCTGACATTAGCCGGCACTGTATGGTTCTAGTGAACAGAAGAAACCTGGCTGGATTCATCCCAAAGCCGGCTCTTGGTATGTTCAGCTGTTCAACCACTCCAGCAAATACGGTAAGTCAGAGACAGAGAGTGTGCATTCGCAGTAGTACGAGGAATAGCAGAACAAACACCCCCGGTATGTGGTTACCATGGCTACTTACTGCAGCATGACTTCTATGGACGGTACATTGTTCATGAACGTGAAGAACATGAGACCAGAGAGCAGTACAACAAACAATGGCAACCGGCTACACGAGATCTTGCACGTGCCCAGTGACGCTGTGCCGTTCACTGCCGAGTATCCACCTCCTCCGCCAGTGCTGCTATCCAGGTTAAGTGCAATGCAGCTGCAATTCACGTAAGTCTGCCACAGAAAACAAGACAGGCAGGAAGCAATTTTAAAATGCAAAGAGAATGCAATAGGGCATGTCATTGTTTTGGAAATTGCCACCCTCATTTTCTCAACGCCGCAGCATGTACATGGTGTGTGATGATTGGAAAGTTGGAAGCCTGCTAGTAGTACAGACTGTGCCTATAATAAAGAATAAGCTGTAAAGGGAAGCCGTTAAATCATTACTTCAAAGCAATTTTGACCTCAGGCGTAGTATGCCATGTATGGCATAATTTAGTACACGGATATGAGAAGAATATGCTTTTGCAGAAACACTCTTCCCCATAACACCACATCCACGTGGCCACGCATGCACGCACACACCAAACCCAACATACTTGGCTATTTTCGCCAGTGTTTCACGAAATTGTCCGTTTAGGCGAGAGCAAAAAAATAGAGATTCCCGGGCGATCCCGCACCGAAATCGAGCCAAAGCCAATTTTTTTTTTTTTGGAAAAGTTCATACATGTACAGTACTGATCGTGTGAGTAGATCTGTGACGTGGAGTCACACAAACCCGAGCTTGTACGACTCCCAGATGTACAGATCAGGGCCATCGTTGGCCGAAATATAGAAAAATTGAACGGGTAAACCGCGTACCTGTTGTCTGTAAAAAAATTGAATAAAAATTACCGGAAAATGCGGTAACAAAAGTTCAACATGGCATGCACACATATAGTCATGTACATACACAGGTAGAAAAAAACTTAAACAGCAGTGAGGAAGCTTCCACTGACAATCCACTGAGAAGGTTGGTTTGCAATGTCAAGTCTCCGGACGAAGCCGGACGGGTTCAGATGCACGATTTTCGGAACTGGACCTAGCCAGCTTCATGCATGACACCGTTGTCGACCGGCTATTATGCTTGTAATGCCAATTTTGCATGCGAAATGGTGTTATTGCCCCCAGCATTATGCCACCTGGAAAAAAAGGACTACATGTATAATGCCAGCCATAATGCTAGCATTACCCGCCCATGCCTATACACGGGAAAAAATAAAAAATAAAATTCGCCCGCCCGCACCAATTTCACATGGGTCCTGCCCGGGAATCTCGATTTTATTTTGGTCTCGCCTTAGCTGTAAAAGTCTACATTTGTGTATTTACATGGATAAAAAGAAGGGTAAAATGTTACGGGATATAGCTCAGTGGTTAGAGCATTGCTGGCCTCAAGGAAAGGTCCCTGGTTCGTGTCCTGGTAGTGACAGTCAATTTTTCTTCAGTCTCGTCCCGTTTGCAGCTTTCCACCAAACCAGTGAATATTAAAGTAATATTTGTCGGGATTGGGATTTAGGGGCTCACTACATGCAGGGATTGCTTTCTCCAACATCGCCGCACCCCGGCACCCCATGCACGACTAGACGGGGATCAACGCATTTAACCCATACCAGTATGCAGTACATGTACACGTAGTCTGCTACAGGCAGTACAGCCTGTAAGTCGTGCAGTATCTACATCTACAAGTATGGTATACAGTGGTCCCTCTATAATCCGGCACCATTTGTGCCACGAAAATCTGCTGGATTAGGGAGGGTGCTGGATTAACAAATCTGATTTACTGCTGCAATGTACATGAAGAGGACATTTTGGCTACTGAAAATTGTGCTGGTTTATCGAGGGTGCTGGATTATAAAGTGCCGGATTAGAGAGGGACGACTGTATAAGTACATGTAACAACACGAGTGGCCCAGTGTTGCGTCGAGCTATGTCCCATCCACCCCACCTTACAGTACAGTAGGGTTTGAAGTGCAGTCGGCACTCGAGTGGGATTTTACGGTACTGCACGCTATGAGATATTGGCGGACATATAGTCTGGTCGGTCATGCCACCAGCAAACACAGAACAAAACAGCAAGCAAGAACAGCAGCTCCAGCATACACCAAATAGAACACATACTACTGCTGTGCACATTGAAATCCGGTGAAAAGTCAAGCGGCCACAGGGTGCTGGCCTTGCAGCCGTGAGTATGCATACAGTACACATTCATACGTGAGTATGCATACAGTACACATTCATACGTGAGTATGCATACAGTACACATTCATACGTGAGTATGCATACAGTACACATTCATACGTGAGTATGCATACAGTACACATTCATACGTGAGTATGCATACAGTACACATTCACACGTGAGTATGCATACAGTACACATTCATACGTGAGTATGCATACAGTACACATTCATACGTGAGTATGCATACAGTACACATTCATACGTGAGTATGCATACAGTACACATTCATACGTGAGTATGCATACAGTACACATTCATACGTGAGTATGCATACAGTACACATTCATACGTGAGTATGCATACAGTACACATTCACACGTGAGTATGCATACAGTACACATTCATACGTGAGTATGCATACAGTACACATTCATACGTGAGTATGCATACAGTACACATTCATACGTGAGTATGCATACAGTACACATTCACACGTGAGTATGCATACAGTACACATTCATACGTGAGTATGCATACAGTACACATTCATACGTGAGTATGCATACAGTACACATTCATACAAGCAGCGGTGTGCTTGTGAACTAGAGTGTGTGTATACGCACTAAGGCACTAAGGCACTAAGGCAGTAAGGGCTCCGGCCTTGGTCATTCCACCGGATTTCAATGCCCAGAACAGTAGTTCGTACTCACCCTCTCACTCGTTTTGCCCGACGTGGCATTACGGAAGGCCTGGCAGCCAGCGAGACACGGTGTTGGATAGGTGAAGCCATCGTTACCACACACTGGATCATAGCGCTCAGACACACAGCCACAGCTACTCACGCAGCTATGCGTGTAGTTCAAATTGCAGCGATTCGCACCAGACACCGAGCTGTAGAAAAAATGTGGGCATTGAGTTTCAGAACCAACGGCTAATATTAATTTTTTTACTTTTACAATTATCGATTTATATACTGCTTGCAAGTGGAAACTGGAAAGACTTCCAGCCATGCTGCAACCCACCCCTGGCCTGGCATAAAGGTGACATGGATATAGAGCATGGGACTTTCAGCCTTATAATGTAGATCATTTTACAATGGGTCTAATCCCCCCCCCCACACACACACACACACACCGCTGTAGGAGCTGCATGTATGCATCGACCCTTGAGGGTGGCGGTGTTCCCATGGGTATGTCTTGAGGGCGGGGGTGTTGCAATAGATGTGTCTTGAGGGCGGGGGTGTTGCAATAGATGTGTCTTGAGGGTATTGGTGTTCCCATGGGCATGTCTTGAGGGCGGGGTGTTGCAATAGATGTGTCTTGAGTGTAGTGGTGTTCCAATGGATGTGTCTTGAGGGTAGTGATGTTGCAATACATGTGTCTTGAGGGTATTGGTGTTGCAATAGATGTGTCTTGACTTGAGGGTAGTGGTGTTCCAATAGATGTGTCTTGACTTGAGGGTAGTGGTGTTCCAATGGATGTGTCTTAAGGGTATTGGTGTTCCAATGGATGAGTTTTGAGGGTAGTGGTGTTCCAATGGATGTGTCTTGAGGGTAGTGGTGTTCCAATGGATGTGTCTTGAGGGTAGTGGTGCTGCAATAGACGTGTCTTGAGGGTAGTGGTGTTCCAATGGATGTGTCTTGAGGGTAGTGGTGTTCCAATGGATGTGTCTTGAGGGTATTGGTGTTCCAATGGATGTGTCTTGAGGGTAGTGGTGTTCCAATGGATGTGTCTTGAGGGTAGTGGTGTTCCAATGGATGTGTCTTGAGTGTAGTGGTGTTCCAATGGATGTGTCTTGAGTGTAGTGGTGTTCCAATGGATGTGTCTTGAGGGTAGTGGTGTTCCAATGGATGTGTCTTGAGGGTAGTGGTGTTCCAATGGATGTGTCTTGAGGGTAGTGGTGTTCCAATGGATGTGTCTTGAGGGTAGTGGTGTTCCAATGGATGTGTCTTGAGGGTAGTGGTGTTCCAATGGATGTGTCTTGAGTGTAGTGGTGTTCCAATGGATGTGTCTTGAGTGTAGTGGTGTTCCAATGGATGTGTCTTGAGGGTAGTAGTGTTCCAATAGATGTGTCTTGAGGGTAGTGGTGTTCCAATGGATGTGTCTTGAGGGTAGTGGTGTTCCAATGGATGTGTCTTGAGGGTAGTCAGGGGCGTACGCCGCTCGCCTCCAGGAGTGGTTCCCATGCCAACTGATGAACCAACATTCCACACAATTGAAGTGCTGTTTTTCGTATCCCACGGAGTTTCTGCATATTCTCCTCAGACTGGGTGAAATTAACGTCCACAAGCTGCTGGACGATGTCATTGCTATGCATTTTTGATTTTAAAAGACTGAACTTTTCCCCGTTTTATGGATGTTTTGTTCAGTATGACGATTGCATGCAGTCTGGAAAGCTGCCTAAGTTTCGAATCATCTGGAGCAAACATCACATAGGGCAAGCAGAAGCCACCATTGCACGCCGGTCAAAAGACTACCCAGGGTAATTCCTCTAACAAGGATAGTTGAAAGTGGCGCTGTTTGCCATCCATCTGGACCCGCAGAGGAAATGAAATCCTTCGCTTTCGGTGGCGCACAATGATTATCGATGACGGAAATCTTTTTCGTGTCCGGCAAGTGTCGGGGACTGGATTCCACTGTGGACGTCGATTTTCAGAATATCCCTTCCAACATATATCCCTTCCAACACACTCCCATGTCACTGAAGTAAGTTTTGGATGATCGGCAGCTTCCAACAACGGTCGCTCTACAGCTTCGCCGACGATTTCTTCCTCAGCGCTGCTCGTTGCATGCAGCCTTCGCTTGCAAGTCAGGTGCTTCTGCATTCTCATCTATCTCTTGACCTTCGCCACTAGCACTGGCTACACGCTTTGCCTGCTGCTCAAAATAGCCCTGAATAGAGCACTGGCCCTCTGGATGTCGACGCTTCGTTTTTCTTTTCCACAAAGCGAAAGCATCGTCCAAAACACGACGAACTTTGTCAAAACAAACTGCAAAGGAAAATTCGACTCTGAGATCGAGGAATCCGGCGATGTAGAGACTTTATTGAACCCAGTTCAGTACGCTGTGTCCCAGCACCGCTTTCACACCTGGGCTAGTCACCGTCCTCGGACCGTCAGGCGCTAGGCATGCACTGCACAGCTGCATGCACTTGCACTGCGAGCGCAGGGCTTGAAAAGGCTGGGCTGGATCAAAAGAAATTCCGTACCAATATCGAATTTGTTTTCACTGGTTCCCGGGCATCCCGGGAACCGCCCTATGTACGCCCCTGGTAGTGGTGTTGCAATGGATGTGTCTTGAGGGTAGTGGTGTTCCAATGGATGTGTCTTGAGGGTAGTGGTGTTCCAATGGATGTGTCTTGAGGGTAGTGGTGTTCCAATGGATGTGTCTTGAGGGTAGTGGTGTTCCAATGGATGTGTCTTGAGTGTAGTGGTGTTCCAATGGATGTGTCTTGAGGGTAGTGGTGTTCCAATGGATGTGTCTTGAGGGTAGTGGTGTTCCAATGGATGTATCTTGAGGGTAGTGGTGTTCCAATGGATGTGTCTTGAGGGTAGTGGTGTTGCAATAGATGTGTCTTGAGGGTAGTGGTGTTCCAATGGATGTGTCTTGAGGGTATTGGTGTTCCAATGGATGTGTCTCGAGCGTAGTAGTGTTCCAATGGATGTGTCTTGAGGGTAGTGGTGTTCCAATGGATGTGTCCTGAGAGTAGTGGTGTTCCAATGGATGTGTCTTGAGGGTAGTGGTGTTCCAATGGATGTGTCTTGAGGGTAGTGGTGTTCCAATGGATGTTTCTTGAGGGTATTGGTGTTCCAATAGATGTGTCTTGAGGGTAGTGGTGTTCCAATGGATGTGTCTTGAGGGTAGTGGTGTTCCAATGGATGTGTCTTGAGGGTAGTGGTGTTGCAATAGATGTGTCTTGAGGGTAGTGGTGTTCCAATGGATGTGTCTTGAGGGTATTGGTGTTCCAATGGATGTGTCTCGAGCGTAGTAGTGTTCCAATGGATGTGTCTTGAGGGTAGTGGTGTTCCAATGGATGTGTCTTGAGAGTAGTGGTGTTCCAATGGATGTGTCTTGAGGGTAGTGGTGTTCCAATGGATGTGTCTTGAGGGTAGTGGTGTTCCAATGGATGTGTCTTGAGGGTAGTGGTGTTCCAATAGATGTGTCTTGAGGGTAGTGGTGTTCCAATGGATGTGTCTTGAGGGTAGTGGTGTTCCAATGGATGTTTCTTGAAGGTATTGGTGTTCCAATAGATGTGTCTTGAGGGTAGTGGTGTTCCAATGGATGTGTCTTGAGGGTAGTGGTGTTCCAATGGATGTGTCTTGAGGGTAGTGGTGTTGCAATAGATGTGTCTTGAGGGTAGTGGTGTTCCAATGGATGTGTCTTGAGGGTATTGGTGTTCCAATGGATGTGTCTCGAGCGTAGTAGTGTTCCAATGGATGTGTCTTGAGGGTAGTTGTGTTCCAATGGATGTGTCTTGAGAGTAGTGGTGTTCCAATGGATGTGTCTTGAGGGTAGTGGTGTTCCAATGGATGTGTCTTGAGGGTAGTGGTGTTGCAATAGATGTGTCTTGAGGGTAGTGGTGTTCCAATGGATGTGTCTTGAGGGTATTGGTGTTCCAATGGATGTGTCTCGAGCGTAGTAGTGTTCCAATGGATGTGTCTTGAGGGTAGTGGTGTTCCAATGGATGTGTCTTGAGAGTAGTGGTGTTCCAATGGATGTGTCTTGAGGGTAGTGGTGTTCCAATGGATGTGTCTTGAGGGTAGTGGTGTTCCAATGGATGTGTCTTGAGGGTAGTGGTGTTCCAATGGATGTGTCTTGAGGGTAGTGGTGTTCCAATAGATGTGTCTTGAGGGTAGTGGTGTTCCAATGGATGTGTCTTGAGGGTAGTGGTGTTCCAATAGATGTGTCAACAACAGTCAGGCAGATCGACTCTAATGTAAACCCCAAAATACAATACAGTATGGGCTTGATGCATTACAGTATTAAACACAGTATTAAACACAGCATTAAACACAGCATAGCAAGTTCTTAGAGCGGAATGCGCAGCAGACAGCTACATAATCCCCAAGACCTTGCACGTGTAGTACAATTAGCATGTTACTCACTTTCCTGGATAGGGTCGAGTCACACCCACGATTGGAACCGAATCACATCGCACAAGGAAGGCAGGCACAAAGAAAACGGCGACCAGCGCAATTCCTGCCGTGTACTTCGCCAGACGCGGCCCGGTCACTTTGCGATATTTCATGAGCCAGCTGCTGAACAAGATACCCCCTGCTGCACCAACAACACTGGCAGCACCAGTCAGAGCCGACGCTGTGGATGCTGTGACGCCAAACTGCGAAGTAAAGTACTTTGTGATGAATGGAATGATCCCAGACACCTAAGCATAGTATGAACATAATAATACACATGCACACACACACACACACACACACACACACACACACACACGCGCACACACGCGCACACACACACACACATATACGGCATTTTCAGCAACCTCAGTAAATGGGTAGTTGTACATGCACATACGTCACCAATAGTCAAACAAAGTTGTACATTACATGTATAGAGATCTGGGAAGGAGAGGGGGGGGGGGGGTGTTATGGTGGTCCTAGAACTATGAGCACTGTGTGCATACATGCATGTATGCACACATGTAGCACAAGTAAAGAAAGACAAGCACTGTAAACCACCCAATATTCACATCACTAAATCTTCGCGATCTCTCAGAACCAGCGAGTTTACGATGGCAAATGTTCGCGGAGCACTGTGGCCACACATATACACAAACTGTTGAAGTTTGATTTCACGATGGTTAATATTTGCGTTATGCTCTTCTCGCAAAATTAGCAAACATTAATACGTCGCAAACATTAGGCAGTTTCTAGTAGATACAGTACTTACGGCAAAACTCTCTGTTGAATCACCCAGTGTATTGGTGAGCAGGACGGGTGACAGGACAAGCGCAGTGATTGCTTTCAACATCACCCACATCTCGCCAATTAGATAGTTGACTTGCGCAACAAATCCAGTCTCCTTAGTGTCATTGGCGCGCGTCCGGCCAAACTCCGGATGACCAGAGCCGGATGACTTGCCGGTACCTAACTGCGTCTTCCTTTTCTCTTCCATAATCCAAGCCGTATTAGGTAGCTGCTGTGGATACATGAGCAATGGTAGGCTGAGTACAGTCAAAGCGATCCAAGCCAGTACATAACCTGCCCACCATCGACCGACAAAGTTTGGGTCATCTGGATCAGGATGATCCGTAACGCTAAGGTCAACGTACTGTGACAGAAACACGGAGCCGAGCAGATAGCCGATAGCTGGCCCTATTGCAGCAAACGTGTAGAAGATGCCAATGAAGTAATGCACTGTGTCAGGACCGGCTATCTCATCCAGGAATGTAATGCCGACAGTATAGAGTGGCAGTACACCCACGCCAATCAGACACTGTCCCAACACAAGCAGAGTGTATGCAGCCGGCACACCTGTACTGCACTCTGACGCGTACAGGCTATGATTGACGCCAGCAGCACAGGACTCCATGTCCTGAACATGATCGGCAACATACTTGCCACCAATGAACTGTCAGCAGGTAAACCAAAAGTGTACGCATACACACACACACACACACACACACACACACACACACACACGCACACACACACACACACACAAATACCAACATATACACATAGTATACGTCAAATGTTGTGCTAATGTGATGACCCTGCGTACACAGTAGTGCTCGTACAATGTACAATCATGTATACCCAGTGCAGTACTACATGCACAGTCCATTCAGAAAAAGATGAGCGCTGGTTCTGGAGAGCTCCCGTATTTGGCGATTTTGTGGTACACTGTGCAGTGCCGCAGGATTCGAAACTTGAAAAAGGGGCCAAAAAAGGTGCCTCAACTGGGGTTAGCCGGTTCGAACCGCAAATGTACTGTTATGCAAGTGGAGTGCACGGCCTGGATTTTCATAGTTTTTCCCCAAGTCAGTGCTTTGGGGGTAAAACCTGGCCGAAATCCTATTCTTGTTATGGCTTGCTCTTTGGAGAAATGGACTTCAAAAACACAATTGGAACAGCATTCCATGGGGGATTGCCAAAATTATTGTGACGAAAACTCAAAATTTGACCCGTTTATGGGCAAAAGCTAAGATATCATCTTTTTCTGAATGGACTGTAGCGCTAACTACGTACCAGAAGCCCGATACAAAGTGTGGCGTGATAAACTGCAGTTTTCTACACATATCTCTAACATAGAAGTCATCTATTATTAGTCACAGCAATATAATTAATTATCACACTACTCAATACCACCAGATACTGACAAATAACTGCTCTCCTGCAAACACGTGCACACCATATTGAAATCTGACGATGGCAATTTGCCGAAACGTCATTGAAACTGACACTGAGTTGTGATTTGCAGTGCTGAGGGAAAGGGCATGTGTGCTCAAAATTTCTCATGGAGTACATCTACATAAACTATTAAACAGTATTACGTATAAGTAAAGACTACATCAGTACATGTACCGTGACTAGCGACTAGATCAGTACATGTACCGTGACTAGCGACTAGATCAGTACATGTACCGTGACTAGCGACTAGATCAGTACATGTACCGTGACTAGCGACTAGATCAGTACATGTACCGTGACTAGCGACTAGATCAGTACATGTACCGTGACTAGCGACTAGATCAGTACATGTACCGTGACTAGCGACTAGATCAGTACATGTACCGTGACTAGCGACTAGATCAGTACATGTACCGTGACTAGCGACTAGATCAGTACATGTACCGTGACTAGCGACTAGATCAGTACATGTACCGTGACTAGCGACTAGCCTCCCAACACTACCAACCATTTTGACCGCAATGGGCACTCTCACATTCACAATGCACTGTGACTAGCGACTACCTGCTGAACGCGACCAGCAACCACCTTTTCGTGTCCCAATGTCGATTTTGACCCGCAACTAGGGGCCGCGAGGTAGGAAACAAACGGTTGTGCAAAGCTCCTTCTTCGAACAATCTGGCCCCAGTGGGTGGTCGCTAGTTACAGGGTTTACTTACGGATATATAAGAACCAAGTTATTGAGAGGAAGAACTGGTGATGCAATGCACAGAGCTAGCACAGTCTACTCTCGATAAATCGCACCCTCGATCTTGGAGACAAATATGCGCGAGTGTGTGACCTAAAAGTGTGTGACTACAGTCCATTTCAAAACTATAGACGCGGCGTACCTAGGCAAAAACCGTTATGCCAGCATCTATACCACATAAAATCTGTGATCACTTTGTGCATAATTTTTTCCAAATTGGGCGTCTGTTATCCAATCCTTTAGAAACTATATGAGAGTAATTGTGGAGCAATCCTGAGCAATATTCCGAAAACTATTCTCAAAAAGTTCCAGCCAAATTTGAAATATTTCAAAAACCCTACGCGTCTATAGTTTTGAAATGCACTGTAATCGCGACTACACTGTGAAGGTAAGATACTGCTAGTCAGGGAGTCGGTATTTTACGACTCCCTGCTGCTAGTCTTCTCTCAAGAGTATGTACATGTACTGACTATAGAGCTTCTATCTAGTCCAACAAAAAGCAGCGGATTAGAGGCAGTGCAAACATCACAGCATGCAGGTTGTGCAAACATCACAGCATACCTGAGGCAGGGCAAACATCATAGCACCTATTCCCTGCAGCAGGCAACCAATGCCGAGCCAACGCGGCTTATGCGCACGCTCTCCAAAATAGCTGACAGGCAGGATGAAGAGCGCAACACCGATTTCGTAAGCGCTGGTTATGAAGCCTGAGCGTTCACTTGACAACTGATATCGCTTTTCCACAGTTGGTATAACAACACCGTTCATACCTGTAATCAGACAAGAGACAAGAGAGCGTCAGCAAGCAAGAAAGGATCATTGCTTTAGCACACACATATCCACAGACATGCATTGTGAAACACAGCTCCACTACCCCTGCCGCCGTCGCACCAAACAACGCCCGCACACTCAAAGCATTCATCTAGCGCGGGTGGGAAGTAGCAAGAGTAAGATTACATGAAACCCAGAGTGTGCAGCTTCTGACTGTATCTGCACGGCTGTCTGTCTCGGCGAACTTCCAGAATTACATCAAAGTTGGTACAGACGCGTGATGGGAAGTGGCGTAGTGCGTACAACTGAGCTGCACTTGTGCAGCAGGTGACCGGCTTGAATCCTGCTTGTATACACTACACACACACACACACACACACACACACACACACACACACACACACACACACACACACACACACACACACACACACACACACACACACACACACACACACACACACACACACACACACACACACACACACACACTACATCATGACGTAATTCCGGAATTTCGTTGTGATAGCAACCCATCCGAGCTGCGCACTCTGGGCATCATGTACTGTGATCTTGGAAGTACTGAGGCAGAAGGAAAATATTGTACGCCAAAGGAAAGCTTGGGAGTTTGAGGAGTCTGCTCATACTAGTGGACTGGTTCATGAAGTACACCCATCCAGCCAATGTTACGTCACTTCATCAACATCTACTGAAGCATCCAGTGAATTGTCGAAAGACTACGATTGTCGTCCTGTAAGGTACAGTACCGGTTCTCTGTCCACTTGACTGGTCCTAGTACGTACATTCAGGAACAACATTACAGCCTGTGGCCGTGTGACCAGCCTCCAACACCATGGTTCATCACTCCTTCCTTCTTCTCTACCCCCTGACAGACTTTCCCAGGAGCATACAAGTGGCTGTATCATGTAACAGGCGGACCACAGAGATCCACTTCCTCCTCACTTCTTTTTTTGGAATAAATTTGGGAAACAGCAAGTATTGCATTCTCATCTCAGCCGCTTCTTTGGTTGGGCACACAGTCAAGTACATACCAGTAGTTGGTTGGGCACACAGTCAAGTACATACCAGTAGTTGTACATACCAGTAGTTGTACATACCAGTAGTTGTAGATATTCTGCCTGCTGAGCTCATTGCTCTATGGTTGGACCGAAGCCACCCTTTAATATAGGCAACATACTACCCAGCCCTTACTTTAATATAGGCAACATACTACCCAGCCCTTACTTTAAATGGAAACAAGGAAAATGGTGGGGCACAAGTTATGCGTTAGAGTCCACCAAATAATCCAGGTTTCGAACAGTCAGACGTGCACAAGGTAGCACCAGACTGACAAGGAGTACTGAGACATTCCATGGCAAGGACGTGAGCTTGAGCACTGCTCGATAGTGCTAACCAACGGCCTTCCAACTGTCTTGGAAGGTTCATGGATATTACTAATAGTAGTGCACTGCTTTCCTTGTTTCCATTTCATATTTCCTTGTTTCCATTTCATATTTCCTTGGCTCGCCATCTGAGTACTTACTTTATCTGTTCTAGTTATACCTGTGCACTCAATTTTGGGACAGCTAGCTGTTTTGACCCGTGTTAGGTGTCATCAGCGGAGCTCAGAGTTACTGGCTGTTTTGACCCGTGTTAGGTGTCATCAGCGGAGCTCAGAGTTACTGGCTGTTTTGACCCGTGTTAGGTGTCATCAGCGGAGCTCAGAGTTACTGGCTGTTTTGACCCGTGTTAGGTGTCATCAGCGGAGCTCAGAGTTACTGGCTGTTTTGACCCGTGTTAGGTGTCATCAGCGGAGCTCAGAGTTACTGGCTGTTTTGACCCGTGTTAGGTGTCATCAGCGGAGCTCAGAGTTACTGGCTGTTTTGACCCGTGTTAGGTGTCATCAGCGGAGCTCAGAGTTACTGGCTGTTTTGACCCGTGTTAGGTGTCATCAGCGGAGCTCAGAGTTACTGGCTGTTTTGACCCGTGTTAGGTGTCATCAGCGGAGCTCAGAGTTACTGGCTGTTTTGACCCGTGTTAGGTGTCATCAGCGGAGCTCAGAGTTACTGGCTGTTTTGACCCGTGTTAGGTGTCATCAGCGGAGCTCAGAGTTACTGGCTGTTTTGACCCGTGTTAGGTGTCATCAGCGGAGCTCAGAGTTACTGGCTGTTTTGACCCGTGTTAGGTGTCATCAGCGGAGCTCAGAGTTACTGGCTGTTTTGACCCGTGTTAGGTGTCATCAGCGGAGCTCAGAGTTACTGGCTGTTTTGACCCGTGTTAGGTGTCATCAGCGGAGCTCAGAGTTACTGGCTGTTTTGACCCGTGTTAGGTGTCATCGGCGGAGCTCAGAGTTACTGGCTGAACCAATTACAACGAAGTCTACAGTACTGTCAGTCTACAGTACTCAGTACTGCCGGGCGCCGAAGAACGGAGTGCTGAAGAACGACAGGCTAGGATTTCACAAAGCACAGCAGACCAATGTATACATGGTGACTCAACTGCGCTTAGACTGTAAATTACTGTAATACATGAAAATACGAACGGTCTAGGTTACACTGTGGAGGCTGACCCCGCAGTTCTACTCTAGGTTACACTGTGGAGGCTGACCCCGCAGTTCGCAGTTCTTCAGCGACCGACAGTACTGTAGTGAACAACAATGCATTTATAAACCGACTTTCTCATACGCAGCCTATTAACACAGGGTGCAAATAATGTGTACGGGCTTGTCGCATGATATGAAGTTCGGCCGCGGAGGACCCCATAGACCAGAGTTGCACACTATTGGGGGTTATGTACTCTTGGTTGTACCAAGAGTACATAACCAAGAGTGTGCGACTCCTACCTCGAGCTGTGATTGGTTCACGCACGGCGGAATTCTTTTATTGTGTTATTCCTGTCATGTGTGCTCACCAATTCTCGTTGTGCTTGTTATATCATCCGTATCATGCCTGTCATGATTGTCTGAAGCTATTGTCTGTGTTGTGGTTGACTTCACTCTTTAGTACTATTGACTGGCCTTTCGTACAATACCTATTGATGTCTAGAGACATACTGTCTAGCCTTCCCCTCGTGCGCTTATTGATACACTATCCAGCTGTCCAGTGGCTCTCCTTCTACCGCTCTCTATCTCGCTATACTCTTCTTCACACTCTATAAGTTCGTGTCTTCTTTACAATAAAATCAGTTCAGTGACTGACGAGTTCGAGATCACAACATGGTGTCAGAAGCGGCTTGATTACGAATCCAGCCGAGTAGCTTGCAATGTAGTCCTCAAACTGTACTCCTCTTTACCTGTTTTAGCCCTCTCACTCAGGCTCTCTCTAGCAATTCTGGCTCATTGCAGAAACCGTCCGTCTGCCTCATTGCAGAAACCGTCCGTCTGGCTCATTGCAGAAACCGTCCGTCTGCCTCTAAGCAGAATCCGTCCGTCTGCCATCCGTCCGTCTGCCTCTAAGCAGCCTCCCTGCCTCCGCGTTCCTACCGGTCGCAGCTCCTCGTGTAAGTCTCATTGCAGCTCCTGCATAGTCCTCAGACGACGTCGATGACCTCCTCGTTCGAGAACAACTGATCGTGGCCCTCCCGGCCGATGCCCAAGTCTTCCTCCTCCGTCAAGCGCCTCAGACCGCTACCACAACTGTCGAGCAGGCCGAAACTTACCTGCGAACGGAGAGGACAGAGGTGGCGCTCCGCAAGTCTCTCCCGGGTTCACCGCCCCTCGCAAACGCGGCGGAAACCTCAGACAACTCGTCGTACTGTTCGACCTCCGACATCGTTGCCTCAGTGTAGTAACGATCCATCGAGTCTGTGGTGGTGCAGCTCACCCTCGGCGTGATTGCCCAGCTACAGACAAAGACTCGCAAGAAACTAGGTCACTTCCGCGTGTGTCAACGTGCAACAGCGCCACCGTGACACAAGTCAGAAATCCGTGGGTTGTGTTACTGTAAGTACCACCACAGCACCAAACAGTCATGCTGTCCGTGAGTGCGATGCTGACATGGACTGTCCATTCTTAGGGTAACTCCACGTACTTTCTACTCGTATTCTGTACTCGTAGAGTCGCACTCTGATCTCTGCGTCTTGCTCTTTGTGCTCACACTCCTTCCACATAACGCATGGTTGCGCTCTTTCTCTGCTGGCTCTAGTATCAAATGCTCCAGTTCTATTTGGCCTCTTTGCCCTCTGTTTTCACTCTTTGCTTGAAAGGGGAGATGTTATATCATCCGTATCATGCCTGTCATGATTGTCTGAAGCTATTGTCTGTGTTGTGGTTGACTTCACTCTTTAGTACTATTGACTGGCCTTTCGTACAATACCTATTAAAATGTCTAGAGACATACTGTCTAGCCTTCCCCTCGTGCGCTTATTGATACACTATCCAGCTGTCCAGTGGCTCTCCTTCTACCGCTCTCTATCTCGCTATACTCTTCTTCACACTCTATAAGTTCGTGTCTTCTTTACAATAAAATCAGTTCAGTGACTGACGAGTTCGAGATCTTTGGCAGAAGTATGATCAAGTGTGTATGCTTTCCCGCTCTTGTTTTCTAGATACAGTGGGAGTTCATCAGGTTCAAGACACATCGATCTATCGTCCGTTGTTCTGCTTTGGCTACCGTAGCTGTGATGTACAAATTCTTTGTACTTTGACCTCTGGCTATGCATGATAGCATCAGTGAGCCAAACAGCCACGAAAGACTGTCACAAAGAATTCCGCCGTGGGTTTGGGGGTCGTCGAGTTGCACACTCTTGGTTCAAGTTGGTTGTAGCAATGACGAATACCCCTTGCAGAATGACCGCATAACTCTAAAGTGTGAAAAACTTTCCCTGCGTGCAAAATTTGGGTTTAGAATTTTTTTACCGATTCATGGTGAGAAATTTTCGCGATTTTATCCCTGCAGTTGGATTACAACTTGTCCACAATCAATGCATAGAGTTGTTTGCGACAATTTCATTTCATGTCATTATACTTGATTGATTTTCCAAAGGCAAATAGATGTCTATAACGGGAATCACAAGGGATAAAATACGTGAAAATGGAAATTCGCAAATGTGTCACCGTGATGGTCACAAAAATAACAAATTAGATCTCTAGCAAAGTTTCCCTTTACAATACGGTAAAACACCGTTTTCGCCAGCACAATTTTTGAGCATATGAGGGGTTTGTGCATACTACTCTAAGCAGACGGCAGGGTAGGGTTTTCACCCGCCACTTTGCTTCTTTCTCTGTTACCGGCTTGCCTTGCGTCACCACATAACTCTGTCTCTCTTTCTCTTTCCATCACCTTGGTTTCCGTAATCTTGAATTTGCACTACAGTTTCGCTCACTGAAATCCGACCCAAAGTGCAAAACTGGTGCTCTAGCCTCTAGACTACTGTAGCGGACATGGAAATCCAGTCGATTGACCGGGCCCGGCGCCCTCAGCGCGTAGAGAACGCTGCGTGCAGTGCACATGTTGATCCGATGCGACCAGCGGGCTGCAGCGCATAAATGCATGTGTGTACCGCATGGCCACGGCTGCATGACCAGCGCAATGGGGCCGCTAGACGTGCGACCGGATTTCCATGTCCACGACAGTACTTCCGATTACATCACTGTACTTGTACATCATGTGTACGTCAAGCCGCATTCGTACCACTTTCAGGGCGTCAGGGGCAGTGCAAGCTGAGGCAGATGTGCACTTTGTGTGGGATTTCAGTGATCACAACTGTACATGTACTAGCACAGTAGTGTAGTTCTGAACATAACATGAGAGACCCCTTGATAGGCTCCTAGGCTCCTGCAGCCAAAACCAATCAATCAGGTGAGATAACAATGTGTGTGTGTGTGTGTGTGTGTGTGTGTGTGTGTGTGTGTGTGTGTGTGTGTGTGTGTGTGGGTGGGTGGGTGGGTGGGTGGGTGCGTGCGTGCGTGCGTGCGTGTGTGCTGTGTGGTGTATACCAGGCTAAAATTAGTGGCGGTCAATTCATCAGCCTTGCAAGCTGTTGAATGGTGTAATCCCAGCACTAGTTGCTATGTCTAACATAGCTGTTCGCTATCATTGCTTCTGCGATGGGCAGGTCTGAGGTGAGGTGAGGTGTGTGTGTGTGTGTGTGTGTGCACGTTCACGTGGTTGTTTGTGTGTGTGTGTATGCACACACTTGTTTGCATCCGTGTGTGTGCACGCGAGTGTGTACGTGTGTGCGTGAGCATGTGTGTGTACACGTGGGTGCGCCCGTGCATGTGTGTGTGTGTGTGTGTGTGTGTGTGTGTGTGTGTGTGTGTGTGTGTGTGCGTGCAAGTGGGTGCATCCGTGCACATGTGTGTGTGTGTGTGTGTGTGTGTGTGTGTGTGTGTGTGTGTATGTGTGTGAGTGTGTGTGTGTGTATGTATGTGTGTGTGTGTGTGTGTGTGTGTGTGTGTGTGTGTGTGTGTGTGTGTGTGTGTGTGTGTGTGTGTGTGTGTGTGTGTGTGTGTGTGTGTGTGTGTGTGTGTGCGTGTGCGTGAGTGCACTCAAAAGCTCACCGCTAACAGTCATACTCTGGCACATCACGAAGAGGCATAGGAAGAACAAGAACCATTTCGGAGTATTGAAGAGCTGCAGCCAGCTTGGAGTAAAGCAAGATGGGCCAAACTTTCCACCTTCACTGGTCTTATCCACTGTCGAGGCAAGTATGCTAGACGAAGGTGTAGACATCTTGGGATAGTCCAATAGGTTTTGATCAGCCACAAGGCTCGCCGTGGGACCATCTCGTTTTTCAGGGACATTTAACTCCATACCCTGGTCAGCGAGTTTTGTCCGAGCGCCCGTCATACACACCCACACCAACTGGATTTTCTTCCCACAAAAATACCACGGGTGTCTAGATATGGGTGGATGTCAGCGGTAACCACCAAGTGGTTGAAGACTGACGGAGGTTGACACTTCACCGAAAATGGTCTTTCCATACGGAAGCTTGTTACATGTTTACATGTTGTAGGTATTTCTCTCACTGATTCAAAAAATCGATTCAAATGCTAGCAAGATCAAAGAGTCCGTGGCCGTGGACTCTGGAATCTGTCTGGATGCGAGTCCAAGGGTGCGTTCTTAAATCCTCTCGGAAAAGTTGGAGACTCTCCGAAAAGTTCGAGAGCTGTTCTAATATCCTCTCCGACTTTTAGGAGGCTCTCCAAAGCTCTCCAAGCTCTCCAAGCTTCAGAGGTGGTTGAAACTTGGAGATTCCCGCGGCTTGGGATCAGCGCATGCGAACTACGACTAAAAGCCACGTGTTCATCATGAGTGTACGCATTTCCCTTTTCGCATACGCACATACATTCATCACTCGAGATCGCGGCCCCTTTGACGCTTCATTTTGCTTGACATGTGCAAAATATCTCCGAATTCTTCGAGACCCGTTCTTGAGTAATCCCAGTTTCTTCGACTTCTCTTTTCTTCTTCTTCTAGAAGCTAGAGAATATAAGAACGCACCCCAAGCCAGGCACGCGTGCTCCGTATACATGGTATCTCTTAGCCTGTCACCAGGAAACCCTATATATAGGGTTTGACATAACGCTACACATAAAGACCCTATATATAGGGTTAGGACCCCTAAAGAAAGGGTTTGATCAGTCCTCACAACTGGGCACACAATACACACAGTTTCACTTGTTTTTTTTTGATATTTTCACTGCATTGCCATTGATGTTAGCAGGAGCGCTGCCTACGGCAATGGCGGGAGCGGCAGCTGCGACAGCCGCTGTTGATGCTTCGCCTTCTTCTTCAGGAGCATCCGACGCTGCTGGAACATCGATATCATCATCCTGAGTCGACACCAGGTCGCCAGGAACATTCTCATCGCCCGAGTTCGTCTCCACTAACTCAAGTTGCTCTTCCTCCATCGTGAAAAATCAAACCCTAGATATAGGGTCTAGAAAATGTTACGACAGCGCTGCACTAAAACTAACCGTACTCGAAGAAAACAGCAACAAAATGATCACGGTCTTCAGCAAGAGAACCGTACGTACATTCTACGTATGTAGGCCCAGGCGCCTAGTTGCCATAGCAGCCAAGTGGGCTCTCAAGAGAGCTCAAGATAGAACGCGCGGCTGAAAACCCTATATATAGGGTTTGACAGGCTAAGAGATACGCGCGCAGATATCTACAGTCCATTCATAAAAAGATGGGCTCTGGCTCTGGCGAGCTCCCGTATTTGGCGATTTTTCGTGATTTCATCGTACACAGTGCAGTGCTGCGAAATTTGAAATTTGAAAAAGGGTCCAAAAAGGGTACATGTACCTGAACTGGGGTTCGAACCGCACAATGCACGTTTGCAGGCGGGGTCAAACGGCCTGGATTTTTATGGTTTTTCCCAATTCAGTGCTGTTGGGGCAAAACCTGGCCGAAATTCTATTCTTGTTATGGCTTGCTTTTTGGACAAAAAAACTTCAGAAGCAGGGAGTCGTCAAATATATATGGTATTTGACGACTCCCTGATTGGAAGAGGATTCCATAGGGGATTGCAGAAAAAAATTCTAAAAAAACTCAAAGTTTGACCCATTTATGGCCAAAAGCTAGCAGAGAAGTCCATCTTTTTCTGAATGGACTGTACGCATAATGAGTTTTTGATGTACATAATGATTATGTACCAATGTACGTCGTATACGTAGCCTCGGCCTCGTAGGTTTGTAGTATTAAAATAAATAAATAAAAAAAAGTTTTGGCCAATCTAGAGTTGAAAACAAACGATTGTAATGATCATACATGTATCAGGGATATGACTCCCTCCCTGGTAACAAGAGTACTCTTGCTGGTACATGTAATGATATGATTGCGTGAAGAGATCTTGAAAACCAACAGAGAGAAAATACTGATAACGAGCGAGACGAACTCAGACATAAAGAGCAAGAACAAGAATCTAACTGACATTTTTATAACGAACGCCATTATCTCGAATTAGTTGAAAGGGAAAACGTGTTCCCATGTAGAGTCTACTACCATGACTACCGGTACAGCCGGGTACCGGCAAGAGTACATGAACTTAAACACTGTAAACTATTAGTATTACTTGTTTTTTGTTTTGTTTTTTTTTCAGTAGTAAAAGCCTCTTTAAAGCTTTTACGGGCGAACAAAACACAATTTGCCATGGCGCGCGCGGCGGAGGATTGAAAACAAATCAATGATGTACTTGGTAGATCTACCGGGTATCATGAGGATTTTGAAAGTCTGTAGTAGTGTAGATTATATCTACGGTTGAGAAAAGGCGAGGAGTAGTAAAATACCGGTATTTTACTACTCCCTGATTTCAACCGCCCTAAGCTGCTAGGCCTGGCGGGTTGAAATAATTTCATGCATGTTGTGTTCATCAATCATGCATGGTCGCAGTATATACTCGTATCTACCGTATATACTACCGTACTGGCAATAATAATGGTCGCAGTGAGGCCATGAAGCGTTACATTGGCCCATGTTTACCGCACGCAGGGCGTTACATGCAAAGTCGCACAGGAGCCGTTACACAGGTTTCTATATTGCCGCAGTCCTTTTTTTGCTATTGCCGCATCACTTTTTTGCTATTGCCGCATCATTTTTTTGCTATTGCCGCATCATTTTTTGCAAACTGCAATGAAAAGATCGCCGCACCCCGCCGGACGCGCATTACGAACGCAACGAAAATTTGTCGCACTAGCCTGGTCGCGCGTTACGCCGCACCCCCCTGCGTTACGCGTTACGCGGCAACAATATATTATATTGCCAGTACGGTAGTACAGCCCCCCCCCCCCGAATTTGGGTTGCCTTTTTGCTTTGGTTCTTAATTCATGGTGTCACGCGATTCATTGATTGGTGTTGTGAATAGCACCGTTCTCAAGAATCTTACGACTCTCTGGTCCAGACTCGAGAATCCTCTACAGTACATGTAGTGGCCAGGGAGTAGTACAATACCATTGGTATTGTACTACTCCCTGGCAGTGGCTCTACACCGAACCCCCTCCCCCCCCCCCCCCCCGCCCTTCACGACTCGGTGCACGCACACCACTGCAAACCGGGCACGAGTTGCGAGCTTCATCACGATATCAGTTCATGTGGTGCAAAGAACTATGAAAACGAGGATCTGAAGAGCCAGGTGCAGGGTCTCCTACATTAAAATTTGTGTAATTTGATGGGTGTCTTACTGAAGTTGTGACTGAACAGTGAACAATCCTTGAAAGCTAACAGCGCAGACAGATGACTAAGAACAGTGAACAATCCTTGAAAGCTAACAGCGCAGACAGATGACTAAGAACAGTGAACAATCCTTGAAAGCTAACAGCGCAGACAGATGACTAAGAACAGTGAACAATCCTTGAAAGCTAACAGCGCAGACAGATGACTAAGAACAGTGAACAATCCTTGAAAGCTAACAGCGCAGACAGATGACTAAGAACAGTGAACAATCCTTGAAAGCTAACAGCGCAGACAGATGACTAAGAACAGTGAACAATCCTTGAAAGCTAACAGCGCAGACAGATGACTAAGAACAGTGAACAATCCTTGAAAGCTAACAGCGCAGACAGATGACTAAGAACAGTGAACAATCCTTGAAAGCTAACAGCGCAGACAGATGACTAAGAACAGAAAACCGTTGCAAACAAGCACATGCACCGCATACACATGATTACAATGTGATGTACAGTCCATTCATTTGAAACTGGCAGTAAAAAAACTGTTGCAAGTCCCCCAAGTACAAATCATAGAAAGAGCTAAACAAGAACAAAATAATGTGCTCACCCTCCTAAAGGATCACCGTGAGCCGGTAGACAAAAACAACAACAACAATGCAGTGGAATTATGGGCAAAGGTGTTCTGCAAGTGGTTTGAAATGCCTCAAAATGAGAACAGTGTACTAGAGTAAAAAAAGAGACCAGGAAGCTGGTCCACTAGATATATGGCCAGTGCGTCAAACTAAACGTGCATCAACCACATCATCATTGTCCATGTCCAAGTCAGCTGGACTTTCACTCAAATCAATCTTGTCACCATCAAACACTAATGTGACGTTCGCAGGAGCATTGCCCGACTTCTCGCAATACAGCGCCAATAGATCAGCGAGCCGCTGACTTTTGCCGATGCAAAGAACATAAGACTTGGCCTTGTCTTGAACTTTCAGTGAGATCATGTTGCGCTCCCGAGTGCCATCCTGCACGATGGTGTCCTCGCTGCTAACACTACAGTCTACAGTGCAACAAGACACAACACTCAGTCAACAGTACAACAAGACACAACACTCAGTCAACAGTACAACAAGACCCAGAACACTACTGTTAGCAAGCAAACAACATGAGAATCGCATTTTACTTGCTTTGGCAGATAAACAGAGAATCTCATCATACATGGCATGCACCTATTAATTTTGTGTTCAAGCCCTGAAAACTACCACCAGGAACAGGGCATAATGGCTGCTAGTCCAGCAAAGAATTACTTTAGACAAGAAGCCAGCTATTATAAATAATGCTATACCGTACCAGCGTACACGGCTGACGCGTACTAGTAACTTGTTTGCTAATAGACCACTTACACAACGTGCAAACACATCCAAGCGTGCGACTGGAAACGATACGATAAAAGTGAGTTTGCAAGTTGTATGAATGGGGTTTTTATGTCGTGTGAATGGCATATACATGTATACGGATCAGCAGCTAAACTGTAAAACAGATGGGTATCCAGATCACCCATAGTATTTCTTTGGAGAAATAAATGCAATCAATCTAGGATACTCGTTTGACTGTTTGTTTTTTTCCACCTGGCAAACTGGCGAGTCACTGAGCAAGTCAAAGTGCTATCTACCACCACAGACTTGAGAAAGCATACCTAATATGTCTGTTAGCAGGACACCGGCTTGCTGTAATGTATGTTCCGGTGACAGGGTGTCATCCCCCTTCCACAGTGTAACGAGATGTGGCGCTAGGCTATGGTTCTGAGCAAACTGATTCACCAACTCTGCCACACGTGCAGTCTGCAAATCACAGAAGAAACAACACAGACAGACACACATTCAAGGTCCAGCCCGCCCAACGATGTAACAGCACAACATTGAGGTCTTCCCAGAGTGCTTAGCATAGCCAGTCTCTGGATTAAGTTCAATTACACTGCTACAAAGGCAAAGGTACCAAGCAAAGTAAGCCAGACATCAAAGCAGGTACTATCCCGAATTCATAAAACAAGAGAAAACTGCAATATCTCTTGCCGGATTCTGGGCATAGCTTTACTTCTAATCACCTATTTTTCACAATCTTGGGCATACTGGAAAGCTCTCCGCAAGCAAAGTAGACGAAACTCCCAGTGGCGGATCCAGGGGGGGGGGGGGGGGGGGGGAAGGGCCAGGGGGCCTGCCCCCCCCTTTGAAAATTTCGACCTTGGTCTAGGATTACAGTAGACTGTAGAATGAGCGCTCGAAATGACTTGGCGTGTCAAGTGGGTCACGCGTGCTGGGTACTTATACACGTGTCCGGTGTCACGCACTAGCGCTATATACATGTAGCTATAGCCAGCGCGCTGTGTACAACTACTGTACGCACTGCCACCTGAGGACACAGCCGCACTTCAATCAAACATGTGAAAAACGTGCCAAAAATGCAGGGCCTGGTACAAAGTGCAGCTAGTGCAGCGATCATGTTGGACTGAAGTCCTGCACGGTGCACGGTGCTGTCGACTTCGTCCTTCCTTTTTCTTTTTACTTGTCAGAAACTAAACGCTCTCTCTACTTCGCTTGTAGCCAACGGGTTACCTTCAGATATGCGATGAAGAGGAAAGGGTATGACATCAGGTCATTCTTCAGTGCACCGGTAGATCAGAGGGCTCGCGTTGAAGAGCCGTCCAAAGGTCCGTCGCAGCCACTGCCGAGTGGAAATGTTCCTGCACTTGTGACATTACCCGAACCCGCTCCTGAATGTGAAGTCATTTCAAGTCATTCCTCCTGTGACAGTTCTCTGCCTGGATCTCCGGTTTCGCACGCCAAGCCCACTGAGAGTAGCACCGTTCCAGCGACGGAAAGATCTCAGCCATAACATACAAATACCTGCTAGTAGAGTAGTGTCGCCCTAATGCCTGAGTTACACCACAGCTTGACAACACTTCCAGTGCAGTTTGAAAATGTCGTGAGAATGGAATACAGCAGCCCTTCACAACTTCAGGACTTTGTTGTTGTTGTCGTTTTGTTTTGTTTGGGGGGGGGGGGGGGGGACGGATACCTTGGGCCCCCTCTTCAGCCAAATCCTGGATCCGCCACTGACTCCATCTGAGCACTGCAGACAACGCTGCGAGCAAATTCTCTCTTTGTCAGCCATCCCACTGTTCCTCATTGCGAGAATTTCATTTTTTTCCTCTGGCTTTTTATTATGTTGCCCGCGCACTCCCAGCATGCTGGGAAGAATCAGCATGCTAGTCAAGGGGAAATCCGTTACTCAAGGTCAGTCACTGAGAAAAGATCAGATTTTGCCGCAATATACCCAGAATGCTACGTCACAGTGCTTTTAAAAGCGATTATTGCAATCGAAAGCTGAGCTCTTTGGCTTCTTCATAGGTACTGTAATTTCATAAATTTTCGGTGTACTTTTATTTTCGGTACTTTCGGTGCATCTGTTTCACACCTAAATTTTCAATACACCGAACAAATACTAACACACATAATCCAATAGGGGACTGCTTCTCTGTACCGAAAATTTCTGTTCACCTAATCAGGCCTTTTGCCCTCATACCGAAAATATTGAGCACCGAAAATTTCTGAAATTAGAGTACTTTAATTGTGGAATTGCACCAAGATTAGAATGAGGTATGAATGTTTGAGTGCATGTATATCCATCGTCAGCTAGCGGTCTATATTCAGATGCACAGACACTAAAGGGCTAAAGCTGGCTCGCTAGTATACATAGTATCGCAAATGCAGAGGCTTCCTTGAAGGGAGGTTGTACAGTGTACTGCACGTGATCTGTTGTAGAGCAGTGCACACAGTGAGACATGCCCAGGCGTATAAGGTTGAAGAATGCACCACTATCTCACCCACCTTCTTCAGACTGATCCTATTCACGACGCCCTTATGCCGAATCTTGACCAACAAGTCATTCTCCACCACAGGAACAGCAGTGGGTATCATAGTGTCCGGAAGAACTTCGCCTACAACTGGTGCTGAGCGGCGCAATGCACCTAATGTATCGTTGAGATTCCTAGCCAAGCACAGAGCGGATAAATAGAATGGAAACTATTATAAAGACAACCAGCCACAGCCAACACATTCATAGCACAAGCCAACAAACAGACAAGCAGACAGAAAACTCGCACCATAGCAATTCCACACAATTGAGGAAAGTGGAACTCGTCGCTGATATCACCTTTGATGAGTTGTGGAGGCTGCGATCTGCGGCTGCAGATTTGCATTGCACAAGCAATGCCTGTGAGGCCGTGACAACAATCTTTATCATGCAATGACATCAAAGACGACGTAAATGACTAATGGCGCTTTCGGACCTTATGTGGTAAAGTTGAACACTCGGGTTTGTATACTCTTGATAAGTAAGGAAAATGATGAGTAAGGAAAATAAGTACATGTACCGTATTTCTAAGGTCACAGCTGTACACACTTCCATGAAAACAAACAGGCCCAAACACTCCACATTAGTTAGAACTTTTCATACAAAAAGATACCAACAGGAAAAACATAGTTTGCCTCCAAGATGGAACTCTGAGCTATAGACCTTATGCAATACACGTCACAGGCTGCAATCTCCATAGTAACGGTGCCCCGCTGAGCTCATCATGAGGGCCTGAGTGGCAAAAAACTTCATGAGAAATGTTTCTACTGTTCAGGGGCACACTTTAGCGATGAATGCGGCCAGTACCGAGATTTAGAAATTTTTGAACTTGAGAAGCAGCTGCTGATCTGATTATTATTATGAGGGAGGAGGCATTTTTTGTTTCGTTGTGGAAGAGTCATTCCTTCTGCAGTTTTGCTAGTACGATGGTCAAAAGTTGTTGTGCTGTTGGCTGCAGTAACCGGTCTAAGGTTGGTTCGGTTGTCAGTTTCTACCGCTTTCCGGCAGACCCTGTGAAACAGAAGAAGTGGACTGTAGCTGTTCGTCGTGACAAGTGGTCACCAAATCAAAACACTTGGCTGTGCTCTGCACATTTTGTTGGTGGAAAGAAGAGTGATGACCCTCTCTCTCTCCAGATTATTTGCCGTCAGTTTTTTCATTTGTACAGAGTCCTGTGAAACGGAAACAGAAGGAGCAACTAGAAGCGTACGAGCGGAGATCGAAGCGTGTACGGCCAGGCCCGGTGTTCGATACCGGTGCAGATACGCCTCCACCGAGCGTGGTGAGTTCGTACTACACTGTATACTAGCAAGAGTAGATAAACAAGAGTGTGCAACTGCCTGCACAACCTCTATGCTGTGCTGCGACGGCAGAACTTCACATCACGTGACATGGTTCAAAAGGTTATGCTGGCAAACAGTGCAAAGTGACCACAAGAGAGTTGTACCCAAAGCTGGGCTGCGTACAACCCAGTATCTATCATGCACTAGAGTGCACGGGTTCATCACGTGATGTGAAGTTCTGCCGTCGCAGACCCCATAGCTGGAGTTGCACACTCTTGTTTATCTACTCTTGATACTAGTCTAATGGAACTGCAAGTCTGTTTGCCGACAAGGCTGTCGAGATTCAAATCTGTATCCTCACGATGGCCTGTACTGTGGCCAATAAGAGAGTAGAGTGATTAAGGAGGTTGTTGTTTCAAATCTTTATTCTCACGATGGCCTGTGTGTAGATTGCTGACACTATTGTGGAGATCCCTGTGGAGAGCAGCGATGATACTCCTCCACCGAGCGTGGTGAGTACTAATGCAACTGCAAATTTGCCGACAAGGCTGTCGAAATTCAAATCTTTATCCTCACGATGGCCTGTACTGTGGCTAATAAGAGATAATAGAATGAGATTTACATCACATGGAGGGTTTGGAATGCTTGAGTTATTTTTGTTGTTATTGTTGTTGTTTTGTAGATTGCTGACAAACCTGTGGAGATCCCTGTGGAGAGCAGCGATAGGACCGACTCAGCTAGTCCAGACACCGGTAGTAAATGCTGTCATCACGAGTCAGAATTCGATAATTTGAAATGTGAGAACTTGCTGCTGAGAGAGGAGGTGAAGAAATTAAGGGCCCAAAACTCAACTCTCCGTGGTGGAGCAGCACTTTCTGAGAACGATCTGATATGACGACAAGGTGAAGCTCTACACCGGATTGCCAACGTACGCTGTGCTCATCACTGTTTTTGAGTTTGTTTCCAGCGACGTTGAGCGTCACCACCGCTCGGCAACCTCATTGTTCACGCAGTTCTTGATGACGCTAATGAAGCTCCGCCTGAACGTAAATGATTCTGACCTTGGGTATCGTTTTGGTGTGGCCCAGAGTACCGTGTCGAGGTATGTGCTGAAGTGGGTGAACATTATGTATGTGCGTATGGAGCCACTTGTAAGATGGCCAGATCCGGGTGATCTAGGCAAGACAATGCCGCCAGAGTTCGCCAAGAATTTCAAGAAGTGTGTGTGTGCATCATCGACTGCTTCGAAGTATTCTGCCAGCGTCCCTCTGATCTGATGGTGAGAGCGCAGTCATACTCACATTATAAATCGCACAACACGATCAAGTTCCTCATTGCCATTACACCGCAAGGTGTAATATCGTTCATCTCACAAGCCTGGGGTGGGAGGACATCGGATAAGCACATCACCGAGAATTGTGGCTTTCTGGAGAAACTCCTCCCGGGTGACCAGGTACTGGCAGATAGGGGCTTCACTGTACAAGACAGCGTAGGTCTGTACTGTGCTGAGCTTGTGATCCCACCATTCACGAGAGGGAAGAGCCAGTTGTCTCGAATTGAAATTGACAAAGCGAGACAGCTCTCCTGAGTCCGGATTCATGTTGAGCGTGTGATTGGTGTGCTACGCAACAAGTATACACTGTTGCAATCCACATTGCCGATCAACCTCCTCATGCGTGACAGCGGTGATCCAAACATTGCTGTCATTGACAAGATTGCCACTGTGTGCTGCGCGTTGTGCAATTGCTGTGAGTCAGTCGTGCCTTTGGCTTAGCAGGGATGTATCCTTAGCTCTGAGACAAAGCCAGAGCTGGATGTGTATAGTAGTGCTTGCTCCATCTCCAGACAGCTAGCTGTTTCGACCCCGTGAGGGCTCATCATACTAACCTTTTTGCATCAAACTTCATGTCAAAGTCCTTCATAAAATCCCCATCTCTCTCTCTCTCTTTCTAATTTTGCATGCTTCACCCTTCACCCTTCACTTCCTTTCTTGGTCTTTCAGTGATGGCTTGGACAATTCACTTGTCCAGGCGATAAGGCAGTCTCTCTCTCTCTCTCTCTCTCTCTCTCTCTCTCTCTCTCTCTCTCTCTCTCTCTCTCTCTCTCTCTCTCTCTCTCTCTCTTATCTTTGCATGCTTTACCCTGACTCACATGTACTATTTCTTTCCTTTATTGGTCATGCAGTGATAGCTTGGACAATTCATTCGTCCAGGCAATAATGCAGCCTCTCTCTCGCTCTCTTTGAGAATGCGTGAGTATGCGGTAGAGTACGCATATGAGACCAGAAGTGTGCACATGCGTACATGCCAGAAGTGGGTGCTGTAACGGAACGCGACTCCAACTGCACAACGACCCAACCCCAACCAGGCACAACCACAGCCAATCCAGTGGAATACAGGGATACAGATAATAATTATAGCATTACCAAATTATAGTACAACGAACGTTGCAGTCCAAGAGAAATCTGAAGAAGATCGAAAGGAACTCGCGAACTACTACCTCGAGCCCGGAACATTTGCATCTCTGGAACTAACTCAGGTCCACGTGCTCATGCACGAGGTCACAGGAAACATGCATAAGACAGTTGGACAAAGCAGCAAGTACTATGGCTGTACTAAAGAAATAAAGACGTCATATGTAGAACCAGCAGCAGAATGATCCGCACATAGCACGTACAGTAGCATACAGCTCGCAAGCATCAGCATGACTCATGAGTCAGACACACAGCTAAGCATGCACACGCTAACTCTTGATGCAAGACACAAAGGCCAAGGGAACAAGCACCAATGCAATACAACAGAAACATGTAAGCACACCAACATGGTGAAGATAGCTAACCCAATGCTAAATAAATAACATTGTCATAAAGCCATAGTTCCAGTTCAGTGCACAGCACCATAAATAAGTACATCACAATGTGATATGAAAATAACTCTGTGTTACCCCGGCTCGGCATGAGCAATATTATTCAAGATGCAGGGTTAACGTTCTTGGGTGCTTTCTTGGCATCCTTCTCGGCCTTCCTTGTTTTGCGGCAAGTGGGGCAGTACCATTTGCGCTTCGGTATTCCCTTCATCCGCAAGCAGACGACATGGAATGTCTCGACAGGGCACTCAACACTACCACACGTCACCGTCTCTGAATCTTTCACTTGGTTGCAGAAGCAATGCCCAGTCTGAGGCACGTGCTGGCCTGCATGTTCACTTGATGCTGCATGTCCTGCGGCGATTTCAAAGCCTTTGCTGAAGAACTTGCCAACTAACTCTGGCAGCACAGCCAGTTTGAAAAAGTCAGAGACTTTAGAAATGGCACCAGAAATGAAATCAGTATCCGGCAAGATGCGAGAAATGACAAGATCCGTATGAGAATACACAATGAAATCGCAATACGCAGCTTGGCACAGAAACATTTGAGCCTGCACTTGATAATAGTATGCATGATCTTTCTTCAAAAAGAAAGAACCATCAGCATTTCGACCAAGGCAGAAGCCCGACTTCTCGGTTGCATCGTCGAAGGAACTGTTACAGCAGCTGTAGGGACACTTAACCTCCACTACACCGTTGCCACAGCAAGCACAAGACACAACACCATCTGGGCTGGCACCAAGGTAAGGATAGTCGCTACGGACCACAAGACCACTGTCACAAAGCTGAAATGCCTTATGCTTCTTGATCACATGTACCTTGTAGGCATCCCTGGCAATTTGCTCATGTTCACATCCACACGTTGTTGCTTTGGATGTAAACTTCATACTCTGTGGGTAGCAAATTGCCTTCACCAGTGATACAGAAGGTTGATGGGCGTCACTGTGGGAAGCGGCTTTAAACTTTGAGGCAGTGATGCGACCCGCAC